AGTCTTCCAATGTCATGGAATGAATCATTGATGGTGTTACTACCTAAGAAAGGCAATCTATACGACATGAAGAACTATAGACCAATCACACTGGCTAACACGGACTATAAAATCTTTACAAGGATACTAAACCGCCGTATAATAATGATTGCTCCACAATTGATTACTCAATTTCAATTGGGTTTCATACCAGGGCAATTTATCGCAGAAAATAGATTGATAGTCCAAACCATTATGGAAGACGCACAAGCCAGAGTACAGCAAGATACGACTAACGGCAGAAGTAGTGACCATGATTTAGCGTTTTTACTTGATCAAGAGAAAGCATACGATCGGCTACACCTCACATATCTTAAAAGAGTGCTGATAGGCTACGGGTTCCCGGAAGTGATTGCCGATACAATACACAAATTGCTCTCAAAAAAACAAGACCAAAACCAATGTTAATGGGTTCTTTACCAAAGAAATCAAGAAATGAAGAGGATTAAAACAAGGCAATCCACTATCACCAGTTTTGTATAACTTGACATTTGATCTATTTCTACGCTCGATTATACAAGATGGGGGGGGGGGTTCAAAGGATATCAGTTTCGACAACAAACACCAAGGCCTGACTCTTCCTCCTCTGCTCCTATAGAAGCTAGAATTCTTTGCTACGCAGATGATGCTTTAGTATTTATACATGATCCGAATGATCTTGCAATACTTCAAAGACATATATCAGCGTATTGTAGCGCATCAAATGCAAAAATCAACTTTAACAAGATTGAAGCTCTATCTTTATCTGGTAAAAACCCCTGGCTATTTTGGCATAGGTATCTGCTACCACTACAGATACAGCGCATTCAGCCTTCCATGGATGCACAACCTATTGTGTACTTAGGTTTTCCATTAATCCAGTCAGTTGCACAAAGACAAAATTATTTTGAAATCTTTTTGGCAAAGATGAAATCTGCCTGCTTAATACATTCTGCCCGTTCCTTGTCAGTACTAGGCCGGGACACAGTAGTTAACACCTTAATATTATCCAAATGTTTGTATCTTCTTCGGGTAACGCCGTTCACGAAGACTGAGATTTCTCGAATCCGGTCTTTAGCACAGCAGTTCCTAAACTCCAAAATCTTTCCGAAAATTGCTTGGCCAACTTGGACTCTACCGAAAGAAGATGGTGGTGTAGGGGTCCTTGATCCGTTATTGCAAAGGGACGCGCTTTATAGTCGCTGGGTCTTTCCTCTTTGAATCGCTCTATCAACGCACACTGGCATCGTATACTCACAAGACACATCCAAAATGTCTCCGGATATTATGAGGTAGCTATTCCTTTGCTCTTTCCTTTGGCTAGACACAATAGAACCTCTCACTTTGGGTGCGGTAAACGTATTTCAACAATTGATCTATTTTATGCCTCAATAGATTGCTTGCCTCGAGATTTAGACCAGATGACACTAGCTCACCAAGCATGTCTTAGTTTGCCGATGAAGGTCGTCTTACAATCTTTAAGACCACGACTTCCGTCATTGCCGAAAAGGATTCAATTTATCCCAGTTCAAGCATTTATGCTTTTCAACCACGATCTTAAGCTAATCCATTGGAAGCATCCGATCATATTCCGCAAGAGCTCAAAAATTCTACTTTCAGATCACCCGAGGGCTAGAAAGTAACAAGTACCAATTTTTCCTTTCTTTGTCAAACACTGCCAACCTCCTACTGTAGAGGTATTGCCTACTTACCGTCTCACCACCTTTATCTTTTGTTCCATTTGTCAACTCTTTCCAATTTGTGACCCTGACTGGACAATCATCCGGGTATGACAAAGGAGTTGGTTAACTTGCCAGAGTGCTACATCTGCTCCAGAGCGCCTACGAGCTATCTCTAGTAACTTTTGGACTGATTTCTGAGCTTGTCTCTGCTGCCAGTTGCTCGTAATATGATATACCGATTCCTGGTTTCCAAACTACCACAAGACACTTCTTCACTATATACTTCCTGAGAAGTTCCCCTCACCTCTTTGTACCATTTGCTCAATTCATCTGGAAAGTGAACAACATCTCCTGTTCTATTGCCCACCAAAGATGTTTTCTGGAACAATCTCATTTTCGAATTTATATGGCCTACGACCACTGTCGAGATTTATTCAAGAATCTTATACTAACTTCTCCAGAATAGATTAGCATAGAAAAAACTTAAGATCATTGAAATTGTCGTTTGCCTTTCGCAAGTCTGGAAAACATACTAGAGATCTGTCTTGATAACATCTCTCAATGTCTACTACACCCTACAACAAATGCTTATTGCTTTACAGCTGCTTCAAAGCTATTTGTGATGAAAAGCAAGTGCATACAAGACTGTAATCCTTCTTTTACTTTTCCCTACTCGTAGCAATGGCTTGCCTTTGATTTTATTGTATTTATTGTATCATTCATGGAAATAGATACAACATGATTAAATTATTTGGGAGTGTGGCAATTAGGCTTATGACCGTTATTTATTATTATATTCTCTCATATGTGTCTGACATTGTAAATCATTTTGTTATAAACATCTTGTGTTTTACCTTTTAATAAACAGTGGTCTTATCCTAATTGTACCTTTTCACTTGCTATTAATCGATATCGCAATCCTGATAAATCACTATTAGTTCAATGTAATTCTTTGTAAATTGTGCTCGCCTCTTAATTTTTTGACAACATTTTTTTTGTTAATTTTGTCTTTTTGGACAAAATCAGATTGGTGTTACTTATTGTCGGCTATGATGTAAAAGGCTTTGATTCTTTCTTTTCACTCTTATAACTGACTAGCATGATAAATAACACATTTTTTTTTATAAAGATGGACACGAGAATGTCTATAATGAATATGGAGAAAGAGTTTTTGATCCGATGGAAGGCGTGTTGACCGAAGTTAGTGATCCAAACGCAGTACTCGAAACCATAACGAGCCAAAGTCCTACTTCTTGAGTCTCAAACCAGCAGAGAAAGAAACTACAGCAAAAGATATGATAAAAAAAAAGTTGTAGAAGTTATCAAGCCAATTGACAACGGCGTCTACAAAGACTATAATGACCAGACCAGAGAGGTGTTCATCAACCAAATGTTCGAAGGCCTATGGAGAAAGGAAAAGTGGCTTTACATGCAAAGGATCTCGGAATAGACCCTCGTAATGCTATGCTTTGGTGAAAATACTATGAGAAACCCGGGGAAGCTGCTTACAAAAAGTCGCAAAGGAATTCAGGTCAACCTTAATTCATTTACTCTAGCATGAGCAGCACATTTAGCAAATAAGGAAAAAAGACTTGCAGCTATGTGCTGATGACATTATTGACTCCCTGACATCGCATTTTGAGAGCTTCAAGATCTCAAAGTCTCAAATGAACCACCACTTGAGAAACAACATGCTCACTACAATCAAGAAGCCAACCTTCGACCCTAAGGCAAGAAACTCTAAAAATAATTTGCAAACAAGATACGAGTGGTTCATGAAGTGGAAAGACTCAGATCTGGATTACACTAAGAGCTGTGTCTTTATTGATGAGGCTGGATTTAACATCAACTTGAGAAACAATTGGGCTAGGTCGGCTGTAGGAACACCTGCTCAAGTAGAGATTGATGAGACTCGTTCTCCCTCCCACACCATTATCGGTGCTATACACTGTACTAGTGTTATCCATGTTGTTATGAAAAAACCACCACCTAAAAAGCAAAGAGGCCCAAAATTTCAAGCATCGAAGACGGCTAAACCTCAAAAAAGAAAGCTGGCAGGAGGCAAAGAGCAAAGAGCGGGTGATATTATTATCGAAGAACCTACCATAGAGTACGTTGATGTTGAGGAGAGGACCGCTGTCGAAAACAACAAGCCAGTAGCAAAGGGTACAATTACTGCCCATTTTGTGAAATTTATGAATGAGCTTCTCGATATCATGGACATGGATGAGAGTCTTATGGGTAGTTATCTTGTAATGGATAACTGTACTATTCATAACTCTCATCCAATGATAAGAAAAAATTGAAAGTAGAGGTTATAGAGTAATGTACTTACCTCCTTACTCGCCAGAGCTAAATCCAATTGAGCAGTTTTGGGCTATTGTCAAAGGAAGAATGAAGCGCCACAGCTTGATAAATGAAGAGAATCTATCGCAAAGAATTGCTGAAGCATGTAACAATGTACGCTTCAGCAATCTCGAAGGAGTTTGTGGACACTCCAAGCGCCAAATCATCAATTGCTATAACAAGACAAACTTCTAATAAGCTGCTTACTTTAAAAAACATTTCAATTATACGCACATGGCAATCATACAATGAAATTGACAAATCAAGATGTTGCCGAAGCGAAGGCAGAAAATGTGGTTAATGCTCTCAGAGCCGTACTTTATTTCTCATATATAATAATAAATTTCAATCCCCTTTTCTTCATATCTTTCATATAATTCAATTTTTTTTGGGGGGAGAAGGGTTAGTTAATCACATTTAAAAAAGATTTTTAGATACTTTGGACCAAGATGGAGGGTGGGCATTAACCACATTTTCTGCCTTCGCTTCGGCAACATCTTGATTTAATTACTTTCGGGTGAACTATTGACTGGTTATCTTCCAAATCCCTTTTCGTGCATATTGTATGTCGAGCGGAAAACCTTGGGATAAATAATGTCAGAAAGTAGTGTTTACTGGCTATTGCTGTCTTTACTAAGATTTTTATTTTCTTCGTCTTGAAGTTTTAATTGTTGTAATAAATCAGAAGTTTCAGTCAAAGAAGTCTAAGTAATTATCCATATTAAGTATTGTTAGTTGTAGTTGATTGGCAAAAAATATTACCTTTAACTACAAGGTAAAAAAGAATCTAACAAAGGGGTCAGCACTTGCTGGACTTGACTTTTATCCTCCTTGATTACGACTTTATCTTCACGATTGAATATATAAGTGCCGTTATCTACATACTGAATTGACCATAAACGAAGATACTCGTCTGTATTCAAGGGTTAGTTTTTTTCCTCCTTCTTGTTTAACATGCGTCTCCTTAACGCTAGCTTGTATGAAATATAGCTTGATTTTTTAAATTATTTGACAGATGTATAACTAAATCTGTCGGCAACAGTTTTAATCATGGCAAGTAAAGCAAGCATTCTTTTTATGTTGTCAAAAGATATTTTTGTTTTGTCTTTATTCTGAAAGCAGCCAGATGTTTCCAATAATAAAATTTCCAAATCATATAATTCAATTACCCCTGGCCTCGATATGTGTGCCTTCAGCAACAGTTACCTTATCTCGTTCCCTGCGAAATCTACCCGCTTCTACTGATTATAGCATTGCTACTGATACTCTATGTCTTCGTCCTAAACTTGTTTCTGAACTTTGTTGCTCTCCTCGTTTAAGCCGTCGTTTCCTAGCATTGGTCCAACAGAAATTCATCCATCTCCAACCTTTTTTTTTGTCCCCTCAGGACTGGCTAGTGTAGGTCTCAATCCTTTTACTCAGGTTGATTACAGGCTGGTCAATGTGGATCCCTTTTTACAACTTCTAGGCTTTTCCTTTCCAATTTGGTCTCAGTCTCTGCTCTCCTCCAAGATGTATCGTAAACACTGTCGTCCCCCCAACCCAAGGATTACTTTACCGTCAATACTCTGTTCGGCCTTTTGGCGCTTTCCTCTCACCCATGCTGGTCGTAACGTATGGTTTCGGGTACTACATCACAAGATCCCCTCTCATTTTCTGTTGAATCAACTAATTCCGGCATACTTTGACTCTCCATTATGTGATATATGTTCGATTGAGGATGATTCTCTCAGCCATTTTCTTTTTCTCTGCCCTTTAAAGACTTCTGTCTGGTCATGGAGCCTTTCTTAATAGAAGCTGTTCATATTGCCTTATTCCATCTTCATTTTCCTGGTGTTCGCCCTGACTGTTCTATTACTGATGCTAGTGTTATTATTTGCTCCTCTCTTCTTGCTATCTGGCGTAGTCATTGGGCCTATATCTTTGACTCTGTCCTTTTTATCTCGTCTACTACTATTGCCTCTGCTACTCATTTGATACAACAATATCTAAAAGAAGCTCTCTATAATCAAGGCATTTCACCTCTCCTTTTAGTTATTACTAATATATCACTCAGCCAAAGCAAACACCCCATCAGCACAAAACAAAACCTTAAAAAAACAATAACCCGTGACTTGATAATATTGTCATCTAATAAACAAAAAAATGCATCACTTCTAAAGCAACTTTTTTCCCTTTAATAAAATGCTCGACCTGAATAATAAAGTTGTTTTGCCAAACAAAAAAGAGATCGAATTCTTTAAACAAAACAACTTGTCTAACTGGAATTTCAAAGATTTTATGCAGCATTGTCAACTTAAAAATCGCATGTCCTTAAAAATTGATAAAGTAATTAGTCAGTATAAACTATGTCTCAACAACATAAAGCAATGTGTACAAGACGACGAAGTGAAAAGATATGTCGAAAATTTATCAGAGGAGGTCAATGATAAAGTAATGTTGATTGTCTTTTCTTTGTAGTATGTAAGATGCTAACGTTGTTCAAAATAGCCCACTGAAGACCAATTAAAAACTACCGTCAACAACTTCCATAATGTCAACTACGGAACTGCTACCGTAATGGAAGCACATGGCGCAGTAAAAGTTGAACAAAACAACAAGAAAAGAAAAATTGCTGAAGATCCACAAACATCTTCAACAGAGGCACAATCGGAAGTATCACCAACAACACATTCTGGTCTATCTTTATCGCCAGAACATTACAGTATTTCACTTTATGATTCGTGGGAAGAAACAGTAAGTATACAATGGCTTTGAAAGAAAAGAATCCGTATATAATTTCTATTTTTTTTTTTTTTTTTTTTTTTTTTTTTTTTTTTTTTTTTTTACCGCTGATAGGAGAGTGAAGAAGAAATAGTAGTAGAAGAAGATATCGAGATGAATGTCTGGGATATATGGAAGAAAATCCTTGACACTATGCAGAGAGATGGTGATATCGATAAGTATAGGTATGCATGAAATTAATTTAGCTCGACATCTATATTGAACATATCGTTTTATTATAGCTTGGAACATTTAAACATTGTTCAACTTGGAAACAAGCTTGGTTCCAAGATAACACGAGAATATTACCCCAAAAATTTAATCAAAAAAACTGGACTCACACCTGAAGAGATACCTTGCTCATTCGCTGAAGATAATGAATTCTACAATAACATATTTGATACTATTGTGAGTAGAAATATCAACTAGTATTGTAAAATAGTGATATCCATTAACACCCCAAGTGTTTGGTAGGCTCTTTCGGATGAGTTTTCCTCAAATGAAGTACTGGTCGAAGCGGCCTCGCTTGTATTTAAGTCAAACAATCCATTCATGAAATTTTTTCATACCGTTCTGCAGTCATTGTAAGTCTTTAATCGATCATTCAGGTTCTGTAGCGTCTATTTAACTTTCCTAATTATAGCGTCAGTGGGTTGTTTATTGATGATAGTGATGTTTACAACAACGAAATAAGTTATAACTACTATATTCTATGGCCAATTCTGAACTCGTTATCAAAATCAATTCAGAAGACTAAGTTTTCATTGGGTGAAAAGAGATTAGAAGCTGTATCCCAGGAGCTAAAGTTGATCCATAATGACAATTGGCATTTCTATAATGCTGATGGTATCATTTCAAATATAGAAAATAAGATTGAAATAGCAATCTTGGAAACAACAGGCCCTTACTTCAACAAAATGACCCAAAGGAAACTCAAGATTATATCAAGGCTGGATACGGCCTTGTTGCCATGCTGCATGTCATCGGGCGAAAGTTCCACTATGGTGATTTTGAAATTTTCAAAAAAATTGGCTCTTTTTTATTCAGGCGACACGTTTGTATTTTCTCTTTTCTTTAAAGACATATCCGCTAACGTTTTATTTTATGGTGTTTTTCAGCAACAAAGATCAGGATTTGGAGAGCATTTATGCCAGCAAGCAAGGTTTATGTGATCAATTGTATTGGTTCAGTCGAAGTGCCAACAGAATCAAAAACGTCAGAGGAAAAATTGAGAAAATTGATTGATCTATTTTGGTTCTTAAGAGTAAGATATACTTGATCCATATTTTGACATTTTATTTATCATTAATACCTTTTGTTAGCAACTAATTAACGAATCATATCAAGCCATCGATGAGCTACAAGGATCACACATTGATAATATGAAGAAAAAGGCTAGGAAGTTGGAGGGGCACGAAAAAGTAACAAGTTTGTGTGGCAACTTCAAAATAAACACCCTAGTCAAATTGCCACAGATTTGCATCAAAAAATCAAGTCATTTGCAAATCAATAGCTCACCATTAGACCAGACAACAGTAGTTAGATAATTAGGGCATATCTATCGCTAGTTTTCCATTAAAATAACATAGTCTACTATATTCGCTTTATACTTGGAATATTTCAAAGTTATTTAATTAAAACATACATGTTAACTTGTAGACCAAGTAGGGATAAATGGATTTACATATAACAGATATTTGTTATTTCGATACTGGCGTTAAAAAAAGGTTTTCTGTTTTAACAAATACAAACATCTTTATTTATTATATGCCATCAAAATGAGTATTTTCAAGACAATTAAGAGTGGCGGAAGCCATACAGAAAGTAAGATCAGTATTGCAGTACTTGAAGCTAAATACAAAAGATATTGCTATGCAAAGGCGAGAAGGAAACTAACTTGTCACTACAGAATTGCAGATACTGAACAACTAGAAAAAAATAGTTAAACATTATATTGTTACCAGAGTTTTTTTTGTAATTTCACTATAATTTTTCAAACCGTTTCGAAGATTATTGTCAACCTGGATTCTTTAGAGGAAAGAGACCGGGAGCATCTTCCAAAGTTCCTCGATACTTGCGGTTCTAGGAAAATGCTCCTCAATATTGGTCTACTTATCGTGAAAGCCAAACAATGACAATATTAATCATACCACCGACAGATTAACTGAAGAATCTAATGAAAGCCAAAACAATGACAATATTAAATCAGATCGATAACTGAAGAGTTATTGTCAGTGAGACTTCAAGTTTAGAGGATTAAGCAGAGCGGTGTTCCTATCTTAGTTCCTGATCCGTCGAACACGCATGCTTCAAGTCATTGGCATTGTAGGAATAATATGGACAGTAATTAATATTAGACGTCACTAAGTATGACGTTAAAATTATTGTCCATCAAGCCAAAGTACTCAAAGCGAGTGGGAAATCATGTTCCATTGAGTTACCAAACGACAACTAAACGGCAATCTTTCAGTTAGCATTGAGATCCGCGTATTTTTCTGAAATTCATATTTTTTCACAGACAATAACTGCATTGTAATGCTCTCGGTTTAGAAAAGAAAATACAGTGTTCCAAGAAGTAATGCACTGAAAATTATGGCAAAAAAAAATCAATCGGCGCGACAACAATTTCTGGAAGAACTATACGTAAAAATAAATGCAAAATGTAATTTTTTCTAAAAAACAGCCAATAAAATTTATCCGACTTTGGGTACTTTCAAATTCAGACTTTTTTGTAACATTTCAGTATTCAGTCAATTAGTATTCCTTAAGTTAGAGGATCTCAACTTTAATTCTGGATAATTTACTACACTTAACTCGTTGATGAAAAGCAAACTTCACTTAATCACATTGGGCAGCTTCTGCACTAAAAGGCCATACACTCTTGCTTTTTTCGATTGATCTGGTCAGCAACTAGTAGTTTGTAGTTGATGGCTCGCTGCAAACAAACCACTAGATCTGCCTATTTCTCAATGGAGAAAGGCTAGTTGCTGGCTGGATCTGGTAACACAGCTCATACAAATTATGCAACTGGGATAAATTGCACAGATCTTAAAGTTCTGGTTTCAGATTCATTTATTTGTTCATTTTTATTGCTAGACCTTGTGAATCCTTGATAGGTTGTCAAAAATGACATGACCCGTTTGTAGCTTTCCCACCGTGATATCGTAATTACCTCCTTAACCCTTACTCATAACTGTCATAGTTGTCCTTCCTTAAATTATATGCATAATTGACATCTACCAACTTAACTCTAATATTATATCTTATCATTTCTCGTAGTTATAGATCATACTTATTCATTCTTAACATCATTCTTTAAATCATTTTTTTATAAATCCCATGATTATTATCAATAATCAATCAAGTTTAGACTCATATGTAAAAACCCTCCTATAGTTATCATTTGATATCTATCTTTATTTGTCTTGTCTTTTTTGTTGCATTATAAAGTTGCTTGTTGTACACCAAATGATAGCAAGAAACTTAGGGTTATGCATGCATAGGTAAGCAGATTGAGCCTTCTAACAGGTATAAAGGTGCATATATGGATAGATAGAATCTATAAGAAAAATATAAAGGTGTTAAAAGTGATGAAAAAAAAAAAGACTTGTCTTGTGAAACTCTTCACCAAAGCTCAATCAATAAGGCCAATAGTTGCTTTGCTTTTAAACAGCAGTTTAGTTTTGGCTGTAGATAAAAGAGGACAAGGGTTGCTTTGGAATGACAGAGCGATTATTGATTCGTAGACAATGTTTTCTCACATCAGTGACGACCAAAAGACATGTTTACATGACTAGAAGAGAAAAACAATTCTAACCCATCATGTCTTATAAAAGGCTTGTAGTCTTAGCAGCAAAGCCAAGATTTGTCTGTAGTTCCTCGCACAAGCAATATATATATTCTAACAGCCCATAATAAGGAAATGCTTTTCTAGCATCAATAAATATACTACAAGAGAAAGTATAGTTTTGTTTATTTTATTTTATTTTACTTTTATCTATAGATTCTCTCAGCTCTTTAACAATCTTCACTTTCAAAGGAAACATGCTTGATAGTAAACAATCGAATCAAAGCAAAGAAGTATGCATCTAACAGCTTTATGACAGGGCTATTTTATGATACTGCTTATCTTTGATATCGCACTATAGGACATATAGGCTTAAGACTAAACACGCACATACACACACACACACGCTTCAGCTACTAGCAAGTATTTGGATAAAGACTGCAACAGCCTCCACTCGAACACAAGACACACTTACCTATCCCCATACTAGCACTTGTGCACTCGGAGACCAAAGCTTAGAAAATCTCTGTAAATAATCAACAATCCTCACTCTACTGATATTCTGATTTCTGCTCGATAACCTCATCAGCTTGCTCAGATTCACTATATGGCTGTGTTGTGAATATCAAAGCTTCTTCTTCTTCTTCTTTTTTGGGTAGTGGCTCCTGATTTGCACCAATACAACCCTCTCATTTTAGCCTCTGTATCTCTTGTTGTAAGCAGTAGTGGGCTTTCTTGTTTTACAATCAGGACTCATCTTTGATTAGATCTTGTCACGCTGTCTTTAACACACTATAACACCACGCTTCGAGTTTGTGTAGTTGAAGTCTAGTGGCTAGAGTTTCCGTCTTCTTGTTCTTATTCTTATTCTTTCTACCAACTTGATCAGACAGTCATTACAAGTACTAATAAAGAGAAAAAAAAAAGCGATCTGCAGAGCAGAGAGCAACAATTTGTACGTAAGAAAAAGAAAAGAAGAGCGGAATTTAAAATACCTGATCTCCTTTTTACATGCCATTCATTGTTCATCGTGTCGTAAGCTGCCTTTTCGATCTCAAGACTGCCAATTATTGTAGCATGCCTTTCTCTTCTATGCCATGCGTAACAAATGGCGCAAAAAAAAAGAGCTCATTTGATATTTGATATATACTAAAATGAATCTCTTTTCAACCAATTACAGTGTGCAACAAACTTTGAATGCAGATCTGAAGACAGTGCTCAAATTAAGTCGACTTTCTTAGCTGTGTTTTGAGCGTTTTTGCTCTAAATATCATATAGAATGTGTTGGAGATGAACTTTCAAAAGACATCTTGAGCTATCTGAGTGCTATCTGAGTGCTATCTGAGTGCTATCTGAGTGCTATCAAAGCATATAAAAGTAAGAATATAGGTACTTTATAATATGAATGAGGGAGCAAGTGGACATAGGACATACAGGATGGTTATATGTGGAGATTGAAATAGAATGATTCCAGTTCTTCCTCCCACCGCATAAAGACGCAGCTTTATGGCTTTGGTGTAGTGATAAAAGCTGCAGAACTTTGTTTTTTGAGCCTTTCTGTATAAAGAACACGATAAACTTGCTGTTAAAGTAATGAGTAAACAGGCAAAAATGTTTACAGGGTTTGTCATCTATATCTCCTCAACTCTATAGTATAGTTAGCAAACAAGTACATTCATTGCGAACTAGAGCCTTTGGCACACATTTTGAGTGTCTATGCTTGTTGGCAGCTTCATTTTTGTCTTGTAGCGTCAATAAGAAGCTCCAAGTAGCTGTCAGCTCGATAATCTTTGTGAGTAGTATCCTTTGGATCAGAGTGATTTTCGGCCATTTAAAGCATTTATATGAGCATAAACAGGCTCTATGCTACCTTTATATGTCTATAAAAAAACAGGATTTGTATGGATTGTTATCATTTATGTTGTTGAAGCATTTCTCGTCCTGGAGACTTTGTTAAGCAAGTAATCAAAGCGATATTGAATTATTTCTTTGAATAGAATATACTATGGAGAGCACACTTGATCCGCCTAGATCAAAGAAAGAGAATGTTTGCTTATAGAAAAATGTTAAAGTGTTAATGAATGAATTTGGCTCATAGTTTTACGGCTCGTTTTTTTCTCTCTCTCTCGTACATCGGCGTACATTTACTGCTTATTTTTTTTGTATTCCATTTTGTGTATAAGCAACAGCTATTAGCTCCTAAGTAGATTGGCCTTGTTTTTATTTCATATTCTCAAAAAAGAAAAAAAAAACCTCTTTGACATTTCTTTATGCTCCAAAAAAAGACGTAATGATATTTCTGAATCATAACAGTTTGATCAGTTTACAACAACCAAGAAGCAAATGTATAAAAACAGCAGTTGGTCATTATTTCTTAGGGGACCTTGTGGACTAATCAAGATGATATGAATGATTGTGGATTCTTGATCTACAAATAAGCAAGCACTGTCTATCTCGTCTTCTTTGCGAATGTATTTATGCCTTTTTGTAGTCAATTGATCATTTTGCATAAAAAGTCTGTTTTTATATAAAGCTCTGTCTACTTAATTTACAGTGTCTATTGGTTTACACAAAATAATCTTATAGCAAAAGCATGAGTCTCTAGTCTAAGAATGTACTCAATCCAAATGAAAAAAGTAGCTCATGAAATGCGATTGATGCCCCCAAAAAAAATACTCTTTTGTCTCATGTATTGTAGCATTTGGATGTATTCGCAACTGTTTTTCACTGTTTCTGACTGTATGTTATTATTATTCTTGCTATTATTATCAGAAAAAGTGATCACAAAAAAATAAGAAATGTAACACTTGTTATGATACAAGACATAAATCGTGGACTAGTGCTAGCTTGATTCTTTCAAAAATGAATTTTATAGTCTTTTATCTCTAAGTACGCCGGTAACGTATGGTGATGTCTTGAATTTATAGCAACTATTGATTATGTTGATTGAGATTTATTGAAAATGTTTACAAGACAACTATTTCTAGTATGCTGTGAACTGTGAAGAGGTTTATTAACTTGTTGCATTAAGAGACTTGGTTCAGTGAAGTAACAATAGTAGTTTTGTGGTATTAGTTATGCTTTTGATATCAAATATCAGTTGATATACAGTAGACAGTAGACAGTAGACAGTAGACAGTAAGCAGTAAGCAGTAAAGAGAGCAAATTCGTATATAGCGCAAGCAACTTTGTGGTAGAATTCAGAGGATAAGCCTTATTGCTAAAGCTTAGTTCTGTTGGCTCTTTCCTCACAACAAACCTATCAGTGTTGACAAAGGGAAGCACAGGTAATGTTTGTGAACCCTTCTACCAATAATCCCTACAGGTCTACTATGTATCCTTCAAGACAATGCATAGTGCGTTTCCCTCTTTCGGTACTTTGCCTATCAGGAGTAGACGTTCGCGGAAGTTGGCCAACAACAGATACCCTTGTTTTACGCGATTCAATAAGCGACATCAGTCTTCCTTCTACCAGCCAGTTACTCACAGAGATAAAATCAGAGAGAAGGTTCTTGTCAATAAGGACGTTCTTTTTTTTTTTTTTCTTTTTTGCTTGTGTGTTCTTGTAGAGTACCCAGAAGACAGATAGACAAAAGAGAATCAGATGAATCAAGTATTGAAATGTATGCCAAATAGTCTCAGCCTTTTGATTTGTAAAGAAGAGACACCATAGTATTGCTTGACTTGAAGAGAGGTGGAGACCGAGACTAACAATATTAGCTACATAAATTTAATGCTACATAATACCTTTTTTTTGTTTTGCATTTAAGTCTTGAGAATGAAAAATAAGATGAAAGAAAGACCAAAAAAAAGATTTTTTCTGAACTCGCTTTTTATCATTTGCACTTGCTTTGTTCCCATGCTTTAGAGATGAGATCTTTTTGTTTATATTGGCTTCATTATGATGGCAGAAACAACTTTGTTGATTTGTGTAACTTTCAAAGATCAATTTGCTCACAAGTATGTAAAAACTATACAAGTCTATATGCTTATTGACAATGTATTATGGCACACAGACAAGATAGAATCTATCATTTATCACTATCTGAAAATATCGTTCTAAAGAGAACATAACGGATACTTTGTTCTTACTTGTATCACAAAGTAAATCGTTTGTTTACATTATGTTGATTACTAAACTGATAGTCGAAAGTAACGCCTAGGACCAGTCTATGATCTGTTTACATCAATGAATACGAGCTTTGTTACAAAAGAAAGTTTTTAGGGAAAAGCTACTAATTGTCACACGGGTTCGATATGATTTTTCCATGCAATAAGCGCATGGATTTATGGTAATACTTTTCAAGCTCATGCTAAACGTAAAAGAGAGACGAAAAGAGATATTTAATCATCAAAAATCAATAATAATCAATTATGATTTGTGTGAGAAATAAGCCTCCTTTTTGTGCTCTTTTCATTGTTGGCGTTATTTTTATCTTCACATGAAAGAAAAAGCGGAGAATGATTATAGTTTAAATCCTCTGTCCCAGAATGAATTCTGTATCAATTGATATCATAGACGAGTTTTATTATTATTATTATTATCAAACATAAAGAGAGAAACATTTAGTTCAATCATAGATGATCAGCTCATGTTATAGAAGAGAAAGGAGAGAAAAAGGATATTTTTACGTTTAAAAAACTGAAAAGTGCAGTGTCAATTGCATTGTTTATGCAAACAAACAGCTTTTGTTGTAGTATAGAATCAGATGCTCTTTCTTTCCTCTCACATAAACTGATACTTATAGAAAGAAAAAAAAGGAGATGAGTGTGAAAAAAGAAAAAGCGGATGGCATATAAGATTATAAAACACTTTTTTTTTTGGCTTTCAACTGCTCCTTCATAATCTTAGTTGAGTTGCTAGCTTGTTATATTGTTCTCTTGTTTCTTTGGTGGTGGCTCTGTATTGTTGTGTTCTGATGCCGTGTTCTAACTTGATGCTTTTGAGGTAAGTTTTCCCTTTATGTATATAAGTGTATGCACTGGATCCTGTGTGCTTGTTACAATTAAAGACTACGCTTTTTTGTCAGATGTTATGGCATTTCGATGAGGAATTGTATAGATGTTGTCGCCAGTTAGCAATGACAATGACTGTTCGTTTTTGTAACGGGAGTGTCTCTGGAGATCTGACAAAACTGTCAAATTGCAGAAGTTTGATAGGGTATAGAAGTGCAATTCGATTGCCTTCACACAGCTGTTCCTGCGAATAACTTCTAAATGAAGTGAAATCAAAGATCGGCACTATTTATTTTTTAGAATGAATACAACGGTACTCTCTTTTTTAATAAATATCGTATTTAATATTAACAATATGCAGAACGCAATAACGAGAAACTGCTGTAAATATATGCATATGCTAGGATAGATGAGTTGAATAAATATTATAACTAAAACTCAAACTCTGGTGGTTAGATATGCCTAAATGGACTACATAATCTCATGATAAAAGACATCCACAGACAGTGATGCTTAAAGATACCCTCTTTGACCTCAGAAGTATTTGTACTATTGTGAATCTTACTCGTGCACATTTTGTGCATCAAATAATGTAAGAAGAGGTACCATTTTACTAGCGATATCACTGAAAAGGCCGTTTTTCTACAATTACAGTGTGCACAATTTGTAAATTGATTTCAAACTGCACTTAAATTCAGCTGAGCAAAGCTGCTGATGAAGATGTATATTTTGAGTATCAATGTTCGTTTATTTCTCTCAAAAGATGTATTTCCGAATAACAAGAGTAACAACAAACGAAAGCAACCCAGCAATCAAAGCATCTAGCCACAAAGGAGGAGCAATAGTTGTACTGGTTCCCATGTCGTTCCATGGCTATTGGTTCAGGTACGATTTGGGCTCCTTGTACTTGAACATATTGAATGGACGAACTGTTCCAACTTAATCCAAATTATCAGTAAACTATGCATGGGCTACTCTTTGGAGCATGAGTGTTAATTTTATGAGGATTAAAAGAGCAATGTAACAAGCATACCTGTTATTCGAAATCTTAGAAATTCTTGTTCTAAAACACTTATTGATGTGTTTGGTTGAAAAAATCGACTTAGATGAGCTTGTACTAGTTCTACAATAAGTTTATTATAAATATGATGATGGTAGACAATGGGCAGGCAATAGATGGCCAAACAGGTAAAGAATAGACCCATAAAAAACATTTGGTCTGCAGTATATATGCCTGTCCTTTTTGTTTGTTCCTATACTCACAGTCGACCTCTAAAGCTGAAATTCTCAAACCATTTTAGGCGGTACCGGTAGAGTTAATTTGATAGCCAAATAGTGCCTCATATGGCTCCTTGCACCAATCTGTTCTTATCTCGAGCCCAACGATCGATGCCTCCTGTCCTGATCTCTCCATAGATAAACTAATTTGTTCATACTTTTTTTTCATTGCGCTGCTACGCGATGACTCTTATTAAAGCTTCCAACCACCTCTATGCTTCTGAAGTCATGTTTTATATTATCATATTAATTAAGCTTTTGTAGGAGGTTTCCTACACTTAGTGTGGGCCATTGCATTATAAAAAGCGCTTCGTTCTCTAAATTTTCTATCGACATAGTTCGATTTAAGTCCTGCGTGAGCCATTCAATTAAGTGGTCAAAGAGCTATCAAATTGAACTATGCTGATAGATTTTAATTTGAGTTGTATATTAAACATAGATCACCTACTATATACAGTATACATACTTTTCATGCCGATAAATAGTATTTGAGCTTTGATTTCTCAATCAATACTGATCTAAATTTATTTATATTGACAGAAACTTCTAAAACGAGGTCGTCAAATACAGTGTTATCAGTATTTATGCTTTTGACTGGAGCAAAAGATTTGCTATTTGGGGAAAATAAATCATTTCGACATCTCAAAAGCTATGGGTTTAATCTTTGAAATGACAATCGTACATTGTAAGTTTGATGCAAAAATCGCATGCCATCATAAGGTATAATGTGCTTCATTTTTAATAGCCCAGACAGGTCTTTTAATAAAACATGCGATGAACGCCCTACTTGTCAGTTCTATAAACAGAAAAGCGTCCCCTTTTGCTTATTTTCTTTCTCTTTTGCTATGTGCTCATCCTGTGTGTTTCTATTGAGTAATTCGTTATTCTTTGCCCTTGAAGATAAGGGAAGTTTACTTGTCATATAAATCAATGCGGAATGTATTTCGTAATAGAGGACTTTGAATTGTAATCATTCCCAGTTCCTTTTTTTCTTTCCATGAGAAGATCATCCTGAAACAATAACAAACTTTCTTATTCATATGAAAATGTCAATAACCAAAAGAGCAAAGAAGAGTTTAGCTGTTAAAAAAGAAAGAAAGAAAAAGAAAGAAAGCTATTTTACACACAAACTGAAAGTACTGATTACTGGTGCCTAAAGATGAACTAACTATTGTCTTTTTGTTCCTTCTTTTTTTTACCTTGAGCACAAAAAGTATTTCCGTTGATCCGTGCACTATGCATACGTTTACCACATTTTAAATCCGTAGGACATTGGCTTACTTTTCCCTGAAAATAGACCCTGAAAAATTCGTCGCTTTTTCTTTTGTTTACTACAAAACTCATATACTGTATTGTATATTGCCTATGTCTGATCTTGGCCTAGCCTTGGTAGCGATGCGTAGTAGAACAATTGTCTTTTGCTGGAGATTTGTGAGTGTGATGGTTTGGTTATTGCACAAGTTGACCTTGATATACTGAATGACCACGTCAATATCCCATGTTTTCAATTAATGGTCTGCTGGTACAGGTATTGGTTGATTTCGTTTGGAGCTGAAAAAACCTTGGATTGATGGTCGGTAAGCAATAAGTTCTTTGTTAGGATGGATGCTAAATTGCATTTATTCTGCTATTTTCTGAGTACCTATAGATGATGGTGATAACTTGGCAAGTATCTGTCTTCCACTTCTTAAGTTTAACAATAAGTTCCTTGTTGATTTGATATTACTTGTTCCAGTTGTCGTTCTTGTATTTGGCGACCTATCTTTTAAGTCTAATAAACTCTTCTTTGAACTCATATTTGTCGTGCTATCCGAATATTCTGATATTTACAATGGCAATTTTGAACCATGTCTTTCTTCATCTTTCCTGGTTTGCTCTTCGATTTGCAGTCTTTTGAAAAGTGCAAGCGCGTCTGCTGCAGTGAGCAATCTTTCTGGCTCATTATTGTTGATATCACTCGTAATTTATTCTGCGATGCGCGGCTTTGAAAGATATAAGGAAGAAAGGGGGTTTCAGGAACAATCAAAAATTGAATGCTACTTTCCAAAAAAAAAAAAAAAAAAAAAAAAAAAAAAGGGGACAAAAGGTTGATATCTGCTGAGAGAACCTACCATTTCATACTCTATTTTTCTACACATATCTTTCTACTCAAATTTGAGTTCCTTATTATTCAACTCTAAATTCTGACAGTTACTTGTGTCACAGAATACTTACTTTGAGTCCCAATTATTACTTTATATCACATCAGACTTTAGCACATATTGCTCATTTTACATTTAGTCAGCATAGCTTAATATGATCGTATCACTTTTACAGTGATTCATGAATTTATTATATTTGGGCTGTTATAATTGCACTTTTGCAAGTCCAACATGACCACTTAGAATAGATACAAATACTAGAACAATTCAATTTAAATAAAGACATCCATAATTTCATCTTAAACTTACAATCGTACTTTACTTGTATTATCTTTTACTTTAAACTAGACTGTTATTATATCATTCGTCTAACTGGGTACTTTGATCTTGCATTACATTTGATTATTGTACGTTATATTATATTGTATCTTTGTATCTCTTTTATTTATACAAATTACATAGTCGGACGACTTAAAATCTGGTGCTCATTACATATAACTTGCTGTCTATTGCTCTGTTATATTTACTGTTCTATATTTCTACAAGTTACTGAAATCTCTATCTTTGTCCTGTGGCACTAACAAGCACATCAAAGAACTTGAAAATCAGAGCAAGATACAAACTAGCCCAAGAGCTGTTCAAATGATCCTTGGTCCCTTCTCGACGATTGATAGTAAAGCAAAAGTCAAATTAGGCTTCATAACGGGGCTATCCAAATGCAACTCAAGGGGAAGCGTAATTAAGAATTATTCTTTGGAAAAACAAAAGAAGAACATCAAATCAGATGATATGTCGCTAACATCAGTCACCACAGCTCTCGAAATTAAGTAACTTCCTCATTCCAAATGAAACAGTGAAAGCACCTACCACTGAAAAAAAAAAAAAAAAACTATACTATATCTAAAAGATCTGAAGTTGGGAACTACTTTAGTGGACCTGGATGTTTCGTTTTCTCTGTAAAATGAAAGACCAATTAATTTAATTGGACTTTCATTTTCAGAGTAAATGCGGAACATCCAATCTTTTGCAAACATAGAATCAAAGCAAAAGACGTCTTTTTTTTCTTCTTTTTTCATAGAACTTGTCAGGCTTTTAATTTGATAGATTTGTTCATCACTTTTAACACCTTTATATTTTTCTTATAGATTCTATCTATCCATATATGCAACTTTATACCTGTTAGAAGCTCAATCTGCTTACCAATGCATGCATAACCTAAGTTTCTTGCTATCATTTGGTGTACAACAAGCAACTTTATAATGCATCTAATAAGAAAATAACACAAAGGCCATTTGTTCATGCATTCTTAATGGCAATCTCTTAAAGTGGCCAATCTCTTAAAGTGCCAAGGCAACAGATTGATTGGCTAAGCCACCTGACTTCGAATATGGTATTTTTATTTCCAGAAAAAATTTTTTCTTTTTCAAACCCTTGTCTTTTATTTTTACATTGTTGTCAAAATAAAGACCATATTGCTCAGGGTAACCAAACTCTTGTCTAGCTAACCTATGGAACTAAAAGAGTGCTACCTTCCAGCCGTGTAGCTGTATCTGTTCAGTGTTTTGCTTTTTTGGCGCTGTTTGGATATGACGTTGTACTAAACCTGTGTAACCAAAAGCTGGGACAATAGCGATTGTTTATACACGTACGTACTAATTGGCTGCAGAGATCAGGTTTTTGGGTTTACTGATTCTCAATACATAGATACTTGTACTCGGGGTACTTGTATACACAAAGGGAAAAAAGAATGCTATGTCGCCTAGTAGCATTCATGCATACAAAGACAGAAGACTAGCCATCTTTTGTCTCAAGATTGGGTTTAGCGTTGCCTGATATTCTGTTCAAGAGAGTGTTAGCTCTTGTTCAGAAAAGAATGCATTTGTTCAAGTCTGGTCAGCTTGTTCAAACTACTGCAAATACTTGTACTTCGGGGTACTTGTACATACAAAGGGAAAAAAAGAATGCGCAGTAGCATTCATACATACAAAGATAGAAGACGAGCTATCTTCAAACTACTGCAAATACTTGTACTTCGGGGTACTTGTATACACAAAGGGAAAAAAAGAATGCGCAGTAGCATTCATGCATACAAAGACAGAAGAGCCATCTTTTGTCTCAAATTGGGTTTACCGTTGCCTGATACTCTGTTCAAGAGAGTGGTTAGCTCTTGTTCAGAAAAAGAGATGCATTTGTTCAAGTCTGGTCAGCTTGTTCAAACTACTGCAAATACTTGTACTTTGGGGTACTTGTGCCGTTGTATTGTGTATATCACTTTGTTCTTAATTGAATGATAGTGATATCCAGTTCTACTTGGAAGACTAGGGTCCGCTTGGATTAAGTTCCGGTGGTCTGTTGTTCCTGTTATTTAACGGAATGCGTCCTTGACTTGTTACAAAGGGAAAAAAAGAATGCGCAGCAGCATTCATACATACAAAGACAGAAGACGAGCCATCTTCAAACTACTGCAAATACTTGTACTTCGGGGTACTTGTATACACAAAGGGAAAAAGAAGGCATGGTGTCACTTTCTAGGCTGAAACTGGTCTTTCTCTATCGACAAGGCTTTCTCTCAGGTGTCTCCAAGGTTACTCAGCAAGTCTCAAGGTCAATCAAGAATGGCTCTCATGGCTCAGTGGATATCTAGTAAGTATCTTCCAATGGTATTAAAAGTATAATACACTAAAGTCCTTTTGTTTAGGTGTTTGCAAGGCTGGTCATCAAGGTCTGTTACTGGTCCAAGACTGACTCTCTCCCTGGTTCTACCCTGTTATGGTTAGCAAGCTCAAGATCCCTAGTATACTCTACTTATGGTGGTGTCTAAGGCGTCTCCAAGGTTGGTCATCATGGTGTGTTACTGGTGCAAGACTGTCTCCCTTTAATTCTGGTTCTTTCAAGTGTTTCAAGGTATCCATTGAAGGACTCAACAGATCTTCGCAATGCCGTCTGCTTTCTTCAGCCTTGTCTGTTTGAGAGTCTGATCAGCTCTTATTGAAGCAAGAAGAGGGTTTGGTTAGGCTTGATCATCCTAATCAAATCCACAGTACACTGGTGTTTCTCTGTGGTTATGCTCTCCTTCCATAGATAAGTTTCAAATGAGAATGCATACCCTACTTACGATTTTTTTTCTCATAGGTATCCATCAAGGTACACTGGCTGTGTTTCTTTAGGCTAGCGAGCTTCAAGTTCTCAAGGTTTGTTCCACTCAAGCTGGTTTCTTAGGTGGCTGAAAGGTCATCCATCAAGACAAACAGTAGGTTCAAGACTCTCTCCTACACTCTCTGCATGGCTGTGCTTCTTTTGGTCGGTTAGTTTCAAGATGACAAAGGTTGTTCTACTCAAGTTGGCTTTTCTAGGTTTCTACAAGGTGATCAAGCAAGGCGTACTGCTGATTCAAGACTTTCCCTCTACGGTTGTGCTCTACTTTGGTCAGTGAGTTCCAAAGCAACAAGGTTTGCACTACTCACCGTATTCTGTAGGTATCTGCAAGGCTATCTATCCATGTTTACTGCTGGCTCTCGATCGTCTCTTCTTGGTTGCGCTTGGTTATGCTTGGCTGTGCTTGGTTGTGGTCAGCAAGTTCCACGATCACAAGGTTGTTCTACTCAAGTGGTTCCCTAGGCGCCTTCAAGGCTATCCATCAAGACATACCGATACCTCAAAACTGTCTCTCTTTGATAATGCTCTATCTTAGTCCGTAAGTTTCTAGATGGCGAAGGTTTACTCTACTTACATTGGCTTTCTAGGTATCTGCAAGGTCTTTTGTACAAGTATCACTGGACTTTCAAGACTGGTTTTCCTAGCTCTGGTTCTCTTTGGCCTTCCAAGGTGTTTGTTCAAGGCTTCAACAGGTCTTCATGGTGTGCGTTTCCTTCTTTGAGTCTTCTTGTTTCTGTTTAAGGGTCTGATCAGCTCTTATTGAAGCAAGAAGAGGGTTTGGTTAGGCTTGATCATCCTAATCAAATCCACAGTACACTGGTGTTTCTCTGTGGTTATGCTCTCCTTCCATAGATAAGTTTCAAATGAGAATGCATACCCTACTTACGATTTTTTTCTCATAGGTATCTACAAGGCTATCCATCAAGGTACACTGGCTGTGTTTCTTTAGGCTAGCGAGCTTCAAGTTCTCAAGGTTTGTTCCACTCAAGCTGGTTTCTTAGGTGGCTGAAAGGTCATCCATCAAGACAAACAGTAGGTTCAAGACTCTCTCCTACACTCTCTGCATGGCTGTGCTTCTTTTGGTCGGTTAGTTTCAAGATGACAAAGGTTGTTCTACTCAAGTTGGCTTTTCTAGGTTTCTACAAGGTGATCAAGCAAGGCGTACTGCTGATTCAAGACTTTCCCTCTACGGTTGTGCTCTACTTTGGTCAGTGAGTTCCAAAGCAACAAGGTTTGCACTACTCACCGTATTCTGTAGGTATCTGCAAGGCTATCTATCCATGTTTACTGCTGGCTCTCGATCGTCTCTTCTTGGTTGCGCTTGGTTATGCTTGGCTGTGCTTGGTTGTGGTCAGCAAGTTCCACGATCACAAGGTTTGTTCTACTCAAGTTGGTTCCCTAGGCGCCTTCAAGGCTATCCATCAAGACATACCGATACCTCAAAACTGTCTCTCTTTGATAATGCTCTATCTTAGTCCGTAAGTTTCTAGATGGCGAAGGTTTACTCTACTTACATTGGCTTTCTAGGTATCTGCAAGGTCTTTTGTACAAGTATCACTGGACTTTCAAGACTGGTTTTCCTAGCTCTGGTTCTCTTTGGCCTTCCAAGGTGTTTGTTCAAGGCTTCAACAGGTCTTCATGGTGTGCGTTTCCTTCTTTGAGTCTTCTTGTTTCTGTTTAAGGGTCTGATCAGCTCTTATTGAAGCAAGAAGAGGTTTGGTTAGGCTTGATCATCCTAATCAAATCCACAGTACACTGGTGTTTCTCTGTGGTTATGCTCTCCTTCCATAGATAAGTTTCAAATGAGAATGCATACCCTACTTACGATTTTTTTCTCATAGGTATCTACAAGGCTATCCATCAAGGTACACTGGCTGTGTTTCTTTAGGCTAGCGAGCTTCAAGTTCTCAAGGTTTGTTCCACTCAAGCTGGTTTCTTAGGTGGCTGAAAGGTCATCCATCAAGACAAACAGTAGGTTCAAGACTCTCTCCTACACTCTCTGCATGGCTGTGCTTCTTTTGGTCGGTTAGTTTCAAGATGACAAAGGTTGTTCTACTCAAGTTGGCTTTTCTAGGTTTCTACAAGGTGATCAAGCAAGGCGTACTGCTGATTCAAGACTTTCCCTCTACGGTTGTGCTCTACTTTGGTCAGTGAGTTCCAAAGCAACAAGTTTGCACTACTCACCGTATTCTGTAGGTATCTGCAAGGCTATCTATCCATGTTTACTGCTGGCTCTCGATCGTCTCTTCTTGGTTGCGCTTGGTTATGCTTGGCTGTGCTTGGTTGTGGTCAGCAAGTTCCACGATCACAAGGTTTGTTCTACTCAAGTTGGTTCCCTAGGCGCCTTCAAGGCTATCCATCAAGACATACCGATACCTCAAAACTGTCTCTCTTTGATAATGCTCTATCTTAGTCCGTAAGTTTCTAGATGGCGAAGGTTTACTCTACTTACATTGGCTTTCTAGGTATCTGCAAGGTCTTTTGTACAAGTATCACTGGACTTTCAAGACTGGTTTTCCTAGCTCTGGTTCTCTTTGGCCTTCCAAGGTGTTTGTTCAAGGCTTCAACAGGTCTTCATGGTGTGCGTTTCCTTCTTTGAGTCTTCTTGTTTCTGTTTAAGGGTCTGATCAGACCCTTAACAGAAACAAGAAGAGGATTTAGTTAGGTTTGATCACCCTGATTAGATCCACAATATGTTTGTGCTGTGTTTTTTTTTACTAGTGTCTCCCCTCTCCTTCTAACTTGTACTTTTCTTTTTTGTTGTCTTTGTGTTGTATTTACAGATAGATTAGGTGCTTTTCTCCGTTTATGCTGTTCGTTTAGTTCATGTTTTCTCGTTTCCAAAGAAGCTATAAAAAGCCCTCTCTTGTGTATACTCTACAAGCATTGAGGTGTTGATTAGCCAAAGCTTTAGGTTTTTTTTCTTTTTGTCTTACTGTCATGCTCAATGTTGATCTTAGGTATTCCTCAAGCTTAGTGTTTGTTTCTCTTGTTTTTCTTTTCTTTTTTTGGACTGAAGAAGGTTTTGTCTGGTGTCTTTAATGTAAGTAATAGTTGTCTTTTTCTTGTTTTACAGTCAGTGCTTGTGGTTGACTAGATCTTGTGCTTGCGCGTTGTCTATTCATCTTTAGTTATTGGCAAAAACAGTCTTAAATAAAATTAATGGATTAAATCCACTCACGTCTGCTGAGATTGAATAAGCTAAAAAAAAACCCCCATTTGAAGGCCTTGATAAAATAGCGCTAGCAATAAAAGTGATAATTATTCATCATACTTTCTATCCATCTTATTTATCAAATGGCAAACAACAACTGATTAAATATAAGCTTTTCTTAGGTTAGAAAGCAGTAAAAGATTTCTTTTTATTGGTTTGTTTTGTTTGTGTTATGCAATTGAACAGTGATACGCATCGTATTGTCTATCTCTTTAAAACGCGTAATGCCCTCTTGAAGATTAACTTTTCTTTGCTCATATTTGAATACAACAAGGAAATAAATTGTTATCTATGTATACCTCTTTAAAGAACAAAAAGTAGAGGTCTAAACAATGATATCAGTATGATTATGTCCTCTTTCCTCCTTTTCTTCTTCTTTTTTTTTTTTCTCTTCTACTCTCTTGGCCTCGTATGCAAATTACTAGCCTCTTCTCATCCATCAAGGAGGTAAGATAATTATTCTAAAAGACACGTTTACTGACTCTCTTATAGGGAACCACTTGTTTCCGTACAGTGATGTTCCAAATGCCCTCTTCTTGTCGGCGATGGCATCCATTCGGCCCTGAACTACGCAGAGCCAGTTTGAGCCGGTTCATTCGGCTCTGAACTACGCAGAGCCGCGTGGGCTATGAAAATCAGCACATTGGAGGGTAGCATGATGGCTTTGGTCTTTTGGTAAGTTATATGCTTGAAAGCTTTTTTTTTAATCATCATTCTAGTTACTTGTTTCCTGGTTCATCAAGGCTCTCTTTCTATGGCTTTACTCTTCTGGTTCTATTTCTGGCTCTATTTTGTATTTGGTGAATCTTTTTCAAACCTCTTCTTCAAAATAATTGCCTCTTCCTAATAAATGAAATTACTTACACATCATTAAAAAAAAATAAACAAGTCATTTTTCCTTCTTTTCTTATCATATATAATCATGATAAATCATTAATGTGCTTATGCTTCTGTATTATTCAAAACTGCTATGTTTAAATTGAATTCGGGTAAAAGCTAGCATGTCTATGAAATAAACAGGTTTTCAATATGAGACAGACCTAGGTGTGCTTCTTTTTTTTTTTTATCAAAAGAAAAGACGAAAAAGACTACACAGTGCGTTTTTTAATCCTTCTTTACTTTCATCTGCTCCTTTTCTTTCTTAGAGCCATTTGTTATGAAGTTCTTTAACCAATTCACATTAAAAGTAAGCCTTAGCTTTGTGTGATTTAACATGCGAATAGTGAGTCAAAGGATATCAGTAGAACAAGCATCAACATAAATATATATATATATATATATATGCATAAGCGTTCTCCAAAGGACTTGGGTAAAGTAAGTAAAAACTATAGACCGCGATATATCTACTACTAATGATGACAATACTACTGCAAAAGAGAAAAACAAAGTACATCCAATCTTTTGAACAAACATAGAATCAAAGCAAAAGACGTCTTTTTTCTTTTTTTTTTCTTTTTTCATAAACTTGTCAGGCTTTTAATTTGATAGATTTGTTAATGATTTAAACAGTGACGCAGTCTATTAGTTTGCTGCAGACAAGGACCAGTTTTTATTTTGATGGGATGATTATGTGTATGTGTATTAGAGTCTTAGTTCATTAAAGCGATGATGGTAGTTTTGTGGTATAGTTTAAGTTGTCAAGTAGTAAAGAGCAAGCATTGCGCAGTGGGTAGCAGGCTTTTTGTAGTAGACAGTAGGCAGCAGATCTTTATATAGTACTAGCCGTATCATATTGGTAACCTTGTAGTAGAATTCAGGGGATAAGCCTTATTGCTAAAGCTTAGTTCTGTTGGCTCTTTCCTCACAACAAACCTATCAGTGTTGACAAAGAGAAGCACAGGTAATGTTTGTGAACCCTTCTACCAATAATCCCTACAGGTCTACTATGTATCCTTCAAGACAATGCTGATGCGCGTTTCCCTCTTTTGGTACTTTGCCTATCAGGAGTAGACGTTCGCAGAAGTTGGCCAACAACAGATACCCTTGTTTATGCGATTCAACAAGCGACATCAGTCTTCTTTTTACCAGCCAGTTACCGATGAAGATAGGAGCAGAGAGAGGGTTCTTGTCAATACGCCAGTTTTTCTTATTTACTTGTTTTTGTTGTGTAAGAGAAAGCAAATAAATAGAAAAAGTCTCAATAAATTGTGCATTGAATAGTTTGAGTCGTTAGATTTGTAGAGGAGAGACGCCCTAGTATTGTTCGATTTGAAGAGAGATGAACAGAGAGACTAAAAGTATCAGTTACATGAACTCAATGTTGTATGTATTTCCATGTGAATACACCAAACGGAAAAATTATTCGCGCATTTCTGAAAAGAAAATTTAGCGTAGTATTTGAAAAAAAAAATAGCATGCTTGTGTATGCGCAAAATGCGTGAGTTTATTAAATAGGTCTGCGTTGAAGGCAATCTTCAAATTTGGCAGCAGAGTATCTACAGAAGCCTTTAAGATTACTGTACAAAATTCTATTACAAGCATCTGCAATTCTCGAAGTCAATGTCTCCTCTTCCAAAAGCTGTTCCCTCTTGAGTTTGCTTTTGCAAACCGACCAGAATTGCTCAATGGGATTAAGCTCAGGCGAGTAAGGGGGGAGGTACACGCACTTATAGCCTCGGCCCTCAATGAGATTCTGAATATCTTGATGCTTATGAATAGGAGCATTGTCCATGATCAAATAATGGCCACGGAATTCCTCATGACGATCCATGACATCCAAAACACTACTGATGAAATTGAAGTAATGTCCAGTAACTGTACCATTGTTACTGGCCACGTTTGCATTCGAACCTCCTGCTGCTTTTCTTTTCTTTGATGAGGGTAATGCTCTTGGTCTTCTTACACTAATGTTAACAACACCAAAAGGCGAGATGGCACCCAAAATGGTAGTAGTTTTTGCTCTTGTTTTGGGCACTTTCACGCTCGCACGCTCGCCTTCTTTGGACCAAGAGAAATTTCTCTTAAGGTTGATATGGAAAGCAGCTTCGTCAATGAACACACAGTTGCTAGTGAAGTCCATATCTGTTTTCATCCATCTCTTCACCCACTGATAGCGCTCTTCGATTTTTTCAGGGCTGTTTCTCTCGAAAGCTTGGAAACGAGCCTGCTTGAAGGTAATCTTACACTTATCCTTGACAAACTTGTTGAAACCGCTTTTGCTGATATCGAGTTTGCCAAATTTTTCTGTCAATACGTCAAGCATGTCGTCCAATGTAACGGAATTTGTGTTCTCGTCTGCCCATTCGATCATGAAATCTCTGTGCTCATCAGTTAAAATGGGCGGTCTGCCTACAGGTCTTCCACTGCCTGTAGCCCTTTGGATATACTCCTGAGGATCTTTGTTGTTCTTGGCTACCCAGCCTTGTGCTGTTCGAACATTAATGTTGAGGGCCAAGGCAGCAGCACGAACACTCATTCCTTTTTCTTCGACAAGAAAAAAAAAGCTTTTCTTTTTCAGCATCCTTGTAGTGCTTATATGCTTTTGTCCTCGCAGGTGTTTGCTTCAGCTCTGCAGGTAACTCGGCTTTCTTTTCGATCCCTTTCTCGGGAGGCTTTAAATCTGTGTATGTATCGTAGTCTGTTACGCTTTCGACTGGATACATCTCGTTGTCAATTTCCATTTCAAACTCTACAACTTTGTTTCCTTCAATATCATCTTTTTTTCAGAAATGCGCGAATAATTTTTCCGTTTGGTGTATGTGAAAACTTTTTTTGAGATGGTACCGTAAACGTCATCATATTTTGTTTTTTTTTTTTTTACTTTTCATCACATCGTTAAGCCTTATAAAAGTCCAAGAGGACGCAGCCATCTTTGTTCTTGGTTAATAGAGATAAAAGTCAGCCTCTCAGGAGTAGGGATGGATACCTGTGACTTTTGGTGAGGTATGCAATCTGTTGGCGCGGGCTTGCTGACGGGTTGTTCAAATGTCTAGGTAAATAAAAAAAAACACTCTGGTTTTACAAGGTACGTGTATATACAAGACAAATTCAAGTATAAATATTAATATTTACTACTATAAAATGAATGTATGAGGAAATAAGATTTAGGTAAAGCTTTGATTAGTACCCTTTGGATCAGAGGCGGTTTTGGCCAAATTTTACAAGTCGCTTTCTTTTTTTTTTTGTCCAAATCAACCCTAAATGTTAGTAAACATAGTTTATAGGTATTTAGAGCATTTATTCAAACAAAAATAGACTCTATGCTACCTATATATGCCTAAGAAAAACCATAAAGATTTGCATGAATTGTTGAAGTATCTGTTTGCCTGTTATTTCAGTTATACGAATAAGTAATGCCATCATCCAAACTGCTTATTCAAACAAAACATCTTATTAAGCCAGACTTGATCCATTGAGTCTGATGAACCGAGCCTTAGTCGGCTTCATTTTTGTGGCATTGAACTAGTCGATAAGTAATCATCTTATTAGAATAAGCAAAGTTATTTTGTAATAAAAAAAAACCAGCCTTATTGCTCTCACTATCGCACCTTATTTAACCTCCTTATGGATGCTGCTACTGATTCTATACACCTACATTGTCACTTCCCCCGCCCCCTCTCGTATTATTATTAAACAAGTTTATATAGATCATAATAAATTATGTATTATTCCACAGAAATAGCTGGTAACCGTTTGGATGCTCTTCTTTCAATTTCTGCTTTTTTCATGTATTTCTATGGACTGAATTAGCTTACATCGTACTCGAATGATCATTACCTTAAATTCAAAAGAAGGATCAGGTTGAACAAATGGATGAGCAAGGAGTTGTTCTGCTGTAGGTCTATCTTCAGGATTACTATTAAAAAAAAACAAGTCAGTATATCCTATATTGCATTGAGTATGATTTCTTACATGATAAAACATTGAGCAAGGAAATCTTTTGCATATTGACTTAGATCTTCAGGTATAGGAGGTGCTTGATATTTACCAAGACTATAGAGTGCTGCCAGCATGTTTAAATCAAGCCAAGGATGATTGCCTGTCAACATCTCAATCACAGTACACCCCAAACTCCAAATATCCACTTTAGCATTGTAATTTGTGCCTTTCACTACTTCAGGTGCCATCCAGAACACAGTTCCTCTCATGACAGAGTTGTTTGAATGAGGATCATAAGCCTTGTCTTGTCCACTGAGTTTAGATAGACCAAAATCAGTGATTTTACAAACACCATGTTGGTCCAGCAAGATATTACCTGCTTTGATATCCTAATAGAAACTCAGTTAGACTGTCTTTCATATATAGTAACTTACTCGATGTAGAATGTTTCTGTTATGAAGATAAGCAAGACCCATCAGGATTTGTTGTGTTAAGAAACGCACCAAAGGTTCTTCAAATTTACCCGTCTTTAAAAGACAAGAAGCAATACTACCACCAGGCACATATTCTAAAAAGATATTGATATGACCTTCTTCTTCATCCATATCATAACCCAAGTATTGAACAATATATTCATTATCCAAATCCTCCAACAAAGAAATTTCTCGAAACAAGGCATCTTTCATTTCTCTCATTTGTGGGTTAGCATAATCAGCTTTTGTAGAAGGCAAATCAACTTGTTTGACAGCAATCCATTCACCTGCTTCCACATTCAGTGCATGATAGACTCGACCAAAGGATCCCTTGCCAATCAATTCACCACGAATCCATTGTAATTTACGCGACTTGGGCTTACTGTCTGTCTGGAGCTTCATGCCTGGCTTGACTTGTTCCACTGCACGATGCCACATTTTCGTGCTACGTCGGCGCATCAGATTATTATTGGCACGGATCACATTGACTGCATTACGCCAATTGCGATGGGCTTCATTGGCTACATGACGGATTGATTTCTTGTGGCCACCCAAACGGCGACCTGGGGGTAAAGCAGTCACCATGGTAGCACCATCCACACCGGGTGTTGTCATGACAGTGGGTGTAGGATTAGGCTGTGTTGAATCCACAATGATTTCTTTGTCTAGATCATGACCAGGTAAATACTTATCAATGTTGCGATAAAGACGTTCGACTGTAGGACGTTCAGCCCAGTTTTCTTCATCACTTGTCATGCCAGAAGGAGAAGAGAGAGGCGTTGTGCGATCCTCTACAGACGTATCAATGGATAATTGCTGAGCTGAGTGCGTATGGTGCATATTGGGTGGATCAGATAAATTGATGGATTCAACCCCTTCTTCTATCGCAGGCGCACTTGCCACACTCTCATTGTCTTCATCTGCAAATTGAACACCGCGTGTCTTCTTGATACTGGGATGTAAGTTTAAATTCTCGGATCCAAACTGAGGTGTAGTAGGTGGTGGAATTGCCCATAAACCTTGTGTGTCTTTTTTCACAGAGTCACTTTTAGTGGGTTGTGGGTGGACTGCCCATAGTGAAGGGGAATCATGCGTCGTTTCACTTTTGGAAATGGTGGGTTGAGGAGCAACTGCCCAAAGTGAAGGTTCTTTCGCGGGTTCTGAACGAGGTACTATAGCCCATAATGAAGGAGATTCTTTTGTTGTTGTTGTTGTTGTTGTTTCGCTCTTTGAAAGCGCAGGTTGAGGAGGAACTGCCCATAAAGAGGGTGGCTCTTTCACTGGTTCATTCGAGGGTGGCACTGCCCATAAAGAGGGTGACTCTTTGACAGGCTCATTCGAGGGTGGCACTGCCCACAAAGAAGGTGGCTCTTTCACTGGTTCATTCGAGGGTGGCACTGCCCACAAAGAAGGTGGTTCTTTTAGTGTATCACTCTTAGATGTGGATGGTTGTGGTTGTGATTGTGGAGGAACAGCCCAGAGTGATGTTTCCTTTGTTGTCTCGCTCTTGGATGGTTTGACTGCCCATAAAGATATTTTGTCTTGATGCCATGATTCGTTGGTCTCTTCAAGTGGTGAATGTGACACGCTAAATTGGTTATTGCCATTTATGGGTGAAATCATGCTAGGTTCATAGCGAGATCGATTGACATTTAAATCATAATCATTGTTGCTCATGGATCTCTCGTTGTAATAATGCCTATTGGAAGTTATTTGGCTTATGTTGTTGCATTCATTTACTTGCCTTGTGGTGGGCATAGCAAAGTCATAACATATAGTCCCATCCTGTGTATAAGATCGATATCTTTCTAACGGTTTCTCTGCCTTGGGTTTAACCAGGATACGGTTGGTTGAAGTGTGATCTGATATTTGACATAAATGAGATAATTCACTGTCTGTCAATGGTGTTTCTATCACTCTGTATAAGTTAACTTGTTGTCGACACATACAACATACCTGATTGCTTTCCGTTTTCATGATAAAACAAGTATCGTTCACAACTTCCTTCCAAGCCTAATTTTCTGAGTATAGCATTCTTGATCAAACGAGGATCATGCATCCCAGATACTTGTAGACTATGAAATGTATCAGAATCCCTTGTGACATGAATACTCTGTTGAGGTGCTTGTGGAGGTAATGGTACTGGATGATCCTATGGTTAGAGTCAGTACGTACATGTAGTAGAGTAGCGTTATTTTACCAAGAGAGTGGGTGGTCTTCTTCTGACAAATTTCCATGCACCTTCTTGTTCTGTCACTCGAGGATGATTGGCGCTATGTCGAACAGTCTGGACAGGATATCGATTCATGTTTCTTGCATTCGTCACCAATGTCCGTTTTGGTATATTAAAAGACTTCATCCAATCCAACACTTGCTCATTGTTTGATGAGGTGCGTTCAGGTATAAGTGGAACAGGTGTATCGGAAGGTGACTGATATCGATTGGATGGACGGGTACGTGTATAATGATTGTCTTCTGTCTATATCATGTCAGTCCATCTAAACAACAAAGAGGAATACATTACTGCTTTTAAAGCTTTGATTGCGTGTGCAAGTCGACGTTTTTCAGTATAAGACAACATGAGTTCATTCTGTAAAGACATTAAGAACGACATGTCAATTTCTAAAAATGCTTTTCCACAGATATGCTTTGCTATACAAGAGAATAAGTGGAATGAATAAACCATCACAAGAGATGATAAACCTTGAAACACTTCCATGACAGATTGGAAGCTATTACTATCAAGCCAACGCAAAACTCTTTCCATTGTCCATTCACCATACTGTTCTAAAGGTTGGCTTTCATAGGCCATGAGGGGCAAAACGAGGTCAAGTAAGAAAGAAAGAAAAGAAAAGAAAAAAAAAAGTTGGTTTGCTTGCTTTTCTATTTCTCACTTAAATTGGTAAATTGCCTTTTATAGTATCTGACCGTTCAAGCATCTTTTAAATAGATCCTCGTTGAACATCATGATTCGTTTCTCCTTCTCCCTTTTTTCCCGCTTTTTAATGAAATGATGGTTTTGTCTTTTTCTTTTATTTTTTTATTTATTGAGTGGTTCCTTTGAGCTACACGCTCATCCATTTAGCCAATCAAAATTTTTTATTATTGTCGCGTTAAAAAAATTTACCTGACCGCGTTTTTTTTTTTTCTTTCTCTCTCTTTTTAACCATGTCAGACACTATAGCAGAGATTCCTTTGGCAGACGATATTGCCTTGCAACGTTCTAATCAGTTCAGTGAATTTCTCGAATACGATGTAGGAACACACTTGTCTTGTTTCATGTGTATTGATACGGTTTATAGGGTCATGCCAATGAAAAAGGTGCTTATAAAGATCAGATCCCTGCCATGTTGGAAAACAAGCAACGTCGTCTTATGGTCAGTATTGATGCCCTTCGTCAATGGAATCGTGAACTTGCCATGGAGTAAGTAAACATATCTTGATGATGTTACTGACACACGCTAGATTGATGAACAACCCAGCCGAGTGCTTACCTGCTTTTGATTCTGCTCTTGTTCAAATGGCCAGAACCATCAGTGACAAGTACGATCCTAGCAAACCTCTCTATGTAGGATTCAAGGGTAGTTTTGGTGATCATCATGTCAATCCTCGTACCTTGCGTGCTACTTTTTTGGGCAAATTTGTCTGTATTGAAGGTATTGTTACGCGCTGTTCCTTGGCGCGTCCTAAAGTAGTGAAATCGATTCATTATGCTGAAAAGACCAAGAGTTTCTATATGCGTGAATACCGTGATGCTACTACACCCGGTAACTCGGTGCCTACAGGTGCTGTCTATCCTACCCAAGACGAGCATGGTAATCCTCTGATCACTGAATTTGGTTTCAGTACTTACCGCGATCACCAGACGATCAGTATTCAAGAAATGCCTGAGCGTGCACCTGCAGGACAATTGCCTCGTTCGGTCGATATCATCCTGGACGATGATTTAGTAGACAAGGCTAAACCTGGTGATCGTGTCTCTATTGTGGGCATTTATCGTAGTTTAGGTAACCGCAATGCCAACCAAAGCAGCTCAACATTCAAAACGGTCATTTTGTGTAATGAGATCAGTCTGTTAAGTACAAAAGCAGGTGGAGGTATTGCTGCTCCTGTCATTACAGACCGTGATATTGTCCAGATCACTGAATTGGCACGTAAGAAGAACGCGTTTAAAACGTTGGCTGAGTCCTTGGCTCCTTCTATCTGGGGACATCAATACATTAAGCGTGCTGTGTTGATGATGTTGTTGGGTGGTGTTGAAAAGAACTTGGAGAATGGTACACATATCAGAGGTGATATTAACATGTTGATGGTGGGTGATCCTTCTACTGCTAAATCACAAATCTTGAGATATGTCCTGAACATTGCTCCTTTGGCTATTGCTACCACTGGTCGAGGTTCTTCTGGTGTTGGTCTGACAGCAGCAGTCACGACAGATAAAGAAACAGGCGAACGACGTCTTGAAGCAGGTGCCATGGTATTAGCTGACCGTGGTGTAGTTTGTATTGATGAGTTTGACAAGATGAGTGATGTGGATCGTGTGGCTATTCATGAAGTGATGGAACAACAGACAGTGACTATTGCTAAGGCTGGTATTCATACCTCTCTAAATGCTCGCTGTAGTGTCGTGGCTGCTGCTAATCCTATCTATGGTATGTATGACTTGACTAAGGATCCTGCCAAGAATATTGCTCTTCCTGACTCTCTCTTGTCTCGTTTTGATCTGTTGTTTATTGTGACTGATTCATTGGAAGAAACAAGAGATAGACAGATTTCTGAGCATGTATTAAAGATGCATCGTTATGTTCAACCTGGTGCAGAAGAAGGTGCTCCTATAACAGAAGCAGTGGATGATATGATGGGAGATGGACCTGAAGATGAAGAAGAGCAATTAGAAGAGCAAGATATTTATGAGAAATACAATGCGTTTATGCATGCTGGTGTTAAGTCACAAAAAGTCATCAAGACATCCTTCTTAAAGAAATACATTTACTATGTCAAGAATATTGTGAAGCCTACCTTGACTAAGAAAGCCACGGATAGAATTATTAATGAATACACGTCACTTAGAAATCATAAAGAAGATGATCCTTCACGTAAAAAGACAGCACCTATTACAGCGCGTACATTAGAAACCTTGATTCGTTTATCCACAGCACACGCAAAGGCAAGATTGAGTACAACAATTGATGATAAAGATGCTAAGGCAGCTGCTGAAGTATTGAGATTTGCCATGTTCCAAGAAGTGGTGCGTCCTCGAAAGACAACAAAGCGTCAAAGAATGTCCAAGGAATCAGATGAAGAAGAAGAAGAAGAAGAAGAAGAAGGCATGGAGGAAGATGATGCTATGGAAGAAGTTGAACAGTAAGTTATCTTGCTTTAGTTGATTGTTTTTACTCATCATTTGATAGACAACCTATTGAATTGGAAACAAACAGTGATGATATTTCACCTGCTAAATTCACCTTGTTTAAAGAGAGATTGAGTCGATACTTTAATGAACAAAATCGCTTGGAATATGCTTTTGATGATGTTTTCATGGCTGTCAATCAAGATGCAACACAAGAATTCAGCCCAGATGAAGTCTTTACTGCTTTAACAAGGATGTCAGACGATAACCAAATCATGTACAATGATGGTGTTGTCTATATGCTTTAACTTATTTAAAAACATAATATATACACTCTAGATAATCATGATTTAAAAAAATTATTATTATTTAATAACGACGACGAGGGGATCTTGAGCGACCATAAGGAGATCTTGAGCGATCAACAGGGGGACGACGAGGAGATCTTGAACGATGTCTGTCTTTTCTAGAGTACCTGTCTTCTTTAGAATATCTATCCTCTCTAGAATATCTATCCTCTCTGGAATGTTTGTCTTCTTTAGAGCGTCTATCCTCTCTAGAATGTCTGTCTTCTTTACGATGCCTATCTGAAGATCTATCTCTTTTGGATGATTTATGCTCTTTGTGCTTATGTTCTTTTTTGCTTTTCTTTTTAGATTTCTTTTCATGCTTCTCCAGAAAATAAGCAGCCATTGGGTCTTCATTGTCTACTTCAATAGGCTTTATTTTGGGTGTCTTTTCTTCTTCTTCTTCTTTGGCCATGACTATGTACAATATGAATATCACTCATCGATACAAGTCATGTTATACCTTCAATAAGTTCAGGTGCGACATTCATCTTGGGTTGATGATCATCATCGGATTCTTCCCCATCTTTCTTTTTAGGCTTTCTAGGGCCTGTATGTGAGTGATCGACGCGTAATGTTCGACCAAGTATATCGGCACCATTCAAATTATCGACTGCAAGGACGGTACTGCGTTGATCTTCGTATTGAAGAAAAGCAAATCCTTTTGATTTGCCTGTCTTTTGATCACGAATCAGCTCGATATGAATAATCTCACCAAACCTACGAGAAAAGTGAATCAAGTTAGTGTTATTTCGTATAGTCTATGCATACTGTGAGAAAATACAGACAACATCACCTTCTGTCAAGTCAAAAGGAATGTTGCCTGCAAAAATCCACGCTGAATTCTTGTATTGATCATGCCATGATCCTTTATCCCAGTTGCCATTAAGGATTTCCTTTTGGTTGATGCGTTGGATTTCTTTTACAACACTAGAATTGTGTTAGTAATGAGTTTATATTCGTGTCTAAAGCTTACTTCATAATTCCAGACCAAAAAAAAAAAAGTGAAAAAAAAAAAAAAATAGACTGAGAAAAATAACGATTTGTAGTAAAGTCCTTATTGTTCATTAAAACTAGGTGTCAACAGTTTATTTACTTATTAAGTCCGTTATAGTCTTTAGTCTACTCAACCATAGCCTAACATATCTCAAATAATAATAACAGTAATAATAATAATAATCAAATTGATTTATTAAACACCAACATTACTCATGTATTTTTTCATAGCAGCATCGTATTGTTCTTTTTCAAACTTGGCTTTGTCCCTAAAAACCTATACAGAATATAAGCTCATCAAGAAAAAAAAAAAGTTAATTTTTACCTTGATTTCTTGTTCAGGAAGGCTTTTGTATTTCTTTGCAGCTTCAGCTACTTGTTCAGTTGATTTACCAGATTGATAAATAGGATCATTCGTTGCTCTCAGATGTTCAAGATATAAAAAGAAAGGTCCCTTGGGGTGTTTGGGATGCTTAGGATCCTTCAAAAGAGTCAACTTATACTTTCTTCTCAAACTGTTCTCTTCAAAGAATTGTTGAGGTGTAGCATTATTCAAAGCTTTTTCCAAGGCTTCTACATGTTCTTTTGATTTAGCTTGATACTTCTCAACATAAGGCTATGATTTGGATGGGATCAATATATCTAAAATGAGAATACAAACACATACCTTCTTTTGTTCTTCACTAAAGCCCTTCCATTGCTTACTCAATTCTTGAGAAGCGCGCTTTAAATCTACCTTGCCATCGCTGGTTTTGAATCCATTGAGGTTTTCAGTCAAATAGAACTGCCATGCACTTGAAGGTCTGGTAGGCACGTTGGACAAGACTACGATAATGCGTCAATTTTACTTTTGATAATAGTAATTTATGGTATTTACTGCTGGTAAACTTTTTAGGGTGAAGTGCGCGTGCCGAGACATAAGAACGCGTTTGAGTAGTCAAGCTTGAAAATGATTTGATAAAAGACATGTTTGTGTACAGGAAAAGAAAGAAATAAGAAAAAATGGATGTCCAAACATTTTAACCGGTCATTAAATACAGTCCGATGCATCGGACTACCGAAATGGCCGGATAGTTCTTTATTTCAGTATTACCTGCGTTGTCTGAATTCTAAAATGTTGGAAGCATTTTCAATTTCTTCATCTGTGCGTTGTCTAATGTTATGCTTAAAAGAAGTCAACGTAGATTCTAGCTTATTAATTATTTTCAGAACACAGTTTACAGCAGGTGAGGTAGGAGACTGTTTTTTCGTTCAAAATGCTCACATAGATTTTGATTTTTATATAGATCGTCGTTTAGCTTATCAGATCTGCCCAAAAACTATCGTCGCCGAATGATTCATTTGGCCATTGTCATTTTTGAAACAATTGAGCTTTACTATTTAATCAAAAAAAAAAGGAATAGATAACTTAATTGGATGATGGAAGTATATCCAGCTGAACTTGAACACCACTTTGTGTAATACATCATATAGCCCTCCGCTAAACTTTTCAAGAATCGGTCAACTTCAAAAGCTATCTGCTCAAAACTTTTGTTACCAAAAGTTTTGAGCAGATAGCTTTGAAGGTATTGCGATGAAACTGGTCTTACAAACAAACAGACAACAAAATTACATTCCTTTCCTGTTAGCAATGCTTCTTGCCGGTAAGTTCTGTTTTTGCTCAAGCGTGATGCATTTAATTCATTCTGTATTGAGATAATAGTGTCCGTTCTGGTATGATATGGATCAAGCAGAAAGAATTACAATGTAGAATGAATAGCAATATCCAAGCCTCATATGATCCACTCCAGACAAGAAATACATGTACAAGTGAAGGCATCATGTAATCCTTGAATGCTGCTTCCAGTGGTTATAGAAAGTAAGTATCCTGCAATGAATTATTTTGTCCAAGCATAGATAGATAAACGTATCTTATTAGATCTAGCATTGCACAATTAGATGAAGGCTTGGTGTTATAGAGAACGAAAAGGGTATAACTACTCAAATCAACGAACAACCAACAATTATGCTGTGCGTGTTGTTCTAGGTCAAACAAGAAAAAAAAAGATGAAGAGTTCAAGCCGGCTCATGTTTCTTTTGCTCAATCAAGAAAAAGGTTGAGAAGAGAATACAGACGTCTACTTGTTGAAGAAGATTTAAAACAACATGATGATCCACAAAGAACAATAGTCGCTTATGGCTCTACTGGTTTAAAAAGAAGCTATAAAAACAACACGACTGTACCAGTAAAGGCAAGAAATCATTCCTTTGCTTTTTTTTATATTGGTGGAACTAACTGTATTATTTCATAAACAGAAAGTACAACGAGCTATTGTTGAACATGCCATTGTGGTTCCCCTAGATGAATTCGGAACGACCGTTACCTGCTGTCACTGTAATGGAAGCGTTGACAATGTTGCTCTATGCAACCACAGATAAATAGGGAAAAGTGCACATTTGCTATTGATCTTAAGCAATGTGGCACATATAGAAAGAAAAAAACATCATCCAAGCAACCAAGGAAACAAGGCCTGCTGAAAAGCATTCTACTTGAAAGCGTTTTGATGACGACAATCACATCTTACATCGTACAAGTCAATGTCCTGACAGAGGACCAGGTAATCATACTCATTGTTTTGTTGAATCCAATACTCATCGTGTTATCTTTCTGCTAGAGCGCGATCGTATTGTCTATGCGTTAGAGCTGTACCCTCCCAGTGTACAGTAGCATAAGAACATGATCTAGTAAATCATCATTTCTTCTACCGTGTTCATTCAAGACTAATGTTTTAGTACTGGAACCGAGATGTGAACGCCGCATGTAACATAAGAAGCATCTTATGTGAATATATACGTTCGAGCTATGACATCAACAGCAGGCCACAACAGCTTTCAAGAGGCCAAGATGACCAAGATGCCTAGAAAAACGCCATCAGCAACACCTTTGGGCGCTTTGTCTTGGGTTCAATGGTAAGTGAATTCTTTTTCAAGAATGACAGACCCTAAAGCTAATATCTTTTTTGTGGGGGTATTTGCGTAAAGCGGATTCCTATAAAGAATGAAAAGCAGAACGATAAATTCATTGTCTAAAGAAGTGCATAGCTAATTGAACTACATAAACAAGACAACAAAGAGACCGAAAAGAACAGAATTCTATCTTTGCTTTTTGCGTAATTTCTTGAGTGAAACAAATAAAAGCGATAAAATAAATAATGTCTATTTTTTCCTATTTTTTTTTTCTTTTCCTCTTTCTTCTCTTAATACAAATAATGGACAATAATCCTTTTCGCAACAATCAAGTACAAGCACCCAATGGTAACTACGGTTATATGTCTCCTGCAGGCCAACAACAACAACCATACAATTATCCTTCAAGTCAATCTACACCACAAACGAATTATCCACAACAGCAGCAACAGTCTTGGCAATATCAGCAACAACCCATTTTGCCTCAACAAACGAGTTCTTTTTCAAACTATCCATTACAATCACAAATGAGCACAACCTCATCCTTTTCCACACTTCCCTCAAGCCAATATTCATCTTATAATACTGGCTTGATGTCATCAAACACGCCTACATCACCTCTCCATAACAACGCTAGTTATGGTAACACACCCTATGGAGCTACAAATTCAATGTCAACCATGCCTATGCTTAACAATTATCCTACCAACGCTGCTAATAACATGTATTATCCTCCACCTACTCCTCAGCAACAACAACAACAACAACAACAACTGCAAAGCAACTTTTACATACCACCTAATTTTGGTGTGTCCAACTCGAATACATATCAACCTAGACATCCACCTGTGGATGCTACTAGTTTATTAAAGGGTACACAAATTCGTCGCGTAGAATGCCCAGTGTGTCAAAAAATGCTCGAAGGTGATGATATGGCCATCAATCATCATGTAAACCAACACTATACTTAAATAAACTTTTTTTTTCTGTACTCACGTGAAGCGGAGCCCTATTTTTAGGACTTTTTTTCTCTCTTTCTCTCTCTCTCTCTCTCTCTCTTTCTCTTCTTTTCTTGAATGAGAATGATGTATGAAGAACCATGGAATACACTAATTGACTTTGATCAACCCAAAGTACCCCCTCCTTCACCACAGGATCCGTCCATGTTAGAAACCGTCTTTTCAAATCATTTATCAGCTAAAATTCATGCTGTCGTGAATTCGAGTCATGACACAGATATACTTCATGCGTGTACATTGGAGAGACTATTAAAGAAAAAGCGTGTCTATTCAAAAAAACCTTCTCGTATCCCAGTCCTTTCTTCACGGATCTATAAGAAAAAGAAATCAAACCAAGACACATTGACAAGAGCTTTAGAAAAAATACATATATCTCCAAATGACAAGAGTATCATTTGAATCATTTATTGTGTGTATCACCTTCTCCTTTGACTGCAAAGCAGATAAAACAAGCTAATAAACTAAACTGATGTTGATGAAAAAAAATATTTATATTGTTCTTTACCATGGTATACAACAAGAATCACTTTTAGGTCGAGTTGAGTTTTTTTGAAAAATAACAGATTCAGGTTTCGGTGTTGCTTCATATACTAGACACAATGAGTACTATCATACTTTTTTTTTCTTACTTATTTCTCTTGTAGAAGGACTTTTGATCTGTGGTGTAAAATAACGATCTGGTGGTAATCTTTCTTTTTGATTCCTGTCTTCTTCATAATGAAGTAATGTCATCTTGTTGAAAAAAAAATAAAGAAGAGAAATAACAAACAGAAAAAAAAAAGGGATGTCTTTTTTGAGAAGAAGTAGGTTACACTATAAAAACAATGCGACCTAAAATCAAATAAATTTTACTGGCAACAATTCAAACTGTTGCCATTGTCACGCTGGTAACTAGGGTACTCATATGATTGCAACACTTCTTTGATTTTCATATGATAGTTGTGTATCGTGTCCATGGAAACATTTAACTCTTTTTTTCTTGATAAAAGAGTCTATATCAGACGTAAATGTATCTTCAGTGATAACTAGCATTGGAAAAGGTAATAACGAAATGTCTTTATTGAAACTAATGAAGTGAAAACGAAGGTGTATGAAGAAATAATTAGAAGATGGATAAAAAAATGAAAAAAAGTCAGAAAAATGACAGTAAAGATCAAGAACTAACTATTCATTTACTCAAAATAGCTTTAGTATCTTGATAGGATTGGATAGTATCAGATAGAATTTTATTTGTAATGCTTCAAAACTTGGCATAAGTATCCACTAAAGAAATTCTGAGTTTAAATTAATATTCGCATGCCAAAAACTAAAATCAAGGAATTAGAAATTCAAGAGAAATGATGAACTAAAAATGTCTAAAAACGAAGAGCTATCAAAAAAGTGTTTTAGCAGAATTGGTAGATGTTGAGTTATCCTTCAAAAAGATTTTTTCTGTTCCTGAGCTATAGCGCACATTTTTAAAGCATTTTTGCAAAACTAACACTTTGAGTGTGTTTTATAGACCTAGAGAAGCAATTCATACTGGCACATGTTATGTTTATAACGTCTCTATCACTCACCAATTGAGAAATAGTAAAAAATGACGATTTCGTAAAGGGGATTATCATAAGGCCAAAATGACAACTTTTCGACTTTTTCAAAACTTGTTATATTTCTGCATGAATATGTTTTTTGTGTATGCTCGAATATAGGTAGAAATGATGGTTTGTTTCAAAAAACACTTGCGCCTGTAGCAAGCTGCCAAACCTGCCATTGCTACTATTCTGTTTATCAACTGTTTGCCAAATTTATTCAAAAAAAAAAGAAAGTCAGGTTATGTTGGAGGCTTCTTCAAGAAAATCCAGGCTACGATTCAAAATCACATAATAAGGCTGACGCATAAATTGAAGATTAAAAGCATATTAGGTATGTAACGTACCAAATGGAAAAAGTATGTATGATTTTAATGTGTGGATTACTTTTAGTCTTTCAGTTGCTCAATCTCATATAAAGTCTGTTATCAAACGTGGAAATATTAGTAAGAAAGTAGGTATATACATACTCAAAAACCAATATCACTTTCCTTTTTATTTAACCATACTAGAAATGTTAAAAAATTACCTTCTATCTTTTGGCTTCATCTACTTTTTCAGGATTAGACCTGTTATGTAAAATAGTATAATCATTTTTATATCACCTTCTTTAGCTCCGGAAATCACGTTTACAATGATGGTACCGCTATTGCTGAGCGCAGAGCCTTGGTTGCTGAACACAGTTGATGACAGAGCATCATTATTCTTGCGCTTATTGGCCTTTATTTAAAAATTGCGATAGGTTAGTTTATATTGTATATTGATAAAGACAAGACTATACCTTCATACTGCTAATTAGTTGCCCAGCACGTCTACGCGATGTTCGATCCATGGATTCTGATTGACAAATGTTTTCTAAATCATTTTTAAATTTGAACATAGCTTCCGATATGGAAACCTTATGATTTTTGGCTAAAAGAAAGGCATAAAACTTATCAAAGTCCCAATCATCAACAGAATTGTCTATAAAAAAGGTCGACATTGATTGTTTAGACATAATGGATTATCAAAGTATAAGATGAAAAGAGAAGAGCTCGTAATTGAAGACGATCAAGATTTCTTATGAAAATATTTGTGTAAAATTACATAAGGTCCTATCAATTAACAGGTCTACTGTTAGCTAACAGCACTAAACACAAACCTTGGAAAAAGAGTGTCATTTGCGCTTATTCCTTCCTCAATGAGTCTGGCAAAAGTTCTTTATTTCATAAGCTTCTCTCTCTCTCTTTTTAACCTTCAATCAAATATTTTTTGTATAGTTTTTTATGGTCAAATCTGGCAAAGCATGAATCATTTAGTGTCATGAGATGTTTGTGTATTGATATTGTAATGCTTTTGCATTATGAAACGATATTTATATTACACAATTGACTGGATTGATACATTTGTTTGTTCTCACAAGCTAATGAGTTACTATTTTGGGATTCTTTACAGTGTGTTTCCTTGTTAGCTAAATAACTCACGTCCTGATTAACCAATATCATGCAACTGTGTTGATTGAAATACATAGACGTCTTTCATTTTTTATTTTAGGTGTTACATAAAAGTAAAGATGCGTTGCTCATCATGTTCTAGTACTACTTGCTTTGAACATGACAAAATCACTGAAGTCATCTTCAAGAGAGAAAGTATTCCAAGTGCTTCAAAAAAAAACAAGCGTCGGTTTTAGTGATTCAGAGCTACTTTAATTTCTTATGTTGTTCAATAAAAAGGGCAAGCAAGAATTGTTGCTCATTTACTTGTTGAAAGACATTGAGACAGTTTTGATGAAAGTAAATTGTCAACTAAAGAAGTTACCGACAGGTTATTGAGGTAAACCAAATAAACTATCAACTTTATACAAAATTAAAACAAAAATACGGTTTATTTTCTCTATTAAGTGTAATTATATTTTACAACACAAGAATACCAAAGCATATCACTCGCAGATAACCTAACAAAATAAGAAAAAAAAAGAGTTAGAACTTAAGGCTCCAAGAAAATATAAAAGATAAAAAAATAAGTATAGGTGGCCAAGTCAATCGTGACTGACAGCAAAGGGGAAGGCAACGACACATATGTGCCACCACACGACCGGATGCTTTTTGTCGAGGCAAGGATAGCCCCCAAGTCTAGTGACGATTGCTGAACAGGCAAGGGCTCTGCTTTTCAAAGTCCTTCAGCAGGCGGAGCCAGTGGTTGTCCTTTTTATCGGCCGTGTTCATCCACCTAAGGCATCTTATATGTTATGGGCCAAGTCAATCGTGACTGACAGCAAAGGGGAAGGCAACGACACATATGTGCCACCACGCGACCGGATGCTTTTTGTCGAGGCAAGGATAGCCCCCAAGTCTAGTGACGATTGCTGAACAAGCAAGGGCTCTGCTTTTCAAAGTCCTTCAGCAGGCGGAGCTAGTGGTTATCCTTTTTATCGGCCGTGTTCATCCCATAACGATACCAAGAAACTATCTAATATACTTTCCTTCGTAATACACGCAAACATAAGAGTAAAAGAAAAAGTAAAAGTAAAAGAAAAAGTAAAGTAAAGTAAAAGAAAAAGCAGGTTTTGTTATTTAGGCGACAACTTTTTTTAGTAACCAATCATATTTATCGAGCCTATCAAAGTTGAAACCTGAATCCAGTATTAATTATCATTCATAAACATAAACAAATGTAGTCTATACATCATAAGCATGACTTACAAACACAAATATCTGATGTTACTTGAGACACAGGGTGTTTAAACCAAGCAAAAAGGCTAGGACATAATATATATATATATATATATTGTATTGGATGAAAGTTTTATTTTAAAAAATAAATCATCGTATAAATGGAAACTAGTGTGTGTGAAGCAAAGTGAATAGCTATATAAAATACCTTTAAAGCAATGCTTTTGTGGAAGTATTCAGTACGATAACATGAGTCTTATATAATCCCAATAAAATAGCCGTCATCTGGGCTACCCCTTAATATGTCCTAAAAAGGATATATTGAGTGTTTCATTCGTTGCTCCTTAAAGTCAGTGTTCTTTATATCTTGTCTTGTTCAATGCTACAAATGGCAATGCCAATACCACAAGTAAAGGACACCATTTCAATTACTTGGCACTTGACAAAATTGTTGATACCTAAGAGATACAGCCTTCCACAAGGGATTATAGCAAAATCCGGAGCACCACCAAAAGTGACCAGACCAACGTACTAAAAAATCCTTTAGACAAAAGAAAGGTGTTCATTTTTCTGGTTTTGGTTTTTGACATGCGAATCTAATTTAAAGCCATAATGTCTTTAAGGGATACTTCACTTACGCCAAGCTTTGAAACATGTCAACTTTTTTTATTTTGTTTTACAATGCTCTTTCTGGCAATAAGAAAATAATGCACAAGACGATTATATATTTATACATATTTAATAACAATATCTTGTTCTTCTTTTTCTTCAGGCAACAAGATGCCGTAGCCTGCACCTTTCACTGGCTTTTGAATGTCGATGTCAACAAACTGAAGGAGGCTTGGTGAGGTTTCTTCACCCATCATCATCTTGAGCTCATTTTGTTCATGACTCTCTTTCATCTTTTTCAGAACACAAGCAGTTTTTTTGATCATTGTCTGTGTAAAATAAAACATTAGCTAACTACGACATTTCCTTTATCTGTCTTTTTTTTTCTATTGTCACCTTCAAGCACCAAAAAAGATTGCCTAATGCAATTACATGGCTGTTTACAGGCGTTTTGGCGACATACACTTTCTTCAGTACATACATTTTCTGGGAACAAAGCTCCAGAGACCAAAGATGAATAGCGTCATCTAAAGAAAGAAATGGTATTTCAAATGAGCAAAAACTAGTAAGCCATGATATACTACGTACGTCGAGCATGGATGAACAGAATGTTCAATTCTTGAGCAACCTTGAATGATGCTTTGTGATATTTCTTGAAGGCAGCATTAAACATGGTTAATACGCCAAATGCGCCCTTGACATGATCATAGCCATATTTGCATTTGTCACCAAAAAGATAGCAACCAGAAGACTCCAGAAGACAGATCTCGTTGTCATTCTCATCAAGAATACATGCATCTGCTCTATATTCTTCTTTTGAGGCTTTTAAAGTATATTCCCCAGCAACAAAGTTCATATCCCCAGCAGCAAGACTCATCAATGGCCAAAGGACAAACAAGTTATAGTTGACTTCAGATTTTTTTAATACAGCAGCCACATCCTTCTTCTTGAACAAAGTAATACTAAACGCATATTTTCAGTACACAAATTGTACATAGTGGTATGAAACCATGAATATACTTGCATAATTAGAAATAATTCTTGTAAAAATTCTTTGCTTTCTTCTCCTTCATCATCGTCATCATTGTCTTCAGGATTAACAACAGCTTTTCTTGCTGCTTTCCAATTCTTCTAAAAAAAACAATGTTCTGTCAGAATAATAAAAAGGTAAAAAGCGATTGAATATGCTTACAGGTAAAGGTTTTAGTGCTTCAAGCACAGCAAGACTATACTCTGGATGCTGCTTAAAAGGACTGTTTATTGTGACAGTTGCGGTATCCAAGTGATCATAGAGTTGTTGAGGGATACTTGGCTTACATTTGATGGAGTAGCCACACTCAATCACATGATACTTCTCAGGGCTCATAAATGTAATTAATTAGATCAAGTTAGATAATAATCTGACAGTTTTTTTTTTTACCAAAAATCATGGCAACAACAGCATTTTAAAAACTGACGCCAAGCATCCCATAGATCTTCTTCACTTTCAACTTGCCAGCTGTCAGCGTCTTCCACATGATCAACCTAATACTCATGAGATACCGAAAAAAAAGCTAGTTTACACATAATGTAACGATCAATAATGTATCTTTTGACAAGTAAACGTCGCTCATTTATTTTCTGTTTGCTTCTTTTTTATATTATTTTTTTTCTGAATAAATCTATTATATCAAAAGCTCTCTTTCTTTCTTTTTGAGAACTAACTTGCGCCTTGCATTTTCTATTACTGAATCCTTTCATTGTACTGATGTTTATGTTTCAGTTTAATAGTTAGATTAGCCTTGACCGAATTAGATCTGGCTAGCTTTAACAATCCTTTATAAACTACCAAAGCTATTAGGAATAAAGATTACAGAGATAGAATGGTCCAAATGATCGTTTAAATCAAAACAAAGTCCGACCGACACGTTATCTTTATTAGGTCTAATTGAATAAAAAAGGAAATTGTCATACGGAGCGGGACGGAAAAAGTCTTCTACCGATATTGCTGCATGAGGTTTGTACATTATTGAAAAAAAAAACGAAACTGTGAGTTTATCATATGTATGTAAAAAAATTTCATCAAGGCCAAATGTCCATAAATTGGAAATGCTATATCTCGAAATAGCGATCAGCATCTCTTACTGTGCTTCGGCAGTTAACATTGAATCACCTTATAGAGAATCTAATAAATGAGTCTAGAGGTCAGAAAATCTCTAAGACTAGAATTAATAGAACCATAGCGAGTCCGTGCAAAGATTGAATGAGACTGATTTAAGATTTGAAAGTAATTGTGCCTTTTTTAACGAATCTACCTTTCATATAAACTTGGAGAGATCAAAGAAGGGCACGCGATATGAAGTTGTTCAGCCAATCATAAGAACTAAAACAACTACAATCTTGGGTGCAATGTCGCCTATCGGCTTATTGAAATTAAAATGAGAAAGCCAGCAGCACATTAAAAAGAAAATAGTTCAAAGGCACTAAAAAAAGACTATCGGCATAGCTACCGGCTTGTGTCAATTCTTTTTCTGTACTGAATTTGAAGTTATGAGCACACAAAATCACAGAAAAAAAAGTGCATCTTTTTCTTGATAAATGCCAAAAATTTTTGGGGGGAACGTATGAGAAAATGTAGAATACTGTGGTTGCATAATTTATCCGTCATTTTGTTTTTGGCATCTGAAAAGTGACAGTTACTCAAAATGACTAAATAAATTCTGGCCGAAGTAGCGCACTTATCTGTCTGTAAAACGAACCAAAAATACATTATTTTTCTTTTTTTAGAATGCTATCCAACTCTTTTATCTTTTGCTTGGAAGGCATTCTAATGAGATGAATAACGCGATCGTTAAATATACATCAGCCTAAAAGATAATGCAATTTCTTATGGAGAAAAATGGCCGTCTTGGTGTGAACCGGAAGAATTGTTCTTTTTACCTTGTGTTACTCTTTTTGTGTGTACAACTCTACTTTGGGATGGTTAAATCGAATTTATAAATCGAATTTTTTTTGCTTCATTCTTTTTAGTCTTTTCTTTTTTGTCTACACATATATACTTATGAAAGAAAAAGATACAAAGTTAGACAACAATAGTATGTCTAATGCTTCAACGTCTATTGTTGAAAAAATAACAATGGAAAAAGTGGCACCGCCACCACCAATCACTATATCAGAAAACAAGAAAAAGAAACCTAAAGCTGATGCAGTGTCTATGCTTCGATTGTTTCGTTTTGCAACAGTACAAGAGCGTTTAATGGTCGTCACAGCCATCATTTTATCCATTGTTTCTGGTGCACTTCAACCTTGTTCAATTCTGATTTATGGTACATATATCTCCAAGCTCACAAAAACATTGAATGATCCCAGCAGTCTATTGGAAATGACATTGCCTGTGATCCATATCATGGCTTATTTGGGTACTGCTTCGCTTCTTGCTGGTTACTTCTCCAATTGTTTATGGGTCTTGACAGGTGAAAGTCAGACCAGACGTATTCGTTCTCTTTATCTTCATTCTGTACTCAAACAAGATATGAGTTGGTTTGATAAAGCAGCAGATGGATCGCTCAACACTCGATTAGCCTCAGATACACAAATCATTCAAGATGGTATTTCTGAAAAGTTTGGTCAATTCGTTACTCTTTTAGCACAGTTTATAGCAGGTTTGGTTGTCGCTTTTGTTCGAGGTAACAAAAAAAGGAAGCATGAAATTAAAAAGGTTATACTCATCATTTATTTTAGGTTGGAAAATGGCATGTGTCATGCTTGCTATCATTCCTCTTTTGATGGGTGCCGGTAGAACAATGGCTCGATTTGCAACAAAATATACCATTGCTGCCCAACATTCTTATGCAAAGGGTGGCTCAGTTGCAGAACAAGCATTTCAATCCATCCGTACAGTGTATGCCTTTAGTTTACAAAGCCGATTTTTAGAACGCTATGAAGCTAAAATAGAAGAAGCCTGTCAATTTGGTATCAAGCGCGGTGTGTCCATGGGCATAGGTTTTGCCGTTTTTATGTTTACCTTGTTTTGTTCTTTTGGTCTATCACTTTGGTATGGTTCAGGTCTTGTTATTCAAGGCGAATTGGACGGCTCTTCAGTTTTTGTTGTTTTTATTGCCATGATGATGGGTATGTTTGTGCTCTCGTAAATTAATGACTCATGTTTTATTTAGGTACCATGTCATTTGTAAAGCTCCCCCCTAATTTGGCCGCCGTATCTAGTGCCAGAGGCGCAGCATTTAAAGTGTTTGAAATCATTGACCGTGTGCCTGAAATCGATCCTGATTCAAAAGAAGGCCTCATCCTTGATGACTTTAAGGGATCCATTGAGTTCAAAAATGTGGATTTCAAGTATCCAACTCGACCTGATTTGATGATTTTAAAAGACTTAAACCTAAAAGTTATTCCTGGAAAAACTGTTGCTTTTGTAGGCCCTTCAGGCTCAGGCAAATCAACAACAGTTCAACTCGTACAGCGCTTCTATGACGCACTTTCTGGTCAAGTCATATTGGATGGTCATGATATCAAAGACATCAATGTCAGATGGTTACGTAGCAAGATTGGTGTAGTCTCTCAAGAACCTGTTCTCTTCAACATGACCGTGCGACAAAACTTGTTGATGGGAACGCTAGAAAAAGACGTGTCTGAAAAAACCATCATTGCTGCTTGTAAAGAAGCCAATTGTCACACATTTATCTCGCAACTACCTAATGGCTATGATACTATTGTTGGTGAAATGGGCGGTATGTTGTCAGGCGGTCAGAAACAACGTATTGCTATTGCCCGTGCTATTCTCAAGAATCCTACCATTTTATTATTAGACGAAGTAAGTCAGGCCAATTAAATGCACATATATTAATCCTTTATTATAGGCTACATCTGCTCTTGATACACAATCCGAACGTCTTGTTCAAAATGCGCTTGATAGAGCTTCTGCTACTCGTACTACAATTGTTGTTGCTCATCGTTTATCTACTATTATGAAAGCAGACCTGATTGTTGTCTTGGATCGGGGCGTTATCATTGAACAAGGCACACATCAACATCTTGTGGAATTAAATGGAACCTATGCTGATTTAGTCAGAAAGCAAGCCATTGATGTCAATGAGAATGGTGTTTCTGATGATGTCAAGAACAACGAATATGATGCTGATGAATTACTACGACAAGAAGAAATGCAAGTCAAGCAGAAGATTGCTGACCAAACTCTCACCAAGACAATGACGGGCCACACTACACATAGTGCTGTCATTAGCATTGGCAGTCAAAAAATGGCCGAAAATGATACTTCTATGGTTGATGCCTATGACATGAAGATTGCAGAACAAAAGAAGGTTAAGAAAATGATGAACCAACAAAAAGCACCTTTCAAGAAAGTATTGAACCATATGCATCCTGAATGGAAATACCTTGCTGTCGGTATTTTTGGTTCTGCCATTGCTGGTTGCATATTCCCTCTTTACGCTTATTCTTTCTCCCATGTTGTTTCTATTCTCAATATACCTGGTCAAGAAATTCGACCTGGTCCTCTTAGCGGCACTAACTTGTATGCTTTCATCTTTGTTATGCTTGGTATTGCTTCATTCATTGGCAATGGTATTCAGTTTTCTGCCTACGAAATCTGTGGTGAAAAATACTCTAAAAGACTGCGATCCGAAGTGTTTGCTGCTTATATGAAACAAGAAATTGGCTTCTTTGATTTAGAAGAAAACAACACTGGCGCACTTACTACTAGATTGGCTGTCGATGCTCGTAATGTTTGTGAAATGATCACCAAGGTCTGGGGTGATCTTACAAGTTTATGCGCTACCATAATCTCTTCCTTTTGCATTGCTTTTAGCCACTCTTGGGCATTAACCTTAATTGTTTTGTGCATGGCCCCTTTTCTTAGTGCTGCTACTGCATACGAGTTCCGTGTTCAACGCGGTTTTGAAGATGAGACCAAAAGGGCAAATGCACAAAGTGGTCAAGTAGCAGGAGAAGCCATTCGAGAAGTAAGAACAGTTGCCGCTCTTAACCAACAAGCTCATTTTGAAGAACGTTATTTTCATGCTACAGATCGCCCGCATCGACTTGCTATCAAGAAAGCATATTTGTCTTCAATTGCTGCTGGATTTAGTAAGGGTATTAATATTTACACAAGCGCCTTGGCCTTTTATGCCGGTGCTCGCTTGATTCAAAATGGTTCGATTGATTTCCAACAAATGTTTACCAGTATGACTGTTATCATGACAGCTTCTGAAGCAGCTGGTCGCAGTACTACCTTTGCTTCTTCTTTCTCTAAAGCCAAGTATGCTGCCATTGCTTCTTTTGGGGTTATTGAGCGTGAATCAAAGATTGATCCTGATCTTGAAGGATTTGAACCTGAAGCTGTAAATGGCGACATTGCTTTCAAAAACATCACATTCAATTATCCTGCTCGTCCTGATATCCCTATCTTCAATGGCGATTTCCATCTAGAGGGCCGCGCAGGTCAGACTATTGCTCTTGTAGGCCCTTCTGGCTGCGGCAAGTCTACTACCATCGGTATGATGCAGCGTTGGTACGATCCTGTCAAGGGCACAGTGTCTTTGGATGACCATAACGTCAAGTCTTACTCTGTCTACAACCTACGCCAACACCAAGCCCTGGTCTCGCAAGAGCCTATCCTGTTTGACATGTCGATAGGCGAGAACATCCGCTTCGGTATTGACGAACACAAGCAAGTGACTCAGGAGCAAGTAGAAGAAGCATGCAGAGCTGCCAACATCCATAGCTTTATTGCTAGTCTTCCTGACGGTTACGATACCCGTGTCGGCGACAAAGGCTCTCAGCTCTCGGGAGGCCAAAAGCAGCGTATTGCAATTGCGCGTGCTCTGATTCGCAAGCCTAAGGTGCTGTTGCTTGACGAAGCGACTTCTGCACTGGATAGTGAGAGCGAGCGACTTGTGCAAGAAGCGCTGGACAACATTTTGCAAGAAGGAGGCAGGACAACAATCACGATTGCCCACCGGTTGTCTACAATCAAGAATGCAGATCTTATCTGCGTGGTCAAGGATGGCCAAGTGATTGAACAAGGTACCCATTTTGAATTGTTAAAGCTAAATGGGTTCTATAGCGAAATGGTCAATCAACAATCTTTATCTGTTCTCTAAACAGAAAAAAACCTATATATTACTGTACAGTTAGTTAAAATCATAATATTCCTTTAATAATTAATAAAAAAAAGTAGCAATAATATTTCATGAGATGTATAAGAAAGCACAGTAGATCATAAAATACAACAAGGTTAACTTTAAAAGGTACGAAAAAGTGCGTATTCCGACTGATTTGATTGATCTTACTACAATTGAGAATGCTGATCATGCTTGTATTGTTGGAAATGATAAACAAGGAATACATAGAAAGCTCCTAGAACAAGGGAACGCCGCACAATAAAAGGTTGGTCATTTTGTATTGGAGCATGTCATTTTTATTCTTTTACATCAAAACTTGAGCTTGATGATGACTTCTTTAAAATACTCAAGAAAGGCTCTTTAGTAAAAAAAAAAAAAAAAAAAAAAAACGGTATGTAGTGGTTTTTGCATGTCAATCTTCTCCCTATTTTTCCTATATACAGATTTTCGTGTTTTAAGAGAATACCTAGGATCCGCAGATCTTTTTATGCATGATTTTAGCAAGACTGCTTGTTTGTTTTCAGCAAGTATTTTTGAGCAACTAGCTTTTTTTTTCACAAAAACTTGCTTGTCGTATAGAATGTAGCTTCACTTATCAGTGTATACTTTCTTTTCTTTAGACTTATGTCTTCTATGCATACAATATAATATAACTACCTAGTGTTTCATAGTATCACAAGAGCTACAGGGGCTATTTGTTTTGAATTTATGCATAACAATTGGCCAAAATAGATAGAATGTAGAAACGACAACAATGTATATCAAGTACATGTAGATGCAGGAAGCAGAGTAGCTGACATGATTAATGTACCTTAATTCTATGGAATAGATACATAATCACTAACTTTACATTGATCAACCTTTTTTTTTCTCACTTTTTTTTATTCACATTTCACTAAATGACAACTACAGACGAGAAGAAAACAGACATAAACAAATCAAGTAATATGGAGTCAAAAACATTAAAAGCAAGAGTTTCTGTTTTACAACTATTTCAATACGCCACCTTAAAAGAAAAGCTGCTGATATTCATTGCCGTTCTACTGTCAATTCTGTCAGGCGCGATAAAACCTCTGTCTGTTATTTTATATGGCAATTACATTACAAAAATCACTTTTCTTATTCAACAAAATCAAACAGACGATTTACAAAACATGACGAAGCCATTGATTGGAATGATGATGATAATGGGAACTATGACTATAGTCGCTGGTTATTTCTCATCCTTATTGTGGATCAGAACAGGGGAAGCGCAAATACGAAGAATAAAAAGCCTCTATCTTCGCTCAGTACTAAATCAGGACATGTGCTGGTTCGATAATGCTAAAGAAGGCTCGCTTAGCATTCGATTGTCATCCGATACGCAGCTTTTACAAGAGGGGATTTCCGAGAAATACGGATTATGCATTTTACTTGTGTCACAATTCATTTCAGGTTTTATTGTTGCTTTTTATACAGGTAAGAAGCGACAAGTATGACTATCCAAAAACTCTAATTTATAAAGATTACAAAATGTCGCTTATCACGCTGTCTACATTTCCTTTGTTGGGTGCTATATGTTATCTTTTGATAAGATTCGCAAAGAAGTATGCGATGCAAGCTCAATTTGCGTATGGAAAAGCAAGCACAGTTGTAGAACAAGCACTTCAATCGATTCGCACCGTTTATTCTTTTACACTTCAAGCGAGATTCTTGAAGCTTTATGAAGCCAAGTTGAAAGAGAACTATCGATTTTTTGTCAAACAAAATGTTGTTTTAGGTGGTGGCGTTGCTTTTTTTATGCTCTTCTTTTTTAGTTCACTTGCATTGGCACTTTGGTACGGTGCTCATCTTGTCCAGGAAAACAAATCAACAGGGGCTTCTGTCTTGATTGTCTTTCTTTCCATGGTCAGAGGGTGTACCTCACTTACTGATTTGCCTGGAAATCTAACACCAGTTATTACAGCTTGTGGAGTTGCTCATAAAATATTCGAAATTATTGATCAAGCGCCAACTATCATAGACGGTAAAACCAAAATGATACCATCTCAAGTCAAAGGTGCTATTGATTTGAACAACGTTGTTTTTTCGTATCCTTCTCGACCCGATATATGCATATTAAAGAACATCTCCATTCATATATCACCTGGCACGACAGTAGCCTTTGTAGGTTCTTCAGGATCCGGCAAATCAACTATTACACAACTGATTCAAAGACTATACGATCCTGAAGAGGGCTCTATCACGCTTGACGGCATTGATTTACGAGATCTAAATGTGAAATGGTTACGAGAAACTATAGGCATTGTCAACCAAGAGCCAGTTTTGTTTAACACAACTATTCGACAAAATATCCTTATGGGCAGTCGTCCTGAGAAAATATGTTCAGAAAAAGAAATGATTTGGGCATGTAAAGAGGCCAATTGTCACGAATTCATCTCCCAGTTGCCAATGGGATACGATACCATCGTGGGCGATCAAGGTTGTATGCTTTCTGGTGGTCAAAAGCAACGTATTGCCATCGCTAGAGCCATTCTAAAAAATCCAAGCATCTTGATCTTGGATGAGGTATGTAGATAAATGTAGTTTTTTATCTATTTATTGATCTGTATTTTTCTGTAGGCCACTTCAGCACTTGACATGGAATCCGAGAGCCAAGTTCAGAATGCCCTTGATCAAGCTTCTGTTTCACGAACTACAATCGTTATTGCACATCGTCTAACAACAGTCATGAATGCGGACATGATATTTGTACTAGAGCAAGGAAAAATTATGGAATATGGAAAGCACCAAGAACTGATAGAAAAAAGAGGATTATATTCTCAGTTAGTCAATAACCAACTCATTCATAGAAACCGAGACACAAATGGCCGTAAAGATAGTAATATGACAGTTGTACAAGACTCAAGCCAGAGAAACTTCAAAAACAATGACGATATACATCAGAGTCAAGATAGCTTGCTTTCAGACAAGACAGGTGATTCAAAACACACAGTATTTGAGAAAGTAATAGACAAGGAATACAAGAACCTACCCTTTATCAAGCAAAAAAAGAAAGCGACATCATCTACGTTGAAGACGCTACGAAACATGCGTCCAGAATGGCCAATGATGGCAGCAGGTGCTTTAGGAGCAATTTTGGAAGGCTGTATCCTACCACTATATGCTTATTCTTTTTCAACCATTACTGCTGTTCTTTATAATCCAGTTCACTTTGATCAATCCCAACCAGTTGTATTTCAAGGAGCCAATATGTATTCTTTTATTTTGGTTATTGTAGGTATTACTGCATTTATCGGAAGTGGGTTGAATAGTGTTTGCTTTTCCCTAAGTGAAGGAAAATACGCATATCGCCTACGGCATCTATTGTTCGCAACTTATATGAAACAAGAAGTTGGGTTTTTTGATACTCAAGAGAACAACATTGGATCATTAACAAAGAAGCTGGCTACTGACGCACTGGATGCAGGGAAGATTATCACACGGGTTTGGAGTGATTTGATTGTTCTTATGTCAGCACTCATTGTTGGCCTATCAATTGCATTTGTCCATAGTTGGGAGTTATCTCTGATTGTGTTTGGAATGGCCCTGGTAATTGCTGCTGCCAATGCGTATGATACACAAGTGGAGAAACGTTTTCAAGAGAAAATGAAGCTTGCAAACACAGATAGTAACAAAATAGCCGTTGAAGCCATTAGAGAAGCAAGGACAGTAACACGACTCAATAGACAACATGTATTTGAAAAATTATATCATGAAGCAACAGAATACCCACACCAACTCGCGATTAAAAAAGCCTATTTTTCTTGCATTGGATTTGCTCTTTTAAGAGGTATCACGATTTATACAAATGCAGTTGGATTCTATGCAGGTGCACGGCTCATTACAAATGGGAACATCAATTTTCAGCAATTGTTTACGAGTATCACAGTATTAATGACAGCAGCTGAAAAAGTAGGACAAAAACTGACATTTGCATCGAATTTTGCAAGAGGAAAAGCAGCTAGTTTGGCCGTCGATGAGATTTTGGATCGACCTTTACTGATAGACGATACGTTAGAAGGTCTGGAACCTGAGTCTATCAAGGGAAATTTTAAGTTACAAGATGTTGCATTTGCTTATCCTAGTCGACCTAATGCGCCTGTCTTCAATGGCGATTTCCATCTAGAGGGCCGCGCAGGTCAGACTATTGCTCTTGTAGGCCCTTCTGGCTGCGGCAAGTCTACTACCATCGGTATGATGCAGCGTTGGTACGATCCTGTCAAGGGCACAGTGTCTTTGGATGACCATAACGTCAAGTCTTACTCTGTCTACAACCTACGCCAACACCAAGCCCTGGTCTCGCAAGAGCCTATCCTGTTTGACATGTCGATAGGCGAGAACATCCGCTTCGGTATTGACGAACACAAGCAAGTGACTCAGGAGCAAGTAGAAGAAGCATGCAGAGCTGCCAACATCCATAGCTTTATTGCTAGTCTTCCTGACGGTTACGATACCCGTGTCGGCGACAAAGGCTCTCAGCTCTCGGGAGGCCAAAAGCAGCGTATTGCAATTGCGCGTGCTCTGATTCGCAAGCCTAAGGTGCTGTTGCTTGACGAAGCGACTTCTGCACTGGATAGTGAGAGCGAGCGACTTGTGCAAGAAGCGCTGGACAACATTTTGCAAGAAGGAGGCAGGACAACAATCACGATTGCCCACCGGTTGTCTACAATCAAGAATGCAGACCTTATCTGCGTGGTCAAGGATGGCCAAGTGATTGAACAAGGCACCCATTTTGAATTATTAGAACTGAATGGAATTTATAGTGATATGGTCCAAAAGCAATCTCTTGACTCGAATTAATAGATTCTATTAAAATTATAGCATTAGGTTTGGGGCTATTTTTTTAAGAGTTGTACGTCATTTTGTTATTTCTGTGTTCTGTACAATTTCTAAAATAGAATTGACAATTTCCACACGTTTAAAAAAAAATGAGTGACTCAGATTAATTACAGCCTCATCTTCAATTTTGTTTGCCAAGAGATCATCGATTACCAAGATATCAGCCAAAAAATCAAGTTATATAGTAATTTAGATGGTATGGATAAAGCAAAGCTACTTGAAATAGGTCTCAAACAAGTGTCATTGTATTGTAGGATAACAATGGCCACACACTTGACATCAGAAGGGGCAATAGTTTTTCCAGCAGCACTTAAACCAAGGGTATCCCCCCACCAGAATTTTTAATTTTAAGAAGTCAATTGCTAAGTGACAGACTAGTAAAATATCCTTGTATCTTTAAGCGTCTGTTTAAGATAAGCAATATTAATAAAACACAATAGGTTCACTAACTTAATTTGGCTTGTTGCGAGGGCGTATGAATCTTCTTATTTTCTTGGCAATAAACAACCTCCATTTATTTTTTTTTCCCTTCAAAGTTACGGGACGTGAGACAAATTCTTCTCAAATATCTAAGGAGATATATACTTATTTTTGTTCAGATGTCTTCTGTAATAAGTTCGTCTTTCATATTCCGCGTGAGGGACCAACGGTAAGTTCTTGATTCCTACTGGTAAAAAAAATTTTTTTTATGAAATCGATATTTTACTTTGGGTTCTTGGTAGATTGGATTTTCCTTGACTGTGATCGAAAATCTAAAAAAAAATTCTTTTTATCCATTATGAAAGCAGGCCGTCATAGAATTTATACCAACGAACAACGCAAAGCACGTAACCGAGAAGCTCAAGCAGCCTTTCGCGATCGTAGAAACAAACACACAAAAACGCTTGAAGACAGTATTGTTCACTTCGAGACGATGATCAAGGACTTGAAAGAGTCAAATATTCAAACAACCGAACGTGCTGAGCAAGCTGAAGAGCGCTGTCGACACCTTGAGTCAGAATTATCTTGCTTACAAAAACTAGTCCAGACTGTCTTGATTGATAATCAAAAACTTCAATATCAGCTTGATGCCTTTCTTATTTCAAGTGTGTCAATGTAATCCAGACAAATTTATTTATTTCTATTAGATAACAACCAATTATTTCCATACCTTCCTCAGGCAGACATGAACGTATTAACAAAGTCAAACACAGGCGAGTCTCATCATATTTCTTTTAAAAAAAAAGATAAATGATCCTAGAGTTTCTTTTTCATAGGCTACCCATCTTTTTCTTATCAGCAATTTTAAAATGTGTCTTGGCAAGTGTTTTATAACGTCAAAGAACTTTCTGATCCTAGTGTTTTTTTTTCTATAGATTTCTTCACATGTCTAGGTGCACAAGCAAGCAACATTTATTATTTACCGGAGGCTTACTGCGCCTACAAATAAACATCCTCTAAGCCTCCCCCTTTCTTTTCTTTAAACAAATAAAACCAGTTTCAGGTACTCAAAAAAAAAAAACGACAAGTAAAGACATATTTGAGTGTTATTAGAAATCCAAATTACCAATGAGGTAATCATGAGAGCACCGAGTATAAGCAAAAAGCAAGTTTTTTTGTGCAACACTCTTCTCTGTTCTGACCTCACGTGTGTATTGAATCAGCGTATAGGATTCAATTCATTCATATGAATAAGAGCTATATTCCAATTATAACCAGAGGAAAGGAAAATTCCGTGTTGTTTTGACAAAGACGCGTGTGCTCAGATCACCATTGTTTGTTTTGAATTGCCGTAGATTCGTAATCTTTCCTTATTGAGAACTGTCAATTGATTTGTAATATTACCTGGCAAAAAAGTTTCCCTTGACGCCATGCTACGTATACACACTCTGAGTTTATATAGACCACACAAAAGATGAGATCATTTCGTAGTTGTCAATGAATAAGCCGGACGGAAGAACTTGTTTTTTTTCCGCTTGACTAATACTATATTTTAATAAACAGGTATGTCAGCAAAAATAACCATCTACTTGTTTTTTTTTCTTTTTTTTTTGTGTCAAACTAAACATACAACGTGAAGCAAGTAAGTAAATGGAAAAGTGTTAAAAAAAAAAGAGAGCCTCATAATGACTACATGTACATCTTAGACAAGAACACAAGTGCCCTCTTTTTTTTTTCTCTAAATATAGCAAAAAGAAAACTCAATCTAGGTAACACACGGGAAGGTTTTTCCTGGAGCATATATACAGACTCAACTTGATTCAAATTAATAATTCATTGCTTTTTCCTTCTTTTTCTTTTCTTGTTCTGTCAAAATCATTCTCATGGCTAAAGCTACACTCGAACTTAAATACAAACGCCTTAAAGTTGGACATGCTTGTTATGTTTGTAGAAGCAAGAAAATAAAGGTAAACTAAAAAAAAGGGGGGGTTTTCTCTTACTGATATTATGTTAGTGTGATGGTCTTCGACCTTGTATGCAGGTAAGCTAACAAAAAGAATATGTCTGTATTGTCAACTTGTACTTATTGTAATGCTATGATTCTCTTCTTTTTTTAGTGCAAAGGTAAACAATTAAAATATATAAAAATAAATCAAAATTAATTACATATATAGCCAGAGGCCGAACTTGCGAATCCTCTAATATTGAAGCGCAGGAGAATAACGAAGACCATCTCAGCACAACAACAGTCGAGTCAGACAATGATTCCATCTTGTTCTCTACTTCAGATAACATGGCTACAACACAGGAAACTTGTTCAGAAACCAATATGTCCTTTTTTGATTATCCAAGATTTGGAAGCTCCATTCAATGGAAACAAGAACCACCATTGCCTTCAAAATACTCTTGTCCTATTGAAATGCCTTCCGGTGAACTACAGATGCAAATGATTGACCTGTTCTTTAGAAAGCGACATCGCATGCTTCCCATCTTACCAAAGAGCTTGTTCTATGAACAATTGCGTCTCAAAGGTCCATTGATTACACCACTATTATTGAATGCTATTTATTGTGATGTTAGCAGTTTTGCCCCTCATTGTGGCTTTCATGAAGTGCCGAAGCCCTCCGTCTTTTTCAATCGTGCCAAGAAACTCTTGGATGACTTCCTAGATAGGCCAAGAATAAGCACAGTAGTCGCACTTTGTTTGCTGTCCATGCATGAACCAAACCCCACTAAACTAAAATCAACAACAGCGAATCAACATTGTCGTTTGTGGATGTATGGTGGCATGGCAGCCCGCATGTGTCTTGAACTGGGTTTGAATATTGACACGCCTCGTACTCGGGGTATGCTTTCTGAGGAAGAAATTGAACTTCGCCGACGAGTCTTGTGGTCCTGTTATTTTCTAGATAAAACGCAAAGTATGTATTCCCAGCGCCCTTGGTCATTGTCTTCTTCTAGTATCAAGACCCAATTGCCTTCCGTCTTGTGTCCTGGTGATCAAGAAGAGGCTATCATAACCCAGTTCCAACACAATGTCAAGCTATTTATTCTTTATGAACAAGGTTTGCGCATACATGCTTCCTATGGCATTTTTGAAGACATCTCCAAAGATACTTTTATGGAACAAATCGAAAAATACAGACTTAAGATATTACAATGGGGAGTCAATTTACCTATTCGTCATGATGCTTCTGTTCAAGATGTGATCAATGAACCAACTAAACTGGCCTCAACAGCATTCCTTCAACTGTTCTATTATTTTATGTTAGCAGACATACTGGCTTGTTTGCCTCAAACGAATACTACTCACTTGGAAGAACGTATTTATGCATCCCAAATGGTCAAATGTGTTGAATCCCTATTAGAAGATCCTAGTATGGTACCTCGGTATCAGCTTTTGATTTATGCCTTAACTTCTGCTGTCCGTATTCATGCCCGCTTCCTCCGCCACTTGGATACACAGGTTTCTCAGCAGTCTAGGCAGTTTTACAATCAGAGTATGAGCCTATTTCAAAAGATTCAAAAATATGCATCCATTCCTGAATGTGCTACAGTCCTTCAACACATGTCAGCCTATAGTGAACAAGAAAACAAAACAACAACAAACAATACTACCACACAGCCACTCTCACCGCCAGAATATGCTTTGCCTATGGACAACTCTGTTTGGAACACACCTCAAGATATGTTCTCAATAGAAGACTGGACTAGTCCACAACTATCGACTATTAGTCAACCTTATTTGTACACTTCTCCTACATCTCTTTTGGACTCTCCCTTTTTACCTTGCCATTCATTCGATAACAATATTTTTGTACAGCCAAACGACTTTAATTCCTCTTTCATGATGCCTTCTGTATATAACCACTTTGTATAATAATATGAATCATAATAGTGATAATAATAATAATAATAATAAAAACATGTATATTTTGACATGACGTATGTGGCACACAAGTACAAGAAAGTTTTAATAAGGTATACAAGTTACAGTTCATCAGTTGTCTTTAATCGCTTAGGACTTTGACTATAGAAATCATCAGTATGCTATCATTGGTTGTGACCAGACTTACCCAGCTGCTTGGAGATAATGATTATTGTACCGCTTAAAATTAAAACGACTGTTCATTGGACTTGTGTGTTCTTCAACTGCATATTCTTCTTCTCCATCTGATAAAAACTCTCTTGCAATGCCTTGCAATAATGAAATGTTCCTCTGCGTTTCTTCTGTATTGTTTCCTTGCTCTGTCTCTACATTTTCTATCACTTCTTCTACCGGTCTTAATTCTATTGAACTATCACTTTTTTCTTCTTCTTCTTCGTCTTCGTCTTCTTCAGAGTCTAATACAATCACGTTGGAAAATTTTCTTTTAGGTCGTCTCGTAGGTTGTTCGTCTAAACCCGACTGTTTGGCTTTTAATTGTTGCTTTAGTCGTTCATTTTTCGCTTTTATACTAGACATTGCTTTTTCGCTGATTGTCGCTCTTTTGAGTGCTTCATCACGCTCTCTAATACATTACAAACAGGATTTATGGATGTTTATCTACTTACTTGTTGGATGCAGTAAATCTGGCGGTTAAACTACCAAAAGCAACCAGTAAATCATCATTTGACATATTTTGAAGACTACGAAGATAAGCTTTTGCTGTTGGACTTGCTAGATAATCATCGATATCAGCCACTCTAATGGGGAGGGGAGGGGGGGGAGAATATCAACATAAAAAAAAATTTGCATAAATAGCACTTACCTTCTAACTTGTTTTAAATATCGCATAGCTTTGGTTGTACTCTTGAGTTCATGTTGCATTTGTTCTATCTTTAAGTTAGCATTGGCTAAGTCTTTTCGTAACGATTGGCGGTCTTTATTGCAGCTGTTGTATTCATTCGTAAGTGTGTTGATTTTCAGTTGTAGATCGCGAGTTTTGGTATTAGAAGAAGACGGATCATCTACTACTTCTGTATCTTCTGTAGTAGAGAAATAAAGAGGTGATATAATTTGACGATGGGAAGTTGATTTTTTACAAAGAGGACATTTTTTTGACTGATCAATCCAAGGACGAATACTGCGAAAAATGAGTTCTTGTCCATGTATCTAGCATCCTTACCAATTCTTATGAAAGACATGACCACAGGGTATAACAGCTGAGTTACTTGTGTCTGATAGAAGCGATCCAAAGCAAATAATACAGTTATAATTCATAATGTAAAGGAGAGATGTACAGAGCAAGAAAAAAAAAGAAAAGCAAAGAGAATGGTTGTACCATATATGGTATCTGCAGACCATGTAGTCGGACAGTATAGAGTCCGGTAATATGCAGAAGCTCGGAACATCTTGACTATCATAGCATTGGTTTGCTAGTAGTGAGCAGCTACTCTCTTCATGGCCACAGACTCTCTAGCACGTACCAATACACATTGGACCAAGAAGGTACATACTCCTTTGCCTGAGTTTACATACAGTCATTTACCAATTCAACAAGCAGTACTGATTTTTGATAGTAGCATAAGGGAGCTTGTTGCACATATTATGCATGAGAAAGTCAACTTATTATTACCTAAGAAGCAGATAAAAGCCTAAAAGGACGTTCAGAACATACTAAGTTTAATTTATTCTCTGTCTATTTCTTAGGTTCATTTCAGACACCATCTCAAATGATCCTGATAGTTTAATTTTTAAAAAAAAGCTGTTTCTTATTATGAAAGAAGGCCTGGCATCAAAGACAAAACGTCAATCTTTTTGTGTACAGGTAGATAGACAAACAAAGGAGAACTTTAAAGCCATTTCACTAAATCAATAGACATCCAAATCAAATTAAGCGTATAGTTGCTGAAATGGCCTTTCATCTTAAGAGGTCTTTTCTCGCAATAGCTGCTCTTCTTTCCTTTTATATTTTCTACTTTCGTACTATCGTACCAATTTTGTTTTTCTTTATATTTTCTTACAATAAATAATTGTCGAGCACCTCTTTTAGTGGGTCCCTCCCAAGACCACTAATACGTGCGGCAAATAAAATCATTAAAAAAGTCATTATACAGGATGGTCCATACCACCTCTTTTATTCTACTTATTGATCAAGAACAATGCATCCCCGCCTACTTATCTGATTCTATCCTTAGCCTTTCCTCAACTATTGATACCAGTAGTTTTTGATGTCATTGACACAAGACTGGATATGTATCTCATTCAACGTCAGCAAGGAAGACAGATCCAACCCTTTTATGAAGTCTTGAGTATTTGGAATCAAGTCTATCCGCTTCCCAATGTTAAACAAGAGCCTAGTCTAGATCAGATCCGTCATGATGCCGCTCGGTTCTTAATCAGAGCAGGTATGTATATCTTGATCTATATACCACTCTTTGGCTTTATGGATGGGTTTGTCAGAGTCTGTCAAGAACCACCTGAATCACTGAATACGACTGACGCCTATCTGAGTCGAGTATGGACTTTGGGACATCCTTCTTTCAAGTTTTTATTCTATTATTTCTGGATAGGTATCACACTCACACTTCATATTGTGATTATACCTCTTCTCCATCTTGTTTTTCATGCCATTCAACTAAATCTGGTGATTTGGTTGCCTTTTCATCACAAGTTACGTGTACGACTGCACCATGATCTCGCTCAGTTTGTTGCTCAGCCTTCCTTGTTCACCAAACCCTGGTTGACTCGCTCTGTACATGATCTCTGGTCAAGGCGATGGCATCAGGTCTTTCGTTCAGGATTTCTTCAGTTAGCTTATTCGCCTGTCAGACGATGGTTTACCAACAAGACAATAGGAAGATGTGCAGGTACAATGGCTGTCTTTATCTGTTCTGTTCTCATGCATGACTATCTGACCTTGGCCATGATGGGTTATTCTTCGCCTAAAAAGGGTGTTTGAGGACACCAGACTCTATTTTTTACTTTACAAGGCGTAGGCACCTTAGTGTCTCTCAAGAGCCCTGGTTTGCCTACTTGGCTTGCTTGGTTATTGACTTGGATCTGGATTGTCTATACAGCTCCTATCTTTTTAGAACCTTATATTCGATTAGGCTACCATCATTTTGCTCAAGTACCTGGATTTCCTAATTTCTTAGACCCTTTGATGGGCAAATTATGTCCTTTTGGTAATAAATAAGTCTTTATTCAATCAATGTATTTAATGATTCTGTAAAAGCATAATCAACAGATTGACCATGCGCATCATAAGCATAGGCTCGAATACTGTCTTCCTTGCCTGTGAATTGAATCCAACCACCTGCAGGGAAACTGACTTCAAAGAAGAAGTCATAATGGCCTGAAGGATGTTGCGTCTTGAGCTAGAAACAGTATGTCACTTCATTCTATTGAACTGTTCAACTTACTCGAAGTGTAATGATCTCCTCTTGACTGGTATGTTCAGCGCAATCATAGGTGGTGTATGGACAACATGCATTTTGACCTGGTTTTAATGACTCCCTTTTAAATGCTTTAAACACATTGGCTCCTCTGTTTGAAGGTTGTTGGTGAATATAAAACGATACTTCCTCTGAGTCATTATAGACACAGAATGCACTGACAAACATAAGGAAAGGTAACAAGAACAAATATTTCATGCTACGGATAAGTTTATTTCCTATGGTTTATTTAACATAAATCCATGCCTTTTGTTCTCTCTTTTTGGAACTTATTCAGTGTATTTTAGTTTTTTTACTCTTGATCCATTATTAGAAAATGCAGGCTATAAATAAACATGAATATGAAGAAAAGAAAAAAAAAACTTACAGATCCATATTGAGAAGACTGTTTCTTTTTCTTTTGATTGTAGTAAAGATCAGCACTATCAGGACTACCTAATCCATTATCATCACTTGAGAGAGATGGAGATCCTGCACCTATTCTTCTGCTTGCTACACGACTTGACTGTCTTCCTGATAGACCAAGGCATTTCTCCAAGTGAGGAGCATAGCGTGTAGAAGTAACTGTCTTTTGACAATTAACACATTCATAAGAAGGTAAATTGTTGACTGTATAACTCTTTCCCCAAATATCAAAGCCTGGTTTCCTCACTTGTCATTTGATTAGTATATACATATATATATATATATATTTAATGATTATATTATTTACCATAGTGTTTGCACCTATACTAAAATAATGAGCACAACAATATATGATAATCCTACTTTTTTTTTTTTTTTTTTTTTTTTTTTTTTTTTTTTTTTTTTTTTACTTTGTTTGACATATTTGGCATGTTGCATTCTCCTTTTTCATATCTTTATGAGCATCAAGCAATACATCAAATATGCATTCATCAATCAAATCTTCTAACAATGAAAATGCCTAACAATAAAAGACGTCATTCAATCAACATTGGCTTATTGTTGTCTTTTGCTTACAATAGCTGCTCTTGGTGTATTGGGTTTTTTGGTTATTTTGGGTATATTATTTTGTAAGCTTGTTTGCGTATGTTGTAGTTCTTCAAGTGTTCTGTTACGATCAGACAATAGTTTTTTATAAAGACTATGGGACAAAGATGAGCACAAAGGTGTGTTTTATATATGCATACAGAGTCGCTGCTTCTTTTTGACTTTCAGATAGACTGTTGTCTAACTTTGGTTTTTGCATAGTAAATTAAAAGAGTTTGTAATATCATAATATGTAAATACAGAAACAAAAACTATTTATTGTTTTTTGCCATGAATTTGGTTTCAAAAGAAAAGCACACACGCTCTTCCCCGGCTCGCTTGTCTTCTCTTTTTCTTTGCTGGTTTACCTTTTCAATAAGCTTCGCAAGCTCGCACTGTATGGAACACGTTAATTTACTGTTACTAGCATTCGTTTGTTTACAATCAATACCTTAACATAGTATAGAGCTTCGACAATTGAAGGTAAATGTACCAGTTGGTGAAGTTCTTCAACCAAAGAGAAGCGTTCAAATGCCATAGGCATGTATATTCCATCAGCAGGAAGCCTCATTTGGAACAGGGTGCATTTGAAGCCTATCAAAGTATCTGCATTAGACATTTTGTTCTTCTTTCAAGACACAAAAGACAAAGTGAGAGTATACCTTCAACTAGCAGACCAAGAGATAAAGGGTCTTTTACTCCAAGACATAACTGATCATCTAGAGAACCTTTCATCAGCTTCATCAGCTTAGCATAGTCGTCTTCTAGCTGATATTTGCTTGTTGCTTCAGGTCTCTTAATCTCAATAAAAAAGAAGAAAATCTCTTTGTTTCTGACTCTAGTTCCAAACATTGAATCTGGCTTCTTTTTATTCTTACAAGGCTTGTCGATCCTATCCGTAAGGATTATTCTCTGCGGTTAGTACAGTTAAAAAAAGAAAATTGGGTATACACTCACAAAGCATAGTATAGTTCTTCACTAGCATTTTTCAAAAGTACTCTTTGAATTACTGGTGTTAAGTACTTGTCGGTGAATGAAGCTTCTGAATTATTGGCAGCAGAAGCGCGGTATTCTTTCATGTTCTTGACGAGGTCTTTGACCATACTCAGCATGACTTCTTTTTCTTCATCTTCCTTCTCTTCTTCCCCACTATCATCATCATCATTCTCTTCTTCCTAATTGAAAACAGTGTCAAAGAAAACTAGTCGTTTGAACTAATGCAACATACATCGGCTTCTTTCTTACAGTATATAACTGCCTTGGCAGGTGCACGAATTATTTTGGGCTTCATGCCTCCAGATAGTGACTTTAAGATATTGCGAGTATCAGAGTCAAAATATTTTGTAATACATTTTTTGGAATCAAACTTATTGATTAGGAAAATGTGGGATAGAGAACTAGGTTGGTAAGATTTGGTCCAATGAAAATTAGTGTGCGAAGAAAGGTAGGGGATGGCTCTTTGGATACTCACAGGATTCTTAAGCAATTTATATCATTGTTTTTGTCAGCTTCAGCTATCGACTGCTTTCTAAATCTCTTGAGCACCTCTGTGACATTTATGTTTTCGACGAAAAGCTTAACATATTGGTTAGGCGTTCTTTAATTATAAATATTTATACCCCCACTTACTTCCTCCTTTGATTTCCACTCCTTCTGTCCCCTGCCCATAAAGTGATTTATTTTCTTATATCGTTTTACGGAAGAAACCGATGAGTTCGATAACTGTGGGCTTTGAGCTAAATATCTACTCTCTCTTCATCTCACAACATTTTTTCCCGTTAATTGCTTGGTAAATCCTACAAGATGAACAACTCTGGTAACTCTGGTAACTCTGGTAACTCTGGTAACTCTGGTAACTCTGGTAACTCTGGTAACTTTGAAAACATTACCAATCTTGATGTCTCCTCTTTGACTATTGAACCTTCTGCTGGAACATTGACTGATGCCCAGATGGATGAGTCGATTGATCAAATACTTAGTGAAGCATCAACTGTTAGCTCGGCTGTAAGTCCTGGCCAAGACTACAGAATGGTAGAAGAAAACCTCGCTATGCTGCGAAACGAAATGGCATCTACGTTGAGAGCTTTTGGCACTGCTAGGAGCCTAAATGATAGTGCCGCAGCCGATAGAGCACTCCAAGAAGTGGAGCGCATTAAATCGAGCATCCGCAGCTTAGACGAATACAAGTCCATGGTGTTGAAAATTGATGGAGCTGCAAAGCCCACCGGCTTCCAAAAGCAAAATGTTTCCTCTAGTGATAGCGTTGGAGCTGTTTCGAGTGGCCTTTCTTTGAGTCGCCGGGATTTGCCCAAATATCAGTTACTAGCCAACTCACATAGACCCTTTCCAAACGAAGAGGCTTTTGAGTCGGACGAGCACTTTCTACATACCTTTGAGAATGGGGTATACTCTTCCTCACAGGATATTGAAGCCGTGTGGAAAAGATACATTCCATTGTGTCTTCCGTATGGAGCGGATGCCTGGGCCCACACTAACTTGAAGCGCTGCGGATCCTGGACTGAAGCATTTAAAAAGCACTTTGGTTCGAAGTTCAAGACTAGGGAGTATAACACTCAGGTGTTTACTATGACCATGAAGAACGATGAACCCATTGGCACATACACCAATCACTTTCTCCAAACTGTTTACAATGCTGGCATACCGAAGGATGATCCTCGAGTAGCTGATCGTTTTCTTGCTTCTCTGACTGCTCCTGTACAGACTTTGACACGTCTGGCGTGTATGAATACGTTGGGTAGACAGACAGAAGATTCTTCGAGTTGGACTGTGGAAAACATAGCCGATGTCGCAAGAGATGTGTTGGGTGATGATGCGTCCAAATATACTACGTCTACTTCCTTGTTGCCTGGTGTGGCAGGGCTGAGTCATGCTGTTGGTGTGAACCCTTTGGGTCATGCTAAGAGACATGTTAGAACGAGAAGAACGCAGGTTGATCGCTCTGCACCTTACAATAAACCTGGCACTAGCAAGTCATACTTTTGCAAGATGCATGGGCAAAATAGCACTCATACCACGAATAAGTGCTATATCATAAGCAAGAATAAAAACAAAGAAAAGAAGGCAACTATCTCTCGACAATGTGACAATCCTTGAAGATTTTGCGATGAACCTTGGATAGAAAAGAAACAGACGATGATACTGAAATGATCACGGATGATTGCTTTGACTGTAAGTACACAAACGAGATCAAAGCGAAAGATGCTTTACATAAAGACACTTTTGACTTATTGACACCTATGATTATAGAAAACCACAAGATGATGGCAAAGGTTGATACCAGAAGCACACATACTTTTATAAAGTTAGACTCGCTTAGAGCTAAATTAAATATAAGCAAAATAAACAAAAATATTAGTGGTTTCTTTAATTGCTTGTCTAAAGACAATAAAATTTCTCGTATTGGTATTACAGATCCTTTAACTGTAAAATATACAAATAGAATCACTTTTAAGCACCAATTTGAAGTCATAGATTTTAATGATAGCTTTGACTTTGACATTCTTCTTGGTACGGACATTATGGGTAAATTGGGTATTGCACTTACAGGTGTTGCATACAATTTAGAAAATGATAGTGCTGATCCAAATGATAAAGACTCTATCTTTTCTAATGCAAACATCGTAACAACTGATACACCTGAACCTGATAATTCACCTGCTGGATCTGCTGAAGAGGTTGCACAGTTTATGGCTTCCATCCAAGATGCTATTGATGAAAATCAAAAGATACCAGTAGAGTCATTTTGTCCTATTCCAGAATCCATTATCAAGTTGCCCACACCTGAAGGAGCAACCGCTTATCGTCGTCAGTACAGCATCCCGCATACATTGAGGCCTGTCCTAGATGAACAGATAAATGAATGGCTTAGAACAAAAACAATAGAGAAGTGTGGTGTCAATACTTCTTTTAATAGCCCGGTGTTACTTGTACCTAAAAAGAACAAACAGGGTGAAATTGTCAGCCATCGAGCTTGTTTGGATGTTAGACTTTTAAATAAGATCTTACCACCAACATATAACTTTGAAGTGCCACTGGTGAGAAACATTTTTGAAAACTTAAGAGGCAAGAAGATTTTCTCAACTCTTGATCTCTCTAATGCATATCATCGCTTTAAAATCCATCCTCCAGATGCGCATAAATTAACATTTTCTCATAATGGACAGCAATACTGCTTCATCAAGGGATGCTTTGGACTAAAGAGCCTAACTTCTCAATTCTGTAAGGTTATGGCCATTTTGTTTGAGGGTATGGATTGCGTTCAATCTTTTGTTGATGATTGTATCGTGGCCAGTGAAACATCCAAGCAACATGCCAAAGATGTCAAAATGGTGATAGACAGATTGATACAAGCCAAATTGATTTTGAATCCAAAAAAATGTGTTTGGTTTCAGCAGTCAGTTAGGATGCTTGGATTTGTGGTCAATGCAGATGGGATTATGGCTGATAAAGCCAAACTCACTAACGTTGAATCATGGCCAGTACCAAAGACAGCGAAACACATTCAACAGTTCATGGGGTTAATCAATTATTTTAGAGAATTTGTACCGATGATCTCTACTGTTGCTGAGCCTTTGACTAGATTGAGCCATGCAAAGAACGTAGAAGAGCTGTGGTCTGATGAGCAAACTAAGAGCTTTAATGCCTTGAAAGCCATCTTACACTCAAATATGCTTTTGCATTATCCTGATTTCACCAAAGAATTCTTTGTTGCCTCTGATGCTTCTCAGTATGGTATATCTGCTGTATTATTTCAGAGAGATGATAAGGGTAGAGACAAATATATTAGTTTTGTGTCCAATGCTCTATCACCCTCACAACGCAGATGGAGTGCTACTCGTCGTGAGTTATATGGTGTTCTGATGGCTTTTCGTCGCTTCCATCAATATATTTGGGGACGCAGATTTACATTGCACACAGATCACAAAGCATTGATTTATATGCATACTCAACGAGATTGCAACAATATGATGTTGAATTGGTACGAAGAAATTCTGACTTATGACTTTGACGCTGTGCATATTCCTGGTATCCTTCTTAAATTGCCAGATTTGTTAAGTCGTTTGTATTCCCCTCTCGACCAATTCGAAGGTGATCACAAACTGGTAGGGGGTAGCACTGGCAATCGAAAGCGAAATGTACAAGCTGCCAAAATAAAAAGAGTTGCTATTTGCAGGAAGAAATATAGCAGAGATAAAAATCTGCATGTTCTTACCACGCAGCTGGTTGAGCAGACTAAAGAACCACTTGATTATTTTACACCGCCTGAGACTGAAAGAGAAAAGCTCTTGCGTGATGCACATACTTTTGGACACTTTGGCAGTCATACTATTGTGCGTGAACTACACTCTCAAGGACTTTATTGGACAAATATGTATCAAGAAGCCAAGGAACTAGTAAGTTCATGTCCTGAGTGCCAAAAGCATAATATAGCAAAAAGAGGTTACCATCCACTAACAAGCATTATTGCATTGCGACCCTTTGATCATGTATCTGTTGATTCTGCAGGTCCTTTTCCTGTAACTGAAAATGGGAATACTGAAATCTTGGTCTTGACTGATATTTGTTCAAAATATATTATTGTCAGAGCACTTAAGAACCAACAACCAGATACCATTGCCAATACACTTATGCAGATCTTTGGAGACTATGGATTTCCTTGTATTCTACAATCCGACAATGGCAGAGCATACCATAACTTGTTACTTGAATCCATTTCAAAAAAGCTCGGCATTGATCGCAGATACTCCACTCCCTATCATCCTAGAGGAAATGGAAGTGCTGAAGCTAGTGTAAAAATTGTTGAAAACACGCTGAGAAAGATGTGTCAATCGAATAGCAAAGACTGGGATTATTACTTACCAGTAGTCCAGCTTTCTATCAACAACGCTATCAAGAATAAGACGTTGAGTTCACCCTTCTCATTGATGTTTGCACGCAAAGTTGGCTTACCTAAAAACTATAAAGAAAAGAACAAATATCCACTTCCTAAAGATATGATGACGCGTGATGATCTTGAGCAGCGCATTGATCACATGGAGAAGATTGTCTTTCCCGCTATCTTTGAAAGAACTCAAAAGATAAATGAGGAGCACACAAAGAGGTTTGATACGAAGAATATGCTTGTCGATATTGAACCCAGAACACATGTTATGGTAAGACTGCAAAAGAGACCGAGTAAACTGTCTCCATTATATGAAGGCCCCTATACTGTTGTAAGAAGAAACAAAGGTGGCTCATATGAATTAAAAGACGAGCAAAATGAATTATTGCATCGTAATTATACACCATCAGAACTGAAGATTGTGACCATTGATGAATCAACCATTGAAGAAGAATAATTTGAAGTAGAAGATATTCGTGATCATCGTGGCAAGCCAGGAAGACGAGAGTACTTGGTTAAATGGACTGGTTTTGGTGAAAGAGCTAACACTTGGGAGCCTGCATCTAGTTTCCAAGATCCTACAATCATCAATCGCTACTGGGATAAAGTTGAAAAACTAAAAACATTAGAGCATGAACGCATTGAATCAAAATCAAGCGATAAATCTGCATCTAACAAAGAGAATAAGAATGATGTACTACACAAGACAGGAACAAAGAGAAGAAACCATCCTACTAGACAAAGTAGAGAGGAATTATCCACAAATGGAAGAGCTAGCAAAAGAATTAAATGCTAAGTGACATGAAAGAGAAGAAAAACTATTTTCCTTTTGAAGAACACAAATTGCATAGACTCTAAATCATTTTTATGTCAAGTAACGTTATATCAAGCCTAGATGCTCACATTGTAAGAAGCCGTTTACAACTATCAAAGATGAGTTGACTCTTGAGGAGGGTAATGTTGTGAACATATATGAATTCATATGATATTACAAACTCTTTTAATTTACTATGCAAAAATCAAAGTTAGACAACAGTCTATTTTAACAAAGAAAAACTGTTGGCGAAAACATTACTAAGAAACTGGAGAAATATCCCACGAAAAGTCTAAAAATCCCAGCCAACTTGGCTCATTTATTTTCGAGTATGAGCAGCATATTGAACAAAGAATGCTCTATTTTTAATAGTTTTATAGCATATAAATACAAAAACAAAAACTGTTTATTGTTCTTTGCCACGAATCTGGTTTCAAAAGAAAGTTACATGTCGCTAATGTATTGTTAAGACATTTTCAGATGAAATTTTGTCCATGAGACAACAAAATGACTGGTTCTGAGTTTATGAGTGGGCGTTGAAATCTTGGGATTTTGTTCGGATTGGATTTTGAGATAGAATTTAACTAGTTTGTTATATTTTGTTGATAATATAGTAAAAGCTTTATTGATATAAGTATATGATATAATTGATAATGTAATATTGAGTTATCTTACTTTTTCTAATTCTCGAGTAATGCTTGAGACAAAATCCAAAGAAAAAAAATAAAGTGATAGGATAGATGATAATTATATAAAAAATTGAAGGATATGTGTAACAGGTACACAACAAAAAAAGAAAAGGGAAGACAGAGACAACTCAAAGGTATACTAAGTACACACTATTTCGCAACCTTTCAGCGTGTATTAAAGAAGTCAAAATGTTACACGAATCAGGTAAATGTTTAAATTCTGTTATTTACTTGAGAGCGCGCAGCAAGCATTTTTCTCTGTTTTCATATTTATTATTGCTCTTATCGTATTCTTTAAAATGTCAAACTCATTCAAACACTGCAAATTTAACGGCAATGTCCAGGTTACAATAAATATAAAAAGAGAAAGATGTATGCTCAAAGAGATCATTTGTAAGAATCAGATCTAAACTTGATTTTTTTTAGCTCAAAGCCCACAGTTATCGAACTCATCGGTTTCTTCCGTAAAACGATATAAGAAAATAAATCACTTTATGGGCAGGGGACAGAAGGAGTGGAAATCAAAGGAGGAAGTAAGTGGGGGTATAAATATTTATAATTAAAGAACGCCTAACCAATATGTTAAGCTTTTCGTCGAAAACATAAATGTCACAGAGGTGCTCAAGAGATTTAGAAAGCAGTCGATAGCTGAAGCTGACAAAAACAATGATATAAATTGCTTAAGAATCCTGTGAGTATCCAAAGAGCCATCCCCTACCTTTCTTCGCACACTAATTTTCATTGGACCAAATCTTACCAACCTAGTTCTCTATCCCACATTTTCCTAATCAATAAGTTTGATTCCAAAAAATGTATTACAAAATATTTTGACTCTGATACTCGCAATATCTTAAAGTCACTATCTGGAGGCATGAAGCCCAAAATAATTCGTGCACCTGCCAAGGCAGTTATATACTGTAAGAAAGAAGCCGATGTATGTTGCATTAGTTCAAACGACTAGTTTTCTTTGACACTGTTTTCAATTAGGAAGAAGAGAATGATGATGATGATAGTGGGGAAGAAGAGAAGGAAGATGAAGAAAAAGAAGTCATGCTGAGTATGGTCAAAGACCTCGTCAAGAACATGAAAGAATACCGCGCTTCTGCTGCCAATAATTCAGAAGCTTCATTCACCGACAAGTACTTAACACCAGTAATTCAAAGAGTACTTTTGAAAAATGCTAGTGAAGAACTATACTATGCTTTGTGAGTGTATACCCAATTTTCTTTTTTTAACTGTACTAACCGCAGAGAATAATCCTTACGGATAGGATCGACAAGCCTTGTAAGAATAAAAAGAAGCCAGATTCAATGTTTGGAACTAGAGTCAGAAACAAAGAGATTTTCTTCTTTTTTATTGAGATTAAGAGACCTGAAGCAACAAGCAAATATCAGCTAGAAGACGACTATGCTAAGCTGATGAAGCTGATGAAAGGTTCTCTAGATGATCAGTTATGTCTTGGAGTAAAAGACCCTTTATCTCTTGGTCTGCTAGTTGAAGGTATACTCTCACTTTGTCTTTTGTGTCTTGAAAGAAGAACAAAATGTCTAATGCAGATACTTTGATAGGCTTCAAATGCACCCTGTTCCAAATGAGGCTTCCTGCTGATGGAATATACATGCCTATGGCATTTGAACGCTTCTCTTTGGTTGAAGAACTTCACCAACTGGTACATTTACCTTCAATTGTCGAAGCTCTATACTATGTTAAGGTATTGATTGTAAACAAACGAATGCTAGTAACAGTAAATTAACGTGTTCCATACAGTGCGAGCTTGCGAAGCTTATTGAAAAGGTAAACCAGCAAAGAAAAAGAGAAGACAAGCGAGCCGGGAAAGAGCGTGTGTGCCTTTCTTTTGAAACCAAATTCGTGGCAAAGAACAATAAATAGTTTTTGTTTCTGTATTTATATATTATGCATAGATCAATAAATGATGATCATGGCAAAAAACCAGATCACATCTATGGCAATTGAAAGATAGAATTTTCATAAGCTTCTTCTCTCCCTTTTAGCGTCTCTCTCTCTCTCTCTCTCTCTTTCTTTCTTTACCTTCAATCAAATATTTTTTGTATAGTTTTTTATGGTCAAATCTGGCAAAGCATGAATCATTTAGTGTCATGAGATGTTTGTGTATTGATATTGTAATGCTTTTGTATTATGAAACGATATTTATATTACACAATTGACTGGATTGATACATTTGTTTGTTCTCACAAGCTAATGAGTTACTACTTTGGGATTCTTTACAGTGTGTTTCCTTGTTAGCTAAATAACTCACGTCCTGATTAACCAATATCATGCAACTGTGTTGATTGAAATACATAGACGTCTTTCATTTTTTATTTTAGGTGTTACATAAAAGTAAAGATGCGTTACTCATCATGTTCTAGTATTACTTGCTTTGAACATGACAAAATCACTGAAGTCATCTTCAAGAGAGAAAGTCTAGTGACAATTGCTGAACAAGCAAGTGCTCTGCTTTTCAAAGTCCTTCAGCAGGCGGAGCTAGTGGTTATCCTTTTTATCGGCCGTGTTCATCCCATAACGATACCAAGAAACTATCTAATATACTTTCCTTCGTAATACACGCAAACATAAGAGTAAAAGAAAAAGAAAAAGTAAAAGTAAAAGTAAAAGTAAAAGTAAAAGTAAAAGTAAAAGTAAAAGAAAAAGCAGGTTTTGTTATTTAGGCGACAACTTTTTTTTAGTAACCAATCAGGTTTGTGGGAGACACTGTCTACTGCTTTATCGAGCCTATCACTTCCTCTCAAAGTTGAAACCTGAATTCAGTGTTAATTATCATTCACAAGAGGATCATAGCCATCTAACAAACATAAATAAATATAGTCTATACAACATAAGCATGACTTACAAGCACAAATGCCTTGCATATAGCAAGCCAGTACAATGCCTGCTGCTACTTGAGACACAGGGTGTGTAAACCGAGTAAAAAGGCTAGGACATAAAATATTTGCCAATGATGAATATGTAGACTAATAGTGTTGCTATATGGATTTGCCTTTTCTTCATCTTTGTAATATCTTGTCCTGATCCAGTTTTGATTGACTTCTTTTATCAACAAAACAGCAACAAACAAAAAGAACAAAGGTACACATAATGCACATACATAGTAAATCACAAAAGGTAAAGGCAATATGCTTGCAAAATAAATATGCACACCTGCAAACGCCAAAATCACACTATATTTGGAAATTTAAGGAGATGAGATGCAGTTTGTTCAACTTACGCCAATGCCACTAAAAACACAACCCACATCCCTTTAGGCCATTGTTTGATGTTGGGTAAAGACGTCTTTGTATAGGGCTGTTCTGCTATCAAAGCATAGCCAAATAGAGAAGGATAAAATGCAATGACTGTGATCCAACTAAACACTTTAGTATAATTACCAAAGATAAATAGAATTACACCATAACTAAATGCCAGCATAGTATCACTCCAATGCCTTGCTATGGACTTTTTGTTGACTTCCCAATCATATTTCTTGGCTATTAAGCGATAGATGGGATAAGGTACAAGATAGAATGACAGCATAAAATAAAGAAATACAAGTGGGTGAAATGAAGCAAGGGCAGTATCCGATGTAGAAGCAGGATCAGAAAACTGAAGCGTATTTGGACTAGGAGTAGTAGCTGTATACCAGATCATAAAGAGAGAAAGAGGGAAAGAAAAGAGTAGTTTATGCTTCATCAAGACATGCATTGATTGGTAAACTGTGACTTGCCGTTTATTTAGATACTTTCTTTTTTTTTTTTTTTACTCTTTTCTTTTTCTTTTATGTCACAAAATCTTATCAACGCAAACCCTACTATTTACAGCACAAAAACTCTGACTCGTAAAGAGACAGAAGCAGAACTGGATGATGATATTGAAGACCCTATCGACGCACAAGAAGTATTTGACCTTATCCGTTCTATTTCTGATCCCGAACATCCCTTGACATTGGAACAACTGAATGTCACTCAATTTGAACATATTCAAGTGGACAATCAGACCAACAAAGTCTTGATTGAGTTTACGCCTACTATTCCTCATTGCTCTATGGCCACTTTGATTGGTTTATGTATCCGAGTTCGATTACTGCGCAGTTTGCCTGATCGATTCAAGGTAACAGATAGTTTTTTCTTTTGAGAGACATGACTCATTGTATTAGGTCGATATTCGAGTACGTCAAGGTACACATCAATCAGAAGCTGCAGTCAATAAACAACTGAACGATAAAGAAAGAGTAGCAGCAGCATTAGAAAACAATCATTTATTGGAAGTGGTGAATCAATGTTTAGCCACAGCTAGTTTACGTGGTGTTGAAGTCAATTAATAAATAACATGTCCTACAGCTAAATCTTTGGTTGTTTCTTCTTCTTCTGGTTCTAATCGACGTATCAATTCAACCATTTCTTCTGCCGTGCCCACAGAACGTAAAAAGGCATGCTTCAATAAGACATCAGCGCTTGGACGATCTTTTTCATTTTCCGTAGTACAGAGGCGAAGGAAATCCTTAAAGTTATCTGACCATTGATCGGGTGCTTGAAGGGAAGGAAGGCCGTGCGAAGCAATCAAGAACAATGCCTAACAGTAAGGTCAATTATATGAGATAGTTGTGCTTATCTTTACCCTTAAAGGTGGGTATTCAACATAAGGTGGATCCCCTTCAGCCATTTCTATCAATACAACACCTAAACTCCAGATATCCACTTTAGCATTATAGTTTTGTCCTTTAATCACTTCAGGTGCCATCCAATAAGGTGTGCCTACAATTGAATTTCTTTCTGGCTGAGAGGGTGTCAATTGAGCACAGTGACCAAAATCAGCTATTATCATCAGTGTTGTTTTCTTTCTTTTTTTCTTTTTCTTACCTAACTTGACTTCTCCTCGCATGTTCAACAAGACATTATCACTTCGAATATCACGGTGAATACGATTCAATCGATGTAAACGACATAAAGCTCTTAATACATCTCGAGCCACTCGAGCCATTTGTTCTTCTCGCATACGAGGTCCATCTTCTAAAGAAATAATGTCTGCTAAAGAGATATCCATGTATTCCATCACAATCCAAATCTCTTCTTGATGTTTATAACATGCTATAAATTCAACAATGTTAGGGTGTCGACTCATTTTCATGGTAGTCAGTTCATTTCGTATTTTGGCTAGTTTATCTTGTGCTGTGGCAAGGATCTTTTTGATAGCAACCATACGTGTGGTTGCGACATGTTTGGCTGCATACATGGGACCTGATTCTCCTTCTGCAATTAAAGTCAAATCTGTATAAAGTGTAGTTGGATCTGTTGTATCTATCAAGTCATCTAAAGTCCCATATAAGATGGGGCGTATCCTGAATATCAACCTTACCAATAAAATCAGAAGTCAGGGCTAAATGAGTATCTTGTGTAGTATTAGGTGAAGTGGTATGTATAGGGGTGGTGGTATCATGGTTGGTTATAACTGTCAAATCTTCAGAGTTGACTTTCGATGCTATTGGTGGTGTTATTTCTGTTGTTAGTGATAGATTCACTAAAGTAGAGGATCTTCTTATACGTGAGGGAGGTGCATATCCCATAGGCAGTTCTTCTTCTTCTTCGTTGTCTTGTTTTTGTTGCTGTTGTAGTGATTCAGGCATACGTACATGATGCATCAGCTTCTCTACAGTGACAGGATTGTTTTGAACAACTTCCTCAGGAATACCTGAGGCAATCAGAATCTTTTGCCATTTGACAGGTAGTCCTTTGAATCCATATTGATCTACTTGAACATGAACATTGTGTTGTACATTAAATGGTTTTCCAATCATAGTAGGTGTTCTTTGTAGTGTACTTGGATCACCTAAAGGCATGTGAGTGAGATGATGAAACAGAGTATGACATACGCTCTGGTTTGATAGGTGAAGGTACAAGGTGAGGTGTCACGTAATGGGTATCCATCACATCATCACTTGGTAAATCGGACTGCCATACATCAGGTAAACCCTATTCATTATGAGTCATTGGCCATATGTCACTTATTCTTACCATATATTTGCCACTGTCTCGATCATATTCTACATGAATACCATGTTCAAATTTAGTGGGTTTACCAATATCCAATATCTTTTCACCAAAACTACTTGATTTGACAGATATCTTGCTGGATAAAGAGTTCTCTGACCGATTGGATTGTTTATACATTTTCAAACTAGAGAGTGTGGATGAAGATGCCATTTTCCTTAGGCTTCTTGTAGAAGCATGTTGAGGATGAGACGGTCGTCGAGGCATCGTTGTAGTTGTGGGCGTGGATACAGTATTGCCCATGCTGATATATGTAAAATAAATAAAAATAATCGGCCGAAAAAAAAAAAAAGTGATGCATGGTTTTGTTGTGACCTTTTTCTTCTTTCTTTCCCTTTTTTTTTCTATTTGTATTATGGAGAAATCACTTGGTAGAGAAATAGTCTTGCCTTCGCAATTACCTTCAGCTATTCCTATTAGAGATCCTTCTTCTGAAGAAACAGTTGAACCTACAAAAAAAGTGGTTTTGAAACCCACTTTAAAAGGTAATATTAGAAAAAGAAAACACTCTATTGATAGTAGAGTAGGCAATGGGAATTCAAAAAGACTGTGTCGTAATGTCATAATCCATGGCTATTGTAAATATGAAGGCAAAGGATGCGAGTTTAATCATGATTCGGTAATGAACAACAATAATGACAAATAGGGTTGTCTCATCTTTTTATAGAATAAGGTCACTTCTCCTCAAACCAGTCCAGAAAAGTAAGCGTCTTATTGTTACAAGTATCCACTGATGATGTAGTAAAAACAAAATACGATCCCCCTCTATCAACTCTTTTGTCACTGCAGACAGTGTCAATGCACCTGAATTTGTGCCTCGATTTGCAGCAGACGCAACGATACAAGGTAAGAGATTGTATTCATATTCGTATATTCATGTTGAATAGATACAAAGTAAAGTAAGAAGAGTAGAAACAGAATGATAATGTTTTTGTAGTCTTCCATCCTCACCTTCTTCACCACAAATAACCAATGGGTTGTCACAACTCAATCTATCGAATGATGTAAGCAACACTAGCATGTATAGGTATACTGATGATATACTAGCATGCAACCCAACCACCACCACCACCCTCTCCTTCACGTTTATTGACGACAGGATTCAATATGGACCCTTATTTCTATATGAACACACCCTCCATGTTTCCAAGACAACCTGTAATGATACCATATACACTGATTATCCAAATAACTCATTTCTATAGTTACAACATCATTTATATGCGCCTCCATTACCCCACACATCCAACTTATTACCACACCAAAGAACCATTCAATCCTTTTTCATATCAGATCAAATTCGACAACTACTCACACAACGGAATGAAGCACAACTCATGACATCATCTAATGGAGATGTACCATTAGAAGTACATGTCTATCATTCCCTTGTCTTGTTAGATTCGCCTAATGCAGAGCATACGTTGTTTTATGGCCACCCTTCTTTTGTGTACAAAGCCACATGTTCTCTCGATGGACGTACTTATGTACTTGTTCGAATCCAATTTCGATTGGTGAATGAATTAGCTATGTCGGTAGTTGAAGCATGGCGCCGTATTCGTCATTGTAATATTGTGTCTGTGCGCGAATCATTTACGACCCGTGCGTTTGGTGATTCATCCTTGATGTTTGTGTATGACTATCATCCTTGTTCAACCACACTAGAGGCTACACATCCACAACAAAGTGTGCCTGAGGCGACATTATGGAGTTACATGACTCAGATTGGATCTGCTTTAAAGACCATTCATGGATCTGGATTGGCCGCACGTACAATTCATCCAAAAAAGATTTTATTGACAGGCAAAAACAGAGTGCGTTTAAGCGGTTCGAGTATTTTGGATGTGATTGAATACGATACGTTGAATGTGGCTCGACAACAACAAGAAGATCTGTTATCGTTTGGTCAGTTGATACTTGGATTAGCATCCAAGGGAACATCACGGTCTTTTGAGCATGTAGCTCATCATTATTCGGCCGAGTTCAATAATGTACTGCTGTATCTATTAAGTCAACCTGCCCCGACAAAGACAGTGGATGAAGTCATTCGTATGATTGGTCCTCGTATTCTGCATGAAATCAACAATAGCCAATTGTAAGTGTGTATGGTTTGCATATATTTGGATTGATGTGTGTGTGCGTTTTTTTTATAGTTATAATGATGAATTAGAAAGTGAATTGTCTAGAGAATTAGAAAATGGTCGGCTTGTTCGACTGATGGCCAAGATGGGATTTATCAATGAAAGACCAGAGTGAGTGAAATGATAAGATAGATAACATCTAATCTGATTTTAGATTTGATATGGATCCTGGATGGTCTGAAACAGGAGATCGTTATCTGATCAAATTGTTTCGTGATTATGTATTCCATCAAGTCGATGAAAAAGGTCAACCTGTGGTCGATATGGTTCATGTCTTGACTTGTCTTAATAAGGTAAAGTCAGTATGATATACACAATATTAAACACATATTTTAGTTGGACGCAGGTGTTGATGAGAAGATCATGTTGATGTCTCGAGACGAGCAATCCTGTTTAATTGTTAGTTTTAAAGAAATCAAAAATTGTATTATGTCAGCTTTTAATGACTTGACATCAGGAAGAAAATAATAAAAGTTCTATGAATCTAGAGATGCAGTGTCAATAGAGGTTCTAATCTAAACTTGAGTTCACGTAATCGAGTAGGCGTAGGTTGCCATTGATCAAACAGGAACAACAAATGTTTCAAGTCTGCTTTTAGTCCTTCATTGGCCAGAATCATGGGGTCTGTAAACATACTATGTAATGCCCAAGGTAAATAATATGGGTTCGGCTGTAATTTAGCCTGAAATGGGTCCATTTTGTATTGCATTCTGTCTTGCTGTCGTACACATGGACCAAATGGGGCTGTTTCAAACATGTATTGAACAGCTGTTAAATAGACTTGTAATTCTTCATATACAGTCGAATGTCCTCCTTCCAAAGCATAAAGACTCCCCGCTAACACTTGGCTAAGATGAATAATCAAATCATGATCTGATAATCCTGTATTACGCAACTTGAAGCAAAACACAATCAGATTGATTAAGAAATCGTCTTCTGAAAAGATATGACCATCAATGTAAATTGATCTTAGGATATTGGGATGGTCTACTGCATGCAGAATGGCTGAATACAAGGGTACCACTTGATCTTGCATGGAGCCTGTCAAGACGAGTTTGATACCACATGTCAAGATGTATTCAAGTGATTGGCGAAACTTGGTTGAGATGGAGCTAGAAGAATCCATAAACTCAAATAGCTCACGTGCAGCATCTGCTTCAAAATACTATAGAACCCATGAGTGTGCATTCTTCCTTTCGCTTAGCTTACCTTCACAATCAGACTCTTTTTCAAGGCAGGAAAAGGTCCGTGCGAAATCCCTGCCATAGCCAACATACAGACAGACTGTCGGATCAGTTGAACATGTCCTCTTTCTAGTAGTCGTTGGAGCAACATAATAGAGACAGGCGTTCCTTGTGAATGAGTGGCCCAGAGAATCACATCGGCTGAAGAAACAGCTTCTAACCATACTGAATTCTCTATTAATTTGGTATATAATTGGTTGACCCTGTCCTCAATCTTTCCTTCTCCTTCTAAGGGTACACAGGTAATGGCATCTAAGGGAAGCATGACCTTGTGCTCTGTCTCAAAATAGGTGCGTACAGCAAGTGCCATTTGCTCACAAAACTTGATGGAAGTGCCTGTAGGTTCACCTATCATACTTCTAACAAGCTATTGCCAATTACTATTGTGTTGTATGTATCAGAAAACATACCTTCATAGGAAACCAACCATGAACACCTACAACTACAATACGTTTATCCATCAGGATGGGCTGAGGTTGTTTCAAGTCTTGTACAAAATGAGAGAATTTAGCCTTCATTTTCTTTGCAATCCAGCTTGTTGTTGTTTCTGGTGGCTGCATGATGGATTGGATTGTATCAAAAGCTTTTGTGAAAAAGGTGTCCTTTTCTGGCAAAGACTGAACCTGACATTGGGATGCAAATAAAGGCAAGACTTTATTATTTGTTATCTTGCCAGGTTTTTGACTTTGGAGTGAAGAGCTAGACACAGAAGGACGCAATGTACTCGTATGAGAAGGCGCAAGTTTTGTATTAGGAATAGGACAACTGGATAAACTTTTGACTTTACGAATATTGTTTTGTTCTTCCTGTAATGCCTTCTGGATATAGAGTGGTTTTGGCGTACTGGGTTCTTCAGGGTTTGTACAGACTTGGACTTTGTCTACATTGGCTGCAAACAGAAACGAAGACCAAGAAGAAGACGCTGTGTTAGTGACCGTATGGGATGTGCTTTTGATAGGAATAGGAGCTGAGGCTGCCATATCCTCAACCAGTTCTTTTTCTTCCTGTGGTTCCTCAGCGCTAGGGAGACCCAACCAGGTCCAGAAACTTGTAGACTGGCACGTGGGCGAGACAAGCGTGCGGGTTTCATTCTTTGTTACCTGCTGACTCTCTTGGTGTGTAGATGATTCATTGTCGAGCTGAATGATACTTTTAGCCAAACTTTCCATTGCTGCTGATCCATCGTCTTGATGACCCATGGTACCATTCGCAGACACACTGGTGGAGAATGTGGCAGGTGCTGCTTTAGCTATGCGTTTAAAACAATGGTTTGTATACACAGAAAGTGTATCTGGTTTATGTTGTCTGATTGATATGCTTGGCATATCTTTTGCTAGTTCTATCGACAGTGAAAGTGAAGCTGATCTAAGTGGTTCAAATGTCATTGTTAAATTATTATTTCGTTCATCAGAACTGACATTGACAGATGTTGCTTTTACGGTCGGTGTTACTTTGGTTGAAATCATGCTTGATTTCTTTTGTTTATGAGAACAAGAGGTATTTAATTCAAACCAGCTACGAATCAGCATTTGTTGTCAGCTATGTAAAAAATGAAGAAAAGAAATATATATATACACATAAAAAAAAAGGATTCATTTTTTATTATTTAAGGGGGTTTAATCACATGCATACATGACCATTTTATTCATCATCCATCAATGCGCGATAAACAGTCTCTTGTGTTTTCTGAATTTCTTGAAGTTCAGGCAATAATTTGTTCAAGATTTCATGAGCCTCTCTGAAATAAGCAAGTTGTACCTGAACATATTCAGCAAGGTCTCTATAAGGCTCAGGCTATGCTAATGATGAGTTCAACATGACATATATTGTCGACTTACATCTTCTAAAACGGTTTTCATCAAATGAGTGGCTTCTTCTACTGCACCTACAAACTGGTCTTCGGCTTGTTCTACTTCAGATCGAGCCATATCTAGTTTGTTAGCGGGCGTTTCTCTGTACTCCGTCTTGGCTGCGTCCAACGCCAATCTCTTTTGATGAACCACACGTCTTGCTTTATTGGCACCTTCAATGGATGTCTTTAAACAGGTCTGTAGAGGTGTATGAAATCTGGCTACGACTTCATGGTCCATGGTCAATTTAGCATTCCCAACCTTATTGGCAGCAGAGGCAAATCTAGAAAGGGCTGCACGTAATGCTTCATCTTTGCCTAGTTCGGAAGCAGATTGAGATGCGACTCGGCCCATGGCGTGAGAAAGAGACTTGGGATGCTCGGGTGTCTGTGCACTGCTATTGTGTTCATGAGCCAGTAAGGCGATTTGGTTTGTGACCGTGTTTGTGAATCCTAAAGGATAATCATAATTGGGTGTCGCATAGACCTTGGTCACTTTGACCAACTGATGATAAAGATGTTCCAGTTGGTCTACTCTCTGCATAGAGTTAAACATACATATATAGTTTATGTGAACCTAACCTTTTCTAGATCTTTGTATTCTTGAGGTAGTTCAGTAATATCTTCAGCTGTACCAAACTTTTCTTGCGCGTATTGTCTCACTTGACCTAATCCTTTGCCAATACGATGGGTCAATGGGTTGATTTTCGAGCCAATAGTAGCCAAACTGTCCAATGTAGATTCAAAGATACCTGTGGGGATGGTGGTAGAAGGAGGAGCGTCGGTTTGGTCTTGAACAATATGAATTGGTTCATTGTTTTCTACATTGGATGTATGGGCAGTTTTCTGCTGCTCATTCTCTTCTTGTTCGTGCTTGGCTTCTTGTTCTTGCTTTGTTTCTTGTGGCTCTTCTTGTTGGATTGTATTTTCCAATTGTTTGTCTTGTTCTTTTACGGACATTTTTTTTAAAAAGAGAAAGAAAAATAAAAATAAAATTCATAAATGGTAAATTTTAATATGAATTCAACGTCAGATTGCAATTTAGGGTTTTAAATGATTGATAATTTAGACCAAAGATTTGTCATTGTTCTCTGATTATCTTTTGCTTTAAAGCAATGCTCAAAAGTTTAACAAAAGCTAAAGTATAGAGTCTCTGAAGCTAACTTCGAGAAACAACGAGCTTCCTTCTAGACTTGAGTTGATTACGGTCAAAACTTGACGGTGAGCTGTAAATTGGGAGAGGGGTTTTACTAAAAAAAGATGAGGTGGGATCTTTTTGATGAAGAGCAAAAATAAGCTCCAAAGAATCAAGAGAAACAGAGTACAATGTATACATAGGCAAGGATAGACGCAATTTTCTTCTCAAAATAGAAGAGTACAGCATTTCCAAAAAAAAAAAAAATGATGTTGCATCTAAATGTCAAAAACACAGCATTAATATTTGGAAATACTGGATTGCAGTCAGTATAAAAAAACGAAGCCAATAAATGCATAAGTTCAGGAACTGTAACAGGTCACCAAATTAGTTTCTCAAAAATGACTTTTAACAAAATGGACAAGCATCCTCATATGAAATGTCGTTATATAGTTATGGATAATGCACCAATTCATACGTATACAAGTATATTGAATACCGAGAATATAAATGTGTATATATTCCCACCTATTCTCTTGAGCTTAGTCCAATAGAACAATACTGGACGGTAATGAGGAGTAAGGTTAAGCGCTATAGGTTTTGCAGGAAGACACTTTATCAAAAAGAATTACGGAAGCGTGTAAAAGCGTGAAGAAAAGTCACCTCAAAGGGTTCTTTTCGCATTCTTACAAATGCTGAAACAAGACACTCATGTAACGGCTCTAACAGCTTCAACAAAAATCAATGATGCAGCGATAAAGAAGAGTTAAACAAAAAAAAAATAACAAGGCTAGCTTTTTTACAACTTTTTTAGGGTTATAGGTTATAGTTTTTTTTTTTTTTTTAATATCCATGTATTACGAATGTGAATAAATGTAGAACTTGGGCCACAGTCAAAACTACCTTGTGTTTAAGGTTGTAATTATATATTTTTATGGTCAAAAGGAATATATATCAATATAATTACTTTTTCTTTGTTCAGTAAAGAGAGGGAGGGAGATAGATATTTGCAAGAAAAAGAAAAGTATCATTTTATTAACCTAAAGTGGAAGAATGCATCTGTGTGTATAAGTATTATTATACAAATGTAGTATAATTATTTGTTGTGCGTATGTTTGTATACACAAAAATCCTTATGTGAATAGTTATATAGGTGAAAGGTTGTTGTACAAGTTGGTATCTTATAAACCAGAGAAATAATGCTGTTGTTGCTGTTGTGGTGAGGATATATTTAAGTTCATGAAATTTAAAGAAGAGACATTCGTGGTAAAGTTGCTTGAGTTTGTTCCAATATCTTGATGGCTCATCATGAGTGGATGGACGCTAATAGAATTGTATGAGTAATTGCTGACGGAAGATGGAGTGGAATGATAAAGTGGTTGGATGCATGTCTCTTGTTGTTGAGATTGTTGCTGCTGCTGCTGCTGCTGCTGCTGCTGCTGTTGTTGTTGCTGCTGCTGCTGCTGTTTGGGGTCTCGAACGAGTTTACCTTGAATACGCTTACAATAAGACGTATTTCGGATAAGGGGCAATAAAGGTCTGATATGCTCACTCAACTGAGACTGTATTAAGTTCCAATCATGCAACGATCTCACTTACCTTTTGATGTTGTGTTTCATTAGCAAAATCAAGTGCGGTCTGTACAACATAATTGGCGTAAGAATCCCTCAATAATTTCTCAAGTTGAGGCTTATTGATCATTTCCTCTATCAAATGACTACGAGTATCTTCTTCTGCTACGCGAATACACTAAAACAAAGACGTATGAGCATAATTATTAGTTATATTCAAAACGCACCTTTTCGATCACATTGGAACTATACTTTTGAACTGACAATTCACTGATATGACCAATAAATTGTCGAATAAGCTGATCAGAAAACTTGGCATCACCTAGTTCAAGTACATATTGAACCACATAGTTTCCATAAGGATCTTGAACCAAAGTTAATGCATTTCTGATAATTTCATTCACCAATTGTTTCTGCTAACGTCAGTTGATGGCCTATGTAAATAGTACTTACTTTTTGATTCTTGGCAGAAAAGTCAATACATCGCTGTAGGACACAGCATCCATGGCGATGGGTTGCTACTTCAATACAATTCTTGCTAACTGCATCATAAATGAATTGTTTATCTGAGGAAGAGAGGCGATTTAGACATTTTTGAATGACGTGGTTTCCGTTAATGTCTTTAATAAGAGTCACTACATTAGGCGATAAAGCTTCAATGGTTTTTGTAATCTAGAAATGAATAAGTTATACTACCCTTCTTTTCTCCTGAGCGCGTTTCTCCTTTACCTGTTCTGGAAGAGTCAAGAGTTCAATCATTTTCTGTACTGCTCTAGTGCCATGCATGTTTAAAGAAATAGTAATTATAGCATTGCTCACTTTCTCTACAATCATTGTTCTCTGTGTGTCTGTGCAATATTCCATCATTTTCTGACATAGATAATTACCAAATGGATCTAAAAAAAGGATGTCAATTGATCTCATTTCTTTGCCTTTGTTAGTTACCTGTCATCAATTCAACAAAATGAGGATAGATTTGAATAAAGATAGTGTCTCTTTGTTCTGGTTTTTGTTCTTCTAGTTTTCTTTGAAAGAATCGACATCCATGTTGATCTCTACATAAAGAAAAGATATCATCAACCACATCCTCCAAACGCATAGTAGCAAATCGATCTTGTTGATCTAGAGATGTAGGGCTGGATGTTAAACTATTCATGGTGGTAGCAGAACTAGCTCGGCGTAATTGTTGAAGAGTCATTGAATTTTTCCTGCTAGGAGGTGAAGGAGGCCGACTCCGACTTGTGTTGACCTGCCTCATCAGATGAGAGACAAATAAAGGCGCCTGTGTATTATTGTTCTTATTGCTAGGAGGTACTAAGGTAGGAGTATAGGCATGAGGAAATGAGCTTGCGGATGAGGCGTATAGTAGATTGGATGATCTTTGGTGAGGATGGTCCATGAAATCATCCATCGTAGGTAACAGGTGCATTCGACCTGCATCCAAACTGCCCATGCGCCTTGCAGACGACATCAAATCCGGGTTAGAGTAAGAAGGTGTAAGGCGTTTATCAAGGGCATCCAATCGTTTAGAGACAAAAGAAGGAGTAGCATCTAATGAGAATTTACGAGGTTGTTCGCTTGTAGAAGGCAATAGACTATCCGATCCAAGATAATGATCAAACCATTCATGTTTCTGATGACTTGTCATAGAATGTTGCCTGCCATAGTTCTGTTGACTAAAGCATTCTCCGGCCATATAAGACGAACTCTGTAGGCGATTAACATTTTTATCAAACTTTATTCAACACATACCAAATTAGGATAGCTCTCACGTCTCAATAGTTGGTGACCATCTTCTATAGGCACTTGCATAAACGCATTTTCTTGTTGAACAGCTAAAAAAAAAAGACATGTTAAACAGATTATTTGACATCATGATTTACATACAAAAAGCATGTGGATGAAATAAGCTAGTCGATTGAGGAGTAAATGCTGTATTATCAGTAAATAAACTACGAATAGACTTTGATGAGGAAGAGGAAATAGAAGGAGGTCTCCTATAAAGTAAGAGTTAGCTATTTGACATCTTTTATTTGTTTTTATATCCCCTTTACACCCCTTACTCGTGTTCTTTTCTCTTTGTTTATATGTGCGTATGTATATATATGTATATATATTTATTTGTATATACTCACTCATTCACGTACACTCACGTACATATATATACACGCACACATATAATTTTCATTACTTACGTGTTTAATAAGCCATTATATTGCTGATCAGAGATAGTGAGGCTGTTGATTGTTTCGATTTGATTGTCAATGTTAACAATATCTTGTGGATTAAATTCTACTTGTTCCTCTTTTTTAGGTTGAGAAGTTACTAACAGGCTATCTTTTTCCATTGAATAAAATAAAAGTTTAAAAAAACAAAAGGGAGTGAAAAGAAAGCTGATATACAAATATATGCTCTTTTATATTAAAAAAAAAATTAAGGGGCAATTAAGTATTCATGCATTTTGCCTTAAAAGACTTTTCGGATATTGAACTAAGTGGAAATGTATGACGTTGACTTGAGAGTGGTTTGAATGACTGCACATTTATAGTATTTTCAGTAACTTTATTCACAATAATTAAATTGATATGCTGAGATTTATCAAAATACAATAAATTTAAAGTCTTGTGGAACTCCACAGTTCGTCTTCAAAAAAAAAACCCCTTCCAGTTCCCACAGAGAATAGCGCTTTGTCGTGATAACGAACATTATTTTCAGAAATCAAGGATATCAGAGCCTGCCACAAGTACATGACAGGAAATATCTCACTCAGAATTATATGGGTATGGCAATTTTCCCAGTAGCTCCATTAAAAGCTGCATTCAACAAGCGTCTCGGCTTCAGATTCACGCAGAGCTAAGGGGGGAGGGAAAACGACTTGACATCCTAGCATTGTCTAAGGTTTCATGAAACAGTCGCCACCAATGTGTAACGACTTTGTATGATAGATGAAGGAACCCAAAAAAGAAAAAACCAACAAGATACCGAGAGACGAACTAATTGAAAATAGAGACATTCAAGGTAAGAAAATGGATTCTCCATTTTTGCTCACGAGACATGCTGAAATACATATTTAACAGAAAGAAGAATATTATACTTGTGAAGACTTGATAAGCTTGTTGAGTTAAACTTGGACTAGAAGCTTCTTTTTTTTTAAAAAAAAAAAAACTACTATTGACAAACTGGAAAGTATCAGTTACAGAAACATCAAAGAAAGGCAACTACTTTGTCCATTTCAATGTCAACTCTAAATAGAAGCACAAATGTATAGTTCTTGAAAATATAATTATTAGCTTTAAAGTGCTCTTTCTTTACAAAAATAAACCTTTCATTTTCACATGCATTTGATAAATTACTGGTTTCTTTGTGTGAACAACAACAACAAAAAAATTTGTTTATTATTGTAAAATAATCAAATGAAATAATTTGACAAATAGTTCTTTCCCCTCCACTTTTTCATAAAATGGCTCCAATTACATTCTCTTCTTTAAGATAACGCATATTCACGCAGAATTGGTCATTTTTTTTTAGAATAGACAGAGTATAGACATTGAGCCTAGAGTAACAGAAAAGCCAAAACAAAGTAAATTCGAAAAAGAAAGCTGACAAAAGATCCCTAAATGTCAAAAAGCACCACTACAAGGTGTTGGTTGAATTTTTTAAGAAGATTTTAGATAAAAGATAGATAAAGATTCTCCTACAAACAATTTCCTCATTGTAATGGATAACGTTCCTATTCATATGTACAAAAACATTGATGAATTGATCACTTTTAGAGGCTACATAAATACTTATCTTCTTCCTTATTCACCCAGAATTGGGTTTTTTGAACAGTTCTAGTCAACTACTGAAAAAAAGCTAAGAGGAGGGGGCATACATTCTGATATGAAGGACCTTAAGCTTGCAATAACGTTCCTGTTCATCGTTGAACGCTTTTATACAGCATTTTTACAGCCAAATTAGCAACTAAAAAAACAAACAGCTCATTCAAGTACATAATTACATGTTAATGTGATGAGAACAGATTCAAAGTTAGTATCTGATACTCGCAACTTGACCTTATTGAAGGCTGCTAATTAACTTGTTCTTCCGCAGTTCAATTTTTAAAAACCCGCCAATTGACGCTGCGTTCACTAGGTGAGCAATCAGTTCGTAAAAAGCTGACCAATTGTATTAAAAATATTTTGGTTAAGTGACGCATTGAGACTGGAAATATATAGATTTTGCCTTTTTTTTCTTTTCTTTTCTTATATCATTCATGTCCACTTTTAGAGTAGATTCTCGGACAAGCCCTTCTTCTACCAACGTAAATTCAAGCTCTTTCTTCTACCAGAGTCTACCACCTTCTTCTCCTATCTTATCCAACACAACTCAACCACCACAACAGAGCGAAACTCAACAGCATCACCACCACCACCACCACCAACAACAACAACAACAACAACAGCAGCAGCAGCAGCAGCAGCAACAGAGTCCTATTGAAGAAAAAATACATGGCGATATTTATTTCACTAACAACGCTACCAACACCAATAACAGTCCTAATGACCTAGTTGACTACTTAGTTTCGCCTAGACCTTCCAATAGCCGTTTAGCAAGCGAAGTTATTGAAAACCATCCTACCACCAAACGCCGTTCGTCTTTTTCTTCTGGTTCTTCCTCTAAAACGCTTTCTTTAAAACCTACCATGAAACTTGCCAACGAAAAAGAGCATGTCTATCCTTTTCAATTGAAACCAACCAGCAATAATAATAATGGTAGCACTAACAATACGCTGATCACCCCTAAATCCATTCGTTATACAGACAAGCGAAAAAATCAAAAACTATATAAAAAGGAAAAATTAAAAGAAGCCAGAGACGAATATGAGGAATTGATTGAAGACTACTTTCATCAACTCACTGTCGGTTGTCAACAGAAAGAGTGTCGAAACAAGTTTTGTGCTTCTGGAAGAGGTAACTTTGCTAAAAAAGGCAGTTTTGGCTGTTTTTGCTCTTTTTTTCAGCCTTTATTAATTTCTGTATAGGAGGCATCATGAGTTTACAACCTCAGGCTGCTTTGATCATGGCCATTCAATTGGCTTCAATGCCAAATTCAAGACTTTGTTCTATTCAGAGAAAATCAATAGTTGAGAATAGTCAATGCTATTATTCTCTCTCCAATGATCCTACTACAACGACAAAACCATTTTTGCAGTCTCTTTTTGCTTCCACTCCTTTTTCTGACTTGTTATTAAAGCAAAAAACACAACAACAGACATCTCGACAACCAAAGACCAGGAAGCGACAAAGTGAGACAACAAAACCTCATTGGACAACTGATTTTTGGAGAATGTTAAGTCGCTTTACCAGAAATCCTTCCCCCGATCAATCAGCAAGAGATGATGAAGATGAAGATGATGATAGAAAGTCTAGTCTAATAGACAATGTTGTTCAACAACTGGAGGATCACAGCGATTCCAGTTATTATCAATTGGACCAAGATGACAAGTCTTTAGCTAAACTCCATCATTTGGAATCAGACGACAATAGTAGCACCATTAGTAGTAATAGTAGTAGCAGCCAAAGTGGTATGCTACTTGCTATTTCGCCTATATCAGTCAACCTGGACCTTGCTGTTGAACATTTGCATCAAGCCATCGTCACGAAATCCATTTCTGAAAGCAATATGGATACATGGTGTCGTTCTGTCTTTCAAAGCTGGGAAGGTGTAGGCAACAGCTTTTTAATGCCACAATCTGGCTTTAGTCTCTCGCCTTTATTACAACACAAGGATATTTCATTCATCAATCTAGACGATTTAACACAATTCTATCAATTAGTGATTTATCAAGAAAAGAAATCCTCTAGCAACGAAGCTAGCAAAAATCCTCGTCAAGTTCGTATCATGGAATCTATTTCAGACAGTTTTGAGACTTTACTGGATCGAATGGCATTAAACGTAGAAGCATTATCTGAGATTGACGTGATTGAAGAAATAGAGCCTTATCATATTCGCATGATGATGGAATGGTGTCGTTCTATTATGGCTGTCAATCAATGGATTTTTTGCTGCAAAGAGAAAAAAAGGGAAGAGCAAGAGGGACTTGCCACTTTAGTAACTACCTTAGATGATGCTTCTATTTATCAAAAGCGTATGGTATCAATTGCTTCAACAAACCAAACCATTTTGACTCAAAAGTCAATCCAAGTATTGAGCAAGATTGCTCAGAAGAAAAAGTCAATTATTCGAAAGATCATGCAGAACATGCTTGCTAGGTAAGGATGTACCTAAAAAAAACATGGTGTTGATCATTAATAGTTTGGATGCTACACGTATGCATTATATGGTGAAAGACTTGCAGAAATATTTGCAAGATCATTATCATACAGGTCCCTATAAACATGGCTTAGAAGACACAGTTATCATGGCTTTAAAATGCCTCGAATTAATTTACCAAAGCAGTATGAAGAATCCCACTTCACCTATTATACCACCTTCAGCATTTTACAGTCAAGATATCTGTAAAAAGCTTAATATCAAAAATGAATTTCGTATTTGGAAGCGCGTTTTACTTTATGGTGAAGGCAGACATTCCAACTTCATCACTCGACAGGGCGAAACAGAGTATCAACGAAGATCACGTCTATTCATGACAACTGCCTCCACCTCATCATTGCTTCCTTATCCTTTTGAAAACGAATATCAGTTCTCTTGGTTTAGTTATCCCTTTTTACTGCCGCCCTCCATTAAGCGCAAGATTGTATTGATTGATGCCATGTCACAAATGTCTTTAGAATACGAAGATGCATGTGTGAATCACACGTTGGTTGTTCATGCTCAGAAGCTCTTGTCTGAAGCACCTCGTATGCTTAAAAGTTTAGAGACAAATTTACGTAGTGCAACATGTCCTTATCTCTTGCTTGAAATTCGTCGAGAACATTTTGTGGCCGACACATTAAGCCAAATGTCACGCAAATGGAGCGATTTAAAGAAACCACTCAAGGTCAAGTTTATCGAAGGTGGAGAGGAAGGCATGGATCAGGGTGGTGTGCAAAAGGAATTCTTTGGTGTTTTGTTTGAGAAGCTTGTGTCGTCGAGTGTTGGTTTGTTCTCACAAGACGAAAATACCCGCTTATGTTGGATTCGACCTGTGTTAAAATATGATGTTCGCATGTATGAAATGGTCGGTGTCATGATGGGCTTGTCAATCTATAACGGTGTGATCATGAATTTACAGTTTCCCAAGATTTTGTGGAAAATACTAGTGATGCCTAACGAGGCATTAATTGAAGCAATGGCTGAAAGGCATCAATTATTTACCCTAGAAGATTTAGAAGAAGGCTGGCCTGCGCTAGGTAATGGACTCCGTCAATTGTTGAATTGGCAAGGCAGCGATGTAGAGGATATCTTTTGTAGAGATTATGAGATATCAATTGAAGTGTTTGGGCAAGGAATTGTCACCACCCCCCTGATGCCTGGTCAGGTTGTACCTGTCACCAATGAGAATCGGGAAGCCTATGTGAGAGACTATTGCACTTATTTTATGTATACCGCTCAGAAACAACAATTACTTGCTTTACGTCGTGGCATGTGGAGTGTGATTGGAAGTAGAGCCCTTAGTCTGTGCACAGCTGAAGAATTAGAAATGGTCGCTTGTGGCCTTCGTCAAGGCCCTGATGCATTAGACTTGAATATGTCAGATCTTGAAAGCGTAGCAGAATACGACGATGGCTACAGTGCAGATCATCCTACCATAAGGTGAGTTTTGAATTCTATATATTGTTATATTAATCATTTTTGTACATAGACAATTTTGGTCTGTTGTACATCATGATCTGTCAAACGAGCAAAAGAAACAACTCTTGCTCTTTGTCACAGCCAGTGATCGAGTGCCTGTAGGTGGACTAAAAGAACTCTCATTTTATATACAACGAAATGGTCCTGACAGTGATAGGTAAGTTATTTGCATCTTTTTTTTATTGTTCCTAATGCTTTCTTTCTTTTTTTTTTTTGTTAGATTGCCTACAGCACTTACATGCTTCAGTCGACTGTTGTTGCCTGAATATGCAACTCGACAAAAACTTCGTAATAGATTGATAACAGCCATTGAAAATACCAAAGGCTTTGGACTTGTATAAAGAAAAGAAAAAAGTATAGCATTGACATATTCATCTTGACATTTAGCCTGCATTTTATATATTCCTCCCTTCTCCTTAATCCATGTATCTCCTCTAACCCAAAATAATAAAAAAAGATGAGCTTGAATCATATTGGAAAGTTGAAAATCCGATTAGAACATACGATTGCTTGAAATTTATGAGGCCACAATTTTGTTTTTCTTTCTGTCTTTCTTTTCTTCTAATCAATGAATACAACTAATTTCAGTAAATCCACAAGCTTTTTTAGCATAAATTCTTGCTTTCTTGACATTTGGTCTGACGAAATGTTGGCTATTTGGGTTCCTATTGCCGTATATTGGATTCAATGCAGCTTCTTCGAACTATTGATGCAGCTTAAAATCCCCTTTTTGAACAATATCGTATCCATTCTTCTGAAGATAAAGAAAAAAGAAACAAAGTGCCATTTGGCAAAGTACTGTTGATGGTTGCTCTTCAACATGTTGTACAAATAATCTTGGGGATTACTTTGATGAAAGGGTTGGATCCTGCAGCTGATCAACACAAGCATGAATTGGCTCTGAAGCAATATACAGCTGTCATGTCCAGCATTTTAGATCAATTTGGATATAAACAAGAGCAGACATTATCTATGGCATATCAACTTGCTACAGTGATTCAAAACTATATTGTTCCGTGTGCTCAGTTTTTTATTGCTATGTAAGTCAATTTATTAGCTTGATATGCTTATCCAACATGAATGATAGGTTTATTGTAGACACACATCAATATGCTCTTCATCGTCTTGCTCATACAAGCGCATTCCTTTATAAACATATGCACTCACATCATCATCGTCTCTATGCACCTTATGCCTTTGGTGCCTTGTACAATCATCCTGTAGAAGGCTTTTTATTAGACACATGCGGAGCAGCTTTAGCTTTTGAATTGACAGGCATGTCACCTCGTCTTGGCATGTACTTTTTTGCCTTTTCTACACTAAAAACAAGTAAGTTGGTTGTATAGTTTCTGATTGTTAAATTAGTTTATAGTTAATGACCATTGTGGATATTCATTTCCTTGGGATCCTTTGACTGTCTGTTTTAGAAACAATGTCAACTAGTAAGTAAATTGCGAAAAGAGTCAAGACTACTAAGTCATGATATAGTCATAATATCCATCATCAAGCCTATGGTATCAAAACAAATTTCTCCCAGCCTTTCTTTACTTTTTGGGATGTTCTCTTGCACACTGAATATAGCCAAGTTATCAAGGCTAAAGCAGCCAAAATGAAATCATAGAAGCAATCATTCCAGATTCTTCTTAATGATTCATCAACCTCTCTATGCTATAATTTCTTATATATATATATTTTACATATTGACTAAATATAATGATTTCTCGACACAGTTGTTCCTATATCAGAAGTGATTTTTTTAAAAGAATCAGCGTACTTTCTTTTTGAACGACATCTATTTTTGATCATGTATTATGGTATGCCTTACTCTCAAATACTCTGCATGTCAAATGATGTATAAATAAGTATCAGTTTGATCATCGATACCTATTGAAAAAAGGCCCTTTTTGTACTCACAGAGTGTGCAACAAACTTTGCTAATTTAGAACGATTGATTTTCCGTCATTCATCTTTTTTTTTTTTGTACTTTCTTTATGGCTTCTACTCATCCTTATAATCAAATCTTGTTGTTTGGTGTATGTACACGCACACTCTCTATTTCTACTTCTTTATTGACTAACTTTTTTATTGACTAACTTCTCTATAGGACTCTATCACACAGGTAACAAACAAACACTACACACTTTTATCAACATTCTATAGTTTAGTTTCGACCCTGAACTCAAAGGCTTTGGTACCCGCTTAGCCAATGTAATATATAATAACTATAACAAGACAAACACTAAATATAAAGCATAGGCCTATGTTCGCAAAACAGACGTGATCAACCGAGGATTCTCAGGTTATAACACAGACTGGGCCCTTCCTATTTTACGACAATTATTACCTACTGTTCAAGCTCAAGCTGAACAGGGCTGCTGTATTCAACTGATGACCATCTTTTTCGGCGCCAATGATGCAGCTTTGCCCATCACAGGTCAAAATGTACCTTTAAACCGTTACAAGTCTAATATCAAGGCCATGATCGATATGATTCGAAACCCTACCTCACCTTTCTATAACCCTAAATTACGATTGATTTTGATTACTCCTCCTCCATTGAACGAGTCTCAATGGAGCAAGCACTGTGAAGAGCGAGGCGAACAACTCAACCGTTTCAACAAGGCTGCACGCGAATATGCCGAATGTGTCATGGACATTGGCCGAGAAACACAAACACCTGTGGCTGATATATGGTCGCGTATCATGGATAAGGCAGTGGATAGTGATCTTTCCGACTTTCTTCTGGATGGTCTGCACTTGAATGAAAAGGGATACAAGGAAGTATACGATGTTCTGATGGAGATAATTAATGAACACTATAAAGAAATTCATCCTGACCAATTAGGAGTAGAACTTCCTTATTTTAGAGAATTGATGAAGGCAAAAGATATTCATCGTTGTCTTGAGTTTCCTCTTTTAAAATAGACTAAAACGGAAAATAACGTTTGTTTGTTAAGGAATAAACAGTGCTTTATAAACACTTGTTCATGGCTTGTTGTCGATAGACACACTCTTTTTTTTTTGTTATGGCTCCACAAGCACGTATACAGGTCATTAGGCGTGAATGGATTGCACCTTCAGCACCTACACCACCGCATAAACGACGCACGGCTTTGTCTGACTGGGACATTGTGATGTTTAAATCCTATATACCTTTGCTCTTGTTCTATACAAACGATGAAAAGTCGCCTGATTTCATGAACACGAATGCACTGACAAGTTCACTCGCTAAAGCATTAGTGGAATTTTATCCTTTAGCAGGTCGATTAAGAGATATTGGGAACGGCAGAGACGAAGTAGAGGATTCAGATGCAGGAGTTTTATTTCAGGCAAGTCTGTTTTTTTTAAGATAGAGAAACTTATAAAGGGGGATTCAGGAAGCTGAATATCAAGCCGAGCTAGAGAAGTTTAGAAAAGATGGTTATTTGCCTAGTCAAATGGACTATCACAATATGTTTCCTATTCACTTTTATTGTTCAGCACAAGATCCCTTATTTGCTGTTCAAGTCACTCGTTTTTTGGATGGGGGTGTTGCTTTAGGAATCATGATTCTTCACAAGATAGCAGATACTTATTCTGCCTCTTTATTTTTGGATGCTTGGGCAAAGATAGCAAGAGGTGTAGAATACAATCCTGTTTCTTTTAAACGAGACTTGATTGCTTGTCCTTACGATACCATCATTACGAATGAAGCTATTGCGCATTACCGTGAAGAGCATCGTGTGTTTAAAGAAGAAGCAGCCGTACTTCGTATGGATCCCAACCAACAAAAGTATACAAAAACAACCCCTAATGGACCCATGCCACTCAAGAGTATCATTCTTGAGTTTTATTCAGACGGTTTATACGAATGCAAAAAAGACGCTCATTCAAAAGAGATGATCAAAAACAAGAATTGGCTATCCACTAAAGAAGCCATGTTTGGCATGTTGATGCGTGCCATTACTCGGTGTCGACAAGTGCCTTCTGAAGATACAGAAATACGGATGATCATGTCTGTCAATGGAAGATCGATCACGAAGACCCATAAAGAACTGGATTATTATTTTGGCAATTGGATGGTGTCGCATACGATCAAGACAACACAGGCTCAAGTCAATCGAACCAAACTGTACACAAGTGCACTTATGCTCCACAACACACTCAAGAACATCAAGCCTAGCTTATTTCATGGTCTCAGTAAACTCTATACAGTGCATGAAGACATGACGGTCAACTATCTCAGCTATCAGCCCAATTCAGCTGCTCAGTCCACAGCCAGTGATGTTTCCATGCTTCCCTTTTGGCGATTGAATTTTGGGTTTGGGCGACCTGACCGTACAAGAGGCTATATTACCTTTGGCGGCAATGGTTGCTTTATCGTGTTTGGTAGAGCAGACCGAACCAAAGGCCCTATGTTTGATGTTCAGTTACAGATGGATGCTGACTCAATACGACGCTTTATTGATGACCCTGATATCAAAAAATACACAAAAAATATTCTGTATTAAAATGAGGGAAACCTTGACTCAAAAGAAGGGTCTACATCAGGTGCTTTGGCTAATTCAGCATGATAAGATAATTCTTGAATAAACTCTTTCAGGTCTTTAGCTACATTTTCACCATGTTCAAATCGTCCGCGTTCTTCAATCTTCTTTTGGTCTTCATCATGCTTTCGAATATCAAGGCCAATCATGCTCATTTCGAGTTGGATAGCCTTGACAGCATCCTGTAATTCTTGCAGAAGATCAGCGATACTGTTTGTGTACAATTTGAATTCTTGACGCTCTTGATCAATCTTGTCAATGTCTGCCTTGACATGGGTTGTTGACTTTCCAGTCAATTTACCCATACGAGCAGCGACCATGGCTTTCGCCTTAGCTTTGATGCGATCGCTTTCGGTCACTTCACCATGAGGACCTGTGCCTACAATATCAAGTGGGACATCTGTGCTGGATGCTTTTGCTTGAGCAGCCTGTACCTTTTTTTCTCTTAGGTCGTCTTCTGTTTCGTCTACTTGAGCCAATAAGCCCTTTAATGTCACGTTCAGCATATATTCTATCTCTGTCTCTAATGATTTCTCTTGTTCAGCTAAATGGGCCAATTCAGCTGTCTTTGAGATATATGTGTTCCATGCATCATATCCTTGTTCACTGCCTGTCTTTGAGATCTCTTGTTGTAATTCACGTATTCTGTCTTTCAGGCCATCAATGTCTTTTTTATCAAGTGCTGATAGTTGGCTGTAAGGTGTAGCCACAGGGTGAATAGCTTCTTGTTCGTATTGTTCAATTTGCTTTTTGCATGCTTCAATGTCTTTGCGTAAATCAAAAATACGCGTCTGTTTACCACGGTAACCGTATGAAGTCAAATTAGGAGAGGAAGAGCTCATGTCGCGCACACGGTTTCTGTCTGGTCCCATACGACGAGCACTGGACACATACCCCACTTCCGTATCTTTGTCTTCCTCTTTGTTTTTTGTAGAGCGTAAAGATGGACTACTGCTGACAGATCTTGTAGGAGGTGAAGTAGGTAACGAAGGCGAAGAACGAAAGTTGGCAATATGTCTCTTTTTAGCAATATCGTCCAGAATCGTCTTTTTCAACAGGTCTACACTTTCTGCTAAATCACGGGTAGAAGGTGGCACAAGTTCTGGAGGCAATGTTTCTGGTACATTGTAACCATTCAATTTACGGTAAATTAAATGCATGGCTACCGAGAACTCATCCACATTGAGTTTGCCTTGATTGTTTGGGTCTGCCAAATTCCTATCAGAGAGAGATGGTTTGAGTACATTGTTGATTGTTGTTATTTACTCTCTCTCTCTCTTCTTTTTTTTTTTTTTTTTTTTTACCAAATCTGCATCAACACATTTTGAGGTAATCCAGATTGAGAAAAGATGTCTTTGGCTTTTTCACCTGAAATGGTGCCCTTTTTATCTATGTCCCAAGCCTTAAAGATCTTGGCATACTGTTTCTTTTCTTCAGCAGTGACAGCCCATGGAATTTTGACGTTTTTCGAAAGACTTTCAAAGCCTGAAGGAGGGGTGTAGTTGGTTGTATGAGGCATCATGCGGTTGGCAAAATCCATATTGTTGTTCAGCATACCTGTTGGCATAGGTGCTGTCATCATAGGTCCATTGTAACCCGTAGGCTGAATAGAAATGCCGGTAGGTTGAATAGAAATACTCGTAGGCTGAACAGGAATACTCGTAGGCTGGCTGGGTATACCTGTAGGCTGGTTGGATATACTTGTAGAAGACTGAAGTGGTACAAGTGATGTAGGTTGATTTCCTTGCACGATAGCCACTGCATGACGTATTTCATTCTTGACCTCGGGAGGTAGTTGAGAAGGAATAGTTGCACCTGTCATTTTCATAGAAGTTAAGTACATGGCTGTTGCAAATTCAGGAAAAGTAAGTTGTGGTTGGTTTGTTACGTTAGCCAGATCCCTATAGTATACACTTGATGAGTTATGCTTGTCAAAGTCATCCAATAATACCAAATATGTGCGAGGTTCTCATCACCCACATTAGACCGAGAAAGTACTTCTTTAGCACTAGAAGCTATAAGAGAAACCATTAGTTTTCATCATCTGTGATGTCTACATACCACTCAAGATGTTGCTTCCTCCTGCCACTTGAGAAAAGAGCATCTCGTACTTATTCTGATCAGCTTGAGCAAGAAAACTCAGGCGAATTCCTGCTTAACAAGAAGGTCAGTAAGGTATAATACTTGCTTCATTACCCTTTGATGGATCGGCCATAATAATTTATGAATAAAAAAAGAAAAAAAAAGAATCTCGTGCAATAAAAGAAAAAGAAATTTATTTGTCTGTTTTACTTAATTCAAGAATATAGCGCATGTCTTCATCCATGTCATCTTCATCCTGTATACTTGTGGCTTCTGATACTGTAGGCCATTCTTCTTCATTCCATTCGCTTTGATCACTGCTACTTGTATGTTGATTTACATTCAAACTAGCAATCACTGCTTTCATCAGTTCTTCATCATCCACATCCACAAAATCACTTGAGGGAGTATGTTCTTGTTGAGACAACATCATGGCATAATCTAACATCTCTTCATCTGTCAGTCCACCCAATGAGAGTTTGTTCAACTCTTTTTCTTCTCTTTCACGGTCTTGTTTCTCAGATGCTATCTTGTCCATGGATTCCTTGACTTCATCCTTGATTTCGTACCGAAAACGATCTCGTGTGATGGGTCGATTGGATTTTGGCTTTAAGGGTCGAGTCAAGAACTGCTTATCAGGCGAGAAATCCCATACTTTAACTTGATGACCAATCGTAGCCACACCGCGATAATCATGGCTACACCATAGGTTTTTCACTCGCATCACATGGACATCTGAACGATCCACAGGCGCATGTTTAGGGATCTTGTTGCCCAACGTGCAGAGATTGATGCCTGTCAAAGGATCCCAGACACGAATCCAGCCATCATCACTACCTGTGACAAGCTTAAATGCGTCCAGGTAAATACAACTGATGGCTGTGATATGACCTTCTGATAAGGTACGCACTGGGGTTTTCGGATGGTCTTGGTTACTGTCCCATAGATACAGCGTACCTAGATCATCGCCTGTCACAAGTAAATGGGTTGTCTTAGCCCCTTGATCTGGAGACGGTACAGAGGCTGTAGTAGAAGCAGATGACAGATGGATTCGAGTGCCTGCTTTACGTTGTTTGGATGTAGATCGTATCAGTGCAGATTCAAGCGAAATCAGTGTGGAAGGAACTGTCTTGTCCCATTTCATACAGGTCACAGGACGGCGATGATCAAACACGGCAAGACAAGCACCTGTGTCTAGATTGTACTTGCATACTTGAGATTTACCTGTATAAGCAACCATCAATGCATGTGTCTCTGGGTCATACGACATCGAATGAACAGCCGCATGAGTCTTGGCAGGTGCATGTATCCATCGCTTGTTTTTCTCAAGAGAGTCAATCCAAGCTCTCTTGTTCTCTTCAAATCCTTCTATACGGTTGTTTCGATGCAAGCGCACAAGCTGGTTTAGATTCAATAACCAAACAGCCACAGAACCATCATCGTAGCCTACAATCAGACGATGATCTACACTTGTCTTGATGCAAGTAGGCGTCTTGGAGGAAGAAAATGTCCAAGCACATGAAGTTGTTGCAACATCCCATAATTTCACGGTGCCATCTAAACCACCACTGATAACTACATCATGCGTCTGCTTAGGTAAACACAATAGGCTGACAGGTCCTTGATGGAAATCTGAAAAGACAATTAGACCTTTTTTGCTTGTGGATAAAGTGATATAGCCTGCATCAAATCCCCATAAGATACGGTCTTTTTCAATCAATGTAGCTGTGATAGGAAGACGTATGTTGTCATGGGTACTGTAGAATGGATGGCGTTGATGTACTTTTCCTGTAGCTACATTGCATTTGACAGCAATACCTTGTTCAGCACTTGAGACAAGCATAGAAGCATTTTCGAAATCGACATGCATGGATTCGATGGAACCAATTTTAGGTTGAAAGGACATGACTGTACCGCGACTCTTTGTCCATTTTCTACATCATAAGTCATTTGCAAGCATGCATTTCTCTCTATTTACCGAATCAAATGTGTTCTTAACACGTATTCTGTCTTCCAACTTTCAGTCGAGAGTCTCTTGAAAGGAAGTCTTCCAAAATAAGACACAAACGCATCTCGCCCTAACCAACTGTTTAGTTTCCCCTTTTATATATATATATATGGACAGCGACTTACAACAACTATCGTCCATGACCATCTGTCTCCAAAAATGACACACCTTCGCCACTGTAGCTAAACTGATAGGGTCAAGTCTTGCAAAGATATGCAACATGACTTCTACCGAGAGTTGTTGAATGAAGCAGGGTTCACTATTCATGGGGTTAATGAGGTTAATGGGTCCATAGGATGGGGGGGGGCTTACTTTGGATTAACCTCTGGTAAGCGTTGTTTCTTTTTTCCTTTTGCATCATGGTGTGGTTCTGAATACTGAATGTCTTGATGATATATATCTGTCTTTTCTATATGAGTTGTGTTGCTATGATCAAGATGGTTTGAATCGAAAGACATGAACTAATGATAAAGAAGGATGAATTGAGTATATATCTATATATGTATATTTTGGATCTCTTTCTCTCTATTTCTTTCTTTCTTTCTTTTGGTTCAATAAAGAAGAAGAAGAAAAGTGCTCTTTTACTAAAGAAAAGTAAGAAAAAAAAATGAAAGGATTTTTTTTTTTTTTTTTTTTTTTTTTGCTGCGGGCATGAATGAGCCAATGAGAATTTAATTATATGAAAGGTAGTAAGGGTGGGCTTGACAGGATATCGTCTTTTGGCTTCTTTCCAAGTGTCTTGACAAGAGGATCTGGAGAGAGAATACCCGTTGACTCGTCTGTTTCGCTTCTTGCTCTTTTGAGTGGTATACTTTTTTTTGACTTTGTCCTTGAACTTTTTGTTTCCAAACGCTTTTTTCGTGTTTGTTTCTTGAAGGGAAACATGATGTATTCAGGTGATCCTTTTCGACTGGCTGCGGGTGTCACATTTCTTGAGGTAACTGTCATTTGCCATTCTTCCAACAACGCTTTTTTCACGCCAGGTTGATTTAACCAGACAAGCACATCGGCTGCTGTTCGACGTTGATGAGGATCTACTCTAAGAAACATCTTGAGGAGTTGTTTACTCATCGATCCGGGTATTTCACGCTCTAAACACTTGTCAATGTGATAGTCTGTTGACACTGATTCACGCAGTTTCTTGACATCGGTGTCAAACACGCCAGGCCAGGGTTCCATACCTGAGAACATACGCCACACTAATGTGCCTAAGGAATACATATCTTCTGCTGCAGGCAGAATCAAATGAGGCAAAAGAGCATGGTCTCGTTGTGATCGAGGCAATGTCTGAATCGAACGATAGAATCGATAGCCATGATCAGGCCGAGCCATGATATAAGGCAAGTTTTTACACCACACGATCAACTCTTCAAATGAACTTGGCTTCACTTCATCTTTATACATGTATTGTTCATCTGTGTTGACCCACCATCTCTTTGCTTCTTCTGGTAAGAACAAGACGGCTTTTCCAAAATCAATCAAGTACAAGTCTATCTTGGCTGATCCGTCTGGCAACAGTTTGTCTTCTTTAGGAAGATTGACCATGAAATTCACAGTTGAAAGATCTCGGTGAGCAATGCCTGCTTGATGAATAGTATGAATTGATTGAACCATTTGAATAATCATGTCAAGACGCTGATAATGTGTCAATCGTTGATAAGTATGTGCGTTTAAATAGTCTCGAAGTGTCATATCGTACTTGTCCATGGTTAAACCAATCACTTCGGTATGATCATCATCAAAAATAATGTCTTGAATACGACCCATATGCCTTTGATCTCTCAGTTTTAGGAGGGATACTATTTCAATGACGCGTTGAGATGCTGTGGATTTCTGAAAGATCTGAACAACATGTTGGTTGGTGAAAAAGACTTGTTTAAAATAACCTTCTGCATCCACACGATGCGTCATAATGTCCTTGTATGCCTGCCTTGAAACAATGCCTGCTTGTTTCTCGAGACAGACTTAAACTAAGCGTAAGTATGGATTTATTGCAACTGGCTTACATTGCTCTAACTTTCTCCAATGATCTGTGTCTGTGGCTACTGTGAAAAGAGGGTTGGCACTATCACACCTTGTTTGAGTCTATGTAGATAGATATGTATGCATTTACCTTGGATGTCTCAAAGTAAGGGTAGGTGGGGTATCATTGTGGGTTGATTTGATATGAGCCATATCATGCGTAAAAAGATCGACTGGACTTGCTTGTAACACAGTATAAAGAAACTGTCGGTTCATTTCGTTTTCCATAGCACAATCAAGATCAGGATCAAACATGGTACCTATTGCTCGTACACACTCTGTCTTTTGTTCAGAAAATAGATCGTTGGCTAAAGTTTTGGAGATCAACGTATCGATTTTGGTACTGAAGATGATCTTGACTTTGATCCAACCCTTGAGATGGTCATGATGCATCGTATGAAATTCGCCTAGAGGATGAACTACCCATGCCTTGGCTGTCACATGCGCCATGTCAGGTTCGTCTAGTATGGGTTGTATGGCAGCATCAAAAAAGACAGCCAAGGTAGCATTCACATTGTCTCTGGCATCTATCAATCGTTTTCTGTTTCGAGCAATGTACAATCGATGCAGACAAGGTGAAACAGTCGATGGCATCACTTGGTCGAGTGAATAATGAAGTCGTCTGTGCTTTTTGATATTTACAGTGTACATGAGACTATGCCAAGTTTGAGAAATGACTGGATCCGATCCCACATGTTACCTTTCTTTTCTGACAGCAATCGAATTGTAAATCGGCATCGTATGCTTTTCTTCATGCATAAGTGGTCTATAGACAAAGTCAGGTTGATTTCTTTCAGAGCAACATACACTTTTGTTTTGATGATCAAGTCGTTGGGTGAGAGTTGCGGGATCTGCAATAGATCGCTTTTGAAGTGGTCCATACTGTTATAATGATCATGGACTAATTTTTGTTCAATTGCATATAAGGTTTGTATGTATTCTTCACAGTTGGCTTTTGAGTAAATCGTATCTAACATGCCCATACATTGTCTCTTTAGACTGAATCCGTTGTTATCAGTTACAACTTCTTCTTCTTCTTGTTCCATACAATAAAGCAATGTAAAATAAAAAATAAAAGTAAAAAAAAAAAAAAAAAAAAAAAAAAATGAAGGAACAAAGTCACAGCCATCTCTTTACGTGTTTTTCATTATATGCGTTTTATTATGGATTCATAAAATAAAATAAAATAACTATACTAGTTTAGTGCCTATTAATAATAAAGAAGTTCCTTAGCTCAGTTTTGTATTGTTGGTTCTTGAAAATAAAAATAAATAAATAAAAAAAAAAATTCAGAAGTTTAGTGTAAATAAATCTTGTCAAACAACACATTTCCCGATTTGTTCAAATGAAGCATAAATAGCCTTTTTTTTTCTCTTTCTCTTTTCCTCATCTCTTTTCTTTCTCTTTCTTCATCTCATGAGCACACCATTAAAGAAGACACCAAAGAAACAAGAGACAGTCAAGGAACAAGTAAATAAACAACACTGACATAAAGTAACTAATAGCCTTCACAAGATTGTCTTTAAGGGACAAGATAAAGTCGTGCATGATTTAGTCTATGCGCCTTCCAAAGAAATTGATGCTATCACAGCAAATTTGATTATTCGAGATACAGAATATATTATAGAATACTTGAGACAGAGGTAATTGTTACTCTTGTACGTCCATTTGGCTTATTATTGTATACAGAATCAATCTAGAGCAACGTTATCTGGATGATCTCTCAGCCATGACAAGCAATATTCAAGCATGTTGTATGCCAAGTGAACATAATTTGATTCAGACAAACTTTATGAATTTTGTGGGTTTAGCAGACCAACAAAGACCAGTCAAAGAACATTATATTGATACATTAAAACAACAATGCGACACACTCATTCAGTTTAGAGTAAGTATACATAGCCATAGATTTGTGTGTGATATATGTATGTTTATGTTTGGTTAGAATGAACAACAAAAAGCGTATGATAAAAACAGAGCATGGATGCATCAATCCAATGCGGAGTACATCATGGCAAGACTAAGAAAGTTACCCAATGTAAGTGGTCTGTACTACAACAAAACTGAGTTTTTTTTTTTGTTGTTGTACCATGTTGTTTAGATGCACGAAGTCTATGTTCAAAAATGGGATGACATTGAGCGATCGACCGGTACTGCTGTTGCTTCACCTATGATGACACCATCACCCGCACTTATACCCCTTAGTAAACAACTGTCAATCAAAGACGAGGAATTCGACTTGAGAGCGATGAGCATGGATGATGATCGTACCAGAATGGCTCGACTGAATGATCCACATCAAAGTAGTCGTATTGAACGATTCATGAAGAAACACCTCAATAAACCAGAAGATCCAACAAGGCAGAATATTCGGCTTGCTAAACTAAAAGTGGAAGTGAGTGAAGCAGGTTGGTTGCAAGACACACAGTCATTTAATAAGTAAGACTAAAACCCAGATTGAGATGCAAATTATCGTAATGTGGTACGTGAGATTAGTACATTGGCTATCAAAATTGATGTCACCAATCATCATATTTTGAATAACGTACAAGCTGCACTCAAAGAAAAGTCTGAGAAAGTGAAAAAGATGCTGCAGTTAGCATTGGATGCAGACTTGGCTCAGTTACAACAGCGACAATCACCTATCACTCAGTTACTTGGTCAAGTTGAACAGATTGATATCGAGAAAGAATCTAAATTATTCAACAATCACTCTACAAAGGCCCTTAAACGATTCCCAAAGCCTTCGCCTATCTACTATTACAATCATCATGTGGGTGTTTGTAAAGGTAAGAAATATATAAATATATATATATACAGGGGAAATAATAACAATAATGTTAATAGATTTGATCTTTGGTACTTCCTTAACAGAATATGCTCAACAAAGAGGAAGATCACCGCCTTTGTTGATTACGAAATGCATTGAAGCCATTGAACGATTAGGTGGTATTGAAAAAGAAGGTATTTATCGAGTGTCTGGTAAACAGAGCAATATGGAAAAGATCAAACATGCATTTGAAATGGATGAAGAAGCAGTGGTTATTGGTCAATATGATGTGCCTGAAGATGTGTTTAGTATTGCTTCTGTCATCAAAATCTTCTTGAGAGAACTCAAATCACCCTTGTTTCCCTTTAAACTGACAGATCGATTAGTCTATTCACGTAGGTAGAGAGAGAGAGAGAGAGAGAGAGAGAGAGAGAGAGAGAGAGAGAGAGAGAGAGAGAGAGAGAGAGAGAGAGAGAGAGAGTTATGCCATAATGGAATACTGACAAGGCTTCCATAGAAATCCCTGATCAAGAATTACGCTTAATGAATCTCTTGACTCGACTCCTTAAACTAGAACCAGCGAATTACGATACCCTCAAAGTCTTGATTCATCATTTATCAAAGTAAGTGGCTTCACATCATCCACTGTAACTCATCACCCTGTTAGACTTCAGGCATGTGTGGAAAAGAACAAGATGACAACCAACAACTTGACCTTGATTTTCACGCCAGCCATTTTCCAAGACCTGAATCATGCCCAATCCCCTGGTGAATGGGCCAAAGATTGTGTTCTGGAGGACTTGATTCATAACGCACAAGCTATTTTTGCCAATAAGGATCTACATAACAATTCTGCTATTACAGGCCATATTGAATATGGTTTCCATCATGCTATTGAGGACACAAACCGATATGCCATGACAGTTCAGTCACCTGATAGTCCCACAATTCCTTCTGATGAAGAAGGCGGTTATGCCTTTGTGGTAGAAGACTACGAGAGTGAAGAAAACACGACTACTATGAACTACCTTAGTGCAGAACAATTACCTTTACGCCACTCCTCAAGACCTACTTCACCTGCTGAGTCTGTTTCGACACAGGTTGAAAGAAAGAGATATCAAGCCCATTTTCAAGGAAAAGGTCTGACGGTCGATACTGGATCCATCACAACATCCGTGAGTACATCCAGAATCAAGACAGAACCAGAACATCGTCCAATACCTACCGCTGTCAAAAGTGCCACTGTGCCCTCCTATGATTGGTTAAAGCATGCGCCTGGTAATCAAGTACCTGCTGTGCCTAAATTACGTCGATCGGCCACAGCAGACAGAAAAGCAGTCTCAAGACGTAAAATGTCTACACCCGATGGAGCACCCATCATGATGAAAAGCAAAAGTAACACAACCCATACAACCAACATTTAGACACACCCTTTTGATACCTTGTATTTATAAACTTATTTTTATTCTTCATCTGATTCTGATTCTAAACCTGCTTGTTCATCTTCATCCAGTCCTTCAATCTCTCTTTGAATCAAAGGCTTGATGAGTCGGTCAAAATAAGGATGTTGGCCTTGAGGATTGGAGCGCTTGACTTGATCAAAATAATGCACATAGACATTACCATCACGACGGCCTAGAGGACTGTTGATCACATAGTCACTCAAGTTAAATGCATCCACTAATGGAATTGCTTGATCTCGTACTTGTTTGCATAAACGATTGACAGAAGAACGAACAAACTCAATTTGAGGAGGTGTAAAGTATTGATACTCTAAAAAGGCACCCGCATTTTCTTCAATGGAATACAGACCATACAACAAACAGACCTTAATTAAGATATCATACAGATCACCAGAAGTTTTAGACACACCGTCTGCAAAACGATGAAAAAGATAACCAAACGAATGAAGTTTAGCAGCATAAAGACGGGATTGAGCTATACAACAGGAGATTAGATAAACATCTTTTTTCTTTTAAAAAAAAGGGAGGGCAACTTACAGCAGTGTTCATAAGCATCATCTATATCCATACCTTGTTCAAGACATGCTTCAAATTCAATGCCTGCCTTTCTTACGCTATGAGCACACACCACTTGCCAACCTTCAATGATGATCTCGGGTGATAAGATATCTTCCAATTGGTTGACTTGACATTGTGTATGCAAAAGTTCATCTAAACGATTCAAATAGCCTACACCGGGTGAAAGTTGCTTGCCTCTCAATGCTTCACGGTAACTGTTGATTAAATAACGACCCAGTTGAAGTGTCAAGATGGTATTGTCTCCTTCCCAAGTACATTGGACAGCAAAATCTTGGTACATCTGAGCCAGCCCAGTATAGGCAGAATACCCATGGCCCCCACAGGACTGTCTGCATTGTTCAATGATGTTAAGACAATGCCAGGTACAGAAGGCTTTGAGACCAGCACTGGTGGCATGCGTTTCTTTCAGCATCTCTATCACGCCTTCAAGATCTTCATCACCTTCTTTTGCTCCATCTAAATGAGACATCATGATATTGTACATGTCTGTCATTTCAGTACCCGTAAAAAGCATAGCAAATGTTTGGGCAAGTAAAGGCATCAGACGGCGTTGATGGATAGGATAGTCTAAGAGTTTGGTTTCAATCCCATTGGCATGTGAACTGGCAAACTGACGTCGAACAGCAGCATAACGTATAGCAATCGAAAGTGCCTTTTTTGAGAAATGGCCACTGTCGGCTACCATGGTAACTCTTCCTTGTAGCAGAGCACCATAAGTCTAAATCAGATAAGATAAGATGACCTTCTAATGATTCCTTACCAATTGTTGTAATTTAGGTTCTTTGACTTGGCCTGTGCGAGAGACTTTGGTATGTTTTTGGAGCATATGGCCTCTAGGAATCCTGACATGGGTAAATTGAATCCAGCCATTATCAATACCATCTCTTCCCTAGGAAGCAAAGTAAGTTTTAAGAGGCCGTAACATGCACTTTACTTGCCATTTTTTTACCAATATCACCAATGGTAATACCAGGCAAAAGTTGATATGTTTTGGGATCTCTTAAGGCGACCACAAAGCATTTTGTACCATATCGTTTACCATGCACAATCAATTGAGCAAACACAGCAGCATGCGTAGCTGAATGAGCAGCACCTCCAATCCACCATTTTGTGGCTGTTAAAGTAGGTGTATGAAGAATGAACTGATCTGCTGCTTCATCAAAGATAGCTGTAGTCTCTAATCCAGGTACATTGGAGCCATGACCGAGTTCTGTCATGGCAAAGCAGCCAATGAAATGGTTGAGTCCAAGTGCACCTTTTTCAAACCAATAGCCTAATTGGCCAGGTGTTGCATTGCTCTGTAAAGCACCCACAAACAAACCATCTAACCATGGACGATAAGATATACACAGCCAGCATAAATGAAGGGCACTTACAATGAACACCAAATCGAGTCCAGAATCCAGGATCAACAATACTGACAATGGACATGCGTCGCTTGAATGTTTCAACAGATTCATTTTGAAGATGATATAGCATGCTGCGAAACTAACAAGGTATAAGTCGTGTCAAGAAAGAGTTTTTTTTTTTTTTTTACTTTACTTTTTCCATGGTGCGTTCACGAAGTTCTTCTTTTGAAATGTCATGTATATCGTCCATTTTGAAAAGAGAGTCTCGCTCCAATTCAAGCATGATTTTCTCGTTTAACTAGTTAACATAAGTTTTTTTTTTTTTTTTTTTTTTGTTTCAAAACGTATTAAATTTACCAATGTATTGCGTTCTCCTCCGTCCATTAAATAAGTCAAGGATCGAACATCAAAATTGGCTTTGGCTCTTTCTTCATTCATGCTGACAATAGGACTAAACAAAAGTCAATGAAGGATGGATTTGTTTTCATTACTTACTCGACAGCATGTTCAGTCAATATGGTTTTGTTAGACATGTTAATAAGAGAGAGAAAAAAAGAAAGAAACAAACAAAGAAAATCAACTGAATTTATAGTTTGAGGAAACAAGCTTGACAAACATAAATCATGCCAAATTTAGAATGCATTTGCTGACATAAATAAATGATGGCAGTTTATGGAAAGCATTTAATGAATTCAATGGCCGCCAATGACGCTTTCTTCTTTCTTCTTTCTTTTCATCTGTAAAGAATCATGTCTGAATTTCACTCACTAGCCAACCTCATTAAACGACTGGAGGTTGCTACTACGCGTCTTGAGGATCTGGCTATGTCTTCTTCTTCTGCCTCGGCTGTTGCTGCTCACTCACCTTCCTCACCTAAAGCAGTTGCTCCCGCTAATACTACTACTACTGCTGCTGCTGCTACTACTACTACGACTGCTGCTTCTGGTAGCAGTAGTAGTGATAATAGCAGTGCTACAAGTGGTAGCGAAGAAACATCTGCTGCTGTTGAGAAACATGATGCTGCTATCAACGCTTCCCTTGAGAAATACATCGCTTTGTCCCAAGAACTCGGTGATGTTGTCGCTGAACAAGTAAGTCAAAATCACGACGTCAACATTTGAAACTTATATCGGCGGATAGGCTTTACTTGTCAAACAAGCCGTGGATGCTGAAAGAGACATTATCCATATGTCTGCTCTTGCCCAAAAGCCTGATATGACATCACCTACTTTTATGAAGATTTTGGAACCTATTCAGAAGTCATTAGGCAGCATCATTGAAATCAAGGACGCAAATCGTCCTAGTCCAATGTTTAATCATTTGAGCACCGTGGCTGAAGGTATTCCTGCCCTGGGTTGGTTTACTTGTGTAAGTACGCATACCACATTCGTATGGCATGAGACTGATCGTCTATATTATCTAAAAAGGAACCTACGCCTGTCCCTTTTATTCGTGACATGAAAGATGCTGCTCAATTCTATTCTAACCGCGTTGTAAAAGAATGGAAAGAAAAGTAAGTGAGATACGTATGGATGGATGACTGATAATGTAGGGAACCCAAACATGTGGAATGGTCTCATGCTTTCTTAGCTTTGCTTGAAAGTTTAGCTATCTATGTAAAAGAAAACTTCCCTACAGGTCTTACTTGGAATGCCAAGGGTGAAAAACCAGACTCGTTTATTGGAAAGACGTCTGTTAAAAAGGAAACCCCTACTGCTGCTGCTCCTTCAACTTCAGGTGGCCCTCCTCCCCCTCCTCCCCCACCACCACCCATGGTCATTGAAGAGGATGAGAACACCAAACCTGTTGCTGCTACAGGTGCTGCTGCTGTCTTTGCCGAAATCAACAAGGGCGCCAGTGTCACAGCCAATTTACGTAAGGTTGACAAGAGCGAAATGACACACAAGAACCCTAGTTTGCGTGCCGCTGCACCTACTTCGCCTAAGCGTCAAGGTCCTCCTACACCCAACAAGCCTGATAAATACACCCTCAAGAAAGCAGCCAAGACATCCTTGGAAGCCAATAAATGGGTCGTTGAAAACCATGAAAACAACCATCAGGTTGTGATTGAAGAAACAGCCATCAATCAAGCTGTCTATATCTACAACTGTAAAAACTCGACCATTCGCATCAAGGGCAAAGTCAATGCAGTCACAATTGATTCATGTACAAAATGTGGTATTGCTGTTGATTCGACTGTGGCTACAGTGGATGTGGTGAATTCAAAATCATTTGCTTTGCAAGTCTTTAAGGTTGTGCCTACCATTGCTGTTGATAAATGTGATGGTGGTGAAATCTATTTGTCAAAAGACTGTTTAGGTGTTGAAATCTTGTCTGCTAAATCTACTTCTTTGAATGTCCTTGTACCTGAAGGAACAGAGAATGAAGATGTAGAGTACAAAGAAAGACCTGTGCCTGAACAATTCAAGACAACCATTGTGGATGGTAAACTTGTCACTGTTACTGTTGAACATGCAGGATAAAATAAAAATATTCTATTCCCGAATCTATTATTTTCTTTTTTTTTTAAAAAAAAAAAATGAACCAAGATACCACTGTAAAAGTATCGCGTCAGCTAGAGACAAAGGCACTTTCCATCTTGAATGTAAAACATCCTCTTGATTCACCTGATTTTGATTGCACTGAGTATATTAATAAACTATTTCCTACAGGTAAGATTGAATACACAACATCATTGTGTTTAACTGTCTAGTAGAAAAGTCACTTGCTTCTGTTGATGGAGTACTTGAAAAGTTAGAGACAAAGATGACCGAGATGAGTCGAGAAACAGAACGTCTTACAGACACACAGTTTGATAAAGATGCTTCTGAAGGCAATAAAGACTTGAACAAGGCAAAACAAGCTATCCAGGTAGATGTGTATATCACAGTGTGTATATATATATATATATATATATATTGAAACAATCAACAGGAACTCTTCAAGAAGATTCAAGATATCAAATTAAAAGCAGCACAATCAGAATCCATGGTACAAGAAATCACACAAGATGTCAAATCATTAGATTATGCAAAACGACATTTAACACACTCAGTGACTGTATTAAAGCGACTACAGATGCTTGTCACTGCTGTAGATCAGTTGGACTCTATGTCAAGAAATAAACAGTATAAAGAGAGTGCTCAATTGCTTCAAGTAAAGTATATGCTACTTACTTTGTTACTTATCTTGATATTAGGCTGTACTTCAATTAATGCAACATTTCAAATCATTCAAAAGTGTGCCTCAAATTGCACAATTGTCTGATAGAATAGCTAATTTAAAAAATGAGTTAGAAAATTGTGTTGTTAGTGAATTAGAAAATGGGTAAACAAAAGCGTATGTTATACATTCACTGATAGAAGGTAGATTTAATCAAGAGGGTCAATTGGTTGGACAGCCTTGGATTCTGCATGACGCATGTCTAGTGGCGAATGTCTTGGGTGATCAAACAAGGCAAGTTGAATGATACAAGTACGTATTTATTTATAAAATGGTCTAGAGAAAAGATTATCAAACGCTATGTTGATCTTCAATTAGTGAATTATAGACAGATATTTAGACTTCATGAAGAAGTTGCTCAATTAGACAATGTCTCTCGACGTTATGCTTTCTTGAAGCGTATCTTAAAAGTATGTGATGATGAACATGTAGACATATTTCCATCTACTTGGGCAGTGAGTGGAAGAGTAGGCAGCAAGTTTTGTGACTATACAAAGTACGCTTGATTCATTCTTATATGTTAACTTATGGTTTTTTGTTAGGTCTGATTTAGACTTGATCATGAAGAATGAACTACCTGATGTCAAAGACCTTTTACGTGCTCTACAGCTGACTATTGAATTTGAAGGTCAATTGACAAAGCGATATGTAAGATGATACTTTCTAAGCAAAATAACTGATCTTGCTTATGTAAAGCAAAAAGACGAAAACACATTCAATTTCGAGAAAAAGATATCAGCTGCCTTTCAGCCCTATTTATACATTTATATCAATGCGGAAGATGCGTAAGTAATCTAGTACACAATACGGGTATAAACATAATGAACAGAACAATTGCTTCCATGATTGACTCGTATGGTCAATCGGATGCTAAAGCAGAGGAAGAAGATGATGGCAGTATGGCAGTCTTGCCTTCAAGTACAGATCTATTTTATTTCTATCGAGAAACATTGACACAGACATCCAAGTTTTCGACTGGAAAAGCATTGTTTGATTTATGCCAATTGTTTGCTAAGCACTTGGATTCTTACTGCAGTCAGATTTTATTGGGTGGATTAGCAAGACATGAAAAGAAGCCTGTCTCTTTGTCTCATTTCCGCTTTGCCAGTCTAGCACTAAACACAGCTGATTATTGCTGTATCACATCTTCACAATTAGAAGAAAAACTAAAAGAAACAGTCGATGATGAGTATGCTGACAAAGTCAATTTTGAAGCTGTCAAAGAGAACTTTATGAGGTAAGCAAATATATATATATATATATATATATATATGTCTTGTGCTTATGGTCTTGCTTCAGGGCTATTTCTTCTTGCATAGATGCCATCATCAAGAATTTGGAACGATCCATTGAGCTACAAATGACACAAATGACAAAACTTGCCTGGGGAACAATGGATACGGTTGGAGATCAATCTGATTATGTCAGCCAAATGCTGGACATCATCAAAAGAAACATCACTGTGGTTGGAAAAATCATTGCCAATCGACGTTATTACAGAACATTCAATGACAGATTTGCAGAGTAAGCTTAGCAAGCGTTTTATTATGTATTTACCATGCAATATATAGGATCTTTATCACTAAATATCTAATACAAATATTCAAATGCAAGCCTATATCTGAGATAGGTGCAGAACAGTTACTGTTAGACACACACTCTATCAAGACATTTTTGCTGGATATCCCATCCATAGAAGGAAACACAGTCCTACCTAATGCGTAAGTAACCAGCTCTCAAAAAGCGTCATCTTAAATCGTCCATTTTTAGGTACAGCCGCATTGTGAATAAAGGCATTGCCAAGGTTGAAGCCATTCTCAAGACAGCCATGTCTCCTATAGAACCTGCTGAAGGTTATGTCGAGAATTATCTATTGCTTATTGGTGATAAGCATGTTGGCAATTTCACTCGACTACTCGATCTCAAGGGTATCAAGAAACAGGACCAAAATTCACTGATAGACATGTTCCATAAGAGACTTGCATATCATGATAATCTTGTAGAAAACTCCAGATTTGTACCAGCAGAATCTCTGGTCTCTATGCCTTCATCTAGTGTTACGGCAGCTATACCATCTTCTATTACGACATCGCTAACAACTATGGCATCTACAGCTGCTTCTAACTTTAACAAATCGTCTAACAGCAGTCTGTCTCCTACAATGGCTTCACCAACAGAAAATGGAGGAACTCGAGGCAGATTGAATGAAAACTTTAGAAAATTAGTCATGACAGGCATGGCTTTTCGAAAAGATTTGCAGGAGCGACGAGACCATTCTTGAATAATAAACTGAGCATGATGACGCTACTGAAATCTTAAAAAACTTGTCTTTGCGCACCCAAAAAAAAAGCCTTTTAGTTCATCCATAGCCAAACGGAAAACACAATTACTTATTTGCGCGCGATATTTATTTGCATAAACATGAAAAATGATAGGAGGGGGGGATTGAAACGTCAAGCATTCGATATGAATAATAAACCAAGACATGACTAATAAGACAAATAAGCACCAAATCTCATTCAGGATTAGCATCGATCATTGTGCCTGATTATACAATGCATCAACCCAGGTTTCTACAGATACTGTGATAATTGTTGAATTGACTTTATGGTCATTATGTACTTTCAAGATAGTCGAAAAAGAAAGAACCTTCTTTTTTTTTTTGTTCTTCATTTAGAATGACATGTTGTTACCAAGAACTTATTTTACCAGGTTTAAAAATAAAAAGTTGGTTTCACTGACCATAAAAAAAAGTGGCCAAAACCTGTCATCATAAACACATCGTTCAATGACATTTATTTTTAATTTCTACGCATTGTATTTTTAGACATATGATAAACAATGCCTTTTAGTCTATACAAAATAAACAATAGGTTGGTTCACATGTGTTTACAGAGTCAAATAGTGCGCTGCTTAGGCAACAGAAAAAAGGTGACAAAGCAAACCTTCCAAGCCCTAAAGAGAATCATGTGCCTACACCATGATTGCTGTAGCTATTTTTTTTTAGGTGGTGAGTCTAAACATTGTGATTTGCTTGGTTTCTTCCCCTCAGTCCGACCAACCATGCGACTTTGAATAGTCTTTTGATATCAAAGGAATATGTACATCGTGCTCAGTATGAAGGGAAAATACTTGAATCAAGCCCAATCGTTATTTTTAGTCAATCGTTTCTACTTGACCATGAGACATTAGCCTCGAAAAAACAAAAAGATATATAAAGGCCAATAGCTTCCTCCATTCAAACGACATTCAATTACCACAATGGTTAAATTTACTGCTACACTTTTGGCTTTATCTGCTGCTGCTACCTTGGTCTTGGGCTATAGTGAAGACGCTTGCTACTATACCCATAGCGATAAAGGACGTTGTGTTTACAAGTGCAATGACAAGGCTTGTAACAAGTATGGTACTTGGAACCGCGATAGATTCCATCATGACATGACTGGTAAAGGTTACCACTGTAACAAGAATGGTTATGACTCTGTCTCTTGCTGGAAGCCTCACGATTCTGGTGACTGCCGTTCTCACAACTGGAGCTGCTCTTACAATAAGAAGAATCATCATAAGCGAGGTTATGATGAACATGAAAAAGACTGGGACAAGGACCACCACGACAAGGACTGGGACAACCACCACCACGGCAAAGATTGGGACAAGGACCACCACGACAAGGACTGGGACAACCACCACCACGACAAGGACTGGGACAACCACCACCATGGCAAGGACTGGGACAACCACCACCATGGCAAGGACTGGGACAACCACCACCATGGCAAGGACTGGGATCATGGCAAAGATCATCACAAGAGAGGCTATGATGAACATGGAAAAGACTGGGACAAGCACCACCACGACAAGGACTGGGACAACCACCACCACGGCAAGGACTGGGACAACCACCACCATGGCAAGGACTGGGACAACCACCACCATGGCAAGGACTGGGATCATGGCAAAGACTATGGAAAGGAACATCATTAAAAAGTTCATAATGTCACCTCTTCAGTATATTTATGATTTTCTATATTTGAATCTCTACCATTCTCTTTTCATTTTAAATTTTATTTGTCTAAATAACAATAAAGAAATCTTTGAAACAATCCTTTATTAGCAAATGTTAGCCTAAGACCAAACCTTCCTTTTGATTTATTTTCACTGTTGTATCAAATAATACAGTTTCTGAGCGAATAACTAACAAAACTAAATAAATAATACTACATTTTAATAATGGAATGGTTGGTTCTGCATGGTAAAGGCCCAATGGTCCTTCCAGATCTCAGAGAGACCGATCAATGTTACCATGGCTACTGAAAGAGGACAGTTAGTTTGAGACTGAATCCGAGAAAAATTGAAAGATGCAAGTGCATCAGAGACTAGATTCAGAGAGGTGCCTGGCCACAGAAATTCCCTGATCAAAGCATCCCAGAACGGAAATTTTTGGGGGCAGCGAAAGAAGAAATGGTACACAGTCTCCTGATCACCACACAAAATGCAGGCAGCAGTAGGGAAGCGAGCAGGAAAAACCTTGGATAGAAGTAAGCGAGTGGGAATCTTGTGAGTCAGAAATCGATACATCACGTTTCTCTGCGATGTTGTGATAGGTATGCGCCAAAAGTACTTCCAAGCCGCAGAAGAAACTTCTTGCCGGGCAATGATATTAGAAAAGGCAGCTTGTGTGATGACCTTACGGAAAGTATAGCCACCATTTTTGAGGGTAACGAAATTTTCATTGTCAAAAGGCAGTTTCAACATACGCACAAAAGAAAAGAAACCAAGAGACCGCTGGATTGCAGGAATATGCACAGGATTGTATAAGCCTAATGAAGTACGAATAAGGCATTGGCCAAAGAATGGTTCCAGTTGACAATGACTCTGTTTCACTGCTTGAAGGTATTTTCTAACACTACGACGGATATCCAAGGGAAAGGAAGAAACTGGTATAGGTGCCGAATAGTGACCCTGTGGATGGTACTCATATAGATAGGAAACGGCTACTTTGCGTAACTTGAGAGGCAAGTCAAAGGTGTCAGATGGCAAAACAATTGAGCGTAATGGCAGTAAAAGGCATTCGATAGAGTTTGGCATGTATGAGTACTGTTTCCTAGGAATAGCATCCATTGTCTGGCAGCACATTGTGACACTATTACTTGCCAATTGCCTGAGTTGGCCTGGGCGAGAACGAGGAAAGAGCAGACCCAAGAACAGATGTTCAGTCTGAAGCAAAGCACGGATATGTGCTGCTAGAAAGTCTTGTATTAGAGAACGTTCAGCTTGAGGACACAAAAAAGGATGAAGCCAATGGTAATACAGTGATTTCTGCTGAGAAAACAAGTCAAGAATGCCAAGGCCACCATGCCACTTTGCCAACTAATGCGAGGAAAGATTTGCCGGTTGGCAAAAGAAGTAATGACAGTTCGAATGGTATTAAGGATTGCTTGAGTGGTAGGGATCACCCGTAAAATATACCAGCATTTAGACAATAAAAGCGAACTGGCAACTGTAGCTCTACCAACAACAGAAAGATTGCGTGAGGCATGAATATCCGCCAGTTGAGTCAGTAATCGAGTGAGGGACGAAAAAAAGTGAGCGCGCTGGTCCAAGGATTGGATAAGGGGAAAACCTAAATAGATAATGGGTTCAGCATCTGTACGGCACCATATCTTGGGAATGTCAATGGCTTGTAGAGTAGTCAGCCATTTATCATCTAGATTGTGGCCAGAGAGAGAGATTGCTCGCACTTTATGGTAGTTAATCTTGGCATTGGATGCTTTACTGTAGGTCTGCAAGTAAAACTGCATTCTGCGAAGGTCACGGATATTATGAAGAAAAACTAAAGTGTCATCAGCATAACTAAGCAATTTGATAGCAGGTAAGGTAATAGCTTGACTAAAATCATTATGCTTGAAGCGATAGCCAGAAAATTGAGTGTCATTCAATATTGACTGGAGAAGTGGCTCTAAGGCAAAATTGTACAAAATACAAGAGAGTGGGTCACCTTGTTTGAGGTCTCGACGCTTTGGAACCAACTGCTTAGAGAGCCAACCATTGATGTTGATACAAATGGAATTATTTCTAAACAAGGTAATAGTGCTGACAACCAGGGTCTTTGGAAAACCAAAGTGTAACAACACTTGCTTGAGATAGTCAAGGTTGACACGATCATAGGCCTTTTCTTGGTCTAAAAGAATGCCAAGGTCTTTGTCTGGTCGGCGGTAGTTTGTTGCTGCATTTTCCATGATTATTTGGGTGAGCAAGCCATGTTTAGCAATATATCTACCAGGCATGAAGCCTAGCTGATGTCTATTGATAAGTGTAGCAACTACTGTCATAATCCTGTGGTTGATTATCCGAGTTAAGATCTTGTTATCTGTATTCACCAACTGGAGGACGATAGTTCTCTGCCCGCGTTAGATCACCTTTCTTAGGCAAAAGAGTCATAAGTGATAGCAGCCATGATTTCGGGAGTAAAGAATGAGCTAAGGCATCATTGTATACTTGTAGAACCAGCTGCCTTAAACAAGGAACACGAAGTAAAATACCTAGAATTTCGTATGGCAAACCATCGCTACCAGGGCTACTCTGACGAGGTGAGCGTCTACTTGCTTTCGATATCTCTAGCCAAGTGATAAGACTTTTAAGGGTAGATGCTTGCTCTTTAGTAAGTCATTGGCTGTTGGTACGTTGTAAAAGCGTATTGACATCAGAGGATTGGATCTTGTCAAGACGATATAGCGCCTTATAGAAGGCAACCATCATCTTTATTTTCCCTTCTGTATTAGTAACCAATCGTCTAGAATTGGGATTAAAGAGCTTTGGTATTGTTCGCTGTGTAGACCTATCTTGTGCAAGTTTTTTGAGAAGACCAGGAGATTGTTCACCTTTTTCTCGCCAAAATTTGCCTGCTTTGAGATGTTCTATTTCGGCAGATTCATCCTGCAAAATAGTAATCATTTTTCCAACCTTTGGCAAAAGAGATGATAAAATAGATGTATTTTTATGATCTCGTAAGATTATGTTGCGTTTGGATTGAAGCTTTTTCAGAGATTTGGATCGCCAGTTGTTACGCTCGATCTGGAAGGATCGAGTAAAAACTTTGACTTGTTCTTTCAATTCATCCCAAATAGTTTGAACTGAAGGGCAATCAGGATCCAAACGGTTGATGTTATCCATGTATTGCTCAATATGTGTTGTCGAACCTTTTCTATATGCAGATAGTCGAGCAAGATTAGGATTACCTTTCCAAGGACCAGGTCCAGCTGGAGTGTGCACCAGTTGATAGTTGATAGAAAGCAAGGCATGGTCAGTCCAACTGTAGTTGACAAAATTTTGAGTCATAGAAATTACATTGTCAGCATGAGGTAGAGCGCAAAATATATAGTCAATATGTTTGCGACTACCAGTGGTACTAACAAATGTAGGAAGAGGATCACTTTGAAAACAATCCTGGAATGAAGTAAGAAGTAGATCATTCCAGCACGTATCAATGTTGGATTTACGGTAAATGTCATAGTTGAAGTCGCCAGCAATAATAATAGGCAAAGACGTTGACTGTAAATGTGACATTAATGGTTGATTGGAAGATAACGTGCAAAAGAATGTGGATCGACTACTACGATGAGCAGGAGCATAAATATTGAGGATATACATAAAAGGAATGGAAGGTTCAGAGGCATGAGCGATAGGCGCTAAGAGAAAGCGGCCATTGGTAGAATTGATGGTGGGATGTGCTGTAATTTTGTAGTGAGATTTTAGAGAAACAATGCCGCAATGTTCTGTCCAAAGACTGGATTTAGTCTGGAACTTGAGATTGAGCTGCTTCTGTATATTAACTGTAGATGCGTGTGTTTCCTGTAAGCATAGAATGTCATATTTAGTTGAACGTAGAAAGCGGATGAATAAGGATTGTTTGTAAGGATCTGAAGTTTTCGTAAGGCCACGACAATTAAGGGTGGCAATTTGCATAGAGTCATTAGGCATAGGTTATCTTATTAAAAGTCAGGAGAGGTACCTGTTGATCCACCTGTATTATGATTAGGCACCATTCTATGTCTCTCATCGTCATGATTAAATTTGATCTTTTTACGCTCCTGGATAAACCTTTCTAAGTCCAAAGCCTCTTGGGTTGGATTATTGCTTGGAATGTTTTGAGGATATTCATCATCATCCTCTCCATCGGAGTCAATGATTTCTACTTCACTATCTCCTTGCTCTTTCATTTCATGATCCATCAATTCATGCTCGACTACTGTAATATCGTTTGAAAGTGTTTGAATAGTCTCGGTTGCTATTTGACTAAGAGGAACGGTAGTCAATGCAGCAGGAGAGACACTTTGCTTAGGCTTCACACTTTGTGCCAGTTGCTCATTGGGCAGGTTGGAGCCTGATCTATTAGCGTTGTCTTTTGTAATCCCAATACGCTTATTAGGAGGGTGGCCTGATCCATGTTTACGACGAGGACAATCACGGCTGATATGACCACGCTCATTGCAATCATAACAGCGACGAGTATTAATGAGTTCCATGCAATCTGCTCGACAATGATCGGATTTTTGACAAAAACGACAAAATTGGGGCATTTCATCCCACGTAAGCAGAAGTTCGGGCCAATCCACTACTCGACCAAGTTGCTCAGGCTCAGTCTTGTGAGGATTGTTCAGGTCGAGAACGACGTAGCCCTGGCCGAAAAATACAGCACCGTCCATATGAAATCCCAGATCTAGGACTTCACCAAAGTGGGAAAAACGTTTGGTCATTTGCTCGCGGAGAGTTGAAGGATGAATCAAGGGGAGTCGTTCAACCTTAACTCGAGCAATTTTCGCATTCTGGGACAAACTGCAGTAACCTTTGATAATATTATTATTTTCCATCTGCAAACCGGTGTTGATCAACTTATTGTATACTTCTGAGTTGGTGTCCCAGCAAATTTCAATAAAACGTCTCTGCAAATACTTGCGCTCAACAAGTAAAGTGCCAAAGAAATAATACTCTTCATGGGTATTAAGTGACCCAAGAAACTGTTTAAGGCCATTCACATCACGAATATTGGTGATATCAATCAATACACTATCTTTCTCTAAACCGACAATATAAGGCGTAATAGTGCCTGAAGAAAGAGTGTTGGTACTAGCATACTTCGACTGGGAAGAACCAGAAGTGCGTGCAGATGAAGCTGTGGCAGCCAATGATGACGACTGGTTAGCAGACACAATAGTTCTAGCCGCTACTTGCGACCAAGTTCTGGGTAAATTATCGTTGTTACGACGCCCTTTGGAGGATTTCATGTTGTGGGTTGGCTTGTTAGGTGAAAGAACCATGAATGACTTTTTTAATAATATACATAAAGGAAGGTAAGGGAGGTTACTGCAGCGCATTGAGTCTCCGTCTCTTTTTCTTTCTTTTTACATTTAGTGTAATCTTCATGCAGAGGTATAAAGAAACCTTTGTACTATTCAGTAATACAATTTTTCCTTTTTACATTTTAACAAGGAAAAACTGTTGGCGAAAACATTACTAAGAAATTGGAGAGATATCCCACGAAAAGTCTAAGAATCCCAGCCAACTTGGCTCATTTATTTTCGAGTATGAGCAGCATATTGAACAAAGAATACTCTATTTTTAATAGTTTTATAGCATATAAATACAAAAACATAAACTGTTTATTGTTCTTTGCCACGAATCTGGTTTCAAAAGAAAGGTGCACACGCTCTTTCCCGGCTCGCTTGTCTTCTCTTTTTCTTTGCTGGTTTACTTTTTCAATAAGCTTCGCAAGCTCGCACTGTATAGAGCACGTTAATTTACTGCTACTAGCATTCGTTTGTTTACAGTCAATACCTTAACATAGTATAGAGCTTCGACAATTGAAGGTAAATGTACCAGTTGGTGAAGTTCTTCAACCAAAGAGAAGCGTTCAAATGCCATAGGCATGTATATTCCATCAGCAGGAAGCCTCATTTGGAACAGGGTGCATTTGAAGCCTACAAAGTATCTGCATTAGACATTTTGTTCTTCTTTTAAGACACAAAAGACAAAGTGAGAGTATACCTTCAACTAGCAGACCAAGAGATAAAGGGTCTTTTACTCCAAGACATAACTGATCATCTAGAGAACCTTTCATCAGCTTCATCAGCTTAGCATAGTCGTCTTCTAGCTGATATTTGCTTGTTGCTTCAGGTCTCTTAATCTCAATAAAAAAGAAGAAAATCTCTTTGTTTCTGACTCTAGTTCCAAACATTGAATCTGGCTTCTTTTTATTCTTGCAAGGCTTGTCGATCCTATCCGTAAGGATTATTCTCTGCGGTTAGTACAGTTAAAAAAAAGAAAATTGGGTATACACTCACAAAGTATAGTATAGTTCTTCACTAGTATTTTTCAAAAGTACTCTTTGAATTACTGGTGTTAAGTACTTGTCAGTGAATGAAGCTTCTGAATTATTGGCAGCAGAAGCGCGGTATTCTTTCATGTTCTTGACGAGGTCTTTGACCATACTCAGCATGACTTCTTTTTCTTCATCTTCCTTCTCTTCTTCCCCACTATCATCATCATCATTCTCTTCTTCCTAATTGAAAACAGTGTCAAAGAAAACTAGTCGTTTGAACTAATGCAACATACATCGGCTTCTTTCTTACAGTATATAACTGCCTTGGCAGGTGCACGAATTATTTTGGGCTTCATGCCTCCAGATAGTGACTTTAAGATATTGCGAGTATCAGAGTCAAAATATTTTTTAATACATTTTTTGGAATCAAACTTATTGATTGGGAAAATGTGGGATAGAGAACTAGGTTGGTAAGATTTGGCCCAATGGAAATTAGTGTGCGAAGAAAGGTAGGGGATGGCTCTTTGGATACTCACAGGATTCTTAAGCAATTTATATCATTGTTTTTGTCAGCTTCAGCTATCGACTGCTTTCTAAATCTCTTGAGCACCTCTGACATTTATGTTTTCGACGAAAAGCTTAACATATTGGTTAGGCGTTCTTTAATTATAAATATTTATACGCCCACTTACTTCCTCTTTTGGTTTCCACTCCTTCTGTCCCCTGCCCATAAAGTGATTTATTTTCTTATATCGTTTTACGGAAGAAACCGATGAGTTCGATAATTGTGGGCTTTGAGCTAAAAAAAATCAAGTTTAGATCTGATTCTTACAAATGATCTCTTTGAGCATACATCTTTCTCTTTTCATATTCATTGTAACCTGGACATTGCCGTTAACTTTGAAGTGTTTGAATGAGTTTGACATTTTAAAGAATACGATAAGAACAATAATAAATATGAAAACAGAGAAAAATGCTTGCTGCGCACTCTCAAGTAAATAACAGAGTACACCAAACGGAAAAACTATTCGCGCGCAGCAAGCATTTTTCTCTGTTTTCATATTTATTATTGTTCTTATCGTATTCTTTAAAATGTCAAACTCATTCAAACACTTCAAAGTTAACGGCAATGTCCAGGTTACAATGAATATGAAAAGAGAAAGATGTATGCTCAAAGAGATCATTTGTAAGAATCAGATCTAAACTTGATTTTTTTTCAATAAGAGAAAAGGCAAGAACACAGAGAAAGTCCGTTAAAACTTATATAGGTTTTTATTTCTCCAAGAAATGTTATCTTTCAATTGCCATAGATGTGATCTGGTTTTTTGCCATGATCATCATGTATTGATCTATGCATATGAATTCATATATGTTCACAACAAGTTTCATGCCTTTCTTTTAGCTAAAAATCATAAGGTTTCCATATCGGAAGCTATGTTCAAATTTAAAAATGATTTAGAAAACATTTGTCAATCAGAATCCATGGATCGAACATCGCGTAGACGTGCTGGGCAACTAATTAGCAGTATGAAGGTATAGTCTTGTCTCTATCAATATACAATATAAACTAACCTATCGCAATTTTTAAATAAAGGCCAATAAGCGCAAGAATAATGATGCTCTGCCATCAACTGTGTTCAGCAACCAAGGCTCTGCGCTCAGCAATAACGGTACCATCATTGTAAACGTGATTTCCGGAGCTAAAGAAGGTGATATAAAAATGATTATACTGCTTTACATAACAGGTCTAACCCTGAAAAAGTAGATGGATCCAAAAGACAGAAGGTAATTTTTAAACATTCATAGCTTTTTTTTCGGTATCTCATGAGTATTAGGTTGATCATGTGGAAGACGCTGACAGCTGGCAAGTTGAAAGTGAAGAAGATCTATGGGATGCTTGGCGTCAGTTTTTAAAATGCTGTTGTTGTTGCCATGATTTTTGGTAAAAAAAAAACTACATTTATGAGCCCTGAGAAGTATCATGTGATTGAGTGTGGCTACTCCATCAAATGTAAGCCAAGTATCCCTCAACAACTCTATGATCACTTGGATACCGCAACTGTCGCAATAAACAATCTTTTTAAGCAGCATCCAGAGTATAGTCTTGCTGTGCTTGAAGCACTAAAACCTTTACCTGTAAGCATATTCAATCGCTTTTTACCTTTTTATTATTCTGACAGAACATTTTTTTTTTTTAGAAAAATTGGAAAGCAGCAAGAAAAGCTGTTGTTAATCCTGAAGACAATGATGACGATAATGAAGGAGAAGAAAGCAAAGAATTTTTACAAGAATTATTTCTAATTATGCAAGTATATTCATGGTTTCATACCACTATGTACAATTTGTGTTTACTGAAAATATGCGTTTAGTATTACTTTGTTCAAGAAGAAGGATGTGGCTGCTGTATTAAAAAATCTGAAGTCAACTATAACTTGTTTGTCCTTTGGCCATTGATGAGTCTTGCTGCTGGGGATATGAACTTTGTTGCTGGGGAATATATTTTAAAAGCCTCAAAAGAAGAATATAGAGCAGATGCATGTATTCTTGATGAGAATGACAACGAGATCTGTCTTCTGGAGTCTTCTGGTTGCTATCTTTTTGGTGACAAATGCAAATATGGCTATGATCATGTCAAGGGCGCATTTGGCGTATTAACTATGTTTAATGCTGCCTTCAAGAAATATCACAAAGCATCATTCAAGGTTGCTCAAGAATTGAGCATTCTGTTCATCCATGCTCGACGTACGTAGTATATCATGGCTTACTAGTTTTTGCTCATTTGAAATATCATTTCTTTCTTTAGATGACGCTATTCATCTTTGGTCTCTGGAGCTTTGTTCCCAGAAAATGTATGTACTGAAGAAAGTGTATGTCGCCAAAACGCCTGTAAACAGCCATGTAATTGCATTAGGCAATCTTTTTTGGTGCTTGAAGGTGACAATAGAAAAAAAAAAGACAGATAAAGGAAATGTCGTAGTTAGCTAATGTTTTATTTTACACAGACAATGATAAAAAAAACTGCTTGTGTTCTGAAAAAGATGAAAGAGAGTCATGAACAAAATGAGCTCAAGATGATGATGGGTGAAGAAACCTCACCAAGCCTCTTTCAGTTTGTTGACATCGACATTCAAAAGCCAGTGAAAGGTGCAGGCTACGGCATCTTGTTGCCTGAAGAAAAAGAAGAACAAGATATTGTTATTAAATATGTATAAATATATAATCGTCTTGTGCATTATTTTCTTATTGCCAGAAAGAGCATTGTAAAACAAAATAAAAAAAGTTGACATGTTTCAAAGCTTGGCGTAAGTGAAGTATCCCTTAAAGACATTATGGCTTTAAATTAGATTCGCATGTCAAAAACCAAAACCAGAAAAATGAAATTCAAAAGAAACAATGGACTAAAAGTGTCTAAAAACGAGGAATTATTAAGAAAGTACATTAACAGAATTGGTAGATATTAACAAAGAGTATTGGATGATGTAAAGAACGCAGTATATTTGCTATTAAGATAATGAGCTATCATCCAAAAACGTTTCTTCTGTTCTTGAGCTGTAGTGTACACTTTTTATAGTACTTTTGTAAATCTAATGCTATGAGTGTGTCTTATAGACCCAGAGAAACAGTTCATAAGAGGGCATGTTATGTCTAAAATGTCTCTATCAATAACAATTGCAAAACAGTGAAAATTGAAGATTTCGTAAAAGGGATTTTAAGACATGTACTCAGTTGCATGCGCGCTGCTGAACGCTTGCGATTACCAACGGATATACAGCCTAACCCAATTGATTATGTCCTGAATCAGTTGCCTAGAATATCACACCCTCCAAGCCTACAAGCTCAAAGACTTGACCGCTACACACGATGGTCAAATTGGTGGCTAACCATTTGTCAACTCTCGCTTGAAATTGAACTCGTGGATCTTCCCGACAAGGCTTTCTCAAACAAAGAAAAAGATACCTCTGGTATGATTTTCCTCCTTTGGCTAATACCCTCGCTTTATCCAGTACAGATAAGCAGCTGATTCTCTCCTTCATCCGATCACGTTTCTACGCCTATTATGCACCTTTTTTTTTCTGTTTTTTCTTTTTTATCTTTTACACTATAGTACTCCATCGTCTATGTTCCCTGTCCTTTTTTCTATATTTTTATAATTTTATAGTTTTTTTCTTTTTTGCACTCTCCTTTCTTTAAACTGATGGTTAGACATTTACCCTATAAGACTCAGTCTTCATAACCATATAAATAAAATATAAACTTTTACCAAGGAATTTATAAGGCCAAAATGACAATTTTTTGACTTTTTCAAAACTTGCTATATTGTTACATCTATATATTCTTTTATGTATGCTCAAACATAGGAAATTCAAAAAAAGGAAGTTAGAAGGCAGAAATGATGTTTTATCTTGAGAAACGCTCGCACTTGCAGTGGGCTGCCAATCTACAGGTAATACTATTATGCTTATCAGGTCTTTCAAAAATGAGCCGTTAGGAAAGCTAATTTATAAATTAAGATCATATAATAAGCTAGATGCTCAAAGAAGCCACGGATTGAGAATGTTAAATGTGTAATTTGCTAAATGGAATTAAAGGTTATTTAGTGGCCATAAAGTATATATGATTTTACTATATGGATTTCCTCTGCTTAATTTAGAAATAAAAGTAGAAAAGTTGATGATAGTCTAACACATAAACATATAAGTTAAATTATTACTTCAATATATACATTAAGAGATATGAAAGAGAATCGCTTCATTATATACATATAAAAGATACTTTTAGTTTTTACAAACATCTCTTTAATTTACTTTATTATGATACACTTAGCAGGACTTTGTTTTTCTTATTTGGCTTTCTTTATTAATACTCTATCCATTGATAACACAATTCAAAGCACAAAAAAACGGGATTCAGTTTTTTTAAGTATAAGAACTGCATGCATCCAGACGGCCTTACGAAGTCCTTTATCGTAACAGTCTTATCGCACTTTATGCTCAGTCAAGAAGTGCTGATTTATTGATGAGAAATAGAATACTGATCATGTATATTTTAGGATCGATATCTTTAAGGGAATAAAAACTGAAATATAAACTGGATGGACACTATATCATCACCTCCTTTTGCGCTGATGTGTGATAGATTGACATTGATATACTGACACAGAGCTAATGGCTCTATGGCACATAATATGTAAAAATAGCTGTATATACCAACACATAAAAGAGCTACTACTGGATTGCATTCTACCAGCAACAATGCAAACACTTCTGTCTAAAGAAAGTGTTCGTAGTACTTCAAAAACAAGCGTCAGTTTTAGTAATTTAGAGCTGCTTCGATTTCTTGCGTTGTTCAATAAAAAAGGGTAAGTAAAAATTGTCTCTCATGAAAGTAAGTTGTAAACTAAAGAAGTTACCAACAGGTTATTAAGGTAGACCAAATAAACTATCAACTTTATACTTTTTATTTGTCGTTATAAAGTCAAGCCTTTACAAGTATCTTATTCCTTGTGTCTCGTTGGCCTTTAAGAAGCTGAAGCCTGCAATGGCAACAAGAAAGACCCAAATTACTTTGAAGAAGAGTGTTAGCATGGCTGAATGACAGTAGCATAGATTGGGACCAAAATTATGTCTTTATCAATGGGGAAGACTTCAACATGTCTATTCGCAGGAGCCTTGGTTGGTTCAAGAAAGACATGTCTGTTCTATCTCTTGTGCCTTCAAACAGTAGAATTACAATGATCATTTTTGGAGCAATATGAGAAAAGGGTGTTATTGAGCTCATACTTTGTAAGCCAAGGTCTAAGATCAAGGAAAGCGTCAAAAAAGTTTGTCTTATCCCTAATAAAGCAAATAAGAAATTCACTCTTCAAATCTGTGCACATTGAATAAGTCATTCCTAGTCATCTTTTGACAGATGCTTGGCTATTGAGCCAATACTTTAAGTTCAAATGCTTTCAAAAAGATGACATGAGCGGAATTTTAAATAGAAGACGTTGATTGGCTGTGTAACCAAAGAGTTTAAACCAAAAAAAAAGAGCTAAAGAATATCCTAAAGAAGCCGCCATCCGGAAAAGTCCTTTCTCTTTCCTCATATATAGTTAGACATGGGATCCGATCGGTAAGCCATCCTTTAACCATCCATCCATCCATTTGCTATAGGATCACATAGAAGCCAACAACACTAGTATCTCCTTTCTTTCTTTCTTGACAATAATGAATAGACAAAGAGACAATGCCATTTTTGCATGTCGATTCAACATTGTCTAATGAAGTGCGACATACCATAGTATAGAAACGTCATGAAGCAACATATATAAACAAAAAGACAAAGAAAAGAGAGAGAGGAAAGTAGAAAGTAGAAAGAAGAAAGAAAGAAAGAAAGAAAGAGAGAGAGAGAGAGATGTGTGCTGATTATAGCTTATGGATTAGGATCTAGAGGTTCATTGGATTAATACTTTAAATGTAGTCTTTACAGCAAGGGCCGTGTTTTGGGTTTCGAACGTGCTAAGCGTAACCAAAACCCCAACACCTCTCTCATTCAAGTTGAAGGTGTCCAAACCACCAAGGATGCTCAATTCTACCTCGGTAAGCGTGTTGCCTACGTTTACCGTGCTCAACGTGAAATCAACGGTTCCAAGATCCGTGTCATCTGGGGTCGTATTGCTCGTACTCACGGTACTAACGGTGTTGTCAAGGCTCGTTTCCGTAAGAACTTGCCCCCTAAGGTGTTTGGTGCTTCTGTCCGTGTTGTAAGTGACATAAAAATAGTGATTATATAAGAGATGACTAATAGAATGCCTTTAGATGCTCTACCCTTCCAACATCTAAGTGTGTTAAAAAGAATAAAAAAGAAATGACTCTATCTTTTTTCCATATTCTAATAAAAGAGGAAAAACATTTTTATTGATCTCCAACGGAAAATATGACTTTAATGTGCTTTTTTTGACTTCCTCCTCTTAAACCCCGTGAGAAATGTATGCATAAAATCATGAAGCTTATCTGCGGAAAGGCGATCACGGTCCTCAGGAGTTTTTTTTTTTTTTAGAGAAAAAGAAGGAAATCATTCGTCATTGTTTATTGTAAATATTGAGAGGACAATTAGTTCATACAAACATTGCATGGCAGTATGCATACAGAGAGATACATACAAAATAAAATAAAAATAAAAATAAAAATAAAAAATATGACAAGTTCGGTTTTCAGCATTTAATGACACCAATGCCTTGCTTTGTCTGTGTGGCAGTCGTGGGAATGAAGTTCTGTTGGCATAAATTTCTATATAAAGACTTTTCTTTTTTTTATTATTATTATTCCTTCTCTTTATTCCCTACTCTTCTTTTTTTTTTATTACAATACAATGGTAAGAAAAAGAGAATCATAATAGCAATTCAAATAACATGTTGTAGGCTCCTTCATTAAACGCAACTGATGTTCAAGCTACGAACCCTTATTCTGGTTTCGACCATCTTAAATTCACTGTTTCCAATGCCAAGCAAGCTGCTTCTTATTACTGTACAAGACTTGGCTTCAAGCATGTTGCTTACCGAGGTTTAGAAACTGGCAACAGAGATGTAGCTTCTCATGTGGTGAAGCAAGGCGATGCTGTCTTTGTGTTTGAAAGTCCTACCCGTCCTGAAGCTAATCCCCAAATGGCTCAAGACATTGCTCGTCGTGGTGATGGTGTCAAAGACATTGCCTTCTGTGTCAAGGACTGCAAATCTGTCTATGAAAAAGCCATTGCCCGTGGTGCCAAATCCCTCTCTGCTCCTCAAGAATTCTCAGATGAACATGGTACTGTTATCATGGCTACCTTGGCTACTTATGGTGATGTTGAACACACATTGATTGAACGTAAAAACTACAAGGGCGCTTTCTTACCTGGATTCAAAAGTACCGCTGAAGACCCTCGCTTCAAGGATCCCTTGGATGCTATTTTGCCCCATGTTCCTTTGGGTTTCATTGACCATGTAGTGGGTAACCAAGGCGATGGTGAAATGAACCCTGTGGCTGATTTCTATGAAAAGGCCTTTGATTTCCATCGTTTCTGGTCTGTGGATGATAAGCAAGTCTTTACTGAATACAGTGCACTTCGCTCTGTTGTCATGGCTGATCCTGAAGAACGTATCAAGGTGCCTATCAATGAACCTGCAGTAGGTAAAAAGAAGTCTCAAATTCAAGAATTTGTAGACCATTATGGTGGTGCTGGTGTACAACACATTGCTATCAATACACCTGATATCATTACCTCTGTGACCAACATGAAGGCCAGAGGCTGTGATTTCTTGACCATTCCTTCCAATTACTATGATACATTGCGTGAAAAATTGGCTGTTCATAACAAAATTGCTAAGCGTCCTATTGTTGAAGATTTAGATGTATTGCAAAGCTTGAATATCCTTGTTGATTATGATGAAAACGGTTATCTCTTACAAATTTTTACTCGTCCCCTTGAAGACCGTCCTACTGTCTTTGTTGAAATCATTCAACGTAATAACCATAATGGCTTTGGTGCTGGTAATTTCAAGAGTTTGTTTGAATCACTTGAGATTGAACAAGCGCTTCGTGGTAACTTGACTGATATGGAAATCACTGCCACTACTGCTTAAACCATACAATGTACTTAACTTTTCTTGTCTATATACTTTCTTTTTTTTTTTCTTTTTAATAAGCACTTATATATATATATATATATATATATACTTTATACACTTTATACTCACATTTAATAATAATAATAATAATAAAAAGATCAATTTGTATAATGAATCTTGTTTTGTAATGCTCTTGTGTCTACATATTCTAAATCCACTACACTACAATAAACAGTTAGGTCATATAAAAATATACGGCCTTATTTTACCCTATAAGCAGACTTTTGAATTTGTTTAAATGATCTTGCATTTGATTGACTTGTTCTTGAGGCACTGGTATTGTTGTGAGTTCAATCATCCACATGTCTTCTTGTCCAATAAGCGTGGCTGTTTCCACATTGATTTTTTTCAACTAAAGTCTTAGACTATACGTTATGTGATATATTCTTACTTTGAATAGCTGCGATACAGTGATCTTTAGTATTTTATCATAAGCAAATATGTGTCCCTTTTTGACCACATCAAATGAGAAACTAAAAGAAAAAAAAAAGAGTAAGAAGCCATGAGGAGGACAATTCATTCTACCTATAGCCTAATGATTTCATGAATCGAAAGATATCCCCAGACAATTGAACGCGAGAAATAGGCCGTACAGTGACTGTACGTTGTCGTTGAGGCTCTGGATTGCCTTGCATACATAAATACCATTGCCTGTATTTAATAGACATTTCCTTTGGATTGTTTATCTTGGACTGAAGTCGAAGAACAACATCATCATTACGTGCTGGTCCAATAGGTGTTTGTGCTAAAATAATTAAGTAAAAAGAAAAAAGACAACATGCTTACTTGAAGGAACAAACACAAGTTCGTGTTCAAATAGTTCACTTGTAGCATCATTACCGCAAAGACCCATAAGTCTCTGCATTAACTTTTCTTTCTGTTCATGTCCAATAAGGATCCCTTGTAGACTACATTCATAGTTTGACATTGATATTGAAAAAAAACAAAGTCCTATTTTTTATTTTCCCTCTCCTTTTTTTTTCAATTTTTTTTTTTAATGTCAAAAGTGCAACAAGAAGCAACTACATGGATTGATAAACAATCATATTCCCCTTATCCTATATGGGCACTTTCTGCAGCAAGTAAGTCATGATATGCAGAACAAGACAGCTAAATGTAGGATAGCATTAGCAGCATTACCACTTGCTGTCAAGAAATCACCCGGTGTTCCATCCATGTTTCAATCCATGGCATTCTCAGCTATTTTTGGAGGAGCAGGGTAAAATAATCATAATAATAATAATAACAATAATAACAATAGTATTAATTGTTCAAATAGCTATGTGATTCATGTAGGTGATTCTGAAAATGGATCTGGTATTGCTACAGGTAAGTGCAGACAATGAGATAGATAGACACTTATCATGGTCAGCTTGGTGTCTTTCTTGGTCATTTCTTAATGCAAAAACTGCTCTTAAATCCATGAAACCAGTCCCGTTGGCTTTGCTTGGTGCAGTTACCTTAAATACAGTGATCTATGGTAAAAGAACCTTAAAAGTAAATGGTTACCTATAAACTTTTTTTTTTGTCGCATGATCTCCCAGGAAAAAAAAAAAGATTGCGTATTTTCAATTTCTACTATTTTCTCTTTTTTTTTTCTCCTTTTTTTTTTTTATTTCTTTGTACATATATACTATGGAAAACAGAGCTCATAAACACCTTAAAACATTACGTAAAGATGTTATCTATATCAATTTGTTGACTATGGCAAGTAGCATTTAACAAGACTTGAGCTTATGAAATACATTAGTTTGTGGGCCTTAGTATCATTTTCTTTGGTAAACAACAACCAAAAATGATTTCAATTTTCTCACTTGATAGGATTTAGGTGCCTATGTTATTCATTCTCGTATAAGTAGCACTGTCTCTTTCATATGTTTTGTTGTGGGTGGATGCATGACTTTCACTAGTTTTATGGGTTTTTTTGGAGCACATCTTAAACACACAGGATGTTTAAATACATACAACAGTATCACAGCTATGACATTTTTACTCGAATTAAGTAAGTGACAGTTTGATAGAAAAAAAAAAAACTCACTTTGTATCCAGGTGTTTTGGGATTTATGTATCAATCACAGGTAAAGAAAAAAAAAAGGTGCATGTCATTACAAAGATATACAATAAAAATAGGGGCTTATAGATCAAATTGGATACCTATGCTAGTATGGCTTGGGATTTCTTTAGTCAACAAGACCCTCGATTCCTAACAAATCTCGAGGAATTGTATGTATTCTATGCTTTGAGGTATTCGCTGACACTTCTTTGCTAGTATGCAATGTTGTGGTTATTGTTCAATACAAGACAGATCCATTCCAAAAACATGCCCTGCCATGCTAAATGTGAATATGGGATGCAAACCTTCTATCTTGATATGGCTTCAACAATGGCATACATATGTGAAGATTGGTATTTTGGTCTTGTTGATTGAACAGGTAAAGAAAAAAAGAAAAAAAAAACTAGTTAAATTATGTTTGTCTCATCATGTGTGTTCAAGTTGATCATGCTGTTATTTTCAGTTCTGTTGGCTTATAAAATAGACCGCGAGGCAAGAGAAGAAGAAGCGCATATGGTCTTATTGGCCAGCCAAAATAACCATCATGCTTGGTTACATAGTCATTATGGCGAAGCAGCCATAGGATCAGCAGCAGGAGGTGGAGTAACAGGAACAGGAGCAGGGGGAAGTTGCAGCAACAGTTATAATTCAGGTTATTTTGCAAGAGGATCAAGGTCAAGTCAAAAGAGTATTCCAAGATATGGTAGTACACCTTCTACTAAACTATAAGAAACACTTATACAATAAACTCTTATCTTGTTTGTTTGTGTCCTCCTCCCTTCTATGTTCCAGGATGCACATCAATCAGCTGTACTCTTGCAGAGACATGAAGTTGAAAAATAACTTCGAGAGAGATAGCAGGTCGATATGGAAAGAAGCTTTTCATTAAATGTACTCAAGATCTTTTTTATATTGATTGTTATCAAGTCATTGTGATAAATATGATGCTATATCATCATCTGATTCCACTGATACTTTGACATTAAAAATACTAAACATGAAGTATTGCTAAAAGTGAATAAAGTAGACTGAGATAGAAAGTAATTGGATAGTGCATGCTGGATATCATTTGTTCAAAACGATAAAGAAAAAGAGAATTTTATTTACATCATGTACAATTTACAACAAGAACCTTTTGCTGACTTCTTGTTAAGCAGTCCTTTAACAAAGTCTAATGGTATTGTAGACAAATAATTTGTGCTTATTTTTTTTATCTTCATCTTCTTTCATACAGAATATTTTGTAGATTTGCAGAATGTCGTAAAGCTTTAACAACAGCTCTAAAGAAAGGTTAAATTTCTCCAGGCTTTTTGGGAGCAAGAAGGAGGAGAGTTCTATCATACTATGGAATCCCCTTCATCGCTTCGAAAAAGGTAAAAAAAAACAGGAACCCCAATAACTTGCGCGTTCACGGTGCCTGTCTTCTTGAGCTTCTTATTGGAATTTTTTCTGAAACAGGTCAGCCGATATAAGTCATAGTATAATGAGGCCTTGTTGTTATTGATGGCCATCTTGGCCTTGACTTCGTTATAACGTACCTCTGAGCTTGAATTCGCGGAACATATACCAGGTCTCCAATAATCTTCATGTTTCCCCGAACTCATTATTACAGCAATCCTTAGCGTGAATATTGTTTTTACAATGAGTCTTTTTTTAAAGCGAAGCGAACCAAACCATAGCTGAAGGTCAAAAAAAACTCTCAAAGCTTGCGTAGATCGTTGTTTATCTTCCTGAGCAAAGTTGATGAGATAAATACTCAAATCACCGCAGTCACTCAAAGAGTATCACCAACGATAAGACCGTTAGAGACATGTTGCCACTTACCATCCATATTGATAGTAGCAGAACTATCATCGACCTTACGCACTCTTCGATTTAGGAACTGCTTGAGATCATCTTCAGTGTAGTATTGACTAAGTTTTATGGAAAAATGTGGGGAACAAGACTGCAGAGAGACCAATCGCCAGAGCTGATAATCGCTCACGAGACATAGTTGCTTTCTTGGTCTTTACGGAAATACAGTCCTTATTTAAGCAACAGAAAGCGCCTTTCATTGTTCTTGTTCCCTTATCGGTTCTGTTCACTGAGTGGGCTAATTTCTGGAAACAAAAGATACATGTCTGGGACGTATTATATTCGTTGTGATGCGTACAATACTTGCGCTACCGAGTAGCTTACACTTCCATATCGTTTATGCCCTTTTATCCTTGAGCCAGTACCAAGGCCTCGGTTTTCAACAAACAAAAAACCTTTTGACTCCTTAGGACCTATTCAAAATGACACAATTAATACTAATCACAAGCTATCATGATGAGTTATTACCTTTTCTTTTTTTTTTATAAGCTTTTTTTCTTGATTACAGGTCTTTAGGCAGACATGGGTATTCTGCAGTCCATTTGTTCCAATAGCATCGGTTCATTTACTAGAAACATAATAAGCACTTGATTCTTTTTTCTATGGCTTAAATGAACTTTGTATCTTTGTTTGAACTTGGCAGGGCATTGCAAGCTACTTTCAAAGAGAATATAGCAGCTAATTTATTTGCGTTTCTAAATATCTCATGTTATTAACAAACATTGTTTGTGGCAAGGAGTATGAGAAGGTATTCATTCATATTGACTGTTATTAGCATAAAGTTCCTACAAGCAACCATAATTGTAGACCTAAATATCAAAAGGCTTTCTTGGATTGAAATTCACAGTGCTCAGTTTCATACATTAAAAAGAGATAGATAAATAACCCTTCAACATCGAATAAGACGGTTACATAACTTCTGCTGACAGTGGCTACTAGATTTTTGTGGGTATTTATCGTCAACATACCATCCAGTATGTCCTATGTCCATTTACTCCCGCATTTACATTAGGAAATGCCTATGTTTCTACTTTTATATGTTCTTTGGCACTCAAAGCAACACAGAATGCTTTAGAGAGATCCATTGATAACGCATCTTATATGACATCTAGAGCGAAAACGCTCAAAACGCAACTTAAATGCACCAATCTTTGATGGGCCATTACTCGATAACCGCGCTATCAAAATAGCCCGCTTTTCCGTTCCAAACATGTTCTTTTGAGCCCAAAAATCGAATGGTACCATTGGTTTGGCTGTTGTGTGAGATTATTGTTTTGGCCGGTGGGAGACCCACGGAGGTCCGTGAAGATGGAAAAAAAAAACTCGATCAGAAATTTTTGGAATGATTCAATGTAGGTCTGATCCAACCGGAATGAGGCTAGATCATGACTAGGTACTTCCAAAGAAAAGAAAGCGAGTTTAACAAGTCAGAAAAGCCGACTTAATTTGAGCATTGGCTTCAAATCCGCGTTCAAAGTCCATTGTATACTGTAATTGATAGAAGAATGACCTTTTTTTTTTTTTTTTTTTTTTTTTTTTTGGTAATATCTAATAGCAAACAAGCTCTAGTTTCTGCATAAATAGATGCGCACAATATGCTTCAGTAAAACTTATTATGATACTTAGCACTTTTGATGATAAAGAGGGCAGCTTTGGACATAATTTACAATGTTGTTGTTATTTTTTTATTTTATTTTTTTGTATCAAGTGATTACTTTATTTATCGAAATTGATCTACATATTAAATAACTGATGTTCGGGCAAAAACAGATTGAGTGGCGCTGATGGGTGCCATAACTCCTTGTTAGAGATGCATCTGTAGTGGTACCTCCAGAGCACAGTCAAACCATTTCCTAATATCTCTAAGGTATTTGAGGGCAGCAGTTTGCTGGCTTCGTCTGCCAGCAAAGTAAGTGCCAGCCATGGATCACTAGGAACTTCAAATTGACAATCCAGTTGGACAGAAGTCAATACCTGTTGCTAGTATGACCATTTAACCGGGCAATCAACAAAAAAGTGATAGTTACTTTCCTCTATCAAACCACAAATACTACTAGTAGACGAAGTAAATGTAGTATCCATCATTATAGCTGATAAGATTTGTGTTCTTCTATTTTGAAGTTGTATCAGAAGGTGCTTGGATTTGACTTTCGAATTGCTTGAATATGATTGTGCTAAGTTGCGTATCATGAATTTGAAGTCCTCCCATGTTTTCTGTCGCAGAGTGGCCAGCTCTGGATCAAAATTCACTTGAGTTGAATTAGCAGGTAGAGGATTATTCGTATCTGGGATTGCAAGTTGAAGCATATCCACATTTATCTGAGAGAAAAAAGTGGTCATCGTACAATCCAATAAACTGAGAAAATGCTTGTTGAATAGTAGAACTGGATTGAAGCGCCAGGATCCAGGACCAAAGGATGTTTTTGACGTCAATAGATCAACAGTCAGAAGACTATAATCCGTCCAAGCATACGGAAGGTGGTGAATCTGTGAATTAGTGATTTTTGGCATTTGACTAGTATCTGCATAAACATAGTCGATTGTGGTGCGAATGTTTTTGTGAACGGCACTAGTAAAAGTAGGTAAACCATCTGGGAAACAGTCTGAGTAATTGGCCCACAAGCCATCAAACCATGGAGCAACGAGTGGCTTCCTGACAAAGGTGCGGTCGCGGAAATTGGTGTTAAAATCCCCTAGGATAAAAGTTGGTTGAGCTTCTTCATAAGAAGGTTGGAGGAAAGGGACCTCTGTGAATAAAGAGTCATAGAAATGAGGCCGCGCTTCCTCCACCGCTGGCGCATATATGTTAACCACAGAGCAAACAAAGTTGTCGTTCCGGTTGTATATATTCGCAAAAATACATCGTCCATCCATATAAGTAGTTGCGTCTTTGATGGAAAGCTGCGTATTAAGGCAAACAATAGCGCAATATTGAGTAACATAGGTAGAGAATTGAGGAAAAATGAAATTGGTGAACTTATGAATGTGTGAATCAGTGAATGGGGAGCTTCTACTGGCAAAAACATCTTGAATACAAAGAATATCGATTTTTAAGGAGCGTGATTTGAGGTGTGATAGAAACTCCTTACGGAATTTTGGTGATGACTCTTTGAAAATGCTGCGAACATTTAAAGAGCCTATTCTAATGTGGTTACTATTCATTAGGCCTCATGGCCATCAGCACTGGGTTTGTGTGCCGCATCTGGCTCAGTACTGTTGCGCTCTCCTTCCATTGAATCCAGCTCCATTCCTCGGGACTCGATCTCCTTCTCAATGTGTTCCTCCTCGTCTGTATGATGATCCTGAGAAACAACCACGGGAGAATCTAGATTCATATGAACTGCCACTGTATCTGAGGCCCATTGAGAGCGAGACGAACCATCAGGACGGAAAACCGGCACAGACGGTTTCTCTCCAAGGGCTGGTTGTGCCTTGCGACGGGCTGCCTTATCCTTGACTGCTTCATATTCAGCCAACAAGGTAGAATCATCTTTCGAGCCTGAGTCTGCCTTGCAAAATCGTCGTGTGTGACCCTTATCATCACATTCAAAACACACCTGTGCCTGCAAAGTAGGGCAATTGCGACGAACATGTCCTGCTTGGCGACAGTAGTAACAAATTGGTGCAGCACCCTTAAAAGAGGCTGGTGCGTGCTTATCCCAGTAACTGAGATACAGTTGTCGAGTCAAATCCTTAATCTCAATGGCCTTGCCATCCTTATTTTGAGCTGCTGTTTGTGTGTCAATGATGAAACTGATCTTTCCATCAAAGAAACCTTCGCACGTAAACTTTTTGATCTGGTGAGCTGTGCCATAATGTCTGAGCGATTGCTGTAGCCCTGTCAACAGTTCCTCGCTGGTAGGGATATGAAGCAGAGTGAGAGCGACATGAACAAAGCTTTTGACCGTGTTTTCCCTGGTAGGAGTGTCCAAAAATGTACGCTCTCTAACGGTGATTCCAGTCGTTATAGCCTTCTGCTTGGAATCCTTAGATTCGAATCGTGCCTCGATCAGCATATTCTGTTTGTTTGGATTGGGAGTGTAGCCACTTAGATGTTGAAATCCTGCAACTTTGCCAAAGGTATCCTGAATCGCTTTATAAGCCGCAATATGATTGACAAAAGTACCAGGAGGAAAGGTGAACAAAATAGAGCCTGTAGTAAGTGATTGACTAACAATGCTAGCTGCTTTGCGATTCAACATCTCGGATTCAAAGCTATGCGATTTGAAGATGATTTCAGGTACGCACTTAACCGCGTTGTTTTGGGAGCTGATCCTCGGTATATGAGGGATGCGCAGTTTGTTACCGATCTCGGCAACCTTAGTCTGAGGTATTTCACCAAAGACTGTCATAGTTGGATAGGACCCATAATTTACAATAGATAAGTTGGAGAAGGGTTAGCTGTTTCAAGCACCGACACTGTTTTTTCGAGTCCCTTTATTTAATCACGCCGGATAGAGTTTAGCCCAAGGATCATCCTCAGTGGCTTATCACTTTCTATGAAAAGTTCCTGGCGTTTACGAGTTTCTTTTGCAAGTTTTTAATTGCTTAGGTCATTTCAGACTGTCTCTCCCTTGAATTTTAATAATATTTGGGTTTTAAGTGGTCACTAATTCTTTTGTTGCAATAGCTTTATTTTATTTAATAAAAAGGTTTCATAACAGATTGAACTTACTTTTGCTAACTCTTGCAATTACAAGAATTATGAAAAAAAAAAAAGAATAAAAGAAAAAAGCAAAAGAATATTTGTTATGTGGGCATATTTATACCACTGGTTTGTTTACAAGTTGGTAATTGACTGTTGCCTGCTTTTCAGTATCATCCTCAAATTATTGTTTATTTCAATCTCCGCCAGCATTTATGCCGACATGGCAAGTATGCCATTTGTGTACCTAAAAAAATAAAACTACTATAACAGAAATATTTTCTGCAATGACAAAAAAATAAAAAATAAAAATAGGGATTTTCCAATTTTTCTGTTTTAAATTGATGAAAAAAAGTTTGTTTTTCAACTTTTTGTTTTAAATTAATAAACAAGTCTACCAAATAGTAATTCCAGTGTTTTGGTTTAGAAAAGAGATTACTGCCTAGTAGATTTGTTTTTTATCTTAAAACAGAAAAATTGAAAATCAAGGTTTTTTTCTTAATTTTAAACAAAAGATCAGAAATTTTCTACTTTTTTATTTTTTTGTCATTGCAGAAAATATTTTTGATTTGTTTTAAAACAGTAGTTTTCGTTTTAAAAAAGTAGTTTTTATTATTTTTCAAAAAATATTTTTTGAATGCACAAATGGCATACTTGTAATTTCGGCATACCTGTTGGTATTTCTATTACTTTTGAAAATGCTTTTTTTTTCTTTATAAGACCTTCACACTGATCACGAAGGCCTGAGGTATACGAGTCTTCCGTAATTTTTTTCATCGCTCTAGCTACCCTTTTTGTAAAGTTGTCACAATCTTTAGAAAGAGGTTTTGAACACTAAAATTTATACTTGGGCCAGAAAAATAGAATAAGAAAAGCATGGTTCAGCATCTAAGTTTATTCAGCCAGCGAGTGATACTGCTCTCCAAGCTGTTAGCCCTTTCTTTTTCTTTGAAATTGGATAAATTTCAGCAAACTCTAATCAAGTAAGCGGCAGCTAAATATCCTATGTGTAAAGAAACAGTCAGTCGTCGACAACGTCTTTGTTTCCCAAATGACAACAGCAATGATTCAGTCTCTTTCTTGAATGCTCTTGACCATCACTTTTTAACCAGATCCCCTGTTTCTGCAGAGTGATTACGATAACCATAGCAACCATAGAGAATCATAGCAACCTACACCCAGCGTAAACGATTACATGTTTCTTTCATATTTGAGTGAAGATTTAGTCAAATTTTCTTTCAATTATTAGAGAATTCTTAGACTTCTGATAAATTTTTTTGCATTCAACGGAAGAAATCTTCCATCACTTACGCTGTGATGCTCATGAATGTAAAGGATTTACCAAAATATATATACATGCTTAAATGTTTAAACTCCGGCAACAAAAAGTGGAAAACCTCTGATCTTTCAGCTTTCACCAGTTGCTCGTAACATGATGTACCGACTCCTTGTTTCCAAATTACCTACAAGACAATTTTCTCACTCTGTAATTCCTGATACGTTCCCCTCGCCTCTTTGTCCAATTTGCATAATTCATCTTAAAAATGAACATCTCCTTTTATGCTGTTCACCAAAGAAGTTTTTCTGGAATAATCTCATTTTCGAATCTCTTTGGCCTACAACAACTGTCTAAGATGTCATCCAAGCACTTACTGCACTAGACTTCTTAAGAATAGATTACTCACAAAAGAAAAATTCAACCGTTGTTGACATTTTCATTACCGCCCTCTCACAAGTATGGAAAGCACATTGGGGATTTGTCATTCGAAACGTCTCCTTTGATGCCTACTATACCTTAAAACAAACACGTACTTCTTTACAGCCGCTTGCAGATAAAAAGTAAGTATACATAAGACTATAATCCTTCCCTTGCCTTTTTTCCCATTCGTAACAGTGGCACACCTCTCATTTTATTCTATCTAGTTAATTTATAGCATATGATCTCGTATCAATTGCGCCAGCTGGATCTTCAATTTGAAGTTCCTAGTGATCCATGGCTGGCACTTACTTTGCTGGCAGACGAAGCCAGCAAACTGCTGCCCTCAAATACCTTAGAGATATTAGGAAATGGTTTGACTGTGCTCTGGAGGTACCACTACAGATGCATCTCTAACAAGGAGTTATGGCACCCATCAGCGCCACTCAATCTGTTTTTGCCCGAACATCAGTTATTTAATATGTAGATCAATTTCGATAAATAAAGTAATCACTTGATACAAAAAAATAAAATAAAAAAATAACAACAACATTGTAAATTATGTCCAAAGCTGCCCTCTTTATCATCAAAAGTGCTAAGTATCATAATAAGTTTTACTGAAGCATATTGTGCGCATCTATTTATGCAGAAACTAGAGCTTGTTTGCTATTAGATATTACCAAAAAAAAAAAAAAAAAAAAAAAAAAAAGGTCATTCTTCTATCAATTACAGTATACAATGGACTTTGAACGCGGATTTGAAGCCAATGCTCAAATTAAGTCGGCTTTTCTGACTTGTTAAACTCGCTTTCTTTTCTTTGGAAGTACCTAGTCATGATCTAGCCTCATTCCGGTTGGATCAGACCTACATTGAATCATTCCAAAAATTTCTGATCGAGTTTTTTTTTTCCATCTTCACGGACCTCCGTGGGTCTCCCACCGGCCAAAACAATAATCTCACACAACAGCCAAACCAATGGTACCATTCGATTTTTGGGCTCAAAAGAACATGTTTGGAACGGAAAAGCGGGCTATTTTGATAGCGCGGTTATCGAGTAATGGCCCATCAAAGATTGGTGCATTTAAGTTGCGTTTTGAGCGTTTTCGCTCTAGATGTCATATAAGATGCGTTATCAATGGATCTCTCTAAAGCATTCTGTGTTGCTTTGAGTGCCAAAGAACATATAAAAGTAGAAACATAGGCATTTCCTAATGTAAATGCGGGAGTAAATGGACATAGGACATACTGGATGTCATTGTACGGAGATCGAAATGGATGGCATCAAAATCAAGCTTTTGCTGAGAACTGCATGAAGAAGCAGTTATTGGACTTTGACATGGTGATAAAAGTCGTAGATCTTTGCTTTCTAAGTCTTTCGATACAGAGAACACAACAACTATGCAGCTAAAATATTGAGTAAACGTGCAAAAATGTTCACAATGTTTTCCACTGATATCTCGCCATTTTTATAGTACAACTGTTACGCAAACACATTAGTCAAAAACTAGAGCTTTTGAAGCACATTTTGAGTACTTAAGCGTGTAGATAGCTCTATTTTTCATTCTGTAGCATCAAAAAGAAGATCAAGGGTTGTCAAATTTTTTTAAAGTGTTTTATTTATTGCTCCACGTAGACGAATGTAAACCATTGTCAAGAGGTGGGCGCAAATTAAAATGTTATAATATAAAAATAAAGAAAATAATTGAGGTAAAAACAGAAGAGGTCAAGTATGGGCTAGATGATTTGGGTCATCTAGATGGTTGTCAAATGAGCAATTTTCATGAGTAATACCCTTTGGTTGAACGGTCATTTTGGCCAAGTTTTCCAAGTCGCTTTTTTTTTTGTCCAAATCAACTCCAAAGGTACCATGAATGTTAGTAAACATAGTTGGTAGGTATTTGATGCATAAAACATGTTAATACTCTCTTTATGTGCACGCTTTTTACATCCTCTTTAAACAGTAGAATATCCAATGCATACGTCAATGAGATAAATGTCATAAGCAACAATAAAACATAGTCAACTGCTTAAATAGTTTAGGAAGCTATTTTTTCTTTTCTTTTTTTTTTCGCTTTCACATTTTTGATTATGAAAAGGTTTACAGCTACAGCTCTTTCAGCTTCAATAATCTCTAGAGCATCCAAAGTGTTTTCTGTTTAAATCTTTTATCTCAAATTGAAAGGTTATCATTCTTAGCAAAATCATGATATAATTTATGCTACCTCAACTTGTATAACCAATTTAAAGACAATTTAACCAAGTATATAAAAATCAGCAAAAAAAAGAAATGGGAAACAAATCAATGGTGTGATATTGAGCTTAAGCTTTGACTGTTGCAAAGCCCTATGTCTCTTTAATGCTTTATGTGGCATGAATAAATATCAATTGACTTATACGCAGGCATAAACGACCGGACAATCAATTTAAATGTGACTTAACATTAATTTGCAAATGACCCCTTTAATCAGTATATTTTTTTTTCTTTCTTTCTCTCTTGACAAATCATTATCCTTTTTCTTTCTCTTTTATTTGAATCTATCCATGGATTCAAAATGGTAAGAGAATGATGGATGAATTCCATAATTAAACATCTTTTTAGGTCTTCACATACAACTGGAAGGGGTCCTCGCAACTATAAGTGTATATATGACCCAGAACTAGACACTCAAGGCTTAAGAACAAGTTCTCAAGCTCAATACGAGTATGAGGGTGATCGCGTAATATTAATAACACTATTATACTCTTCTTGCTTACTTTTTATTCTAGGTCATAACTCCCCGGGATCCTCGACAAGACAAACAGTTGTATGAGCGAGGGTTTAGTAAACATCGATATGTTTATAAAAGACACCTTCTTGAAGTGAATTACAAGGTATACAGTATGATGTTGAATGCATATTGACACTATGTTAGTTTGATGAGCATTCAGTTGGACCAAAGCCTCCTACGACAGTACTGGCATCTGGTCTATCTCCCTTAATGACAGAATCACAAATCATGACTTATTTCTCAGTTTACGGTCAAGTATCCAGCGTGGAAATTGTCAAATGTGTTACCACAGGTGGTTCTTTGGGTATTGCTCATGTTTCATTTACTTCTGACGAATTAAACGATGGTCATGCAGCAGCTTGTCTTGCTGTTGAAAAGGGTAATGGACGTCAAATGGGCTCAGCTGAACATGTCAAAGTATGCTTTGATGCAACAGGTAATACAAGCTATGTATATGGGGCATGATTAACAAGAGACAATAGGCGAGAAATTAAAATTGGCTGTTGCAGATGCTTCTAATACAGACCCCAAAAAGGGAACATCCAATCACACATCTACCACACCACAGCATAAATCTCGACATGATTCATATCATAGTGAATTGAATGAATGGGATCGATATGATGCTCGTCGCTATGCCCGTTATTCTCCCCGTGATGATTACTATCGATCTTCGTACAATGGCAGCAGCAGGGACTATTATGACGACTACAAATACAGAGATGAACGGCCCTCTTCTCGATACCATCCACCACCACCACCACCTCATTATGCTCGTTATCGTCCTCATATGGACTCACCTCATCACCGTCCTTCACGCTGGAATCGTAGTCCAAGTATGAGTTCGCATGATTCACGGTACAAAAGTAGAAGCAGAAGTCGAAGTCGAAGTATAGACAGAAACTATTATCCAAGATGGGAAAATGAATCAGAATGGCGTCATGGAAGCAATAGACGAAAACAAAGCGATTATTGGGATAGGCCACCTTATGAAGAAAAGTCAACGACTTCAACAAGGCCTATTTTAGCCATTTCAAGGAAATGTTTACCGTTTGTCAGAGGCGTCTTGGAAGACTTAAGAAAGTTGTTTTATTATTACAATTGTGTTGATGTGAGTCCCTTTTTTTGTTTTGTATTTAAAAAGATGATTAAAAAGAGTTGTTGTGATAGATTTACCATGATGAAGCAGACTGGTTAATTGTGTTTGACTCACTGACAATAGCAAAAAAGGCACTGGATGCAACCAACGATCAACAAGTGATGGGATATAAACTCTACATTACACTTCGACATCCATCTGTAAATAATACGTTAGACACCATAGAGAAATCAACGTTAAATATACCTAAAGAGCCTCAAACAAATGGACATTCGACTGTAGAACCACCCATTTCTGCACACGATTTGTTCTTTAAGCAATTAGCAGACGTCTTTTTGAAAGATTTGAAGAATCGTATCGCAGGCCCGTTTATTCATGATTATCACAAGACAAATCGATCTAGCAAAAAGATTGAAATTAAAGCGACTGTAGAAGAAGAATTGCCTGGAACACAAGTGATTGAATCTATCTTGAATACTAGCAAACTGCCACGATTTAAAAAGAAAAAAGCCAAATATACAACATTTCCAGAAGAAAGTGAAGAGGACGAAGAGGAAGCAGAAGAGAATGGAAAAGAATCTACTTTAGAACTTCCTCAAGAACAACCCAAAGAGCAAGATGATGCACCTATGTTTTCAAGTTCTGAAGAAGGAGAATATCATTCAGGCATGGAAGATGAAGAAGAAGAGGAGGAACAAGTCGAATCTAATACAGAAAAGAATCGCCCACGACGTCTTCGAGACTATCTCAGTGATGACAGTAGCGTGGATGAACACGACGCCTTTTTGAAGCAGTTGCAACAAGAACAAGACGATGTACAAATGGAAGAAATGAATGGATTAGATCAAGATGATTTTGTAGAACATGATATCTCACAACGCAAACGAAAACGAGCGCTTACAAAGAAAGCAAATAAAAAGTTGAAGCGGGCTTTAAGTGACGATGATACCAGTGAATACTATGATTCACCCAAGAAGCAAAAGAAACAAACGATAAAGAAAAGAAAGACCAAACTGGCCAGACCACCATTACCAGAACGTATTTATGAAGTTATTGAAGAAGATTTGTCCAAGTACAGCAGTATAGAAGAAGAGGAAGAAGAAGAGGTAGTAGAAGAAATAGTGGATCAAGCAACCATTGAGCAAGAATTATTGGCTTCAGATTCTTCAGATTCAGAGGAATTGACTGAATTGCCTGAAAAGAGTAATGAACCTCCAGAATGGGATCCATTTAATCAAATCAGTGATCCTGAAGATTACTGGTTCTTGAGAGCTGTTTTTCTGGAAAAAGCAGGCATCTCATTAGAAGGTAGAAAAAAAATACAGATATGAGGGCTATTGATTGACTGTTTTATAGAACCAGTGACAAATGTTATTAGAGGAGGATGTGCCCGTGCCCAGGGCTATTACAAGATCCCAGATGCCATGAAGGCTACTTATTTACCAAGAAACAAAGCAGTCATTGATATTCCTTCAGACACAACACGTATTTCATCGCGTGCAACCCGCGTTAATAATCGACGATTAGTTGTGGGCATGGAAATGCAGAAAAAAACAATTGATTCAGATATTCTTAAATTCAATCAATTACAGAGTCGAAAGAAACAATTACGGTTTGCCAAATCACCTATTCACGACTGGGGACTGTATGCAGAAGAACATATTGATGCAAATGATATGGTCATTGAATACGTGGGTGAAATGATTCGACAGCAAGTGGCAGAAGAGCGTGAAAAGAAATATGAACGATGTGGTATTGGTAGTAGTTATTTGTTTCGTGTGGATGATGATACAGTGATCGATGCTACAAAATGTGGAAATGTGGCTCGTTTTATCAACCATTGCTGTGCAGTAAGTCTATAATATGTGTATATATTCGCTCATTAACATACATATATATATGTGTAGCCTAATTGTAGTGCCAAGATTATTACTGTAGATAAACAAAAAAAGATTGTTATTTATGCAAATCGAGATATTGAACCTGGTGAAGAAATTACATATGACTACAAGTTTCCTATTGAAGCAGATAAGATACCTTGTCTTTGCGGTAGCAAGTATTGTAAGGGAACGTAAGTATCAAAACCCTTCATGGCTGAATGCATTCTCATGCTTCTTTATAGGCTTAATTAATACCATTTTGTTGTCCTTCTTGTATAAAATAGATTTTTCACTTGCCATATAGTTGCATATATACACACGCCTTTTCTTTAAGAAGGCAATCTAACTCAATAAAGTACTACTTGTCAGATACTAGGCACTTTTTGCTGCTAAAAAAATATCTACTACACCTAAAGTTGAATATAATGAATGCGCGTCAATTAACTGTACCCTTACTTCCGAGCCTTTTTTTTTTTTTTGAACGAATTGATGTTCTAAAGTAAGTATGTTTTGTCATTGAACTTGAAGTAAAAGTGGGTGACGGGAGAAATACTTAAAATAGCAAATCTTGATTGTGTAGATTATGTTCAATCAGTAAGTTTTCTTTCACACAGTTATCAAATAAAAAAGCTTTAAAATAACCAAACAATTAAAAGATTACATAAGCCAATATGTTTGTCACTTCTAGGCAACTTTTTCCTCCAGCAGAATGCTGGTATATCATAATATTGTCAGTATGTACCAGGATAAAAGTAAAAAGAGTGCTTTATTTTGCTATTGTAATCTATGGGTATAATTCCAGACAGCCACTTATGGATCCATTTTACGATCCAATAAGTCACTAATGAATGGATAGTCAGCTTCAATACTTTAATAAACTAAATTGTGATGTGCTTATTGCAAACTAAGATGAACTGTTCAAGATATATTTTGTTCATCTCTAAAAAAAAAGGTTTGGAGTTTCTCTTTCTTATATGTCTTGAATAAAATATTTCCCTTCTTTCAGGTTAAAGTGTAAAGTGCCAGTAGTAAATTGAAATAACAGAGGTTGTTGTATCCCAATATGTCTGATTCAGAATGAACTTACTGCTCATTTATCATGACATTGAATGACAACTGGCAACCATACGCCATGCAGGGGGGGGGCCATCACGCCTAGCTTCCATGGCTTTACACTAAGGGAGAATAGTAAAAGTAAAGACAATTGTTCTACATAACTCAATGGATAGCCAATCAAATTTAAAGTGTTTTAGTGCCTGGTAGTCAGAAAAACTGCAAGTTCTTTCAAATATAAACATTTTATTTTACCAACTTAAATTATTAGTTCAATGGCCAAGCATCTGTCAAAAGATGATCAAGAATGGTTTATTCAATGTACACAGACTTGAAGAGTAATTTTCTTATTTGCTTCATCAAGAATAAGACAAACTTTTACGATCCTAGACCTAAACAATTCAGCTGGGCTCAAAAAAGATGAGTAAAGAGGAAGACATACACCCTTATAGCCTCTAGGCACTGTTGCATGTTGGACTTCATTGACCTTGTGAATAGCAGCGTTATCCATCACAAGATGACAGCCCTACATCGCGAAACGATTGATCAGCCTTTCTACTGTTTCTCTTATGCTTTTTTGTTCCACTAGTTTTGTTTTGTACAGTTTTTGGCTTACAAAGCATGAGCTCAATAACACCCTTTTCTCATATTGCTCCAAAAATGATCATTGTAATTCTACTGTTTGAAGGCACAAGAGATAGAACAGACATGTCTTTCTTGAACCAGCCAAGGTTCCTGCGAATAGACATGTTGAAGTCTTCCTCATTGATAAGGACATAATTTTGGTCCCAATCTATGCTACTGTCATTCAGCCATGCTAACACTCTTCTTCAAAGTAATTTGAGTCTTTTTTGTTGCCATTACAGGCTTCAGCTTCTTAAAAGCCAACGAGACACAAGGAATAAGATACTTGTGAAGGCTTGACAAAGTAATTGGTCCAATCTGAGGAAGCATGTCAAGCAGTGTATCTTTTGCTTGCCAAACCACTGCTTCAGCACTTTTGGCAAAAAAAAAGGGCTGCAGAAAAACTCAGTATGACATAGCTTAAGCTCTCTTACCCTTTAATCTCGTTTTATTTGGCTTAGAAGGTGTTTCTTTGCATAAGATTTGTATTACTTGGCACATTTCAGAGCATTTCTTTTGACTATCTCTTTTATGAAATCTGTTTTTCTTGTTGAGAATCCTTGCTCAGTTACAAGGTCTAAGCGTTCTTGTATTAGCTCAGGGCCGTTGAATCTGCATGGATCTCTGCATTGTACCTGAATCTTCTTTTTCTGGAATTGATTACGCTGTTTTTGGTTCTGAGTCAAACATGCTCAAGTTCGTCTTTCTCATTTTATTGCTTTTTTGAGAGGTTTTTAGGCTTGGTCCGGGCTCTTTTCAAAATATCTTTATGTTCTTTTAATGATATCATTCCTAATTTACTGTTTCTAAAAAGTTGCTAATACTTTTCTTTTCTTTTTTTCGATATCCATAGGTTCTTACTTGAAAATCTTATTGACAATGTTGAAGTAGTGCATGAATTCGTATAGAACACTATTCGTAGTAATTACACTATCTGTAAAGTATGAAGTCCGCAAAAAAATATTCACTACCCGCAAGGTTGAATACAATAATTTTCCTTTTTTTTCTCTCTCTTTCTCCCTCTCCTCTCTCTCTCTCTCTCTCTCTCTCTCTCTCTCTTTGGTTCTTTTTCTCTTTTCTTCTCTTTGTTTCTTTAATTTTTTTCTCTCTCTCTTTCTCTTTTTTTTTACTTTTTTTTTTACTCTATTTACAAAAATCGTCTTTGAATGAACAGCACAACAACAACAACAAATAGTACGAGCGACATACCATTATTAACAGCCCCTTTTTTACATTATATACCCACATCTCCTTCTTCTCAAGAATTGGATTTTCATTTGCCTTCTCGTACTCCACTTCATGGCTTAACAATATCTGAATGGGCTGGTAGTAAATCTACTAGACATCAGTGTAAGTTTGTATATCTATAAAAAAAATAATTTAACAGTATGTCTTAGTTCATAACGATACCAATCCATTGGTGACCAATAATACAAGCAATGTCTCTATCATCCCAGCCACCACTAATACAGCAAATATTGATACAACATCTTCAGTTCATATCACCAACACGCCTTCCAATAACAAGCCTGTTGTTCTTAAAGACTCAAACGAAGATAACTGGAAAGACGTTTATCGTAACATCAAATGTATGGATCAACTGTACGATGCTTCCTTTTATTCTTGGCTCAAGTCAGAAGAAAACGTATTGGTGACAGCCATGTATTTACATCGTATTGCAAATGAATACCCTTTGGTCCGCATTATCAACGCCTTAAAATGGCTTATAAGTGATTGGCGATTAGAGAGTATTAGTACGCTAGTAAGACATGTGACCGTTGACTGGTGTGATGAAGCAGGTAAATACTCCCCCTTTCTTTGTTTTCTCTTTTCTCTTTTTTTTTAGTTCCCCTTTTAACAATGATTTCTTTTTCTAGGTGACCTACGGCGAGCACATCTTTTACGTCACCTGACGCATAGTTGGGCGACGCAATACACAACGACATTGATTACCATGGTCTTATCGTCTGCACCGTATACAGCCACCAGTAGTTTTCAAAGAGAGCGATTCTTGAGAGAATTCACAAAAGAATGGGATTTTTCAAAGTTATCTGAATTCTTCATGTATCTTCAAAGCCCAGCTAATATTGATTATAAAGTCAAATGTGTCATGTTGCAAGAAGCGGCTAGACGAGAAAGAGAAACGTTGGGCGCTAAATTAAAAAAGAAACGAGTCCAACAACCACAAGAACCCCATCATCTTCGCTTTGAATCCTCTGCTAGTGGCTCGTCTTCGATGGAAGATACATTGGATGAAGAAGTCACAAATAATTCCAGAAGACATCATCGTCGTACTTCAAGCAATGATGTCAATGATATCAAGCGTCTAAGGTTATCTACGCCTGACCTGGCAGATAATTCAGGCAGTGCTGAAAATAATGAACAACATATCTTGCTTGATCCATCCTCTGCTTCTGCTTCTGCTTCCTCCTCCTCCTCTTCTTCTTCTTCTTCTTCTTCTTCTTCTGCAATGAACCATGAATTATCCCATCTTCATTTAAATATGAATAATAGTAGCACAAGTCATTGTACAAGTCAGTCACAACAACAACAGCAACAACAGCAACAACAAGAAGTAAGAAGAAGATCAAGTTCAAATGTATCCATGGAAGACTCTATGGATATGGACTATGGTCGAAAGAGAACATCTTCTTCTTATTTTACAACAGACGAAGCTATATAACACTCTTTTATGAAATAAAAATTTGGCTAATTTGAAAAAGACAAGAAACGTTGTAAGGCAATCACTGCATAGACACAGGCACGCCATTTAAATAATAAAGACTTGTGACGTTGAATAGGCTGAATACCATAATAGGCTTGGATTTCTTTTTGACTAATACATATTGAGCATGTTATTTTCAGCAGACATACTGTAGATACCTTTCTCTTAGAGCTTCATTCTCTAGCAAAACATAGTTTTTTTGAAATATCAAGTCGGTTGTCTGTAGCTTTTGTTGCGTTAATAGTTGACTGTATTTCTCTTGTTGTTTCTGATAGGTGTCAATAGAGGTATGTCTTATCTGATATAACTCACCATTAAATTTTCCATCTTGGATCTTAGTCGGGATACAATCTGATCGGTTGTTTCCGTTTGTCGTTGAATGAAATTCTCGAGATCTTCTTTCTCACGTCTTGACTGTAATAAGTTGGTATTTGCTTCATGAAGCGAATTGATCAAACTTGTGTTCTCTATCTGTAATCGGTAGACTACACTTTTCCAATCCATATCCGTCTAATATAGATTCAAACTTAATTTTTATGTAATTCTTAACTCAAGGATACATGCTTACTAACATAAATATATATAAATGTTAGCATATGAATACACACATAAAAAAAAAAAAAAGAAAGAAATTTTAATTCACCGACACCTTGCCTGAGGATGATAAAAATCTTTGTCTTGTTGACCTATTTCATCATACAATGTTCGAGGAGGATTATCAAACTTGTCAATACAGAGTAAAGATTGTCCATCGTCACTTTTAAGAGAAGATTGAGGTAATTCTTTATTGAATACAAAGCTCATCTTCACGTGGAATAGAAAGAAGAAGAAAAAATGTATAAAAAAAAGAGGAGAAATAAGCGCCTCTTATTTTTCCTTGCTTGCTTAACACGATGGTGTGAAGCCAATCAAAACTTCACATGCAGGAAAAAACTGGGAAAGAAAAAAAATAGTGTGCTGAAAGCCCGAGTTTTCCCGGGGTGGGTTTTAATCATGATTAATTTTTTTTCGAACGTCACTTCCCCTGATTAAGAAGCCTACAACAATTCTCTTTTTCTTTTTCTTTCTTTTTTCTTTACAAAATAATAAAAATGTTCAGCACCAAGGCTTCTTCTATTTTACGTTCAACTGTTCATGGTAAAAAGAGAGAAAAAAAAGTCGAAAAACGCGAGAGTTGTAAACTTATATTGATATGTTAGTTGCTCGTCGTACTTATGCTAACAACGGTGGTTATGAATCCACCTACAAGAACTTGATGATCAACAAGGATACCAAGGTTATCTGTCAAGGTTTCACTGGTAAACAAGTAAGTTTGATCTGTTATGCTACATGTTGACTGATAAGATAACTCTTTTAGGGTACTTTCCACTCCCAACAAGCCATTGAATACGGTACCAACATGGTCGGTGGTGTTTCTCCCAAGAAGGCCGGTCAAACTCACCTTGGTCTTCCTGTTTTCGGTTCTGTTCGTGAAGTAAGTTAAAAAGAGAGAGAGAAAGAGAGAGAGAGAGAGAGAGGAGAGAGAGAGAGAGAATGTGTGCTGATCATTCTTGATAGGCTGCTGAACAAACCAAGGCTGATGCCAGTGTCATTTACGTTCCTCCTCCTGCTGCCGCTGCTGCTGTTTTGGATGCTATTGAAGCTGAAATTCCTTTGGTTGTTGCTATTACTGAAGGCATTCCTCAACACGACATGATGCGTGTTAAGCAAGCCTTGATGACTCAAAACAAGACTCGTTTGGTTGGTCCCAACTGTCCTGGTATGATCTCTGCTGAACAATGTAAGATTGGTATCATGCCTGGTTCTATCTTGAAGCGTGGTAGAATTGGTATTGTTTCTCGTTCTGGTACTTTGACCTATGAAGCTGTTCAACAAACCACAGATGTTAACCTCGGTCAAACTCTCTGTGTTGGTATTGGTGGCGATCCTTTGAATGGTACCAACTTCATTGACTGTCTCAAGGTCTTCTTGGAAGATAAGGAAACTGAAGGTAAAGAAGAAAAAAAATTTTTCTATAAGTTGCTTATGTTATGTGTTAGGTATTATCATGATTGGTGAAATCGGTGGTACTGCCGAAGAAGAAGCTGCTGAATTCTTGAAGGAATACAACTTGACCAGAGATGTTCCTAAGCCTGTTGTTTCTTTCATTGCTGGTTTGACTGCTCCTCCAGGTCGTAGAATGGGTCATGCTGGTGCTATCATTTCTGGTGGTAAGGGTGGTGCTGGTGATAAGATCAAGGCTCTTGAAAATGCCGGTGTTCGAGTCACTCCTTCTCCTGCCAAGTTGGGTACTACTTTGTTGCAAGCCATGAAGGATGCTGGTTTGGCTTAATATATATATATATATAATATCCCCTTACTCTTTTATGTTGTTTTTTTATATATTACGTAAAAATATAAGATAGACTTTTTTAAATATAAGCCGATGCATTGACTTGACGTTATGCACAATAAGGTTCTTTTATTCATCATCATGATGCCGCCGAATTTGTGCCCGTTTGTTGTTGTTGTCTTATTAGCTCATATGATTATCTCACAAGTCGGCATAATTTAGACCTATAAAAAGAGTCATTCATCTCTTCTTTCTGTCTTACAAGTTCAATGCATTGAAATGGCCATGTTATTAGCCAATTTTCCTTCTCCAAGTGGCACTTATGATGTTGGATGTCATGATCTGGAATGGGACAATAGTTGCTCTGATGCCAAGTCTGTCTTGATGCGGTTGTATTATCCAGCCAAAATCAAAAAGACAGACACAAGAGCCAACTGGATTCCAGATGCTGCTTATGCTAAAGGTAAACTAGAGATAGTGGCACATCCAAAAGGATATTCATATATTGTAGCTCTTTGTGAGATTGCTAAATTACCTGCATTTCTATCCAACTGGCTCTCTGGATTAGCGTCTATCAAAAAGACTCAATTCTATCAAGACCCAGACATGATTGACAAGACTTGCCCTGTAGTTGTGTTCTCGCATGGCTTGGGTGGCAACCGTTTGATTTATTCCTGTATATGTGCTGATTTGGCCAGTCATGGCTTTGTGGTAGCAGCTATTGAACATCGAGAAGGATCTGCGAGTCTAGCGAAAAGAGATGATGAATGGATTGCCTATGATAATGTACCACCTGAAGTATGGGGATTTCGACATCATCAATTGCGTTATCGAGTCTCAGAGATCCAACTGGCTTTGGATTGTCTAGACCATGCTTCTCTTAAGGGACGGTTTCAGCATAAACTTAATATGGATCAATTGATCATGGCAGGCCATAGTTTTGGTGGTGCAACAACCGTAAGGATAGATACGTATGACGTGGTATTGATAGCTCTATAGATTTTAATGCTCAATGAACCTCATACTCGGTTCCAATGCGGTCTTTTGTTAGATCCATGGGCACAACCCTTGATGATGATGACAGATAAACACATTCAAATCAAGCGGCCTGTGATTGCTATTTTAAGCGAACAGTTTTCTTTCTGGCCTGATAATTATGAATCTGTTCAGGAATTGATTGGCCATTCAACCTGCGCTAACAAAAGTGTCTGCCTATCTTTGAATGGAACAGAACATCAACACCAGTCTGATGTCTTGGTAAGGAAAATCAATAGCATCTTGTTACTGATAGAATAGATTGTACTCCGCTATTGGACATTATTTGACTTGAGATCCCCTTTTCAAATTGATCCTGCTAGGGCCATTGACTTGAATACAGAAGCTTCTGTTGCTTTTATTAACAAGACATTATCACACAAACGAAAAAGAAAAGTAACACCTAGAATAACCAAAAAACAAAAAATGACTTGAGCCAATCAATGATGAGAAAAATAAAAAAAAATATTTTTTTTTCAACTTGACGCGCCTCTTTTTTTTTTCTTTCTATTTCTTTCTTTCTCTTTACTATTCAAGATGGCTGACATGAACCAAGTTGCCAAGGCTTTTACTGACTTTTATTACAATACTTTTGACGCCAACAGAGCTCAGTTGGTTTCTCTTTACGTAAGATGAAAGGCAAGATGAAAAGGGTATTGATTTGTATTCTAGAGAAATGAATCCATGCTTACTTTTGAAGGACAACAATTTGCTGGTGCTTCAAACATTGCTGAAAAGTTAACTGTAAGTGTCTTTTTTTTTTTTTTGTTCGTAGAAAGTATTTCTTGACAATAGTCTAGTCTCTTCCTTTCAGCAAAGTTGTTCACAAGGTCAGCACTGTGGATGCTCAACCTGGTAACCCTTCTAGTGGTTCTATTATCGTCTCTGTGACTGGTGGTCTTTTGGTAAGTTATTATGATGATTATATATCGTGTTGACCTTGTTTCATACAGATCGATGAAGATCAAAACCCTCAATTGTTTTCTCAAACTTTCCATTTGATCCCTGAAAATGGCTCTTACTGGGTCTACAACGACATTTTCCGTTTGTGTTATGTTTAGGCATCTATCCCCCCCCCTTTTTTTTTTTATAAAAAAGAATAAAGTGTTTTTTTTATATACATATATAGATTTTTAGTTTTCAACAGAAGTAGCTGCTTTATCAAAAGCTCCCAAGATATTCTTACGAATATTGAAATCATCTAATTTAGCAGAAGAAACATCATCCGAACTAGCAATCTTGGCAAGACGAGCTCTTTCTGTTTGCAAGAAATCTTCACCGTGAGCCAAAACTTTTTCCATGACTTTGGCATAGTAGTTGGCATAACGAGAACCGATTTTCTTGGCAGCTTCAGTAGCTTCTTCATGTACCTTTTGGCGAGTACTAGCATCCTTGATGAAACGAAGAGCGTAATCATCTAATTCACGAATACGACCAGCGATGGGCTTTAAGCCACCACCCACAACGCGTTGTGTACCACAGTGTTCGTTAAGGAACTCAATAAAGGCAGCTTCTGAACGAGCACCTTCATAAGGAATAGGCTCCGTGGCACCAGCAGGGAAGAACTTGATGGTAGGGAAACCAGAAATATCAAATTCAGTACCAATGTCTTTTTCTTGATCAGCGTCAATCTTGGCAACCACACAGTTAGCTTCGTTTGCATAAGCAGAAGCCACCTTTTCCCAAATAGGAGCTAATAGCTAGGGGGTTAGTTTCAATCCACATAAATGTGTGTTCTCTGTGCTTACCAAGGTTTTTGCAGTGACCACACCAAGAGGCATAGAATTCAACGAGGACGTTCTTCTTGGGGCTAAGGGCAATTTCATGGAAGTTCTTGGAAGTCAATTCAACCACATCTGATTTAGCTGTCTTGATACGAGGAGCAATGCCTGTCTTTTCCTTGATAAAGGAAGCCAACGAGTTCAAGTCACGACCACCCTTGTATTGCTCAGCACCTTCAGGACCAGAAACACCTTGAGGAATCCATTTCAAGGTAGGGAAACCTTGAACGCCAAACCAGGCACCTGTATCGCGGTGTTTGTCAGCATCGATTTTAGCAATAATGACCTTGTCCTTTTGAGAAGCAAAGGCATCACCCAATTGAGCATACGTAGGAGCCAAGTTCTTACAATGACCACACCAAGGAGCATAGAATTCAACAAGGGCAGGTCTCGAACCATCAATGACAGACTTGAAGTTGCTGTCTGTCAAGACAACCACATTGCCATCGTATTCAACACTGGGTGCAACAGAAGGAGCTGTCTTTTGACGAATCAAGCGGAGGACATCATCGACCGAGTTAATATCTTTAAGCTGAGAAAACGCGTTGTTGATGTGTTGAGCCACATCTTCAGGTTTGGTGGATTTAAGTTGAGTGACATAATGACGGGCCTTGTCCGTATTGAATTGTTTAGCATTCTCTACAAGGTCAAAAGCGATTTGACCACCTTGATAGTAATCAAAGCCAAGGAAAGCCACATTGATAGCCGCAAGCAATAAGAAGACTCTCTTAAAAAAGGACATTGAATAAGAAAGAAAACGAAAGAAAAAAAAAAAAAAAAAGAATAGTATGCCACGTTTAATCATTTAAATAAATAATAAATTTGAATTTATATCCAATAAGATTTTGCTACAGTTAATATGTGTATGTGTGTCCCGCATACCTTGATTATTTGAGCATCTTACTGTGGGCTCCGCTTTTTTCTTTTCTTTTGCATGAATTCTAAGAAGACATTGTAGGGCTTTGATGCATCAGAACAAGTAGATGAGCAGCATCTTCATCATCAGAAGAGAGTGAAATCTTTCTTGATTGTTCTAATCGTGTTGCTGATAAGGGCATGCGTGTGGGAGATTGAATCTTTGTTGTATTGCTGTATTTGTCTATGGAAGTAAGCTTATGTTCATATAAGCTTGATTCTAGTGTCCGCAGGTCGACGTTTTCATATCCATGCTCACGTTTAAAATTAGCTAATGCTAGTCTTAATTTGAGTCTATGAATCAACTATTCAAGAAACAAGCGTATGAGAAACAAATAGCGTGTCTTTCTTTCTTACGTTGGACAAGTCTTTTTGTTCCATTGTTTGTGAGGCCATATTGACATGAAAAAATAAAATAAAATAAAATAAAAAGAGAGAGAAAAAAAAGAACAATTTAATAAATTGTGTGCGAACGAATGATTTTAAAGACTTTTCTGCCATTTTTGAACGTGGACACGAACCCTTGTTTCCAAATAAACCAATCTCTTTAATTATACGCAAACACCAATCGCATGCTTCCAAAATAAAAAAAAAAAAAAAGAGAGATAATCCATGCTTCATGAATGAGAGCAACATTCTTCTAGGCCAAAACATAAGCAGAGAGCAGCAGCACTTGTCAAGTATATCAGTGAAATGAAAAAAAAAAAAAGTTTACCATCCCCAACAACAAGCATCATTTGTCTTTTTAGGTACTGAATGAACTACTACTGTTTCAGGTGCAGGTGTTGGATGATAGAAATGGCCTAGAAAAAGATCAATCCATGGTTTGTGAATAGATAGACTTGCCTTGTCTTGAAAGTTCATTATTCTCAAGAAAGTGGTGTTGAATAGAAGCATGTCTTTGTCTTTTATCTACCACTTCTTTTTCTTTAGTCATGGCAACATGGAGACCAAAACGTCATGAGTAGAAAGAAAAGAAAAAGAGAAAAATAAATAAATAGAATAAGAATCAAAAAAAGACGGAGTTTGTAACCTTCTTCCCTTCCATTGTGAGTGGATGTTCTCCATGCATAAAACACATTCTATTTTGTAGATCATTTGGCTTTTCATTTCAATATCATTGAATGATGCATACGAATGACAACAGTTTAAAGAGAAAAAAGATTATCTTGGTTCTTGACGTGAACAAATCAAAGTATAAGGATTTCATAAAAATAGACAAACCCTTTTTAAAAGAATAGGCAAATACATAGTGTTGCGTATCCACATAAAGGAACTAAAGAGCCTGCTTATACACGCATGAACACTCTACATGTTTGCAAACCATGCTTAACAACATTCATGGTACCTTTGGAGTTGATTTGGACCAAAATAAGCGACATGCAAAAAATGGCCATTTTGACTTCCAATCCAAAGGGTACTATTCATCAAAATCCTTATTTTAACTACTTTCGATTTTCTTTGTGACGCTACAAGGCGAAAAATGAAGATATAGACAAGACTAAATACTCAAAATGTGCGCTAGAGGCACCAGCTATTGTTGAACATGTTCAATTGGCAAAAAACCTTGCAAACACTTGCATATTTACTCAGTATTTTAGCAGTCAAGCCTCTGTGTTTTCTACATCATTAGACTCAAAATCAATCTCCGCGAACGGCTATCCAGTATGTCCTATGCCTAATCTCCCCACATTTACACTAAAAGGCGCCTATGTTTCTATCGCTGCATGCTCTTTGGCGCTTAAAATAGTATATAAGGACTTTTGGAAGCTCATTTATCATATGCTTTATATACCATCTGGAGCAAAAATGCTCAGATCACAACTTAAATGCACTATTCTTTGATGCATCATTACTCGACAACCAAACTATCAGAATAGTTTATTTTTCTAGTTGAAACATGTTCTTTGGAGTCCAGAAATTGAATGGTGCCATTGGTTTGGTTGTTATGTGAAGTTTATTTTTTTGACCCAGGGAGATCCACGGAAGTTTGTGAAGATGAATGACCCAATGTAGGTCTGATCCAACCGAAATGAGGTGAGTTAGGTATAGGTGCTTCTGATAAAAAAAAAACGAGTCTACTAAGATGATAAAGACGACTTGATTTGAGCATTCCTCTCAGATCTGCATTCAAAGTTGATTGCACACTGTAATCAGTACAAAGGAGGCCCATTTCAGTGGATACTGACTATTAGAGGGTACTCTTTGTAGTATTTTTTGACGTATAAGATACACACGAACAAACTATATTATAATACATGCTATTTTTGAGGCCAAAGCGAGTAGCTTTGGATATTGCAAATGATGAATACCATACAAAAGGAGGATTGTCTATTTTAAATGCCATTTCCTTTTTATCTGGGGCACCAGATTCACACTCTAATTTGATCAGCATTCTTTTTCTGTTTGCCAATAGCTCAAACTGTATTGGTGGATCCAGGTACAGCTGTATGTGTCTGATACTGCTACTTTGTAAGCCTTGGCGGCAAACAAAATCCATGATTATGCAGCTATATGAAAAAAAGATTGATATATAAAATAGTGCTATTATTACTGTGTCAACTCAATACACTAGGAGAACATAGATGATATGTTTCTGTATTCGATCATGTAGTCTCTATACCTCTAAAGCCCTCAATAAGCCTTTAAAACAGGGGTTTAGAAAGTTAGCTGAGTATAACTGAGTCTGAATAATGGTCAGGGAACTTCTCAGAATATAAAAGCAGGTTCTCACCCTTTTTTTCTTTGCTTTCTTTTTGCAGCGTGTTTGTTTTCTGTCCTTTCAGGATAATGTACCAAACGTACTTGAGGGGGGATTTACCACCTGGGTACAAGTGCATTCTCTGTCAAGATAGTCTGCCTTTTTTTCCACTAAACGGGTCTTTGCCGAATTTGATAGAGAGTAAAACAGACGCGTGTAGAGGGTTAGCTTATAGTCCTGTCCGAGGGGTATTCCATCTTAGTTATGCGCACTGGCAGTCCAAGTCCAAATATTCCCAACGCTGGAAGGCTACTATCTTTTCTTGGCGCCTTCTTCTCACTTGTGGGGAGGGAGGGGAACCTATCGGATAGTAATAAGTTTAACCCTATTCGTGGTATCTTGGTAGTCTCATTTCTTTGTGTGTGTGGCTATTAGGGTATTGCAGCAGTCTTGGTCGTTTGCTACTGTGATAGTGCTAGAAAGCGGTAGTGAAGGTTACTGGGATTGATAGTCATTCGCCTTTTCTTTGTGAATGCCCTTTAGAGGGGCTTATTTTAGTCTGATGGCTAGAGTAGTCTTTCTAAAGTTAAGCTTCACTTTTGAAGGGGTATCTGTCTATTCGTGGCAAGCTCTATTCATTTAGGGTCGACTATCGGACAGAGTAATGGCTTTTTATATATAGTGTTCGTCCATTCATTCGTTTGAGTGGATCATCTATTGAAAATGATAGGCATTCCATTTTTTTTGATAGTGTGAATACTATATAGTGGGGGTCTGAGGGGCTTTGTGCGTACACGCACCATCTTTTTGGGAACTCAATTGAACTGGTTTAGGTCCTCGTCCTAGTTCCTGGAAACAAATACTCACAGTATTTGGCTAAAGTACCAGTTTCTTTTTTATCTTTTTATTCAATAAAGTATATATACTAGTATTTGAAATAATTGATAACGCATCTTTTCTTTTTCTTATATAATATGGAAAACAGGCTTATTGAGTGTGATTAAACCAATAGCCAAAATCAGTGGCCATAAATTTTGTAGTCAATCTTTGCTGTAACATTATTTATTGATCATAAGCAAGTATCTGCCACAAAAAGAAACAATGGTCCTCATTTTATTGGCTTAAAGACTGTCTGTGTATGACTCTTTTTAATTGTGTACTAACAGTTCTATTGAAGGGTTGTATGCAAAAGCAGAATCAAAAGAGGAAAACTGTTAAATCTCGGCTCTAGAATGACAGACACTTGTAGCAAATGTCCTCTAAGCAATGTGGATGGTTTTTTTATGCAGCAATCCCTTCTCAATTTAAGTCTTTGCTTTCGTACAATTTGACTTTTTATTCTATACCAACCATAGAGATAGCCTAAAAGACAAGTCTCAACATAAAGAAGTGCTGAGAATCAGGTGTATAAGTGTAAGTGAATGATATAGGCTTCTCTCAAGACTACATGTCATTGATTTTATTAAATCATGTTAATGATATTGTGTCTTTTAAGCTGGACGTATCTTTCACTATAGAGAAAGTGAGTAATTGAACTTGGAGTTGTAAGCATGTAATTATATGTGAGGATATGTACCATATTTGATGCTTGCACTAAGGATCATCCTTCATATATCATACATCATAAAGTTGAAGTGCATTTCCTCAACATTTTGACATCTTTCATAAGCAAGCGTTCCCTTTTTTTATCCCTCTAGATCGAGTGTTTTTTAACAGGTCATTTTACGTGGACAAGTAATGGAGCGGTACATTGCTTATTTATGTAGCAGACACAACTACTCCTGCAAATCTTCCTCTTTTTCCTCGACGTATAAAGGTACTATAAAGCCTGTTTGTACACGCATGAATACTATTAATATCTACAAACTGTATCTATTGATATGCAAGACACTTCTAGAGCTGATTTGGACCAGAAAAGATACATATTCAAAATGGTCAAAAATCGCTTTTTTTTTGTAGGGAAACTTTGTTCCTGTTTTATTTAAAGTCGCTTTGGAGGAAAGGCAATTGCTCATGAAAGTGTTTTCAGTCTCTAGTTTTGAGCTTCTTTTGGACTTTGTAGGACGAGAAATGTAGCTATCGACATGGTTGAATACTCGGAATCAGCGCTAAAACTTAGATTTATGCAGTCAATAACGTGTTTCTACAGATATCGAGCCTTAAAAAAAGACATATAGTCTCAGCAAAGACCATTATGCTTTATCCAGATGCTCAATAATAATACTGGGAGGGAATATTTCTTTACTTGAGTATGTTTTTCAGCATCCTTGGATATACTTAGTACTTTCTTAGCGTCAGTTGCTTACCACTTGCACAAGCTATATACGATACAGACCTTCAAGATAGGCTTAAACAGTCCACAATAGTGCAACAGATAACATGTTTCTTACATGAATGTAAGAGACCTTGAAATTATTACATCCGGTATTCTGTTGTAAAGAAATGTTCGAGAGGGTGAAAAAAAGGGAATAGATGGAATAATCTCCCAAAAAAGAAACTATCGCCCACAAATAAACTGACTGATAGAAACTGTAGAGCTCTCATACATCTGTATACACACAAATACAATATCCGAAAAGCGGTGTGTTACGCTACAAGTAAAATGAAGAGGATTCAAGAAGCGACGATAAAAGTTTATTTAAATCTTGGGCTTTTCTCTTCTTTTTTTTTCCCTTATTTCTTTCTTTATACAATTATGTCTGACGCAAATCATAACAATATGGGTCCTGTTTGTCCCGTTGACGACGAAGCTAGAGCTGTAAGTACATATGTGTATTTCATCCGTAACTGAGGCCATACTAGGTTTTTCACGAAGTCAAAGATCAAGTTGTTGCAAAGGTAATGTGCTTTGAAGAATAAGAGAGAGAGAAATTTATTTGATTTATTAGCTTCATGAGGTACAATGCTCCTTTTTTTTTTTGCGTTTTTATATATTTATAATATGTGTATAGCTTAAGCATGCGGATCATGTTCATGGTTTACATGAACTTGATGATTTAAAGGTTATTGAGTGTTACAAACTTGTTGAATACGCTATCGAAGAAGTTGCTTATGGATTCAACTACTTTGGCAAGGTCGACTTGGGTGATGATAAATATATTCATGTTAGGTAACTCGGTATCATGCAGCTCAGCCTTTTTTCTATAACTTTAGTTAATAGATGTCACAAGTCACACGATGGAAAGGTTGACTTTTACTCTATCCTCACTGAGGGTACTGCTATTTGGTCTCGTGAAGAACCTCTCAAATATTTTATTGACTAAATAGTAATAAATAAGAAGCGTATTTCGAATGTTATTTCAAAAGCAACTCGCAAGTAAAAAAAAAAAAAAAAAAAAAAAAAAAAAAAAAAATGCATCTTTTAGTATAAAGGTATTTCTAGACAAAGCCCCGTTTCTTTTTCAAATCATCGTATATTCTTTTGTGATATTTCAATTAGAAGCTGAGATGCATTAGACAATAAAGTAAAATTATGTACTATAACAATAAAGAAACAATATCTTTGCTACAGCGAATATGTCGTGCTGCACAAGTCATATTTTACTATTAATCTTTAATTTGATCTAAAGTAAAGTCTAGACTTTCCTTTTTTGTATGAGACATCAGGAAAAAGAGCCGATCTTTGGATAGTTTTATATCAAGCAAGGTACGATAGCAATATCAGTCATTCTTACTTGATCCAGGGTTCAAAAAGAGTGTTTTTTTAATGCTGTTGTCAACTTGCAATCCAAGAACAAGAAAGTTTATAGCTATATAATGTCATCATTTAACAATCTCTTCTTATTTGACTTGGTTCCAAGCAAAAAAGCAACAATAAAGCCTGACAAAAGAAACCTTATTGTTGCTCTGAATATGGCAAGTGTTGAAATCCTAATACTATACTACAGTTTATTCATTCCAATGCCATTATCCAAAAAAAGAATCTGAGTGCAAAAAACATATTACATAATCAAACAATTTTTTCCTCTAAAAAAAAGAGTCAAGAAAGATACCAGGTAATTACAAGTAAGGCCTCGGGAAAACTTTGATGAACAAAGCATACTACACTCAAGGTAGTCGAGTTGATATTCATAACATACGTAATTGTTTTCAATACAAGCAACACTGCATGGGGAAACATTGTAACCGAGCCAATGATAAGATTTGGGAGTTTTTTTTTTATATCTTTTTTTCTTTTTTACCATTTAAAATGTTGTTCTTTCTTATTTGTATGTAAAAAAAAAAAAAAAAAAAAAAAAAGAAAAGCTTTTATTCTATAAAAAAGGGGGCATTTCTTTCCATTCTAAATCTGTTACGACCCTTTTTTCTTCCTTTAGATATACTTTCTTTTATTTTTGTTTTATTTTTTTACTCCCTCTTTCTCTTTCTCTTCTTTCTTTTTAAAAAACAACTTGTTGAGGCCAAGCAGGAAAAAAAAGAGAGAAAACTATTGATATCATTTGGTTCAAATACATGCTGTATTAAGCCGAAAAAGTTTTTTTTTTTCCTTGTAAGAATAAAAAAAAAGGCATGCCTCAACAAACACTTATTTTTTATTATAGCTACTCTACCAATGCCTTCAACAACGAGACTTAGCCACCGTCACCAACCTTCCAACTTGTCATTCTCATCGGCATCTTCCTCTTCTTCTTCTACACGGCCTGCACTACCACAGATTTTATCGAATTCCGCCTCGAATGCGGTCAACTTTACCAGAAGTGCAGCACCGACGTCTAGACGAGTCCGATCTCACTGGTTTACACACTTCGTATTAAACTGGCGCCGAAGTTCACGGCAATCCAAACTTCTGTTGGGACTCTCAATGACATTTACGGCTATCCAGATGATTGTCAGTATCACCATCTTGTTTTATTCATGGGAAATGTATTGCGATAAACCACTGCGTATATTTGTGACAGTCTATGTCCTCAGATTGTTCTTGACTGCGCCTATTAGTATTTATCTGCATTTAGCTCCTCGTCGTCGAAGGCCAGCAGTTAGTGTAGTGTCGCCTCGTACCAGTGCTCGATCTGAACTCAGTGAAGCTTATGCCATGAGCGAACGCAACCGACCATTATCTTTTCCTCCTCCAGTTATGCCAACCAACACAAATCGATATCAATATCCTGCATTTATTACGCCTGTACAACAGCCCTCATCATCATCGTCGTCAGTGCCAGCTACTTCTTTTCCATTTTCAGATGAAGATGTAGTCAGGGCTTGGATTGATAGGTAGCGTCTTCATGTTGTTGTACAAAAGTGTAACACTAAAACTAAAATCTACAGAGCAAAATCTGCTTTGGATCTCTTTGGCGTGTTATGGTTTATTATTGGAAATTATATGATATTCACTTCTTCTACCTGTTCAGATACTGCTCAGCCTTTGTATTACTTCTCACTCTGCCTGATTGTGTATGGCTACTTGATCCTCTCTGTTCCTGTCTTTCTGTGTACCTCTGTTATTTTCTGCTTACCTTGTGTATTAGGTAAGATTTAGACATCCATTCGATTTGATTAATGTGTATAGTGGGTATGCGGCTACTGCATGTTGATGATGGTGTTTATATGGGAGGTGCCACAAGTGAAGAAATAGCCATGATACCCGTTTATCGATTTAAGTCCAACATAGATATGCCACCTCAAAAAATTCATAAACCAACACAACCAGAAATCACCATTGATCTCAGTAAACCAGATCAACAACCACAGCTTAGTTTACTTGATAAATTATGGCTTTATTTAGGCTTAGTAGATCCACCAGGAACTCAAGTGGAGCCTGAATACCAAGATTTAGAAATCCCAGAGATTCAAGATCAGGTGTGCGTCATTTGTCTATCAACTTATGAAGATGGTGATATTTTATGTAAATTATGGCAAGTATACATAGTCTATTTGTGTATATATGTACTTATACTTTATATAGGTGTCAGCATCATTTCCATAAAGCATGTGTGCATGAATGGCTTGCTTTAAACTTTAGATGTCCAATGTGTAAACAAGATTCAAGAGGAAAAGACATCATGATTGATGTATAATTTTTATGTATTTATTATTTATTTATTTTTTATTTTATTTTTTTGCTTAATTCCCCCACCACCATCTTCTGTTAGACCAAGCTGTTCCAATTAATAACTTCTTTACCATGACTTTCTAAATATTCATTTGCTTTTTTGAAATGACCGCATTCAAAGAACCCTCGGTGGGCTGAAAGTGGAGAAGGATGAACACTTTTAAGCACCAAATGTTTCTATTCATTAAAAGAAAATATAAGTCCATATATGGGGGTATTCTATCATTGCCTTACGGTTGAGTTAATACGAGCACCCTTCTTCTGAGCAGGTGAGCCCCAAAGCATAAATACAAGGTTGGATTTTCTTTCATTGAGATACTTAATGATAGCGTCTACACCAACAGATAAGTCTTAAAGGAAATAATTCTTTTCTTTCTTTTACCTGTGAATTGTTCCCAGCCTTGATTTGCATGACTACCTGCTTTATGCGCTTCAACACTTAGACTTGTATTCAACATCAAAACGCCTTGCTTTGCCCAGTTTTCTAAATAACTAGTCATGTATGTTAGTGAATTCAATAGATAGTCTCTTTCCTCTTACCCATGTGGAGGTGTTTGGAAATCAGGATAATCGTTCTTCAAAGCCTTATACATATTGACAAGAGAGGGCGGTACTCTGACACCTTTTACAACAGAGAAACAAAGACCATGGGCTTGATTGAAATTATGATAGGGATCTATCATTTCTTAGTCTTTGTTTTTTTTCTTTTTTATTTCTGTACCTTGACCAAGGATAACCACTTCTACTTTTTGAGGAGGTGTGTAATTTGACCAACTATAGATTTGGTTCACTATAGAGTATTAGTTCAGCACAAAACATAGATGACTTACAAGGGGGAAAAATAGTCTTTTTTGCATCTAGTTCCGCTTTCAAATATCTTTTTAACTAATGCAATTTTATGAGCTATCTGTCACTTTTTATGCAATATGTTAATATCATGATTTTTACTTTTAAAAAGTAAGGCTTGACCAGCTCAGGTGCAAGTACTTTAAGCCAACCATAATTCATGGTATTTATCTCAAGGTCTAATAGTTCCAAAGTCTCTTGGTCCACGCCTTTAAATAAAGCTTTGGGGTCCTTATTTGTTTCTTCCGCAGTCTCTTCCTGTTGTGTTGTTGCACCAGAAACACGAGAAGTCACTTCTGAAGATGGTTTAGGTACTGGCTTAAACATAGAATAAAGTGTCGTTTGCTTCTTTTGAGCAGGTTTTTCTGGTTCTGGTTCACGCGTTCTTTTCATAGTAGTAAAATATATATATATATATATTTACGTAAAAAAAAAGAGTTTTTTTTTTTTAAAATGCGCCATTTCAAACAGCTCTTCTACTTGAGATGGAGAATGAAAAAAAACAACCCTCTACTAAGTTTAAAGAAGAAATATACTTTACGACATATCAAAAGCTACAATCTATGCAAGACAATGTAAAACTAAGGCATTGGCGTTTGCATAAACACGGTGTAAAGCTCACTTTTCAACCGGGAAGAAAGCTTTCACATCTTTACTATTCAAAAGGACATATTTCTTTTCAAGTAGAGAAATTGCATAAAAATAGGAAAGGACTGCTGAAAAAAAAAAAATATTTTTTTTCTTTACTTTTTTCTAGATCCATCATGCCACCTAAATCACAAGTTAAAAAGCATGCAAAGCCTTTAACGCCATTACAAAGAAAACGCAAGTAATAGAATGCATAGATCGTGTTTATACTGACATCATTCTATAGAAAAAAAGAGAAAGTATGAATTAATCCATAAGGCTCAAGTCAAGAGTCGATATTATAAAGAGCTAGACAAGGATGATGATGAAAGCACGCCTGACTATGTGAAAGAGGCAAGCACTATATTTATTTTGTTTAGTTGTGCTAACTCTGATAATTAGATTTTTGCTTCAGAACGTACGATTGACAAGGATGGCAATGTAGTTGAATTAGAAAAAGAACAAGATGAACAAGAATTTGATTTAGATCAATCTTCATCATCAGAGGAAGAGGAAGAAGAAGAACAAGTTCAAAAGAGACAAAAGCCAAACCCATTCAAATCACAAATAGAAGAGCGTGAACGTACAAAACAACAATTGGTTCAAGACAAACAAGAACGTCAAAAGAGAATAGCAGAGAGTAAAGAAGGCAAAAAAAAGTATTATAAAGAACGAAAAGAACAGCGTGGCAAAATGCTGGCTAGAACAAAACGAGGCCAGCCTAACATGGCTGCACAAATGGATGTCTTGTTAAATAAAATTCAAAAGAATATGGACTAAAGAAAAAAGTCTTTTTTTTTTATTATGATGATATAAATATATACTGTGTGTGTGTGTGTATTTAATGATCAAGAATACGCAAGTTACCAGACACCACTTTGTTTTCCAAGACAGTGCCTGATGGGATATCGATATGTTCACCAGCATTGGCAACAATAATAACTGTGCCTCTCAATTCAACCTTGGAACCAAAGCAGACATCACCAGTGACAGTCAAATGGTCCAATTCAACAATTTTAGGAATAGACTTAAATCGAGTCAAGAAATCACTGACCTTCTTGAAATGATCACCCAACTTGACCAAGGGTACATTGCTGAACATACGATCAGGGTTAACCACAAGACGACCGTGAATAAGTGAGTACAAGTTAGAAGTGACTAAGAAAAGATCAGAGGTAGACTTGACTGGTAAGAAACGGTCACGGGGCACATTCACACCATGAGCATTCTTGAAGTGCTTAATGGCAGCACCTACAGCTGTTTCGAGTTGAATGACCTTTTCACCTTGAGGAGTGGTCTTATTGTTGACAATGATTTCTAGTTCCATGGCTTCTTCATCCATCACACGCTTAATTGCCTTCAAGTTGACCCACAAGTTATTGGTGTTGAAGATCTTGAATTTCTTGACAGACTTGAAGTCTTCAACATGTTCATCAGGGACTTGAGCAATTTCCAAAAGACGGATGTGGCCATCATCATCCACAAGAGTACCACCCTTAATATCAGCCTTGGTCTTGTCAGTGACTTCCATGATAAACTCAGCACCGCTTTCGACCATATGGTGCAAGATGTTCAAGTCAACAGTAGCACCCAAGTTATCTACGTTGGACACAAAGAGGTATTCTTTACCTTGAGCAATCAATTGATCTAAAAGACCAGAGTTATAGATAGACTCATACAAATCACCGTGACCAGGAGGATACCTTAGTAGAAAGATTAGGTACTAAGAAAAGGGAACTCGAATTAACTTACCATTGTTCAATAGGAGAAGCAGGGGAACGAGGAACAGGTAACATAGATTCCTTGTTAATACGAGGATGACGACTTTGGTTGAATGTGATAATGTCCACATTATGAGAAGCATACTTTTGAACAATACGCTTAGTATCGTCATCAGTATTGAAGGAGTTCATAAGGATAAAAGGTACACTGACATCGTTCTTCTTGTTGAGATACTATTAAACAGTTAATACAAACACATACAACACTTATCACTACTTACCTCAATTTGACGAACGCTCAAGTCCAAAAAGGTCATACCATCACGTACTTCAATAGCAGACTTGGGACCAACACAGCCCATTGTTGTACCCAAACCACCATTCAGCTTCAAGACAGCCAACTTTTCAAGATCAGCAGTATCTGTGACTTCAGGAATACTGGCATAAGGCACGATTTGTTCAGAAGAAGGAGTCTGGATCTTTTCCCAATCCCTAAATACATGTCAATACATGCACTTATTGAAGTGTTTATTTTTTACTTACAACTTTTTGGCCTTGATCTTTTCGTCCAAGAAGCGAGTAAAGAGCATATAAAAACCGTCCATTTCTTGAGTAAAGTACTGTATAGATAAGGTTAGATAAATTCACACAAAAAGAAGAGCTACTTCTTTACCTTGCGTTCTTCTTCGTTTTCAATTTGAGAAGCCAACTTGGCTAATTCAGACTTCATAGCTTTAGCAGCAGCAGCAGAACTGGCACCTTGAAAGTCCTGAATTCATGTTAGTTTCATGACGCGTCAAATGATTTCTTTTTGTTTTTACTTACGAGAGTAGAAAGAGTATGAGGATGGTGGCGTTCGTTACCAACAGCAGAGGGTTTTCTAGCGTAAGACATAATGAAATTGAGATATGAAAGAAGAAAAGAGAGAGAGAAAAAAAAGAGAACAAGATGATGTCTATTATGCCCTATTTATAATTATTTCACCTTTAAAACTCCCAAAAAAAACAAACAATTGACTTTCCGAATGACCGATACAACAAGTCATGCAGCAAATCTACACCAGGGAAAAAACATGCTTGATAAAATCTATTCACATATTGATCCTGTTGGTTGATAACATGTTTTTTTTGGGGGGAGAGAATCTAGCTGCAGAGTTACACATTACTTACCTCATCCCGCACGGTCCCAAAGGCTCTAAATACTACTTTAACTCAAGTAGGCGATTGAATGCTTGTTCCACGATACTTTCATTCGAGAATCAAGAAGCAACTCTAAGCTTATCATGAATGACAAGCAAGATATAAAAGAAAGATGTAGTATTCTTTTGAACTTTTGTGACATCATGATGAGACAACTCTTTTTTTTTGTGCTACTAATTCAAAGCTGGATTTTCTTGGATAATTTTTTTTTTTTATAGAGAAGAAGGGCAATTAAATTTTCTTTTTCTCCTTTTTTTACTAGCCATTATTGAGTGAAGCTTATGGTATTATTTTGTATTTTGGAGGATGTTCAAAAGAAGGCAATATATGGATATGATTGAATATGATGAAATTATATTAGAATTTGGTACTCCACTTGATACTAGTCAATAGCAATGTAGTCATTATTTGTTCTGTATCTAATTCATGAATATTCTAGATATCAAGCGAGAGTACTTCAACTCAGACACTAAATTTTTTCTAGAAGGTACGGTATTTGAGGAAAGTCAGACAACACAGAAACTAGTTTTGGATGGTATCTGTATTTCAGATAGAGAGTGAGAACGAGAGAAGAGAAAAGAACAGTGATGTTTGTGAAAATTGTGTACCTTTTTTTTACGGATGAAACATTTACAAAATCAGTTACTGAATTGAACATATGGAAATACAAGCTTAAACATATATCGGCGGTTACAGATATATCATTGCGAGGCTCTTCACCAAGTAGAGTATCTTTCTTGTTCATAATTCCGAAATTTTCCACGACGATTTATCGGAAAGATCAGCTATTGTATCAAAAAAAAAAGGGGGCCAATAAACGTCGCCTTCGAAAAAGCGTGATTTGACAGTGATGGACCAACCTTTTTTTATTTTATTTTTTTGCTACAATACAGTTTAGTATATAAAAGTCCCATAAGACACAGAAAAACATATTTAGAAATCTTTCAGTAAATATCCTAGCTCATTGATATTTTTTCTTCACATTGATTTCTTTTTCAAATAAAGTGTATGTTATCCTGCTTCAGTGGTTTTTTGGTTTCAGGCTTAGCTTATCACATTTTTTTTGCTGTAGAACTTGCACTTAAGTTTGAGCTATATCTAAATATGATTTTACTTGATAAATTAAATAAAATAAGTTTTGAGATACATACATTGCTCTTCTTTGACTTGTTTTTTTTTTCCTTTCATCAGCAGATCTTTTGTAAAATACCCTAATTCCTTCTTTTCTGAATAGTGAATGTCAGACAAAAGAAAGCTGTTTCTGAATTAATATTTCTCTTTTAAAGCATTGATTTATTATTGATCAAGAGGGAGATGACGATTGGATATAGTTTATTTATGTGGCAGGGAAAAAGAGAATCGACTACGCCTGTACAAACAGAGCACGGTTAGAGATAATCCATCGACGGTCTTTTTATATTGTTATTATTCGTCCAGTAAACATTTTGAATAAAAAAAACATTTGTTTGATTTCTTTTAAGAACAATCTTAATCTCAAGTTGGAGAACTTTGACAAAAGAATGTGCAAAGGAGAATTAAATAAAGGTAGTTTTGGCTTTTATAAAATTAAACATACCAATTCTTTCCTATATATCAAAAAATTCATGGTCCCAGAATTATTCTCATTGCACTTGCCAGACTGTTTTAATTACTAAAATTGTAGTCATTATGATCGGTAAACTATTGTTATTACTGCCTCTTAGGTTTGTGATACAAAATAAAAATATAACCAAAGCTCAATGAGTTTATTCCCGATGAAGCATATAAGAGTTGAGAAGTAGTATATGCTAGACTTCGAAGATCCTGTTAGCAATAGTAAAGTTTCTTTTTCACCAACTGTAAATTTGACTAAATCATAAAAGAGTCTCCGTTAGCTTCTCAATTTTCCAAAAGACATCTAAAGAAGATCATACTCGTCTTTAGCTAGCTACCTCTAGAAAGACACGAAATTGATCTGCTTGTCAATCATCTTCTGGGATTTAATTGACAAGTGCAAATCATGCTGAATGGCTCTTTGCCAAAAACAGTATTCTTCTCCTTTAACCAATCAAAACATGTCGGTGCCTTTTCAAAGCTTTATTTTATGGCACAAAAACATCTTTTCTTCTTTCTTTCTTCTTTTTTCTTTTTTACTTTCGCAATTTTCTTTTCTAAACATGAGAGAAATCATTCACGTTCAAGCTGGTAGCTATAGATTTATTTGTGTTTATATATGCTTACACATTCACTTTCTTTTAACATAGGTCAATGTGGTAATCAAGTAAGTAAACCTATCTTTTTATTTGTTAAGGGATACCCAGATATATATATATATATATATATATATATATAAAGAGGATAAGAAAGGGAGAGAGAACGTGAAAAAAACAAGATCCTGCAAATGTGTACAGCTTTATTTACTTGATATTTATAGATTGGTCAAAAATTCTGGGAAACAATCTCAAAAGAACATGGCATCGACGCCAATGGCAACTACACAGGAGATAATGATCTCCAAACAGAACGCATCAACGTCTTTTACAATGAAGGTTCTCAAGGAAAATACGTCCCAAGGTAAAGAAACAAAAACTCTTCTCCTTAAACTCCTTACTCAATATATCGTAGAGCTGTTCTTGTTGACCTTGAACCCGCAACGATGGATGCTATCCGTGGTAGCGAATATGGCAAAATTTTCCGCCCTGATAATTTCATTAATGCCCAATCTGGTGCAGGTAACTCCTGGGCAAAGGGTTACTATACAGAGGGTGCAGAACTTGTTGAGTCCATCATGGATGTGATTCGTAAAGAAGCAGAAAACACCGATTGCCTTCAGGGCTTCCAACTCTGTCACTCTCTTGGTGGTGGTACCGGCTCTGGTCTTGGCTCGCTTTTACTTTCCAAGATTCGTGAAGAATATCCTGATCGTATTTTGAGCACATACTCTGTTGTACCTTCTCCTAAAGTATCTGATACTGTTGTTGAACCTTACAATGCTGTCTTGTCTGTCCATCAATTAGTTGAGAACTGTGATGCTACCTTTTGTATCGATAACGAAGCTCTTTACGATATCTGCTTTAGAACGCTTAAGATGTCTAACCCTGCTTATGCTGATTTGAACCAATTGGTTTCTGGTGTCATGTCTGGTGTCTCTACCAGTCTGCGTTTCCCAGGTCAACTCAACAGCGATCTTCGTAAGCTTTGTGTTAACATGGTTCCTTTCCCTCGTCTTCACTTCTTCATGGTCGGTATTGCTCCCTTGACCGCTTCCAACTCTCAACAATACCGTAACTTGAGCGTGCCTGAATTGACTGCTCAAATGTTTGATGCTCGTAACATGATGGCTGCTTCTGATCCTCGTCACGGTCGTTACTTGACGGCTGCTACTATCTTCCGTGGTCGTTTGTCCACTAAAGAGGTCGAAAATCAAATGTTGGCTGTTCAACAAAAGAACTCTTCTTACTTTGTTGAATGGATTCCTAACAGTGTCAAGACTTCTCTTTGCGATATTCCTCCTATTGGTCTCAAGATGTCTGGTACCTTTATTGGTAACTCTACTGCCATCCAAGACTTGTTTAAGCGTGTTAATGAACAATTTACTGCTATGTTCAGAAGAAAAGCTTTCTTGCATTGGTACACAGGTGAAGGTATGGATGAAATGGAATTCACTGAAGCTGAATCAAACATGAATGATTTGGTTTCTGAATATCAACAATACCAAGAAGCTACCGTTGATGAAGAATATGATGAAGAATACCCCGAAGATGAAGAAGATGTTCCTATGGAGGATGACCAATAACTTGATTTGTTGCTTTCATAATACCTTTACACAACCTATACACATATACGCATCTTCTCTCTAATAGTAGTAGTAGTAGTAGTAGTAGTAGTAGTAGTGATAATGATTTTGTTTTTATTACAAGGATCATATTAAAAAGTTTCTTTTTTATAAAGCTTGTTTTTACATAAACATGTGCTTATGCATATACATACAAGAAAAAGTCTACGGCTATAGTAGGTTAAGCAGGATTTTATGTTGCCTCAAAAGAATGTCTTTGGCGTACTTTTTTTTTTGTAAAAGGCAAGCAATTGAGTTCATTTTATACCTGGGGTTTCATGTGTCAATATATAGCGAATATTGACGCATGGTGATAGAAGATGTGCTCATATTCTTCTATTCACATAGATCCATCTATTCGTTTCAACAAGTCATCATGCAGGTTTTGTCAATTGACTACATTATAATTATGCAAGGAGAACTAAATATAAAGTAACAAAAGTAACCTTAAATCGACTGTTTAACACAAGGCCGTATATGTTCAAGTTATCAGCTATCAGTTGCCAGTTGTCAGTAAACTCATTTGCAGACACAAAAAGAGCTTTTTTTTTTTAACGAGAAGATATCAATGATGTGATATTACTTTTGTTGTCCTTTGAATACTATAAAAAAGAAAATATTTGAGTTCTTTGAAGATCATTAAATAAGATAATATGACTAACTCTGAAACTTCTATGCCCGTTGTAAGCGTAATTTGTGCTCCTCAAAACTGTAGAGTTTGCGGCTCCAGAGTTCATATCACAGGTAATAATAATAATAAATACAAACACTTTTTCTCCAACATTTTTAACATATAGAACATTGTCCAGTCATGCCATAAAAAATAAAGTAGTATTTTTTAAGTATTATACAAAATAGAAAGATTTGTTCTTTTATTTTAAAGTGTCGATAAATGATGGAAAATATGTAAAAAAAAAAAGGTGGGAATGAATATGTATATGTATATATGTAGTCAATTACAAGAGAATTTTTTTTTTGTTGATGAAAAGGGAGTGAGGGGGGTAAATGAATAACTTAATCGACTTCTTCAATGGAAGGACCGTCATTATCGGCAGAAGGAGCACCGCCAGGAGCACCACCAGGGAAACCTCCTGGAGCACCACCAGGAGCACCACCAGGAGCACCACCTTGTTGGCCATACATCTTCATCATGATAGGGTTGGCAATTTCTTCTAATTCCTTTTGCTTAGATTCGTATTCTTCCTTAGAGGCTTCTTGAGAGTTATCTAACCAGTCAATAGCTTCCTTGACGGCATTGTCCAACTTTTCCTTGTCAGCAGCATCAAGTTTATCCTTGATGTTTTCCTCTTGGAGAGTGTTACGGAGGTTGTAAGCATAAGATTCAAGACCGTTTCTGGATTGGATACGAGCAGCAGCAGCTTCATCCTCAGCCTTGTATTTTTCAGCTTCGTTCACCATACGTTCGATATCCTCCTTAGATAGACGACCCTTATCGTTGGTGATGGTGATCTTGTTGGATTTACCAGTAGTCTTGTCAAGGGCAGAGACGTTCAAGATACCGTTAGCATCCACATCGAAAGTGACTTCAATTTGAGGAACACCACGAGGAGCAGGAGGAATACCGGTCAATTCGAACTTACCGAGGATGTTGTTGTCCTTAGTACGAGCACGTTCACCTTCAAAGACTTGAATCAAGACACCAGGTTGGTTATCAGCATAAGTAGAGAAGACTTCAGACTTCTTGGTAGGAACAGTTGTGTTACGCTTAATCAAGGCAGTCATGACACCACCAGCGGTTTCGATACCCAAGGAAAGAGGAGCGACATCCAAAAGAAGAAGATCTTGAGTCTTTTCGGAGGTGTCACCAGAAAGAATGGCAGCTTGAACAGCAGCACCATAGGCAACGGCTTCATCAGGGTTGATGGACTTGTTGGGTTCCTTACCGTTGAAGAAGTCAGATACCATCTTTTGAACCTTGGGGATACGAGTAGAACCACCAACGAGGACAATATCGTGAACAGCAGCCTTATCAATCTTGGAGTCACGCAAGACCTTTTCAACAGGTTCCATGGTGTTACGGAAGAGATCTTGGTTCAATTCTTCAAAACGAGCACGAGTCAAAGAAGTGTAGAAGTCAACACCTTCGAAGAGAGAGTCGATTTCGATGGTGGTTTGAGCAGCAGAAGATAAGGTACGCTTAGCACGTTCACAAGCAGTACGGAGACGACGAACAGCACGAGCGTTACCAGAGATGTCCTTCTTGAACTTGCGCTTGAATTCTTGCATGAAGTGAGAGACGAGACGGTTATCGAAATCTTCACCACCCAAGTGAGTATCACCAGCAGTAGCCTTGACTTCAAAGATACCGTCTTCAATGGTCAAAAGAGAAACATCAAAGGTACCACCACCCAAATCGAAAATCAATACATTACGTTCACCTTCGTGCTTCTTGTCCAAACCATAGGCAATAGCAGCAGCAGTAGGTTCGTTAATGATACGTTGAACGTTCAAGCCAGCAATCAAACCAGCATCCTTGGTAGCTTGACGTTGAGAGTCGTTGAAGTAAGCAGGGACAGTAATGACAGCGTTCTTGACAGTAGTGCCAAGGTAGGCTTCAGCAGTTTCTCTCATCTTGGTGAGAATCATGGAGGAAATTTCTTCGGGAGTGAAAGTCTTGGTTTCGCCCTTGTATTCAACTTGAATGTTGGGCAAACCACCCTTTTCAATGACCTTGAAAGGCCAGTGCTTCATATCAGCTTGAACTTCAGCATCGTTAAAGCGGCGACCGATCAAACGTTTAGCATCAAAGACAGTGTTGTGAGGGTTCATGGCGACTTGGTTTTTGGCAGCATCACCAATAAGACGTTCGGAATCGGTAAAACCAACATAAGAGGGAGTAGTACGGTTACCTTGATCGTTGGCGATGATTTCTACACGATCGTTTTGCCAGACACCAACACAAGAGTAGGTAGTACCCAAATCAATACCAACTAAAAGAATGAATGTTAGTACACAAATGTAATGCTTGTAGTTTAAGATACATACTAGCTTTGCCTTCAGACATATTAATCTATATTTTCTGTTACTTTTGTTACAATAATAAAGATAAAAAAAGGGAAAGAAAGGCGTTGTTTCCTCTAGTATTTATATCATTTTCATGTCTCTAATTTGGGAATACTAGCAAGTTCCAAACGCGATGATTGGCTGCGTATCCGAAAGTGGTAGAACCTGCGAGAAAGTAAAAGAATCCGCGAGTTGATTCTGGCCATCTGATTCGCTGTCAGAGTGCACAACCCATGTCTGCATTTGAATTTCATTGATTTTAGCATGATAAAAAATTACGTAGGTGCGTTTCTTTTTTAATGCAGCTACGGCTTTTTGTTTTCGCCTCATTATGCGGACAATTAACAGGATAGTACATAATTTTTTTTTATCTAGCAAATTCTAGTCTATTCAATCCGTTTTATTTTCAAAAAAAAAGTCAGGATACCAAAATAAAACAAAACAAAAAAAAGTTCACGTTACACATGATGGAAGAAACCAAGACAAAAGAAACAAAAAAGAAACAATCCCCCTCGCGTTAATATCCTTGTTCAACCACCAAGTTTTCTAATTCGATAAACTGGTTCACGTAATCTGTATATTTTTTTGTTTGGCTCAAGTTTGGCTCACAGATAAGGTCTAAACCTACAGATGGGAACTCCGCCATCATATCTTCAAACGATTTTGATTGCAACGCGAATTTCGCTAACAATGCACCACCCAAACTGGCCCCATTCATACCCTTTTGTCGATAAACAGGCAAGCCAAAGATATCAGACAATAATTGCAGTATCGTACGATTACTAGCAGCTCCACCTGAGGCCAAGATACGCTTGATGTGATCACCGCCCATACGTCGCATTCTGATTTTCATAGACATAAATTGAGATTCAACAATGGCTTTTACATTAGCTTGTTTCTCTGTGAATTCTTCTACACGATTTCCGTGTTCAAATCGATAAATCCCTTTGGCAAATGGAACAATTTCTTGCATCCAATAGTAGTATCCAATGCGGTTATTAAGTATAGCTTGTTCTTTGGTCAACAGTTCATTGAATGTGTCCCAATTTGAATCAGCATATGTGTTTCGAATGTGCTCTCTTGTGAGTGAGCCATTCTTGTAACAAAGCATACCCATAAAGCCTTCAGGGTCGGTTGGATGAGCCATCAAATGAGATTCGGTAGTGGCGGCAGCACCCTTTTTCAAATAGACCAAGACTGTATCTGAGGTACCAAGAGAAACGACACAGTCACCTTCTATCAGGTTCATAGAGACAAGCGTAGCTGAATTGTCACCCGTAAAAGGCATGATTTTGCATTCTAGTATAATTTGAAATGAGTCGATCAATGAACGTCTTCCTTACCTGAATCAAAGCCGTATCGTTCAACATAATAAGGGTGAATGTTTCCGAGAACAGTACCACCTTCTACTGGTTCTTCTGCTAATTTTTCATTTAGAGTATCACCACCACATTCGTGCAATAGATTTTTATCCCATTTATGTGTGTGAATATTCATCATGTTTGTTCCTGAACCCTCAGCTGCATCTACTGGGCTAAATTGACCAAGCAAAAGTGTTGCTAACATGGAGCTCACAAGGTTAATCCGTACTGTCTGGTCGTATGCAGTCTTCTGTTGATGATAAATCTATATCTAATCAGTACGTCTGTCTTAGGCGAAACTTCTTTTACTTTTGCAATTTGGTTTCCAGTGAATCTTTCATAAGCTTTTGAACCAGTCAATTGAGCTAATTTTTCAGGACCACCTACAGAGTGTTCTAAAGCACGACATTCTTTAGTTGTACTAGCATCTTGCCAAATAGGTGATTGAGGAATAGAAAACGCGTTCTTCAATTGGTCAGCTAAAGATTGAGTAGGATCTAGCTGTCCGAGTTTATCTATACCACATTGGCTCCAGTAGACACTGCCATGTTGCTAATGTCTCGCTTGTCAATATGCATAAACATGACATGTATATACCTTACTTGACCAGCACCGGATATACCTCGGATATGAGCAATATGTTTTGTATCTTTTAAACGCATCAATAACAAATCAAGTGCTTTAACCCACATAAGCGTAGGTGAAGTGACTACGTTATCGTTGACAATAGCACCATGTTTTGTTTGAAACTCTGGTAAATCTCGGTCAAAGTGAACTGCTTCTTCATAAACAATATCGTGTTTCTCGTTAATAAGTGTACACTTGAGTTGTTGAGTAGATAGATCAAGCCCCAAATAAAGGTTATCGTGTGTCATTGATTGTCAAGGCAAAACTAAAAGAAAAAAATGAGAAAATGAGAAAATACATTTATATGTTTGCCAAAAACTATTTAAACTACCCGATTGGTAAAGCACATTTGCCTCTAAAAAAGTCATATTTTCCGACTATAGTATTTTTTTTTGACTATTACTTGAACACTTTTTTAACATTTATGCAAGTATGGCCACTAAATAAAAAACAAAATCTCTTGAGACTTAATGAAACAAGTTAGAAAGGTTGCTATTGTTTAATCTCTATTCATTCTTTTTTTTTTCTTTTTTTCTTTTTTTTTCTTTGGACGTCCAGCTCATGGAATCAGCCAACTGGTGTTGTAGGTATAGTCATGATATGGTAATAAACCAAGTGATGTATGTTTTTTTTATAAAAATCAATGTCATGCGAAGAGTTTTTTATCTTAATCTCTAATATATAAATACAAAAACAAAAACTGTTTATTGTTCTTTGCCACGAATCTGGTTTCAAAAGAAAGGCACACACGCTCTTCTCCGGCTCGCTTGTCTTCTCTTTTTCTTTGCTGGTTTACCTTTTCAATAAGCTTCGCAAGCTCGCACTGTATGGAACACGTTAATTTACTGTTACTAGCATTCGTTTGTTTACAATCAATACCTTAACATAGTATAGAGTTTCGACAATTGAAGGTAAATGTACCAGTTGGTGAAGTTCTTCAACCAAAGAGAAGCGTTCAAATGCCATAGGCATGTATATTCCATCAGCAGGAAGCCTCATTTGGAACAGGGTGCATTTGAAGCCTATCAAAGCATCTGCATTAGACATTTTGTTCTTCTTTTAAGACACAAAAGACAAAGTGAGAGTATACCTTCAACTAGCAGACCAAGAGATAAAGGGTCTTTTACTCCAAGACATAACTGATCATCTAGAGAACCTTTCATCAGCTTCATCAGCTTAGCATAGTCGTCTTCTAGCTGATATTTGCTTGCTGCTTCAGGTCTCTTAATCTCAATAAAAAAGAAGAAAATCTCTTTGTTTCTGACTCTAGTTCCAAACATTGAATCTGGCTTCTTTTTATTCTTGCAAGGCTTGTCGATCCTATCCGTAAGGATTATTCTCTGCGGTTAGTACAGTTAAAAAAAGAAAATTGGGTATACACTCACAAAGCATAGTATAGTTCTTCACTAGCATTTTTCAAAAGTACTCTTTGAATTACTGGTGTTAAGTACTTGTCGGTGAATGAAGCTTCTGAATTATTGGCAGCAGAAGCGCGGTATTCTTTCATGTTCTTGACGAGGTCTTTGACCATACTCAGCATGACTTCTTTTTCTTCATCTTCCTTCTCTTCTTCCCCACTATCATCATCATCATTCTCTTCTTCCTAATTGAAAACAGTGTCAAAGAAAACTAGTCGTTTGAACTAATGCAACATACATCGGCTTCTTTCTTACAGTATATAACTGCCTTGGCAGGTGCACGAATTATTTTGGGCTTCATGCCTCCAGATAGTGACTTTAAGATATTGCGAGTATCAGAGTCAAAATATTTTTTAATACATTTTTTGGAATCAAACTTATTGATTGGGAAAATGTGGGATAGAGAACTAGGTTGGTAAGATTTGGCCCAATGGAAATTAGTGTGCGAAGAAAGGTAGGGGATGGCTCTTTGGATACTCACAGGATTCTTAAGCAATTTATATCATTGTTTTTGTCAGCTTCAGCTATCGACTGCTTTCTAAATCTCTTGAGCACCTCTATGACGAAAAGCTTAACATATTGGTTAGGCGTTCTTTAATTATAAATATTTATACGCCCACTTACTTCCTCCTTTGATTTCCACTCCTTCTGTCCCCCGCCCTTAAAGTGATTTATTTTCTTATATCGTTTTACCTCTACAGAAGAAACCGATGAGTTCAATAACTGTGGGCTTTGAGCTAAAAAAAATCAAGTTTAGATCTGATTCTTACAAATGAATATCTCTTTGAGTATACATCTTTCTCTTTTTGTATTTATTGTAACCTGGACATTGCCGTCAAAGTTGGAGTGATTGAATGAGTTTGACATTTTAAAGAATGCGATAATAACAATAATAGATATAAGAACAGAGAAAAATGCTTGTTGCGCGCTCTCAAGTAAACAGGGTACTTGGTTAGTGCGACTTTACTCATTTGACATTAAACATTTACCTGATTCGTGTAACATTTTGACTTCTTTAATATTGCTTTAACGTAATACACGTCCACTCATAAACTCAGAACCAGTCATTTTGTTGTCTCATGGACAAAATTTCATCTGAAAATGTCTTAACAATACATTAGCGACATGTAAAATGGATGGAAGCAACACCAAGTAAGTAAGGTAGCGTGTTCAAAAATCGAAAAACCAAGAAATTCAGGTGTCTTAAGCAACCATATATTTTTACTCATATTAACAATAAAAGATACTTTGTTGATTTGATGCCTATATTCTTTCTTTTCGATAATTTAGGGCTGCATGAAATGTGAATCTCATTCAAGAAAAACACGATCAATACAAAAGAGAAGTAGCGTATCTTTGAAAAGTGTAATGGCCTAGTTTAGCTTTGCTTTCAGGAGAGAATGATGAGACTTCACAAACAGTATAGAATGACAAAAATTCGAATAACAGCTAAAATAAATTGTAAAAGCTTGCTCTTGATCTGCACTTGATTGGCCAATAGATGTCCAGAGTGACTACGTTGTTTGAATGAAACAATTCTTTTGAGCAAAAAAAAAAAAAATCTTTTTTCTCTTTCATCACACAGTAGCAAGGTTCCCTTACTTACAAGGGCGTTTCAACTGGGCCTTGGCGAAAAGTAGTGCTTTAGAGGAACCTGTCAGCGGGAGTGGTAGCTTATGGTCTTGTGAGAAATTACAAGACTAGAAAAGTGCGAACTCCGCCATGCGCTCTCTAGTAACCTTTTGACCTCTTTATTTAGCATTGCTTCAACTGTTTGGCCAGCCGACATCTGGCTCGTTTGAGGTCTTGTTAAGTAAAGTACGCTACGTGCAGTTTCAAATCTTACGAGTTTCTGCTCCATTCTCTTTCAAAAGACGCAGCCTAATGGTTCAAGACTTGTGTGTACGGTGCATGCTAATCAAAAATCGAAATCAACTTGTTCTGTATCTTCGTTGCCTCATTGTGTTTAATATGGCAGTATGTGCTATCTCCATGCAATAGAAATGTTTCTTTATTGGTTCCAAAGACTCGGTTTATCTTAATATTCATCTTTAATTTGAAAATTGAATTCTGACAAGGTATTGATTGTAAACAAACGAATGTTAGTAACAGAAGACAAGCGAGCCGGGAAAGAGCGTGTGCACCTTTCTTTTGAAACCAGATTCGTGGCAAAGAACAATAAACAGTTTATGTTTTTGTATTTATATGCTATAAAACTATTAAAAATAGAGTATTCTTTGTTCAATATGCTGCTCATACTCGAAAATAAATGAGCTAAGTTGGCTGGGATTCTTAGATTTTTCGTGGGATATCTCTCCAGTTTCTTAGTAATGTTTTCGCCAACAGTTTTTCCTTGTTAAAATGTAAAAAGGAAAAATTGTATTACTGAAAAGTACAAAGGTTTCTTTATACCTCTGCATGAAGGTTACACTAAATGTAATGAGAAAGAAAGAAAAAGAGACGGAGACTCAATGCGCTGCAGTAACCTCCCTTACCTTTCTTTATGTATATTATTAAAAAAGTCATTCTTTATACAGGATGCTCCATACCACCTCTTTTGTTTTACTTATTGATCAAGGACAATGCATCCCCGCCTACTTATATGATTCTATCCTTAGCCTTTCTTCAACTATTGATACCAGTAGCTTTTGATGCCATTGACACAAGACTGGATATGACAATTGGTGCCTTAATAGCTGTTGTGACTACATGCCGCATGTTTATGTATCTCATTCAACGTCAGCAAGGAAAACAGATCCAACCCTTTTATGAAGTCTTGAGTATTTGGAATCAAGTCTATCCGCTTCCCAATCTTAAACAAGAGCCTAGTCTAGATCAGATCCGTCATGATGCCGCTCGGTTCTTAATCAGAGCAGGTATGTATATCTTGATCTATATACCACTCTTTGGCTTTATGGATGGGTTTGTCAGAGTCTGTCAAGAACCACCTGAATCACTGAATACGACTGACGCCTATCTGAGTCGAGTATGGACTTTGGGACATCCTTCTTTCAAGTTTTTATTCTATTATTTCTGGATAGGTATCACACTCACACTTCATATTGTGATTATACCTCTTCTCCATCTTGTTTTTCATGCCATTCAACTAAATCTGGTGATTTGGTTGCCTTTTCATCACAAGTTACGTGTACGACTGCACCATGATCTTGCTCAGTTTGTTGCTCAGCCTCCCTTGTTCACCAAACCCTGGTTGACTCGCTCTGTACATGATCTCTGGTCAAGGCGATGGCATCAGGTCTTTCGTTCAGGATTTCTTCAGTTAGCTTATTCGCCTGTCAGACGATGGTTTACCAACAAGACAATAGGAAGATGTGCAGGTACAATGGCTGTCTTTATCTGTTCTGGTCTTATGCATGACTATCTGATCTTGGCCATGATGGGTTATTCTTCGCCTAAAAAAGGTGTTTGGGGACACCAGACTCTATTTTTTACTTTACAAGGCGTAGGCACCTTAGTGTCTCTCAAAGGCCCTCGTTTGCCTACTTGGCTTGCTTGGTTATTGACTTGGATCTGGATTGTCTATACAGCTCCTATCTTTTTAGAACCTTATATTCGATTAGGCTACCATCATTTTGCTCAAGTACCTGGATTTCCTAATTTCTTAGACCCTTTGATGGGCAAATTATGTCCTTTTGGTAATAAATAAGTCTTTATTCAATCAATGTATTTAATGATTCTGTAAAAGCATAATCAACAGATTGACCATGCGCATCATAAGCATAGGCTCGAATACTGTCTTCCTTGCCTGTGAATTGAATCCAACCACCTGCAGGGAAACTGACTTCAAAGAAGAAGTCATAATGGCCTGAAGGATGTTGCGTCTTGAGCTAGAAACAGTATGTCACTTCATTCTATTGAATTGTTCAACTTACTCGAAGTGTAATGATCTCCTCTTGACTGGTATGTTCAGCGCAATCATAGGTGGTGTATGGACAACATGCATTTTGACCTGGTTTTAATGACTCCCTTTTAAACGCTTTAAACACATTGGCTCCTCTGTTTGAAGGTTGTTGGTGAATATAAAACGATACTTCCTCTGAGTCATTATAGACACAGAATGCACTGACAAACATAAGGAAAGGTAACAAGAACAAGTATTTCATGCTACGGATAAGTTTATTTCCTATGGTTTATTTAACATAAATCCATGCCTTTTGTTCTCTCTTTTTGGAACTTATTCAGTGTATTTTAGTTTTTTTACTCTTGATCCATTATTAGAAAATGCAGGCTATAAATAAACATGAATATGAAGAAAAGAAAAAAAAAAGCTTACAGATCCATATTGAGAAGACTGTTTCTTTTTCTTTTGATTGTAGTAAAGATCAGCACTATCAGGACTACCTAATCCATTATCATCACTTGAGAGGGATGGAGATCCTGCACCTATTCTTCTGCTTGCTACACGACTTGACTGTCTTCCTGATAGACCAAGGCATTTCTCCAAGTGAGGAGCATAGCGTGTAGAAGCAACTGTCTTTTGACAATTAACACATTCATAAGAAGGTAAATTGTTGACTGTATAACTCTTTCCCCAAATATCAAAGCCTGGTTTCCTCACTTGTCATTTGATTAGTATATATATATACATATATATATTTATATTTAATGATTATATTATTTACCATAGTGTTTGCACCTATACTAAAATAATGAGCACAACAATATATGATAATCCTACTTTTTTTTTTTTTTTACTTTGTTTGACATATTTGGCATGTTGCATTCTCTTTTTTCATATCTTTATGAACATCAAGCAATACATCAAATATGCATTCATCAATCAAATCTTCTAACAATGAAAATGCCTAACAATAAAAGACGTCATTCAATCAACATTGGCTTATTGTTGTCTTTTGCTTACAATAGCTGCTCTTGGTGTATTGGGTTTTTTGGTTATTTTGGGTATATTCTTTTGTAAGCTTGTTTGCGTATGTTGTAGTTCTTCAAGTGTTCTGTTACGATCAGACAATAGTTTTTTATAAAGACTATGGGACAAAGATGAGCACAAAGGTGTGTTTTATATATGCATACAGAGTCGCTGCTTCTTTTTGACTTTCAGATAGACTGTTGTCTAACTTTGGTTTTTGCATAGTAAATTAAAAGAAGAAGATTATAAAAAAAAAAAGTTTTTATTTTATTTGATAATGATAAAAATTAAACACAGCTACTAAGAGGAATGGACGTTAATTCTTCTGCAGGTTGATCCTTTGATTTAGAAGAGAATCCGCCTAGTCGAAATATAATACGACTAAAAGAAGTCTTGAGAGAAGGTTGATTGAGTTTCTTTTTACGTAAGATGGGTTTATAGATATCAAGATAGGCGATCTGTGGCTTATTGAAGGCACCCCTTCTTTTTCTTCGAATGTATTCAACAGCATCCAAGGGTTGCATACTTGATAATTCAATCAGACCAATAGCCACTAAAGCAGGTGCTCTTCCTAACCCAGCAACACAGTGCACAGCAATTGTTTGAGGTGTATCTGTTTCTAGCTGAATAATAGAAAGCCATTCATGGACTACATGAGGCGGAGGCTAATGAGAGAATGAGTTTCATAGATGTTGACAATAGACAAACAATCTTACCACACCTCCATCTTTAAAAGGTAAATCATGAACTTGAATACCTTGTTCGTTTAATTGAGTGATGCTATACGTTGGTTGACAACAACGTACAACATGTGTAACATTGTGTTTTTTGAATTCATCAAGATAGAAGCCCAAAGTGGACTCTGTTGGGCAATCAAGAATAAGAAATTGAAGAGAGCTTGAAGGGACAGGAATAAGAGAAAGCATACGACCAAGAGGTGAAGAAATCATTTTGAATACAAATTATCCAGGATCACAGTCTTGTGGATAATCAGCAATAGCAAGAGTAGATGCAGAGCCGCCGCAAAGTACGTTTGGAATCTGAGGTCGATAAATGATTTGAAAAGTAAAATGCATAAGTTGTTAAAGAAAGAAGCTTTTTCTTTTTGTCTGTCTTCCTTCTCTCTTTCTTTCTTGTTCTAATGAAATTAAGAGGGAAGAGAGGGAATAGGGTATGTGCAAAGAAAAAAAAAAAAAAGAAAAAAAAATTTTTTTTACTCTTCTTGTTGTTATGTCGAAGATTTAATTTTATCGATGGAGAATGGGTTCACATAAACACATCAGATCAGATCTATGCTAATAAACCTTTTTATTTGGCTTGTTCTCTTACCATATCTAACTATGTATGAGTCTAACAATACAGAATAGATAACTTACCAAAATATGGGTGTGCCATGGCTTCTTTAGCTGTTAATCTTTCTTGGTGATCATAACGAAGTAAATGGTCCAAGAAATCAAGGGCTTCATTTGAAATGTATCGGCGATTTTCATTGGTGATGAATTTAGTCCATGGTTTACGAGTGTATCTTCCAAGAATCTCATGATATTGTTTGTCTAGTTTAATACCATATTTATCTAAATAGGCAAACAATTCATCTGTACCAAGTACACGGGCAATTTTGACCAATTGATCATAGTTGTCATGGCCATGGAAAAAGGGCTCTTTGCGGAAAATCATACTGGCAAACATACAGCCATAACTCCATAAGTCCAGACTATAGTCATATTCTTGGAAATCAACAAGCAGTTCGGGTCCTTTAAAATAACGCGATGCTACACGCACATTATATTCTGTACCAGGATGATAAAACTCTGCTAATCCCCAATCAATCAAACGTAGCTAATGTCAATGAGTATCCATACAACCCAATATAAATAGACTTACTTGACGCTTCTCATGATCAATCATGACATTATGAGGTTTGACATCTCGGTGCATAATCCCTTTTGAATGACAATAGTCTAATGCTTTTAATAATTCATACATGTAATATCGTACATCATAATCAGTGAATTTAGGATAAAGAATCTTGAAATCTGTATTGTTGATATATTCAAACACAAGTGCAGGTGTCTTACTCTACATAGAATGAATACCATATCATCTCCCTTTCTCTCTCTCTCTCTCTTCTTCTTCTTCTTCTTCTTCTTTTTTTTCTTACCTGAGAATCTCGCACGACATCTAGCAACTCAATCACATTCACACCTCCTGCAATATTCTGTAGAATCTTGATTTCACGCTTAATCTTCTTCTTTTTGACAGGCTTCAAGATTTTGATGACCACTTTTTGATCCTTCTCGATATCAACACCCTCAAACACTTCAGAGTACTTTCCACGTCCTACTTTTCTTATGATCTCATACTTTTCTTGAGAACTAACATGTGTCAAAAAGAAGGCATGACTTCATGTTAAACTTACCCCCATTGAACTTGAAGTGCATCATAGTCCCAGTAACTACTAGGCATATTCGTGTTCACATCAGCATAGCATTTGGCTATACTTTGATAGGCTATCGTCGCGTTATTACTCTTTTCGCCCATGTCGCTGTGATCAAGGTACGTTTTTGTCAAGATTGATAAAAGACAAAAGAAGAAAACGCTAGACCATTTACTCAACATTTTTTTTTTTCTTTTAGAGTTGACTGACTTTAAATCAGATTTATAGTATGTCAAAAAGAAAAAGAAAAAAGAAAAAAGGTATAAGGAATGTCTTTTTCTATTACAAGAGAAGAACATTCTTTGAATTAGGATTTCATTTATGTGCTTATGTAAGGGAACGCATTGTGTTTATGGGTCAGCGAAAAATAAAAACTTTACTCCTTTAAAGAAAAAAGGGGGGAGTTAGGATAGACATTGAAGCTTACTTTAAAAGGGAGAGTGATAGTGTCTGTCACAAATCATTTTCTCAAATGGCAAAGACAAAAAAAAAAAAAAAAAAAAAAAAAAAGCAATGAGTACAGTATCATGCGAGACAAGGTATAATTCGATGAATCCATAAAATTCTATAGTAAAGGATTATGTGCTTATCAACGAATCCTAGTTTCCTATATCTATTTAGAGCCAATACAAGTGCACTTGAGTCGATCAATAACTCTCCTTTTGTCGACGTTCGCTTTCTTTTGAATCGCATATGCTCAGAGTATGGCATAAAAATCATCATTCTTCATTTTTGTATGTTTGTTTGTTCATTTTCAAAACAACAAAAGAAATGTGTCATCTCTTTTTTATTTATTTATTTTTGTTTTAATATCTTCCTGTTGTGTTAGTCTTTCAAGTTAAATGATAGATCAATTTAAAAACCTTATTATATTCTTCAACTCCTATTTTGACATGTTTATTGTAATGCATGTCACTTAAACTTATCGATTCAATTGTTAAATCAGTCTATCTTTTCGATTGACCCAATATGTTTTGGCTTGGACAATTTACTTTTATTTTCCTTGAGATCCAATGCTCATTACAGACTATCATTCAATACTCATTTGACATCTCTATCACATGCAAAACTCCATTTCTAAAGTTCAAAAGCTAAGATTGATAGTTCAAACTTAAATACACCATTTAAGCATAAAGAAATATTAACTGCATGGAAACGTCTCACGTTTTCATCGAGAAAAACAAAAAAGATGTTGAGGCTACCAGGGGTCGAACCTGGAATCTCCTGATTCGTAGTCAGACGCCTTATCCATTGGGCCATAGCCCCTCAACTTGTTATTTGACTCAAGTAAAATAATATAAACTTCTGAATATTTTAGAGACGAAATTTTATTCTTTTTTGTCAAATCATATTTCTCTCTCAGGATAACTCAGCTTTGCATGATGAATGTGTCTTATACGTCGGTTTGCATGATCATAGTTTTAGCATTTCGACCGATTTTGTTAGTGAATCTCTACAAAGAGTTTATCAAACTGTCTTGAGCCGAATAATAAAGTCCAATAAGCTAAAGATTTGAAAGTCATTTTAGGCGAAAGCAAGATTAATTCGGAAGGAATAAGACACTTTGAATTCAATAAGCAGCTTTAGATGAGAGAAGATGTGTTTCATTATTTAACAACAAAAGTAAACTAAAAAAAAGTACTTCAGTTTGTTCTAAATACATCATTTAGACATAGCAATGTATGCAAGAACTACTTGGTTTCACGCAATCAACAAAGTTTCCTATTTAATAAATCTTATATGTATTGAAAATAAACACTTGTCCCTTTATTATTCTTTGGAATCATATATTTCTTTTGGATCTGGCTAACATAGCATAAAACGCTTTAGATTCCTGTAGCTTAGCACAGCAACAGTCTCAACCTTGTGTATTGCTTCAAGCTTAACGCTTTTAAGCTTCATAAAAGGAGTATCCCTCAAAGATAATATGAGTTTAAATTAATATTCGCATGTCAAAAACTAAAATCAAAAAGCTATCAAGAAAGAAGTTGGTAAATGCAAATAAGGCGCATCGAATAGTATAAAGAACACAGTGTGTTTGTTATTGAAATACTAAACTATCCTTCAAAAACGTGTTTTCTGTTTTTGAACTGTGGCGTACAATTTTCATAATGATTTTGAAAATCAGACACTTTGAGTGTGTTTTATAGACCTAGAGAAACAATTCTTACTAAGGCATGTTGGGTCTACAATCCCTCTATCGCTCACCAATCGCAAAACAGTGAGAATTGAAGGTTTCGTAAAAGGGATCATAAGGCTGAAATGGTAATTTCTTGACTTTTTTCAAAACTTGCATCAATATGTTGTTCTTTGATGTATGCTCAAACATAAGAAACTCAAAAAAAAAGGGGGAATTGAAAGACAGAAATAATGGTTTACGTTGATAAACACTGGTACCTGCAGTGGACTGTCAGTCTGCAGGTGGTACTATTATTGTTTGTCAGGTGGATTCAAAAAAAGAAAGGTAGTTTATGTTAAGAGAATACAGGGTATGATGCAAGATTGTATCATAAGCTTGATGCTAAAAGAAGGCATATATTGAGGACCAAATGCATATTCAGTATGCCGGACGGAATCAAAAATCACAAAATATGCATATTTCTAATTCTATGGATTTGCCCTCTAAATGCCTTTATCTATGTATTTATGTTCACATTCGTTTTAGTATTCTTGTCTAGTGAATATCGTGTATCCAAGTTCTTCAATAACCAACACTAGGCTAGCTAAACAAATTTATGCAACATGACAGAGCAATTATTCTACAATCCAAAATGCATTTATTAAATCTATGATGAATACTTTCTGACAGTAAAAAAAAATTCCTTTACTTAGCAGCAGCAGCTCTTTTGCGACGTAATAATTCAGCCTCTTTAGGTCCCAATTGCATACCATCTTGTGAAAAATCTTGCTTCCAGAGCACTTCTTCAGCATAAACACCATTTCCAAGTGCACAATTTTCCTTGCAAGTATACACAAAAAGGGAACCCCAATCCAATGAATCCACAGCAACATGGTTGACACCAATAAAGTTCAACAAGGTAGACAAGATTTGAAATTCAAAAGTACGAGGGCCATGGCAGCGATCGCAGCTGGGTATAGATGCTGGCTTATAATTAGCTTGCACCCACAATGGTTCGCGTGTAGGCATATCGTATTCTACACGATCATATCGGATAACTTGGTCAGGATTTAATTGGACCTTGAGTTGGAACTGCAAGAAAGCATCGTCAACGGCTACTTCTGTGTCTTCTTCTGCTTCATCACCAGCAAGTACAAGTGCTTTGGAATCAGAGCTTTGTTCTTCTGGATTGTTTTCTTTGAAAAAGGCAGCCTGGGTCTCTTCTTCTTCTTGATCAGGATCTTTTCCTTCAGGTTCACTGATGATTTCTTTTTCTTTGAACATACGAGCAGAGCGCAGTTCATCAATGATTGCTTGCTCTTCTTGAGAAAGCGTCTTGTTACAGAATTCTTTGTGGCGACACATATTCCAATCCGACATTTGATGTTCACGAGAGCAATAGGCTGTAGTACCGCACTTGCCACAGAATTTTGAGCCTCCAAGACCACAAATAACACATTGGTTTGGAGCTTTGAAAGATTTAGGTGTGAATTCTACAGGTGTGTTCTCTTCTTCTTCGTCGTTGTCGTCGTCTTCATTAGGAACAGGATAATAAGGATTTTCAGATGGTAGTTGAGATCGATATACTTTAAAACTAGCATAAAAAAGAGGGGATATGAATAATACATAAAAATGTATAAAATAGTTTACCTCTTTGTCCAGTCTTGCTTCACACAACCACCTTTCTTACAGCAAAAGACATAAACAGTTCTGTGGAAGGCATCTGCTGGGTGATCCTCAGGCGTATATAACTCGTAGACAAAAAAAAAAAATAAGCTATTCGTCTCTCTTTGACTGATCTCTCATATGCTCTTACCTGTAATAAAAGATTCATGGGTTGCTCACAGTTACCACACGTCACATCTTCAGCTGCTAAAATGTGTTCAGGATTCAACCAAGCCTAAAAAAAAAAAGTTAAAATGACACATGCTCTTTTGTTTTCTTTTACTTACAGGCTTTCCTCCTGATTTGCTAGGAAAAGTGTCTGCTGTCAAAGGTGTTTCGGGATCTTCTGCATACCCAAGCTGACAAGCGTACTTGTCAATATCATTAGCATTCAACTCTTCAGTTTGTGACATTGTGAGTTGGAAATGAAAAATAAAAAAAGAAAAAAAAAAGAGAGAGGTTGAATCAAGTGGCTTGTTTACAAATTTAAATTAGAATAGTTGCATAAAACAATCCCTTTACACTTATTGAACAGGCCCTTGCTTCTTATATTCAACGCTATGGCTTCAATGAAGCATGCCAAACACAATTACCATGCAGTCTTACTACAATATTTATTTGTGTTGGAACTAAGTTCAGTATTTCAAGGCATAAAATATAATTATAATAAGAAGCACATCATTCAGGAACCAAGCCAGATTTCAATCCATATTCTGAGCTATAAATAAGTACATTTATAGAACTTTATTAGCATTATTTTTAGAATTTAGTGTTCTTTTCTTTCTTGTAGAGATGAATGAAGCAAATACGATTGGCTTTGAAATAGGCCATGACAATGAACTTCAACTTGTCAAGAAGTTCAAATCGTTTCAAAGACAATATCTCACTGTATATCTTACAGTTATGGGTAAGAATAGCCTCTTTTTATTAGATGTTCTTTTTCTAATCGATTCAAGGTGCGGATTGGCTTCAGGGACCTTATCTTTATAAACTCTATAACTCTTATGGACTTGAACTGACACAAATAGCCATGTTGTTTCTGACTGGTTTTGTCAGTGGAGCATTTGCTGGAACTGCAGTAGGCAGTCTTGCAGATACATGGTAAGAATATCAGCAGAACATAGGCGTGGATAAGCTAATATGTATGTGTCTATAGGGGCCGTAAGCGTATCTGTAATGTGTTTTGCTTTACTATCTTGACTGCACTTTCACTTCGCATGATAAACATCTACATGTTTTTGTTTTGTTCGCATGTATTGTCGGGTGTATCCACAGCTTTACTTTATAGTGTGTTTGAATCATGGTATGTATCAGAACATACAAGTCGTGGATTTCCTTCCGAATGGCGTACACGCACGTTTGCTTTGGGTACGTTGTTGAATAGTGTTGTTGCTATTTTAGCTGGTATCTTAGCCAATGCACTTGTCGATCTTTGGGGATTTCGAGCTCCGTATATTGCATCTATGTCTTTAGTATGTTTTGTAGCTACTATGGTTAGCTCTACTTGGACTGAGAACTATGGCAACCATCAGATTGTAAGTACAAGAAAAATAGAAATAGAGGTATTCATAAGGAAACAGAAAGTTAGTCTACATAGAACACTCATGGCTGGATTAAAAACCATGTTGAAAAGCAAAGACATTATCATCATTGGTTTAGCTCAGACACTTTTTGAATGCTCCATGTATATCTTTGTGTTGTTGTATATTCCAGCTGTTGAAGATACCATATCAAACGTGACAGATGTTGATATTGAAAACGTACCTTTAGGCTACCTCTTTTCTACCATGATGTTGGCTGTTATGGTCGGTTCTTTATTTTTTCAAACGATGGAAAGACAAGCAAAATCAGGGTCTCGGTTTTTCATACAATTCACGGAGGATCGTTTACTCTCTATTGCACTTGGACTAGCTTCATGTGCATTTATGTCCATGGCATATCATCAAAATGTCTCTGTAAGTACAGACATACATACATACACACATATATATACGAAATGACTTATTCTTTGTATGACAGGCAACTGTTTTAATAGTCGCTTACCATGTATTTGAATTTACAACTGGTCTATACTATCCCTCTATTTCTTCTCTTAAGGCTGATGCGATACCAGAAGAAACAAGAGCTGCTGTCATGACTTTACTTCGAATTCCAATGAATCTCGCTGTAGGTGTTGTTATGTGGCATGTAAGTTAGAATATGACGCTAGATTCAAATAGAGAACTCATTTAAAAATGAATAGGTTCAAGACATGTCCCATGCTGTCTTGTTCTCTATCTGTGGCATGATGACATCCATTGGTTGTTTCTTGGTTGGTGCATTGTATCATTATTAAGCCTCATATCCATTTGTACATATACATATACATATATATATATAAAGAATGGACGTTTATTTATTATTTCTGAGATAATAATACACGTCTACTGTAAGGTGAGAGGGATCTCTTTGGTGAAGGGGAACATCGATGGCTTTTCTCTTCTGATGGGTCTCTTCTACGTCTATATCTATCTTTTGAACTTGCTCGTCTGTCATGATGACGATAATCATCATTATCATCAGCTCTTCTTCTGCTATGACGAGGAGAGCGTGATCTATGGCGATGGCTATGGCGTTCTTCTTTTCGGTGATGACGATGAGAGTCTCGATGATGCTTCTTTCGGTCACTCTTGTGTTTATGATCCTTTTTTGATTTCTTTTTTCTCTTGTGTTCGTCTTCTTTTGTATCATCCATCAATTGAGAAGCAGTGTCTTTATGCAAGTATTGCATGTCTTGATTCATGACTTCAACTGCACCACCATCCTCATGTTGTACTGAACCCAAAAGTCGATTAGATGATTTTCCATATCCAAGTCCTTTCTCTGCTTCTCCTGCTGCTAAATGGTGCTCATCATCCGAATCATCATTGTCTTTATTTAAGGCATGCTTGAGATCGTCTTCTGTCACATGGCTCTCTAATGTCTTTTTCTTGCGCACACCACTAGAAAAAAAAAACAATCAGTCTTCTTTTTGATTTATTCCATCATCATCATGACTTACAGTGCAATAGCCATGGCTTCAGCCTCAGCTTCTTTAATCTTGGCTAATTCTCTTGCATTGGCTTTTGCTTTTGCAGCTTCAGTATCTGCACCCGATTTGGCATACCATGTTAAATCCTTGCCTAAGATGAAGAGTAAGTTGTGTGTGTGTATGCAAATGTCTTGTGGTATTACCTTTTTGCCAGCGACCTACTGGGGCCATCAATGAGTGACCAAGGTAGTTTTCACGATGTTTATCATTCTTTACTTCTTCCCAACTAAACTATAACTATGGATCAGAATACCAAAAAAGAAGCAAAGAAAGCTCTTACTTGATCTTTACCACCACGCGTACCTAAAGAATAGCTTAGTTTAGAATAGACAAAGATAAAGCTAAGAAAAAAGTACCTCCTCTTGTTGGATGAAACATTGTACAGTGAAAACGGTAAATTTTGTCACTGAAAAAATTCAATGTCCTTTAACCAAAAACAAATGTCACTTTACTAAAAATGTTTGTCCCAAAATAAAAAAAAAATCATTTGCTCACCACAATTTTTACTTTCGAAACTGCTACGCTTTACTCTTTCTATCCTTTCATCATACGAAGTGTCATACAATACCGATAATGTTATTAAGAAAATACTTTGGAGCGCAATAAGCGGATAAATATCATTCAGACATATAATTTGACGATTGAGAAATACTTATGTCAATTTTAAAACCACATTTTAGATACTAACAAACTGATCCAATAGGATCGTATAGAAACCCAAAATCACGGGACGTCGGTTTTAATTTTTTAGGGTCATATAAAATAGAGTGGTCAAGGTTAACAAGCAGGGGATGTAGCTCAAATGGTAGAGCGCTCGCTTAGCATGCGAGAGGCACTGGGATCGACGCCCAGCTTCTCCACAAATTAATCATTAAAAATTCTAATTCAAAGCATGGAATTACATGATCTCTCTTTTGGGGAATTAATTTTTTTAAGGATTTACGATGTAAAGTTAAAATAATATATATATTTCTTTTTAGTAAGCATCACATTGTTTAGGCGAAAAGGCCTTTTGTTTGTATGAATATTGGCATAACGAGGCAGTATAATGGTACAATCATTGATCAATTAATAAAAAAAAAGAAGGTAAACTGCACATATATTCTGCAAGTATGTAGCATTTACTTTTTATTTCAATGGAATAGCAAGCAATTCATTATCATTCTGATGTGAAAATCAGAAAAAAAAGGGTATCTGCTATTTCAGTAAATCAAGAAGGAATACCATGAATTCGAATACGGTAAATATTCGTATGGTATTTGTTACCCCAATTAGACTTGATCTTAATCAACACAGATTGAAACGAATCCGGAGTCAAGTACGTATCAAAGGTTTGAACAGACGAATACTCATCATGAATATCAAACAGCATTTTTCCCAACAACATCCATTCTTCTGTACGATTTTCATGTTGAGTTAAACCATATATTTCCATACGTTGAGGAGCACTGTGGATTTCTCTTGGAAAGATAGCCGCAAATGGATACTCCACTGTCACAGCTTGGACATGAATCGATTGATTCAAGGTAATACCCAATGTGCCTTCTTGACCCATCATGCTCCAATAATGACGAGGACTGTTATCTGATTGAATAGCAAACTCAGGCACATGATGCCATGTTTGTATACCCATCATGGTAGCAACTCTTTCCATCAGATAAGGAACTGGGCCATAAGTAGTACTTGTGTTGGCATGAATAATTTGGCCATCAAGAGCAAAGTCTGGCAAGTTTAAAATCTCTTGGTGATATCGCTGAATTGTTTTATGGATAAGTTCAGGCAATAAATCAGCTTTAGAGCCTTTTTGCTGTATTTTTTGGTACTGAAACAATTGTTGAGTGATCAACTGCATCATTGTGTCTTTATTGACAATGGCTCCTTGGTTGACTTGTTTCTGCATGTACATTTGAATGGACCGTTCATTCTGGTATTCAAATACATCCCACAAAGTAGGATTATCCAAGTATTGAAGAAATTGAGCTGTTATCTTGATTTCCCCGGGTTGGTAGGTAGGTATGTATATCAAACTAGGTAGCTGGTCTCCAATAATACGCTGCAAGTCTTGATAGATAGTCTGTGATACTTGATGCTTGCGGACAGATTCTCTTTTTAACTGCTCAATGATTTCGTTTAAGGTAGACTGTTTGTTACTGAAACCAGAAGAGTATTCCTTCATATCTTGTTTGAGTTTAACCCAGTATTTTTTGATTACAGGCAATGTTTTCATAGAGCATAATGCATATTGTGGATAGAAAGAACGCAAAATGATTAACATGTAGCATGCAACCAACAGGAATACGATTGATTTACGTGTTTGAAAGAAAGAGACCATTCAAAACAATAAAGAAAGACAAAAAACAACATGGACAAGAAGCGGATATAAAGAAGCCAATCTATCTATCGACACTTATTTATCTTGCATTATCCCATCTTCTGAGATTCAATGCAGTCAAATCATGCTGACTACCTTACTTTTCCCACTCTTTTTTTCTCTCTCTCTCTCTCTCTCTTTTTATATACACTATGGAGTTTATGAGTAGTTTAGGCTCACAGGAGGACGCTTATCGTCCTTCTTTATTTGAGCTTGTAGCACAAGAGAAACTTAAAGAATTATTACAACCTGCTGTTCAATACGTCTTGGCTGTATGTCCTATATTTATATGTTCTTTTTTTTCTTAAAAAATAGACGTTTTTATTAGATCTATGCTCAACGATACCCGCGTTTATTACTCAGGATAGTCAATAACCACGAAGAATTCTATGCTCTCTTGATGCTGTTGGTAGAAAGACATTATCTAAAAGAATGGGGCAAGTTTGTTGTATCTTGCGATTGACATGACTAATACAAAATTATAGGGGGTTCATTCGCAGAGAATTTCTATGGCTTAAAGCGAGTCGCTTCATCAACTCATTTGAATACACCATTCATCCCTCAACATGGATCCACACCTCCTCTTACACCCCACCAAATCAAAACATCATTGATGGTCTTGGTAGGTTTACCTTATGTCAAATCTAAACTCGATATATGGTATCAACAAGTCTCGGGTGGATCTATTCTTGGAAATGAACAGGAGGAACGAGATATAGAAGAACTAGAGAGCCCAGAGACACCATTATCCAGAAAATGGATGATTCGCCTTAAGCGACTATTTAAACGAGTGTATCCTATGCTTCATTTCTTGTATTATGGATCAGGACTAGTATACAATATGGGCTATTTGTTTGGCAAGACGCGTTACTATACGCCTTGGTTGCATTGGATTGGATTAGAAGTAAAGCGTATGAGCATGCATGATTATGTAAGTAGCAAACCACCCTACGCTATCTTTTCTTATGCTAGTCTTATGTTAGCGCGCTTACTATGACAAGACAGCTGGAACTAGTCTACCAAAGCCATCCATCAAGCACCCACTCCGCCTTGTTTCAACTGTGTTCAGTAAACTAATAGAATTCCTCAAGGTACTTTTGCCTATGTCTATTTTTTTCTTCAAGTTTTTAGAATGGTGGTATTCTTCTGAATTCTCTCGGAACAATACTATACAAGACAATGACATGATCCCACCTCCTCAAAAGACAAAGGTAAACACGAAAAACTAAAACAAATGGCTCATTTTGATGATATAGCCTGATCCAAGAGGTACACCCTTACCTTCAAGCCCCAATACATGTCCATTATGTTCAACAAAACCCATCAACAACCCAACTGCTTTACCTTCTGGTTATGTATTTTGTTATACCTGTGCTTACCATTATATACAGGAACAAGGAAGATGTCCTGTCTCTTGGATCAAGACAGACACAGACCATCTTACAAAACTATATGCTGATGTCATGTAAATTTATTCAATAAAAAAAAAGATTAAGCAATAGCAGAAAGAACAATCTGAGAAATAGTAGGGTCTTCACTTCTGACAGACATCTCAAAGGCAACACCAGAAGAAGAGTTAAATGTCATACGACATCGAACAAGTACTTTTTCGCCTGTCAAGAAAATACCTGCCATAAGCAATGTATGAACATTAGGGTTGCGTGGTAAGCCAGTGTCATCCAGAGGTTGCATGCCTAGTAAGTCTATAATGGCAGTACAGGCAGCTTGAAGACTAGGTGCTTTTTCACGGTCTAGTGCCAATGTCTCTATTGCTTCACCTTCTGCCAAAGATGCAAATTCTTGCTCAAAGTTGGAAATATAAGTAGGGCGAACATAGTCACTTGTCAATAGATCAATGTCTTCTACTTGATATTCATCTTCATAACCTTCTTCATCGGGTTCACCTGTAGTAGGATCACAATCCTTAATGATAAACTTGAGTGAATTTGTAAAGGAAGCTAACAGAAAAAATGAATACGGCTTATACATAACACACTAGGACTTACCAACTGGGAAATCATCCTCATCTTCTCTTTCATAAGCGACATAAATCTGTCCGGGAACATCATAGGCCAATTGAGCAGCAGGCATTTCCAACACGCGAACTAAACCAGCTTGTTCATCATCCATTTGCATCACCATCTCAACATGCTCTAATAACTGGTCATTCAGCGTATTAAGACAGTCAAACTGGAACACAATATGCTTAGCAAACGTATGCTTAATACATTGAATACTGTATTCTGTCTCGCTTTCAGTGATTGGGATCTTGGTAGAACTCTTGAACAAGGGCCATAAGCAGCTATTTCAGGAATAGCAGCAAGGGCATCTGCATAAGCTGCTTGTTGATCTGCTTGACTCTTTTTGTTCTCTGCCTGTGGTGAAGCAGAAGAGGATGCCTTGTTAGGAACAGGCGAGGAGACAGTGGCAAGTGTCAAATCTTGAGGACGATGACGACGACGCTCTTCTTCTTCTTGTGCCTTACTGATCATAGGAATAGCACTCAAGTCAAATGGCGATGTCTCTTGTCGGTTCACAAATTCGACTAATTCACGCTCCAAAATAGGTAAGGCAAAAGTGGCATCGTCCACACTGTAGAGTTTAGCCAAGGATGCATGCTGCATCATGCCAAGTGCCAACGTGGCGCGGTCACGGACTTCATCTTCCACGTCATCTTGACAACGGGTCAATAAGACCTTGACACTTTGCTTCACATTGGTATCAGGGCAATTGAGACCAAATTTAGTAAGAGCACTGACAGCAGCACCACGAATGGTCGAGTTTTCCAGAATAACACGGTTGTAGATATAACGAATGTATTTAGTAGGTGTGGATGTCTTGGGGCCTTCTGTACCGAGTAAATGAAGCACACGAACAGATAGTTTAGTGAATTCACAATCCTCAATAAATTCACAGAGATAAGACAAGGCTAACATTAGATTAAGTAACTTTCATGTGATTCTCTCTATAGTTATGTTACCTGTGTCTTTGGATTCAGGAATATGACGGACCATGTCGAAGATAGCTTCAACAACAGCCTTTTTGAATTCATAACCACCTTCATCACGCAACACACCACTCAAGAAAGAAAGCATGACGGCTTGTTTGTTGGGGAACTTGAGACAGAGAGAACGAATGGCTTCTACCACAATCACCTTGAACTCATCTGAAATTTCACCCATAAAACTAGAAATTTGCTTCATCAATCGGTCTACAGAGGCTTCATTGCCTGTCTTTAACAAGGTGGTGATGGCAAACGTAGCAATACTTCTGTTTTGATCAGAGACCAAATTCTCAATATCCAAGTTACAAGGGGAAACAGCAGAAGGTTTAGAGAGAGCAAGTGCATTCAAGATACGAATGGCAGCAAAGCGCAACGTAGGTTTAGGTGAACTCAAAAAGAGTTGCAAGACAGAAATGGCAGGATAAAGCTCTTTGGCTGTGGCATCCTTCATTTCACAAATAGCACGGGCAGCTTCTAAATTGACCATATCGCTCTTGTGTCGAAGGTATCCTTCCAATAATTCATAAATACGCTTTGTGGATCTAATGTCCGACCATTGTGTCAGTCATGAAATAGATAGATGCAAGACTTACCCAGGATCGTCTTCCATGACTTTACAAGCATAACGGATCAAGATACAGACAGCAGAAGAGTTCTTTAAATGACCACTGTTGCCACCACGTCCAGAACCAGAGAAAGTCTGGACCAACTTGGCAATAGCCATACGGTCCTGTTGACGGATCAAATATAACAGGCCAATAGCATGGTATTGAGCAATACTACTGGTTGAAACAACAGCTTGGTTTTGGTTGCTGGAGTTACTGCCAAAACTAGAAATATAGCTTGAAGCAGCAGAAGCAAAACCAGAAGATTGTTTAGCATAAGCAGCTTCTTGTACTTCAGTAGCCCAACGACGCACAATGTCCTTGGAAGCACCAAATAGATGGTAAGAAGACACAAGAGCAGCAGCAGAGACAGAAGGGTTCTTGTCAACAATAGAGGCCTTGATAATACGTTCAATACCTTGAATCATGGAAGGCTATTCATACAACGCGTTATTCTCCTGTTCACAAAAAAACTGACTTACATCCGTAATTAAGCATAAGGCACGAATAGCGTTAGCACGGTAAATCGTTTCTTGCTTTGATTGGATATCTTTAATCAAAGACTGGGTGACCATAATCACATCCTGAGCAATACCTGATAGTTCCTTAATCACCAAATACATCATTTGTCGAAGTGAAGTCTATTTTGCTATAAGTAACATATAAACAACTTGAACTTACATCTTTCGACTGAAACAGCTTGATGACATTAAAGAAAAGATCCGTTGCTTCTTGTGTATTAAAGGGTTCACCCAACGAAAGTAAATAAATGATTTTAGTAAGTAACAGTCGACATTTTCTGACATTGATGGGCGAGTCATTAAAAGCGCGAGCTTCTTGAAGGACAGTGGACTTGTTTATTTGTGAAAAGATGCTGACTTCTCCTATAGGAAATGTTATTCATCTGTTTGTTTGTGCGTGTCTTATTTTTTTCTTTTTGTAATTACCAGAGTCTTCGTCTCGTTTAGCGTAACTCATGTTGTTAATATCTCTTCTTTTTTGAAGGTCGAGATGAAGACGTGTTTAATAAAAAAGAGAGAGAGAAAAAAGGTATTTTATACCAGCCAAGTAGTGATTTTTTTAAAACCAGAATTCCGCCCACATAATAGACATTGATGAGAAAGGAAACAACAACCTATATACAGATAAAGATACTTTCTTCAAGTTAGAATCAAATCATAGGGCTTGTTCCTATTGACTGGTTTCTGATGGACCTTTTTGATAAACATTTAAGGTACACAGATTTCGCTTTCGTACCTTTTTAAATAAATTTTTGAAGACGGAAAAATTGTATGATTTTCATCTTTGAATAAGTCCCTTGAAGCATAAAAGAGGAGCACTATAAATTGTGTAGAATAAAAAAAAAGAAGAAAAAGAACTCATACTTGATGTGACCACCTTTTGCATCCATCACTGCTTGGTATATCGGCTTTTCATGCTTCTGACCAAGCGTGCAGCTTTTTCTTGGCCGAGGTTCTCCCACTCTTGTCGAAGTATCGACTTAAGATTTTCGATATTGTGAAACTCAGTCTTATCATTAATTTTGTAGGGCTTCACAGTTGGTTCAGCAGGAAGAGGACGGTCAGTCTGCTTGATTCTTTCAATGGTGCTTCTGGCAGTCAACAGAGGCAATTCCACCCTAAATATCTGCCCTCATGATCAATACAAGATTTTGCCTTAATATTAGACATCATTCTCAATGAAATCAAAATCTATGCGACTGTAAAAGATGATTGGCTGAAAAAAGTATCCATTTACATTCAACCTCCGACTTTTTTATATTTTTTTTCTTTCTCTTTTTCTGACAGGCCATGCCAAAGTTGATAGAACCCATTAGCCAGTTGATTGAAAAGCATCCCAATAAAGTTCAATTGACACTGACAGCTATTGCTGCTTCTGTTCTGACAGCTTCTAGTATACTCGCTTATCAAGCCAATGAACGACGATCGAGAGCTAAGACGCTCAAACAAGAACTCAAAGAAGCCGAACTTCGCAGTACGATCGATTTGACACCTGTAGGCACTGTGGATGCAGGACAACCCACTTTATTCTATAACCAACAGGTTATTGAAGATCAGTTGTCTAAAAACACAGCCTTTTTGGGAAAAGAAGGCACGCGTCGATTACGGGATGCATTTGTGATTGTCGTGGGTGCAGGTGGTGTAGGATCATGGGCTGCCTTGATGCTGCTACGTTCGGGCGTGAAGCGTATTCGAGTGATCGATTTTGACCAAGTCACACTCAGTAGTCTAAATCGTCATGCTGTGGCTACTTTAGAGGATGTAGGCACACCTAAAGTACGTTGTATCAAGCATCATTTTGAAAAAATTGCTCCTTTTGTTCAAGTAGAAGATTGTATTGATTTACTTAGTGCTGATAATGTGGACACATTATTAGGAGGTAAAAAAAAAAAAAAAAAAAAAAAAAAAGAAATAGTAAAATGGCTCATAAACCATAGGTCATCCTGATTATGTGGTGGATGCGATTGATAATATCAACACAAAGATTGATTTGATCCAGTACTGTCATGATCATCAATTGCCTGTCATTAGTTCCATGGGTGCTGGCGCCAAAGCAGATCCTTCTCGTATTCAAATAGCAGATATCAGCGAAACATTTGGTAAGTCACATTGGATCTAAAAAAGGCACTCAATCATCATCAGAGGATCCCCTTGCACGCACCGTCAGACAGAGACTCAAGAAACTCAATATCCTCAAAGGCATCCCAGTTGCTTATTCAACAGAAAAACCCCATCATGTGAAACTGTTACCTTTAGAAGAAGAAAAGATTCAAGACAGAGATGAATATGCTACTTTACCTGACTTCAGAGCACGTATTTTACCTGTCTTAGGTACTATTCCGAGTATGTTTGGTATGGCTATTGCCAACTATATCATTTTGCGTATTGCTGAATATCCTGATTTTGATCCACTTGCTGTCAAATTAAGAGAAGGTCTTTATGTTCGAGTTCATCGCGAATTATTGACTCGAGAAAACAAAGTGTTCAAACAAAAGTAAGTTTATCATTTGAATATATCGATTGACGCAACACATAGAGTCTGTGCTTTGGATCCTAAAGATGTTGCCTATCTCTTTGAAGAAGTGTGGCATGGTAAAAGTGTTATTTCAGGTCCTAATGACAAACTGGCCCTGACAAGATGGGATAAATCAAAACCTATAAGTCATTTGAATGCTGTCTGTATGACAAGACAAGAAGCCAATCTGCATGATCAATTGCCTGAAGAAACAGACCTGAAAGCTTATTATGGACCTGTGTTTGACTATGTGACACATCGTTTTGAACAAGAACAAAAGAGACAGCGTATTTGGCATCATGTATTGTAAAAAATAAAATAAAATAAAGTCCGCGTTTTTCTTTCTTTCTTTTTCTAAAGTATGGAGAAAGAGACGATCGAGATTGGTATTATTGGTGCTGGTGGCATGGGACGCTTTTATGCCCATCGCATCTCAAAAGCGGGTTGGAAAAAGTAAATAGCAATCAATATGAACTGGATCTAACGATGTATAGTGTCAATATCTGTGATTTGCCTGAAAAGTTTGAATCTGTCAAAAAAGATTTCGAAGGTAACAAAACAACGACGAATGTCTATTGATGTTAGTTTAGGTACAAGCATTAAAGTATGGCGTGATGGTTTTGATATTTCAAGAAGATGCGATTGGATCATGTATGCAGTGGAAGCAGAATACATTGAATCTGTTGTCAAGACATTTGGTCCTGGTAATTTGACTCTATGTAACCAAGACTATACTCACCCCTCTTTTCTTTAGCTACCAAAATAGGTGCTATTGTAGGCGGACAGGTAGAGTTGTCAGTCGAGTCAAATAAGCGATTCATATAGGATTAGACATCTGTAAAATTACCTGAAGTACGTGCCCTGGAGATGTATTTACCTGATGATGCACATATTATTTCATGCCATTCCATGCATGGTCCTGGTGTTGATCCAACAGGGCAACCTTTGATTATCATTCCACACAGAGCTTCAGACGATAAATTAGCCCTGGCTGTGCGTATCCTCTCTTGTTTTGATTCCAACATAGCTCATTTGAGTGCAGAAGAACATGATCGTATTACAGCAGATACACAAGCAGTAACCCATGCAGCCTTTTTAACAATGGGTAGTGCATGGAAAGCCAATGCTCAATTCCCTGTAAGTTCAAAGCATATAGAAATAATAAGGAAGCTCATGTTCCTTTCAAGTGGCTATTACCTCATTTTGTAGGTGGTATTGAAAATGTCAAGATCAATGTCGCCATGCGTATCTATAGTAACAAATGGCACGTCTATGCTGGTTTAGCTATCATGAATCCTACAGCCAAAGTCCAAATCACACAATATGCCCTAAGTGTAGCAGATCTATTTAAACTGATGATTCAAGAAAAAGAACAAGAATTTCGTGCCAGAGTCAAAGCTGCAGGTGAATATGTGTTTGGTGGTCTTCAAAAGGACCATGTCCCTATCTTATTAGATGATGCCATCCTAGATGAATTCTCACTCTCTAAAATACCTAAACAAAACAAGACACCTAACTCTCATTTATCCTTGTTGGCCATGGTTGATTGTTGGCATAAATTAGGCTTAAATCCCTATGAACATATGGTGTGCCAAACACCTTTATTTAGAATATGGATGTAAGTCTGTCTTCATTATTTTATCATGCTCATTCTATATAGGGGTATCACTGAATATCTGTTTCGTCATCCTGCCATGTTGGATGATGCTATTCATGCTGCTTTGTATCGTAAAGATATTCGCCCTGATGATATGGAATTTGTGACTTGTGCTAGAGGTTGGGCAGAAACAGTCTCTTTAGGCAGTATGGAAGGATATCAAAAGCGATTTGAAGAAACAGCAGATTATTTTAGAGATGATTTTGCACAAAATACAGTGATTGGTAATAAGATGGTTGCCATGATTAGTAAGCATCTTATGTGCACTCAATAACAATAATAATAATAATAAAAACTTCTTTTCTTTCATGTATTCTTCACCTCCAAAACACGCCCATATCCTTATTGTAGGAGCAGGTTGCTTTGGTCTTTCTACAGCTTATGCTTTATCATTGGATAAAGAAAAACACTATAGAATTACCATGTATGATAGAGGAGAGTCTGTGCCTGTATCAGATGCTGCATCCACAGGTAACATAAGCCATCAACAGTCTTATGTATCTTATTGAATAGATATTAGTAAAGTAGTTCGTATTGATTATGGACATCAAAGACTCTATACAGATCTCGGGATAGAAGCCATTGATGCTTGGCATGCATGGAACAAAGAAGTCTCTGAGCCTTTGTTTCATCAAGTAGGTGTCTTGGCTTTTTCTTCAGGTGGAGAATACAGTCCACTTGAAAAGGACAATCTAAAGACAATAGAAGAAGCCGGTTATGGGGATGCCATTGAACGATTGACAGCAAGTCAAATCAAGCAGCGATATCCTTTCTTGTCTGATACAGTGAACAATGGTTATGATATAGCTTATTTTAACAAGTTGGGAGGTAAGCTATAGACATTCAAACGAGTCATCCTCATCATCGATAGGCTGGTGTAATTCATCAGAGGCCATCAAGCACTTGTATGCCAAATGTGTTCAAAACAATGTCGAGTTTGTATTGGGTAAAGAAACAGGTTGCTTTACTCAACTTGTGACTGATCCTCACAACACACGCTCAGTCATTGGCATCAAGACAAAGGATGGTCTTGTTCATTATGCTGACCGCGTCATAATAGCAGCAGGTCCTTGGACTTCTAGTCTAATTGAGATGCATCATCAAGTGATGGCAACAGGTCAAATCGTGGTTCATTTTCAACTTTCTGAAAAAGAGAAACAACAACTCAAAGATCTGCCCAACTGGAGTGGTGATGTCTCTCGTACTGGATTCTATGGGTTTCCGTATAATAAAGATGGTATTCTTAAAGTAGGAAAGCATGCCAGAGGTTATCTGCATCCACGTCCAAACGATGGTATCTCTGTACCACGTACACAGTCTTCTCATCCAGGAGACACGATTCCTCAAAGTGCATTGGATGAATTTAGAGATTTCTTGGACGCGTTTCTTCCCATCACGACAGCATTGGATATTGTCTATTCGCGTGTATGTTGGTATTCGGATTCGATCGATGGTGATTTTGTGATTGGGTGTCATCCTGATTATGATGATCTTGTAGTTGCAGCAGGTGATTCAGGTCATGCTATGAAGTAAGTCTATGCATAGAGATACATCAACTCATCTTTTAGGTTTCTTCCTATTATTGGTTACAAGATTCAAGATGTCATTGAAGCAAGACAAACAAGATATACAGATGCTTGGGCATGGCGTCATAAACAGCCAGACAAAGACTTTTTCAATCGACCTTTGTTAGTTCAGGATGAGATGGCAACACTCGATCAACTCCAATCTAAAAAAAAATATAAAATAAAATAAAAAAGAAACGCGTCAATCAACGACGTGACTGTACCTCTCTTTCCTCTTTTATTTTTATTTTATTTTTTTTTCACCATGTACCTTGAAGAATTATTGATTGAAGGGTTTAAATCGTATGTCTCAAGAACACAAATCACAGGTTGGGATCCAGAATTCAATGCCATTACAGGTTTAAACGGTTCTGGCAAATCAAATATCTTGGATGCCATTTGTTTTGTCTTGGGCATTACCAATCTATCACAAGCAAGTATAGTTGTTTTTATTTGCATTCTTAGACTCAACTTAAATAGGTCCGAGCAAGTAACTTGCAAGACTTGATCTATAAACGTGGTCAAGCAGGTGTTACAAAGGCTTCTGTCACTATCGTCTTTAATAACGAAGACAGAGACAAGAGTCCTGTAGGCTTTGAAGCTTACAAACAAATTACTGTCACGCGTCAGGCAAGCCTATCACATCTTTCTTGATATCATTCACTCACACCATCACTTAGGTCTTGATGGGAGGAAGAACAAAATACATTGTGAATGGCCATAATGCACAACAACAAACAGTCCAAAACTTATTTCAATCTGTTCAACTCAACATCAACAACCCTCATTTCTTAATCATGCAAGGTCGCATCACCAAAGTACTGAACATGCGTCCTACTGAAATCTTGAGCATGGTAGAAGAAGCAGCAGGCACCAAGATGTTTGAAGACAGAAAGAACAAGGCATTAGCCACCATGACCAAAAAAGAACGCAAAGTAGAAGAGATCAATACGTTGTTGATGGAAGACATTATACCCAAACTGGATCGTTTGCGTGCTGAAAAGAGAGTCTACCTTGACTTTCAAAAGAACGAAGCAGAAATGGAACGACTGAATCGATTTGTGATTTCGTACGAATACAAGAAACATGAAGAACGGCTGAACAAGTCGGGTGCAGATACAGAAGCAAGACAGGCGAAAATGAAAGAATTGACAGAAGCAGTGGAGACCATTGAACATGAATTGGCTACCCTTCTTGAACAGAAAAGGGCCATGTCAGACAAAATGGAAAAGAACTCGTCTGCAGGTATCCAGCAATTAGAACAGCAGATCAAACAGTACGCTACACAGATTGTTCGACTCAACACAAAAAGGGACTTGTTGGCCTCTTCAACTACAGACGAACAAAAGTCCTTGTCTTTGTTGGCCACACAACGGGGTGAATTGGATCAACAGATCCGTAAAAAAAGAGAGTATTATCAACGTATCCATCAAGAATATGAAGCCTTCAAAAAGGACTATGATGAAAAGCAAGATGAAATGAAGCAGACAGATGAATTGATTCAGACATTAACCACAGGCATTTCAGCTGAAGAAGGTCATGAGAATGGTTATCTACAGCAATTACAACAATCCAAGCATGCTGTTCATCAAGCATCGACACTCGAAGAACAAACCATGCTTAAAATGAAGCATTTGCATCATGAATTAAGTGAAAAGGAACCCCAGGCTGCTAAAGCATTTGCTGAATCAGAAGGATCCATGGTTGCCCTTGAACAAAAAAAGCAAGAAATTGAGACATTACAAGTAAGTAAAGATAACTGAAGAGACTACTGACTGATACTTAGACTCGATTGGATGCTTTGGCTTGGGATCCAACTGTAGAACAAGATTTGCTTAAAAAAAAGAAAGAAGCACAAGACACCCTGAACGATTTATACGATCAACAAGAATCTCTGCGTCGAAAACTCACTCATCTTGACTTTCAATACACGAATCCAACACCTGATTTTGATCGTTCTAAAGTGAAGGGATTGGTGGCTGAATTAGTCCATCTAGATCAATCTTATGCCGATGCCTCAACTGCGCTTGAGATTTGTGCAGGTGGCAAACTATTCCATGTGGTTGTCCAAGATGAAAAAGTAGGTGCTCAACTCTTGGACCATGGTAAACTCAAGCGAAGATGGACCTTGATTCCACTTAACAAGATCCAAGGTCAACCTGTGTCTGATAAAAAACTGGCTGCAGCACAAGCCATGGCGCCTGGCAAAGTGGATTTAGCCCTTTGTCTAGTTGGATATGAAGAAGAAGTGTATCAAGCCATGGCATGGATCTTTGGTAACACTTTTATTTGTGAAGATGCCAAGACAGCCAAAGAAGTCACGTTTCATCCACAGATCCGAGTCAAGTCTGTTACACTGGAAGGCGATGTGTATGATCCTCATGGTACACTCTCAGGTGGATCCAAGCCTCATTCTGCTGGTATCTTGATGCATCTTCAGACACTTAACAAAGTGCGACAGGATATTCAGTATCATAAAAACGTATTGCAAGCATTAGAGGAAGAGATGAAAGCATCACAGAAATCCATGGCTGAATACAGACATGCTAAACAACGTCTTGATCTTAAAATGCATGAACTTGCCCTTGTAGAACAACGTATGCGTCAAAGTACGCATGCTCAGGTAAAGTACATCTGAAGCCTATTTTGACTCATTGCTCTTTTTTTTTTTTTTTTTTTTTTTTTTTGGTAGTTGGCTGCCCGTGTACAAGCACTGAAAGAACAAATAGAAAAACAAACACAAGTGATGGAACAAGCCAAAAGAGATAAATCAAAAGCATTAGAAGCATGCAGTCGCATTGAACAAGAAATGGCTGATTTCAACAGTAACAAGGATACCAAACTGGATGAAATGACCATGCGAGTAGAACAGCTGAAATCTCAATTAAAAAAGAGCGCTGTCAAACTAAAAGACATGGAGAGATCAGTACAGACTTGTGAATTAGAAATAGAGCAAATGGAATCTGATATTACAACATGCGAGGAAGAGATGCAGAAAGTAAGAGAATCGATTACTGAATACAAAGCATCCACTGCATCCATTACAGAAGAAATTCAGCATATGGAAGATGCTTTGGCTGAATCCAATCAAGCACTGGAACAAGAGAATCAAGTGTTGAATGCACAGAATGAAGAATTCAATGAATTAAGTGTGATTCATGATCGTAAATCTGCTGAACTTGTAGAATTCAATTTACGCATTCAGAAATTAAATCATGAAAATGATCGATTCTTCAAGGAAAGACAACACTCTGAACAAGCCATACGTGATCTGGAGCAGCAATATGAATGGATTGTAGATGAAAAACAGTAAGTAAACACAGAGATTGATTTGTATTCATATAGACATAGGTTGTTTGGTCAACCTGGCTCTGCTTATGATTATCATACTATCCATTTAGCAGATGCAAGAAAGCAATTGCAGCAATTAAGTGCTAATCATGACACGATGCGCAAAAAGATCAATGTGCGTGTCATGAACATGATTGACAAGTAAGTCCATGTTGTTCTACGCATACACTCACATTCATTAGTGTGGAAAAGAAAGAGGCCTCTTTAAAAGAAATGTTGTCTACTGTACAGAAAGACAAACAAAAGATTGAAGATACAATCCAAACACTTGAAAACTATAAACTAGAGGCACTGGAAAAGACATACACTAAAGTCAATAAGGATTTTGCTGAAATCTTTGGTGATTTACTGGATGGAAATACTTGTAAACTACAAGCACCTGAAGGCAAAACAATCTCAGAGGGTCTTGAAGTCAAAGTATGTCTGGGTGGTGTCTGGAAGCAGAGTCTGACAGAACTCAGTGGTGGTCAACGATCCTTGATTGCCCTGTCTCTGATCTTGTCTTTACTTCAGTTTAAACCAGCACCCATGTATATTTTGGATGAGGTGGATGCTGCTCTTGATTTGTCACATACACAGAATATTGGTTCACTTTTACGTACGCGATTCAAAGGATCTCAATTCTTGGTTGTCTCATTAAAAGACGGTATGTTTAACAATGCCAATGTGTTGTTCAAGACCCGTTTCAAAGACGGTACTTCTGTTGTGGAGAGAACAACACCCTTTAGAAAAGAGACAGACGAATCTGGCTCTCGAAAGCGTGGTCGTTCAACTAAATAAATATGTTTATTTCCCACTTTCCAAATGAACTAATTGGACATCAGCAAAGTCAATCACCATACTTTTAGCATCATGAGTACTGTAGATCACATACATCACGATACATGATACACATGAAGAGACAACAACAATCACATCAGACCAATGTCGAAAAAAGTCAAATTCAACTGTGGATAAGAGATAACGATATTCAGTTGGTAAACTCATCTGCATCATCAAGACTGAGCTTAAGAAATACATGCCCATCATGTGTGCTGTAAAGAGCAACATGTGACTAGGGGCTAGTTTGAGATTGAGTTGAAACAAGTGCAGGAGACGTATCCATAGTTTAAGAAAGCCACGAATAGAACCGACAACAATCATGCCTGCAAACCAAAAGCTTAGTTGTTGAGACCAAAAGGCAGTATCGACAGGATCATCCTGTTGACTTAGAAAGATCGATAACATGGTTGTAATGGGATCAGAAGAACCTGTTCTGTTGAATAGGACATTGCAAGTTGTCTTTATGATTTAGATGACATCATGACATACATCACTTACTGCAATCCACTTGTAGATACAATAGACAGCAAAAATCCATTCCACCCAACGCCATAATGTACCTTGCCATGTCTGTGTGAATTTCGTTTTTGCCCTGCTGTATTCTAGTTCTTCTAGATCAGACTTCATGTTCGCAGCCAACCCTTTCAGTTGTTCAGTTTCAGTCTGCAATACTTGTCTTGCATCATTCGAATTCAAGAAACTGAGCCATCCTTTTGTCTATCCATATCAGCATAAGAAAATAAATCAGGACGTTACTTTTTTATCTATGGGCATGTCTTGTAACAAACGTTCTTTATCTTGAATCGTACTCTTTGTTTGTTGATAGGCTTGTTCAGCCACACTGTAATCATGATCACTCACATAGCGTCTGTGCATCATCAAGACTGTATAAGGCGTATTGACAATACCAAATCCTGAAAGCATTGAAATCAGAGTGGTGCCCAACATACTGATCCGTAGAATGCCTAGTTCAAACCAAGTATGACCCGTGGCATCATCCAGTGAATAAAACAGACCAAGATACATAGACCATAACAAAGTAGAGAACACAACAGATGATTTCTTTCGCCAGGCTAATCAAGGTTCATTAGAAAAATAACCATGGTGCATGTACTTGCCTCTTGTGACATGAAAGAATGTATACAGTTGAAACCAAGGTAGGATGACAATAGTAAGTAACAAGAGTAGATGGAGATGCCATTGCCAATAATAAGATCTTGTTCTATCAACATGAGCTATTTGGTAGTTTGTACGGATACCTACGTATTGGAAGACAGTTGAATGATGTCACAAAAGACCAACAAGAACAAACCTAATGAACTACTCAATGTGAAAGAAAACAAAAGATGAGGTATGTAATAAATATGTTTATATTCCAAAAAAGAAGGTGGCTGATAGTCGTTCAATAGCCATGTAGTTGCCTTGGTTGATCCTAGGGTCAACAACACAATCTGTACACAGAGAAAGAGAAGCATAGCTGATTATGCATCTACCGTGTTTGTTTTTTAAAAACAGTGAAAAAATGACGTGACGCGCTTCCTTCTTTTCTCTATGGGAAGTCTCTCTTCTTTTTTTTTTTTTTTTTTTTTTTTTTTTTTTACTATTGTATCATGCCACCTAAACGTAAAGCAGCCACGATGTCTTCTGAAGTCTTAGTACCTAAAAAAGTAAAAGTACAGAAAAGAAAACAAGAGTAAGTTGATAGCACAAGCCATGGGATGGACTAACTCATATTCCTATAGAGTTCATAAGGTAAATGAACAATACAGCCATCAAGTGTATTCATTTCCCTTTAGGCCAACAAAGAGAAAGAAACACGTCAAACATGGTTTGATAGATATGCAGATCCAGATACTCGAGATATGATTTCACCTGATGGCTGTCAACAGTTTTTTACTGATTTAGGTGTAGATTTAGAAAGTGTAAGTTGATTTCATGCGACAAACAACTTATGATCCAGGTTGTTCCTCTTGTTGTAGGATGGAAAATAAATTCAAAAAGAATGGGATACATGACACAACAAGAATTCATGCAAGCCATGGCGACTTACAAGTAAAGCATACGCTTGTATTTCTAATTTTACTTATGTCTATAGTATCACTACACCTGATGAATTCAAGAAATTGCTTAAAGCATGGGAAATCAGTTTAGATGATCCAGATCAATTTAGACAACTCTATCTCTTTTCATTCAATCATGTTAAATCATCAGGACAAAAGAGCATGGATGTAGAAGTAAGTGATACTAACATTGAAGACAATTAATTGTTTATTAGACTGCCATTGCCTTATGGAATCTATTGTTGACACCAAAATACCCTATTATTCATTCTTTTATTCAATTTCTTCAGGTAAGAAAATCATCATCATCATCTAGATTTGCATAACATAGGTTTTAGGAAAAGAAACCTGTCAAAGTGATCAATAAGGATCAATGGTCTAGTTTGCTAGATTTCTGTAAGGCTGTTCCTGAAGATCTTTCTCAATATGACTGTACTTCTTCATGTAAGCCCTTTAGCAATAACCTATCTTATTGATTCCCTTCTTCTTCTTTAGGGCCTGTCTTGTTTGATGATTATGTAGAATGGCATATCCACTGTAAATAAAGTCACTTTTTTTTTTATAATACAAAATCTACAATCAAAATTTCATCAAATTTTTAAATTAATTGTTATTTTTTTTTCTTTATGAGTACACACGATAGAAAGAATAACCAAGTATCAGCTACGATATGTTCTAATTGTGGTACAACAACAACACCTCTTTGGAGAAGAGCACCTAATGGCGATACTATCTGTAACGCGTGTGGTCTTTATCTTAAAGCACGGAACACATTACGCCCACCTTCTATGAAGCGAAATTTTAAAAAGCAGCAGCAGCAACAACAACAAGAACAAGTGCCATCAACACCGAGGATGGGTACTTGTCCAGGTAATGGTCAATGTAATGGCACAGGTGGATCTCCTTCTTGTGAGGGTTGCCCTGCATTCAATCAACATCAAGTCAATCGAAATACAGCTTTGATCTGTGCTAATTGTCGAACAACCACTACACCTTTATGGCGAAGGGATGAACAAGGCAATACGATCTGTAACGCATGTGGGCTCTATTATAAATTACACCATGTTCATCGTCCTGTCAGTATGAAGCGTAGTGTGATCAAAAGAAGGAAGCGTATCATTGTGACAGGTGAAGAGCATGAAGAACAAGATGAACTTGAATCTGAATCTGAATCTGAAGAACAACAAGAACAAGAAGAACCAACACCTGTTTTACAGGCTATTGTACCACCTATTGAAGATTATATTGTGCCTAAGCGAGCTACAGCATTTCAAGAATACCGTCGTAGTCAAAGTGAAAATACCATGTCTACCCACACTTTGTCTTATCGATTACCTCCTCCTCCTCCTCCTCCTCCTCGAACACCACCACCACCACCACCACCACCACCACAATTACCCAGTCTAAAACGATTTGATCCATTATATGACTATAGACAGAACCCTTATCAAGATTTGCAAGAGTTTGATCATGCCATGACTCGGCTTGAAAGACTAAGGAGAAGAGTATCTCCAGAACAGACAGCCTTGTTGTCTAAACTCACACATTCACTACAGGATATTGTTGGACAAGCAGAACATATTTTATCTTGTCATAACTACAATTAAATATTATGATGGTACTTATTATTTACATGGGTTTTTCGTCTTTTTTCACTTGTGGGCCTGACAAGATGAATAGAGGGTGGTACACGCGAACTTTGAGTAGATGTAGAACTGGTCAAGAGAGTAGGTACACTGGACTGGGAATGATGTCTTTTGTTGGGTAACATATCCCATGCATCTACCATGGTAGGGGATAGCAAGGATTCTTCTTGATTGGATCGTTTACGGATATCTTCACCAAATGCTTCTTCTGTATGCCATCCACTCACCAGTCTGATTCTGACAGTGATGGTAGCCAATATCTCTTTGTCTTGATTATAGACTGGACAAGATCTATCTGAGGGTGTAGTGAATGCAATGCCCTTTAAGGATACATGTGATTTACCCATGGTCTGCTTGGACCATTTGTCCATCAAGACATAATCTAGCACAAGATGATCTTGATCATCTAACCAATCCTGAATGTCTACTAAATGGCCTCTGAATTGATAGCATGATTTGATGTGTGTCAGGGAGGATGTGGAGATAGAAGCAGCAGGCACCAGTGTATAGTGAGTCAAGAAAGTATAGCTGATAAAAGGTTTCTTGAGTCGTTTAGGTGAATCTTTCAAGACAGACTTGATATGATCTGCATACATGATACGAAAATAAAAAGTGTACTGTGAAGATCCTTTACCAATCTGATGATAGGATTGTTGTTGTAAAGAAAGAGATGGAGATGGTGTGGGTTGAAACAAATTGACCTTTTTCAATGCGTCTGCTAATTCTTCAATATTCAGATCGACTAAAGAGGAAGTTGTTCTCCTAAGCACAGGTGGTTCTTTTGTCTTTTTCTTCTTGTTGTTTGCACCTAAAATACTCGACATGGTCTTTTTTTTCTTTTTGTTGGTAGATGGTATCATGGGTGTAGGTGGTGGTGACCTGAGTTGCATTGAGGGTGTATTGGCCACAATGGTATTTGTGTCTGGCATGGCAACATAGAATAAGCCTACTTTTAATTGTTGTTTATCAGCCAGTGTACACCAACTACCTTTATCAGACACAAATTTGTAGATTTGATCTAATTTATGGCCTGACTGAGGTACGACTTCTTTTGCATCGGACATGGACAACTTGAGTTCAGTTTGGTGATGGTCGAGTTGTACCTTGAGTGTGATTGTGGCATTTAACTTTCTTAATCGAGTCAGTTGTTTGAATGAGACATAATACACAAGTGAAATATTGAAACTACAGTTGCCTTCTGGGTCTATTTTAGTAGGGGGTGTTGTTATACTGGTCTTTTGGGGTATCAAGTCATCAATAGAAGGTGGTAATTTCAAGTCGAGTTCTGTTTCAATCTTGATGGTCTCCCCTTTAAAATGGCGTCCTGCATCAAAGTTAGTCTATTTTGTTTAATAATTTTTTTTTCTACCTTGTTGTAAACTAATCAAAATGGCATATTCACAAGTCTTTGTTAACAATAAAGACATGATAAAATAACTAACAACAACAAAAAAAAAAAAAGAGGTTAAAATTTTTTTATTTTATTTTATTTTTAAAAGTGAAAACCACCCTGAGGTGTTTCTTCTTGGTGGAACGTAAATTGACCTTGAGCATCAGGCATGATTTCAGCATCAACTGGATCTTCTTCACTAAAGTATTTATCAATCAATTGATATGACTTTTTATAAATGTCGATATTTTCATGGTGTTGTAAGGCATGAATCAATTCAACACCACCACATTCCTCAATCAACAGTCCATAAGGATTTAAGCCATCCATCGTATTCATCTTTTCCATTTCGCCTACTTTGAGGATATTGTCTAGACCATCCAAGGCAACCATCAAGATCTTATTGTCCTTGAGGGTCAATATTTGACACAAGGGTCGAATACATCCTTCAGCCACTAAATACTTAATTTGGTCTGGCTTGTTGAGTCCGCCCGAGGTAGCATTGCAGATAGCCCAACAGGCTTCTCGCTTGCTCTTGAAATCACCATGTGTCAACACCTGAATCAAGGGACCCACAAGTCCATGGTCAATAATCGCTTGGATTTGTTGCGTGTTGCCTGCTGTGATGTTTGAGAGAGTCCAACAAGTCTCTTTACGAATCGTGTCTTTGGCACTACCCAACAAGTTCAAGAGAGCAGAAAGAGCACCACAGTTAATGACCAGTTGGGTTTGAGAATCATCACCTGTCACAATGTTACCCACCGAACGTAAAGCGGGTGTTTGGACAGTCGTGGCTGAATGGCTTAATAGGTCGACAAGGCGACTGACCACACCCGATTCAATCACAGCTTGAATGCGTTCATTGTTACCATCCGATAAATACGAAATGGCCCAACAAGTGTCGATCAAGACTTCTTCGTCTGTCGAGTGAATCAGTTTGGATAGAATGCCTAAAGCAGGAGAAATCTAGAGCGAGTTCAGTGCGATGAAATCAATGTGTATCTCTTTACCAATCGCCAGTCAGGTTGAGGATTCTTGCCTCGACAAAAGTTAGATAATGTCCAGGTAGCATTGCGCACCATGGACAGTTTTGAGTTTTCTTCAAAGATGGCTAGTAAAGGAGGAAGTGCACCTTGTTCCAATACATAGTCACGACATTGAGGGCTATCACCTGCAATATTACCAAGAGCCCAAACAGCCTAACATTCAATCAATAAACATCTTTACGATAAACGACTTACTTGTTCTTTCACATCCAAGACAGGACTACTTAAGAGCTCAATAAAGAAAGGGACAGCACCTGCTTGAATAACAGTCTCTGTTTGATCTGCAGATCCAGAAGCAATATTGGTTAATGCCCAAGCAGCTTCAAACTACAAAAAAAAAAAAAAAAAAAATCCAACTTGTGAATACATGATAGCCTCTCTCTCTCTCTCTCTCTCTCTCTCTCTTTTTCTTTACCTGAATTTGACTATTTTCAGATCGAAGAAATTCAACAAAACGAGGCACAACACCACAATGAATCACTTCTTTGATAGGAGGGTTCTTTTCTTTAGACAATAGTTTTCTAAACTGAGCTGTAGCTGCTAGTTGTGATTCAGGGTCATTGCTATAGATATGTTGGACCATGATAGGTAAGTTGGTCATAAGCTAAGTAAATTGAATAAGTATACGCGTCTCATTAACCTTTGTTTTACCTGTGCATCTTGAGCAGCCATATCAAAATCATCGTCTGAATCTTCTGCGAGTTCTTGAGCGTTAAAGTTTCTTCGTTTAGCCAAATTTTCTTCTTTCTTTTGTTTACGAATCTCGACTTGAGCATTTTCGCGTCGACGTCGGATTTCTTCGGGTTTGAAACGACTACGTTCCTTGTATGTGTTGCGGCGGATATCGTTAAGTGGATCCATGATAAAGAAAAAGAAAAGAATATGAAAAGAAAAAAAAAATGTCGTGTGCATTTTCTAAGACGCGACGTAAGCCAATCAGATATTTGCAGTAACATTTACGCACATAATCATTTTCCTTTTCAATCAAGCATATCAACACTGAAATACTTGTAGACTTCAAATAGAGTAGCCTGGTGTTGTTTTCAGAAAGTTTTCGTGGAATATTTACTTGATCACTTCATCACATGAAGAAACACATTGAATAACAAACTGACTGTTGGCATCAACCTGATTCAATTGATTAGACTTTCAGTTCCAAAGGTAGTGATATCAAAATATTCCATTTTCTATAACAAGTGTTGCTTGGTTTGAGTACTCTAAAAAGAAATTGTCCAGCTTTAATTTGATGAGAAAGAAAAAATGCAACATTGACATCACGACTTCTTTATTGAAACTTTCTGATTTCGAGGAATTATGCAAGATTCAATATTGTTAAAATCCGAGAACATATTTGTATATGTTTTGATGTATAGAAGATAAAGGCTGTCAACTGTTATAGTTGTACAATAATTCATAACATAAACTGGTTTACAAAATATATACATTCCATCTTTGCCTTATGGTTACCAATGAACTCTTCAATCGTAATTGCTCTCGATACTTGTATGTAAATATCAGTTGGAAAAGACTCAAGCCCATTGACAATCTTTGCCCTTTGATTGCTGTAAAGCAAACTAACAAACAGGCTTCTTATGCACCACTCCCTATCGGACATGTTCAAACCGAAATTCGCAGAGTACCGGATAGAGAGGGAGTGGCTAGAGAGCACTTCATCCACTCCAAAAACACTTTTGTATGCGTATGCAATCTCTTAAAGAAAAAGAAGTAACTGTAGTTATTTTATAATACACATATTTTTTATTATTCATCACACAAAGAAACTAGTAATTTATCAAGTACATCTAAAGACAAAGGATTTATTTGTACTAAGACAACAAAATGGAAAGAGTAGAGACACTAAAAAACTAATAGCAGCTGTATTGTAGAAATCTATACATTTATGCTTCTTTTTGAAGTGGACAGAGTATTCGCCATTAATACGTTTTGTATTTGTTTAGGACTGTCCCCTCTCTAGCCACAGTTGTATAAACCATCTCGTCTCTATCCAGTATTCTGCGAATTTCAGTCTAAACATGTCTGATAAGGGGGGGGGTGATCCCTAACAGAAAAAAGGGAAGATGCATAAGAAACCTGATGCCTGGAATCCCTCCTCAATTTAAGTCTTTGCTTTCGTACAATTTGACTTTTTATTCTATACCAACCATAGAGATAGCCTAAAAGACAAGTCTCAACATAAAGAAGTGCTGAGAATCAGGTGTATAAGTGTAAGTGAATGATATAGGCTTCTCTCAAGACTACATGTCATTGATTTTATTAAATCATGTTAATGATATTGTGTCTTTTAAGCTGGAAGTATCTTTCACTATAGAGAAAGTGAGTAATTGAACTTGGAGTTGTAAGCATGTAATTATATGTGAGAATGTGTACCATATTTGATGCTTGTACTAAAGATCATTCTTTATATATCATACATCATAAAGTTGAAGTGCATTTCCTCAACGTTTTGACATCTTTCATAAGCAAGCATTCCCTTTTTTTATCCCTCTAGATTGAGTGTTCTTTTAGCAGGTCATTTTGCATGGATAAGTAATGGAGTGGTACATTGCTTATTTATGTAGCAGAGACAACTAGGCAGAAAATTCCTTCAACAGTGCAAAAAAGACAGCTATTCCTGCAAATCTTTTTCTTTTTTCCTCGGCATATAAAGGTAGTATAGGCCCTGTTTATACACCCATGAATGCTCAAACTGCCTACAGATCATGTTTACCAACATCCATGGTACCTTTGGAGTTGATTTGGACCAAAATGACTACTCAACCAAAAGGTAATACTCGTATCCCAAGTCTAATTAAAGTGGCGACGGATTCAACGCGTCTATCTACACTTTTTCGTCTGTTCAGCAATAAATATGGGAACAAGAAAAAACGTCTTTAGTTTTAGTGATGATGAAGACGAGAACGAAAAGCTGATCAACTCTGTCCAACCTTTGCCTAGTAATGCAGTTGAACGCTCAGCTTTTACTGCTCAAGAATTCGATCCCGACACGTTCCTTTCGAGTAGACGCCATCTGGGTCTTGAGCGCATGAAGACAGAACTCAACACTCACTTGAAGTTACTCAAATCTGAGCTTGTTGAACTTATCAATCGAGACTATCAAGATTTTATCAACTTGTCGACAGATCTGAAAGGCGTGGATAGAGAAATTAATGACTTAAAGACTCCTCTATCCAGCATGGAAAGTCAGGTTCAAGTAAGTCGTTCGTTTTGTATGTGTCAATCCAACCAGTGTATAGCAAGTGCGAGATCACTTTCAAAGTGTTATTCAATCTCTGGAGACAAAACTACAAACTCGAGCACAACTTCGCGATAAAAAAGTATGTATTCTACTCTACATGTAAAAGTATGCTTAAAAAAAAAAAAGGCTGTTCTCAAATTGCTGTTGAATATCCATGAATCAGTTACCAAAGTTGAAGATCTATTAGGTATCAATACAGATACTGTAAAACCAGTTTTAGGTCAGGATGAAGCAGTGATTGTAGACGACAGGTAAAGAGACATCAACCGTTGACTTTATTTATATCCATTAGTCTTGGTAAACAAATAGAGCGAGTAGCCATTGAATACAACCAAATGCAACATCTAGTGCGTCGAGGAAAACATTTAGCTTTTGTGACAGAAAACGAATGGCGAATCACTCGGATCAAAGACACACTCGAACATAAATTATCAAAAGCACTTTCAGCAGCACTCAATCAGATTCGATTGGGAGAAGTCACTAAAGCAACCAAACAATCATTAGTACAATGTCTTAGAACGTATGCGCTGATTGACCAAGCAACTATTGCTGAAAAAATCATTCGCGAGACATTTGTGCGTCCTGCTCTAGCTAAAATCATTACACCCAAAGCAGTTGAAGGTGCACGTAATTATGGATCTCCTACATTGCATGATTATCCTTTGACTACCATGTATCAGCGCATTTTGACATTTGCATCTACAGACTTGCAACCCATCTCAGACATTGTTCAAAAGACCCTGAAGGGATCAAACTATGATATTCTAGTCAATACACTGTGGTTAGAGACAACAGAGAAAATCAATAAGGAATGCAAAAGTATCTTTGCTGCTGGACAAACAGACATTTTTCACAAGGTAACAAAACTTAATTCAAACTGCTTCTTTTATTAAGCCATAGACAACAGAACTATTCAGCCACAATATCTTTTATCTCCAGCCTAGAAGGCTTATGTAGCTCTAAGCGATCTTTATTATGTCTTCGTAATCATCCTAGTTATACAGAGTTTTTGAAACGATGGCAGCTACCTGTTTATTTCCAGCTTCGATTCCGAGAAATTATTAAAGATGTTGAACATGTATTGGGTGATGTCAATCAAGGCTTGGTCATGCAAAAATCCACAGGTAATATAATGATTGCTAGAAGAATTGTCTCTCTCAACAGCGTTTCTTTAGATAATGCTATTTTAGCAGGCACTAATGCCATTCTGAATGCTGTTGGGCAATGCTGGTCAGATCAAGTGTTTTTGTATGGTCTATCTCATCGCTTTTGGAAATTGACGCTACAGTTGATCAAGCGATACAATGGATGGGCATTGGGAATGATTGATTACTTGAACTCAGAAAAGGTACTATCATTTTCTCATTTTATTTGTTTATTAATTTGATCATTCTAGACTAGTGCTACCATTACTAAAACGGCAAGTGAATCAACTGAGTTTCTTATCATTCTGAGGCATGACATTAATAGTCTGACAAGCAAGATTAAGGTCCAGACAAACAGCCTCATTTTACCTAAACTACCTTCTAATATACAAGACTTGCCCTTGTTCAAAGGTATATGATAGAGTCTTTATCCCTCCTTACTAAACTAAACTCTATTATAGAAAGCATAGAAGACGCGTTGAGCTATTTGGAGGAAGATGTGGAGTCCAAAATAACCACAAGTATCACAAATAGAATTAGTCTAACGAATGCAGAAAACTTAAAATTGGTGAAAAGCATGACGAACCAATACCGACATTCGAACAAGTCAGAACCTAAAGAACCGTCTTATTTTATACCAAAACTCTTCAATCCAGTACATGAGCTCATACAAATATATCGAAACACTGCCAACAAAGAAGTAGATCCATTGTGGATCAAATCTATAGTAGACTTGATTATTCAAGAATATGCTGCTACAGTCAATGACTTGTTGTCCAACTTGAACAAATCAGAAGAATCTCTTAAAAAGTCAAAGAATACAAAAGGACAGCTGTCAGACGAAGATAAGATTCGGTTGCAGTTGTATTTGGATGTAGAGCAAGTCGGTGCCGAGGTAAGTCTGACTTTGTATACATCTTGAATATCAATCTATTTTTTTCAGCTTAAGAATATAAAGATCGACACAGCAGACATAGACAGTTATCCTACTTTATTACAAACAGTGAAACCATATAGTAAAAAATAGGATCTCTATTTCAATAATAACAATAACAACGAAAAAAAACTATTCTAATATTAAATCACTTTTTGCAAGACAGGACTTGAAGAGTCTTTCTTTGTAAACCATAAATACATTTCACCAATGGATTGGCAGCTTTCCAAGTAAGCATCAATTAGATGAGGTGGGAGTCGAATGAATTCTGTGACAAGATTGCTCTTTGCTTCAAGTTCCTTTTCAAATTCATCATTGTCTTGAGGTAAATTATCAAAATCCCAAGCAAGCAATTTACGAACCACTTTGTTCTTGGTCTCATCACCCTTACTTTCATCAACCCCATGGTCCAACATAAAGCGTACCATCTTTTCCCATCCTTCAGCAGGTAATAATTGAATATCCAAGTCCCATTCATCAACAGCACGGTGTAAAATAGCTTTGGCTTCTTTCAAAGTCTGTTTACGAACCTCATCAAGTGGCATTCTTGAGGCACCAGGCACAGTAACATCCCAACGAGAAGGGGGACCGAACTCCAAGACAGTGTTTTCAACAAGACCTTGTTCAAACAAAGCAGCAGCAGATCGTAAAGCAGGCAACTCAAATCCTTCTACATCAATCTTGAGAAAATGAATAGGTTGACGGAACAACATGGATTCTGTGATTTCGGCAGTCTCATTGTCTACAGCGCGATTGATTTCATCTGCATATTGAATGCCCAAGTCTTCAGGCTCCATGATCGTCTTGTCTTTGCGACGACTGGTATCAATCTTGAGTGATTTCTTGACACTATCAGACTTGGGAAACACACGATCAAAAGCAGGTAAAGCGTCAAGGCGAATGGTCTGTGTAGTGATCATAGCATTGGGATTGTCATAAGAAAGTCCACCGATACCGCCGTCATTGATTTCCACTTTTTCCATTGCTAATTTTTTGAATTTGTCCAACACTGCAAATGGAAGGACTCTAATTCTCTCAGCCAATTGATTTAAACGACTTGCCATATTAATGATGCCTATTTTTAGATTAAAAAGTAGTTCTTTTTTAGTATCTTTTTTTAACTTACTTCGTAAATGAGTTTGTGGTTCAAAAGCAATTGTGTGTGCACCACTTGCACCGGCCACGAGAGAAAAGAGACCATGGTTAGAACCTAATAATCATACATAAGCTTCATGCTACTTCAAATTGTCTATGTATTTTTTTTTTTTTACCAGCATCCACCATGACAAGAGGCACTTTTCTCTCAACATCACGACGATGTACACGTAAAATCCATTTCATGAGTGTATAGATTCTGAATTCACGATGATAATGGTTATTTACATCTTGATAGTTGGTATTGGACACAACCAAGACATCAGGCTTTGTATTAATCTAATAAAAGTAAGCATTTTCTCTCTCTCTCATTATAACTTACTACACCAAATTGCCATAAGTCTCCTTGACTAGCATACTTGAGTCCTTGTTGAGTTAGACGATAAGTAGCCTTATCAGCAGTAGGTGCGATTGTATCAAGATCTAGGCTGGATTTAACGTGGGTATCTGTGTTGTTTATTTAGCATGATGAGTTTTAAACAGGATTGCATATAACATTACCAGGATAATGAGTTTCAGGCTTAGATAAGGGTTGAGGATTGATACCAACATGTGGTTCCAAGTGTGCTTCAGGAATAGGTGCTTGTTGAACAATGGGTCCTTGAGGAGGAAAACCTGCTGCTGGAGGAGGAGGAGGAGGAGGAGGAGGGGGAAGAGGCTGAGAAGGGGGATAGTGTTCAGGTACATCTTCTTTTGAGAGCTATACATGTATGTCAGTAAGCGTTGTATATATGTATTTAACATACATCCTCTACTCTACAAAATCTTGAATCTGTACACACATAGGATCTCCAATAAACTATGTTTAGTCCAATAAACAGCACAATGGCTATGATTGTGAAAGTTCGCCAGCTTCTCATATGTATAGTTATCTGATAAATATATAGAGATAGATATCTTTTATATATTTATAGTTAAAGAAAAAGAAAAAGAAAGTAGCTTATTATTCCAGCTTTAAATGCTTTCCGTTTAAATAGGTGCCACAAAACGCTATACGAACTCAGCCTTTCTTTTCACAGCTGGTGTGATCGTCAAGGGGGGGGGTAATTTTAGGGCGCACTTTGTTCAACCGTGCGGCAGTATGATTGGTGGGACAAATTATACACAATTACTTTCTTTGTAGATCCATTTGAAATCATGGTTCCATATGTATATAAAGGATATTATTTATTCAGCTTACAAAGAATTGGCTACTTTTTGTTTGATTTCCAAGATTGTGTTCAAAAATTCGGTATCGCTATGCATCATGAGTGATTTTTTGTATATACAGAGACTAGTACTTACTTTCTATTTTCAGAATTAGCAGATGACAAGTTGAAAATACCCGCCATCATTTGTTCTGCTACTGCTTGAGTGACAGTGGAAGGGAAATCACGTAACAATCGCAAACACTTTAGAATCTCATTCAACATGACATTTCTAGACGCACTACAGATACACAACCGTAACATGCCAACAACCGTTCTCTCTACTACCAATACACTTTGCTTGTCAGCAAAATCTAAAATACCAAAGATGTATTCAGTAGCATATGGCCTACAGATATGATTGAGAATCAGCAGTAGTCATTTGCAACTTACCATAGTTCTTCTATTCTATCTGCATTTCGCACAGTGATTGTGATCATAAATTCTAAGAACAAGACTGTGGCAGGATCATAAGGAATGGTAATAGTAGCCTTCTTCATCACCCCGGTATCATAGCCAACAGAACGGATCGCTTTGAGAAGACAAACAAGCGTTTCTGTATGAAATGTGTTGATATCAGAGAACAATTCCTCTAATTTACAAGCTGCAACACAATCCACAGCACACATGGTGCTCTCTACTTCTTCTTCAGTAGGATCACGATAATAGGTCTCATCGCTTGAATAAGGAGATAAAAGATAAGAAGATAGTGTGGACAAAAGTGAGCCATCACGACGGTTTGTTTGTTTAGCAGGTTTAGGACTCTTTGGCTTGAGGGGGATACTGGTTGTGCCTGACAAGAAATCTTCCACCTGTAGCATAGAACTGGGTAGTAACGAATTAAGAAATAAATTTCGGATGATCTGCAAAACTTTAAGCCATCCCTTGCGTGAAGAATCACCATGGCGTGTGACAATGGCAAACATCACAACAGCTGCTAACTGTCCCTTATAATTACGACCAAAACGAACAGCCAGCTTGCTGACAACGTATTTTTGTCCTGCTACATCGACAATAGGATCAGGCACAGACGTATTGGTATTGGAGTTGTCTAATAAACCAGTCATGGTAGCCAAATTCACCACAATACTATCAAATACATCGTATAATTCAAAACGAGCAGCCAAGGAAGCACAATGGCGGAAGCCTGTAATAGCCTTTTGTAATGTATCGTCATCTTGAGCTGTACTGAACACATAGGAAATAGCAGCAACAACAGGTTTCCATGACAACTCAAAAATGGCTTTGTCATAACCCGATGTGTTGCACTGAACAAATTGTCCAGACAAAGTTGATCGATGTTGTAATTGTTTCCAAGCATAATTGAATCCCAATAAACCTTCATGCTCTTCAGGCATTAGGATCTCGTCTTGTTGAATAGCTTCGTAAATCAAGCGAAGGTATTCTTTAGGGAAATCGCCATTGTTGTTGACACCACTCACATTACGAACATATTGTTCCAAAGACATGCGAGATTGGCGTCTGACTTGTGGGTTGTGTTGATCTGTGTTCAACATGATGACAGAATAAGCCAAGACTTCTGCTGCTTCCACTGTGCTGATCTCTTTGGGTCCATATTCAAAAAAGGTGGCTGCAAACGATTCTGTGACACGCATGATCTGTTGAGATTCACCAGGTAAACGGAAGGTTTCCAAGATCATACGCAATGCTTCGTCCATGCGTTTTCCAGTAAAATCAAATTGCTGCATGTATGCTTTTAGAGTATCAAAGTTCTCTGGTCTACCAAGATATTCACCCAACATCTTCTTGTCTAATTGCTGCGTTGATCTTAAGAATTGAGATAGGCTAGCATTGTAATTGCCATTTTCATCTGCTTTAATCACATTATTTTCAATAAGGAACTGAATACCCTTCTTGGGCGATTCATTGAACAATCTTGATCCTTTCAAAATCAATCTTTTTCGTGTCTTGCATTCAAGCAAATCTTGTACTGATGTGAGCTCCTAGTAACATGAAAGTCAGTTTTTCCCTTTTTTTTTCTGTAGACACACTATCAACGTCAACAAGTACGCTTTCTTACACATACAACATAGTCATCGTCTGATGTCTAGTGTAATTGTTAGTATAAGGTTTCAAGAAGGCTTGTTCATTTGTACCTGATCATCTACGCGCTCAACCATTTGACCGATAAAAGTTAGCAAGGTGTCCAAGCAAAGGACATGAGAGTTCATAAGCGAAAAGCTCTGAGGATCAGGAAAAGAATTCTACAACAGCTTGTTGAATAATGCTTTATGTATTTTGCTGTTTACCTTGCTCAAGAACTGAACCAATTCTTCAAAGAGATCGCCGCATGTCAAATTACAATCATAATTGTACCATAAATCAATCATAAATGTAGGTCTACGAGCAAACTGAACCAGGCTTTCTAACAGCAATTCACGTACTTCGACTGTGATTGCCATTTGCTCTGAAGAAGAATAGTTCTTGCTGTTTCGTGGATAATCTGTTGACTTTCCTAAAAACATATTAGGTGAACCACTTCTTGCATCGACAGTTGCTGCTACATCCATATCGCCTCTTAAAGGCACAAAACTGATATTTCCCTCATCATCCACCTCCACTGACATACTACGACTGCCTGCACCAGATGGAGGTGATAATCGTTCAATCAAAAAAAAGATGAATAGTTCTTGTTGAAGTTTCAAGTAAGGTCGCATGGTATCAAACACAGTTGAGATTACACGCAGCGAGAGAGCAAGTAAAGGCAAAGAATCTGTCTTGGCTAATTGAAATACATATTTACAGAAATCATCTGTCACAAGAGCACGCAGGGATTCAAAGCGACCAATGCTTTTGCCTCCTACTTCAAAAGCGACATTCAAGATACCAAGTGCCATTAAACGCATGGAATCTGTATGCTTGTGTTCATGAGGATTGAGCAAAGAAATAAGGACACGTAGTAATTCACGAATGGCTGGTAAGCCATAGGTTCTTAATGGTGTGGGTTCTGTCACTGCTTTTTTTTTACATTAGTTTAAAACTTGGAAACAATATAGATATCGTTTACCAGCAGTAGCTTGAGTTATTTCTTCCTGTTCTTGTTCTTTTTCTTCTTCTTTTTCTGGTAGCTGTTCTTGTTCTGGAGATTCTACTAGAGGTTGTTCAGGCTCGACTACAGTAGATGCTTGTTCTTCTTTATCAGATGTATTGTCCGTATTTGATTCTAACAGAGGTGAGTGTGAAGGCTTTGGTGTACTCATATGAGGATCAGCAGGTTCTTCTGTGCTATCATTTGGGGATTCAATAAATTGCCATTCATCTTCTAAACTCTTCAACCTATCGTTTTTTTTTTCAGAACCAAGCCATAATCTTTCTTTCTTCTTTTACCTCTCAAAAATAGCAACCACCATATTTATCATGACATGTTCAGCCGATTTTCTTAGCATTTCTAGGTTGTATAAATAAAGGAAATAGCCCCACACATTGTGTATGCTTACCACTTAATCTCATCTGACAACACATACTGAGTCCTGTTTCCATCATTTCACACACTGCTTCATCACTCAATACTTGTCCACATTCACTTGTGATGGCCATTTGAAGCACTTGAAGCATTCGGAGTAATACAAGTTCATCAGAAGCAGCATCAGAAGCTTCAAATTTACAGTGAGTAGCAGCTGAAGACAATGCATTCATAGCAGAGGAAATTCTTGGATTATGAATACCTATATTTTGTTAATTCTCTCTCTCTCTCTCTCTCTCTCTCTCTCTCTCTCTCTCTCTCTCTCTCATACCAATAATGCCATAATTCAAAAGTTTCTCTACACTTCCTAAAGCAGTACCAGCAATAGGACCTGTTGTGTTTCCTGAACGAATGACTTCAAGAAAAGGATTCAACAAATTAACAGCATCTACATCTCTTACATCTATCATTCAAAATGTGAGTTGATTTCTCCGTTTTTCTCTTTTTGTATTTTACCCTCCACTGTTTCCATGTAAGTCTTTAGGTTGGTAAATCCTTCCATGAGAGGGTTTTCCTGAACAAAGAAAAAAAGATGAATTCATTTTTCCTAAAGTAACATAAAGTACCTCTTTTGCATTTGCATCTTTCATGTTCATTTGTGCACTACGCAATCCCATACTGCTACCTAATCCACCCATTCTTAATCCACTGACACCCATACCAGACCAGCGTGAGTTTTTGCGCATGGCACTTGTTACAGCTAAAGAGGGTTACTATGATAGCACTGAAATCTCTCTTTCTTTTCTTTCTGTACCTGTTATTTCAGCATGGACAAGTTGAGACCAAGATAACTCTGACTTGATTTTTATTTCCCTTGTGTTCATAATGTGTGAATCTTTTCTACTTGTTGCTTTGGATATTGAGTTTGGCTCTATGGTTTGCGTTGAAGCCATACGTTGTAGATTGCAGATGAGTGCGTTTTATTTTTATTTCTAAAAAAGAAGAGGCTTGTTCTCTACTTTTTCTTTAAAATATCGTTTTCTTATCTACAGAAAAGAAAGAAACCTCAAAAAAGGAGAAAAATTAAAAGAGCAAGTAGAAATATATATATAGTCGATTGATTATTATTAATATTAATGCCTATTTTTATTATTATCAAAATTACAAACAGTTTTAACATTGAACGCGTTTAATCTCTAGTTGAATTTGGCGAAGCATTGATGCCGTCAACGACTGAAGGGGTATTGACTTTTATTAGCATCAAGGTACATTCGAACGAACGGGAGGAATGTCTGAGAGAAATCAATGAAGCTGTTCTCTTTCTTGGGTTAAAAAGAATCCCAATCCTTTTTAGCGTATCAATCAGTAGTTGTCTTCAACTATACAGCCAGTTCATGAAGTACGTGCTTAGATTCTTAGGTATATAGTTCATTAAGCGAGATAATTTTCATTCAATTCTTGAACTAAATTCTTAAAGATAATTCCTTTTAAATATTCAAATTTATATCAAAATGGACCTACTGCCTGTAGGCGTATTATCAAATGACCGCTTGGAGGCATCACACCAACAATAACTATGTCGGTTGAGATCATTATCACAATGTCCATGTCAAATATGAATCTTATCGATGAACTGATGTTATCTCTTTAATAATAAAATACCAATATGGGATAGCTATTCTTTAACTAATACGTATATTCTGTTTTGTAAAAAAATAGAAATGGCACAAATAAACAGCATGAATGATTACGCAAGACGGATGGATTATTTCATTCACTAAATCAAGTTCATTTCTATGCTTCAATCTAATTAATTCCACCTCTTGTCTTTTACGCGATAGAGCCTTTTCCCTTTGTTCAATTTCAACTACCAAATGCTCTTTGCGTTTTGTGTATAAAAAGATAATACATGTGGAGAGATATTCATATGATCATTACTGCTGTTGTTAGGTGGAGAGATTTCCATATCATTCTTACTGTTGTTCTTAGAGGAAGTTGGAATAATATTGACAAATGCAGCTGTTATGGTACACTTGATCAATCAAGTCAACATTGTACTCTACCTCTTTGTTGTTAAAGTCATAAGCTCGTTGTGTATACGCTTTGCCCAAATGACTGCACACTGGCATATTCATAGTTGAAAAAAAAATGGAAGAGGAATGCTGCATCCTTTTTACTTACAAAGTGTAAGTGGCAGAAGCTGACATGTCCACTGCCCCTTTTAACGTGTATAGGTTTTACTTGGATTTATTCGTCAGAGATGGTTTTGATATTGTTTGAGTTCAGATTACCAAGTGTTGTACCTCCAAGGAAGACGTGTTGTTCAGATATATTAAATGTGTTGCATATCATTTTTCAACTGACATATTTGGGCAAATCTATTATACGGGAAATGACTAGAGATAGAATTGAACTATAGCTTATGATAGCTTTATTGAGTTAATTATATAGTATTATAGTGGTTTGCTTACTTTTTCTAATTCTCTTGATATAAAAAAAAAAAAGATTCCCAAGAGAGAAGAAGAGCAACAAAGAGAATAAAGATATTTATAAAGGAAAGAAATGGCTTAAGTGAGTGTAACGTCCCTATTTGAACCATAGTATTAAAAAAGAAAATGGTGGAGTAATTTATGCCTTATATCAAGATATGGTATGTGTCTTTCCCTATTCACTTTTTTTCTACAAGTTTAACTTAACCTCATTACTTAACATAATCTCAATTTAACTTAACAAGAGGAATTTTAGTAGAAATGACCACACTAATGAGTTCTCTCAGTGCCAAATCGCTCTCTGTGGTTGTGATTTCTCTCTTTATGTTTGGGATTTTATCTTGACATAAATATCTTGACTGAAATGGTTGAAGGATTTTGATTTCAGTCAGCAAATGATGTTTAAACAATTAGCAGCCTATTTAAGAATGCTGCTTTTTTTTGAATTTAAAGCAGAGTCTTTTCTTTTATGATAAATAGATAGATAGATAATATCAATAAACAACTTCTGTTTGTATGAAAAGTATTATTTTTTTTTTGTTTTATGATGGTCATGGCTCATTTACAGATTAAATGCGGCTTTTTAATTCGTATTGTGTTTGATCTTGCATAATTTTATTCCACCTGAACATCCAGTGGAGCATCAGTACTTGAGATATGCACTGGACCTGGACTATCATTCAGCAAATCAGTTGCCTGCTGTACCAATGTGCGTGTAGGTTGATACCATTCTTGGTTCAATTCAGGCAGGACATCACCCAAACGTATTCCACTTGCCACAATCACACGACATAAAGTAGAAATCATCTGATCTTTACTTTCCACTCTTGGTCTGATTTCTACTTTGACTTTCTCATGAATGAAGTCTGTCTTTACAAACGACTTTACATAGTCCAAGAATGACTGTTCAGGATCGGAATAAGCAAGTAAATCAATCACAAGTTCTGTATGTGTCTGGAAAGAAGTGGGTGTGGTTGAGAAGAGACCATTTTCTAATTGAATATCTTGATGGTTTCTTATCCAATCTAGTATTTCTGGTCTTGTACCATAAAACACCCATCGATTTGTAGTTTCTGTACTGGATACTGTGATCTTTTTATTCAAAAGGGGTGGTGCAATTACCCGGACACCTTGACCATCCACATCTATATTATAAGTGAATTGATATTGGTCTTATTTATTTTACCTGTTTCGTAACCAAAGGTAAGAGGCATATTTTATAAAAAACGGAAAGAAAAAAAAGGAAATTATGATTGTTTTCACGCCATTTATGACTAGAAAAACATTGTACAACTCGAGCATGATAAATCTTGCTGTAATTTTTTTTTTGCACTTTTTCTTTCTTTCTGTTTTTGTTATATGAAGGGAAAAGTCTTAGCCTTGTATTTGATTCGATTTGTTATTTTATTGCTTAGTTTAGGGACACTCGGCTGTCATGTCGGTACGAGAAAATGCATTCTTATTTATTGTTTGCTAACATTTTTTATCGCGTATAAATCAGCACAGCTTGTTTTACTATCACAGACAAAGGGCACAGAAAATTGGTGGCCACATTACGTACCTGTAAGCATCAAATGTAAAACAAAACAAACGTCTCATTCGATTTGTTTAGTATACATTATATTATGTGGGATCCATTGTGTCCATTATATCATCCACTTTTCTATTGATTTTCGGTTGCACCTTGTCAAAATCATTATTGAGTGACCGAATCTTGAGCCTTATCAATCTAGCGCTGTATGTTGCTGTTGTTGTCTATAATTCACTTGCATCTGGTAACATACCATGGACAGGCTCTTTAGCAAAACCCATCAGCTCCGATATGAAAGGTTATGTAAATTATTGCTCAGGCTATACGGACTCTTCTTTGTACAATCGTTGCTGTAAGTTGTCCTTTTTAGAAACTCAATTGACTTTTATTTTTTCAATGATAGGGTTAGTGAATGGTACTTGGTTAGGTATGGTCATTGTTGGTTTCTTTTGGTTGATCCTCTTATTATATACCAGTGTCTTGAAAAATGCTGAAATATATCATGAAGATTATGATACCTATGATTTCAAAGAAGATGTGCCTATGACAAACACTAGTCATCATGCATCGTTCATGGCAAGAAGTAGCATTCCTTCAGTTGTGCCTGTTCCTCCACGACATCGTTATGACAATACATTTATGGTATCGCCTACAGTACCACTTCCAGTATCCAGCAGTAATCAAGAAAACTACTATTATTCGCCTTATGCACCTACACATCCGCAAGAAAACGGCGCCTTTGTGGAAGGATATCAAAGACCAAGAAAGATGTCAAAAACTTATTTGGAAGAAGACAATATAGTCAGATCAGGTTCAGTACAATTGACACCACCTCATTCAAAAGAATAAAAATGTTTTGTATTATATATAAAATAAACACGCTTATTAACAGCAACTTGATTTCTCAGCTTGTTTGTCATTGATATTGGTGCCTTGTCGATATAAATTATCAGAAGTGATTGTTCTATACAAATCTTGGTCATATAGATTTTTAACCAAGGATTGTGTAATATCATAAAAGATATCTTCAATAGCTACAGCAAGTTAAATTTGACTTTTTGTATGTGGGTTGCTTTACCTCCATGGTCATGCTTGGCTGATACTTCGTGAACACCATTTATCACAGTGGTTTGTTTGCAATAATGAACCACTTTAGAAAATGGCACTTTGCGTTCTGATTCTAAATCAATCTTGTTACCAACAATATGAATCAATAGATTTTCAGACATATTCTTCTTCAATTCTTTACAAAAAAGAGGTTAGATGTGTTATAAAGCTTAAACTAAATCACCTTCCATCCATGACATTAATTCTGTAAAACTCTCTTCAGAAGTAATATCATAGACTAAAATAGCTGCTGATGCTCCTCGATAATACATGGGTGCCATTGATCTAAATCGTTCTGTAGATAATTAAATTAATTTACAAAATAGGAGATCAGCTTACCTTGTCCAGCAGTATCCCATATTTGTAATCTCACACTACAATCATCCACTGTTCTAAACACAAAAAAAAAAAAAAAAAAGGTCATTCATGAAAGCCCTGATCATAAACAACTTACAGTTTCTTGGCCATGAATGCTGCACCAATGGTTGAACTTCCATTAGGTGAAAAGGTGTTTTTTACATATCTAAGTGCTACTGATGTTTTTCCAACACCTGTAGGTTGTAATCGAAAAATATGGTCACTAAAAGCAGCGATTGATAGTATGTTAGAAGGCCCCCAAACCTTGCCCAAATAAATAAATAAATCCCAACACGCTACTTCCTCTTTTGCCCCGCATTTTTATATGTATGTCAAGACATACATAATTATCATAAAAAAATAAAATGGATAGAATGCGAACCTGTTCTTCCTAAAATTACAACTTTTGCTTCCAAGGTATTCATATGTGTGGTATAATGGTAAGAAAAATGTTGATATATAATGATATACAATTGTATATATATATCGATAGATAAAGTACAAAGATTGTGCTTTTTATCTATGTATTCCTTTCCCCCTTTTTGTTTGGGTGTAAATAGCCTTGAATAGTGCTTTAAAAAAAAAGAAGAGAGTGGGTAAACAAGACTAGAAGAAAAGAAAAAGAAAAATGATTTTATCGTGTCACTAAGATTAAGGGGCGTGATTTTAAAATAGTGTATGTGTGCCTTTGTGTATGATTGGATCAAAGTCACCGTTTTGTTATTTGACTTTTATCAACAATAAAAAAAAAAATATGAAATCTATTGTTCTAAGCATAATGAATAGTAACAAGCTTAAACTTAATTCTTTAGAAGGTTGTGGGTGTATCAATTTGCCTTCCCGTTTGTGCTGATTTCATGCAAAACTTTGGTATTAGTCCAAGAAGTATGTTTATTGTGTTTGATGATGAAATTAAGAAATCTATGAATTATAAAATTTAAAAGAATTGGCTGATACCAACAATTAGGATGACAATCAAACCAGTAGAAATGGTCAAAGAAGAAGCATTGCTTGTGTTGGCAGAAGAGTTGCCACTGGGTGATGTACTTGAAGAACCAGATGTTGAGTTGCCACTGCTGGGCTTGTTTACAGCAACGCTCTTGAGTTGACAATCAGATGTTGTGCAAAGACATGTGTTGCCAATAGGATCCCACCAAGTAGTACTAAGTCATGAAACGTTAGACACTATATATGTATAATATACATTATCACTTACTCGCAAGTATCAGGAATAGCATAACGGTATCCAGAAGTTCCATTTTGAGCAGATGAAGCAGGTGTAGGGTTATCCAAAGTAGGAGCTGTAGCAGGACAATTGAAACAAGTCTTGGTGCTTGTAGTACCAAAGTTACAACTAGAAAGAATTTAGACAAGTCCATAACATCATTGGTTTACCTGTTGATTAAACCATCATCAATAGAGCCATTGTGGTCGTCATCAAGACCATTACAGATTTCCTTGGGGATAACAGGTTGCTTACATTGCATATAATCTTGCTTACCGAGTTCAGAAGCCTTGACAGGGTTCTTCATATATTGCAATAATTGTTGGTTAGTGACAAACCAAACATTGGGCTTAGCAGCAATTTCTTGGATAAACTCGATCACGCCTTGGAACATATCCTTAGGATCAGCAAGACCGGGATAAGTAGTCAAATGGGCTAAATATAATGAGTACACAGCTATTTCGAACTGAATTGTACTTACTAGGATGAACATAGATACCAAAAGGTTGACGGTTACCATTATAATGTTTGTCAAAAGCAGCTTGACTCCCTATAGATAAACATGTAAGAAACATAATAACATGTATATATCTGACTTACAAGTCTTGACATCAGCAGGAGAACCAGAAAGATAGACATCCATCAATTGAGGAACACTAGCATTGTCAAGGACAGAGTACATAGGGATTTCCCAAAGACCAGGTAACTTGACTTGACCAGCAGCACAAATACCAGTCCAACAGTCATTAGCCATACCATTGTCAAGGGTATAAGGCCAATAGGCATCGTCAGTGACAGCACTGGAACTAGAGTCATACAAGAAGCTTTGTTGGCTGATGATATTCAAAGTATCTTTGGTATAGTTAAGGAAAGGTGCACGGAAACCTTGAATCTTGCTGGATGGAATACCACCATAAGCATTCAACATGGATTTACAACTAGCAATTTCTTGGGCTGAGGGTGTACCAACATGAGAGAATGTGTGGCTAAACTCAGTTATTAGACTCATCTTTGTTTATGCAATAGAACTTACTCTGCTACTTCATTACCAGCAGCATACCATTGTTGCACCAATGAAAAGTCAGTGTATTGCATTGAAACAAACCTATCAAATCCAGAGGTTAGTATTTTTGGTAACAAATCCAAAAATAGTACTTTACCAAGTACCATGACCAGGGCAGCCATTAGGATTACTGTTTCCTTAGGTTAGGGAATTGTTTTCAAAATCTATAAATAATTATTGACTTACGTGACATTTACCAAGGCTTGGGCAGTCTTCATTAAGGCTTCTTGAACTGAATCGTCGTATGTGACTGTAACAAACTATTCGAGCAAAATGAGCAAAAGAACACAATGCTCTATTCTATGCTTACTTGAGGTGTATCACTGGGGGATAGACCACCAGGAGGGGATTGAGATGCACAGAGACAGTTATTTTCGATTTTACAGCTATTGGGATCACAAGAATAACTACTAGAAGTGGCTGATGTGACAGGAACAGTAGCTCCTTCTTGAGCAACAACAGCACTAATAAAAAGAGCAATGCTTGAAATAATTGACAATGATTTCATGATAATAAAGTAAAAGAAAGAAGAGAGAAAGGGGGTGTGAGATCGACAACAGGTTATTTATACTGAAAGTTATTCAAGACCAGCCCTATTATTTCAATTTACAGTGTGTAATACAAATAAAAGACAATCTCCCTCTCTTTCTAGACTCCCTTTTATTTGATTGTAACATGCAGCATTGATTGTAATTTATTGTGCTTGACGTTTGAATGTATTACGACACTCTTTCAATCCATCTTCAATGGCTTCCAATTCCTTTCCGTCTGATTTTAATATGCTTGTAATGTGTTTTATACCGTGATGTTCATCACTCAAGACCTATTGAGATATGAGACAATTGAAATTTGAAATTTGAAATTTGGATTACCTTTGCAATTATGTTTGTGTCTTCTTCACTCACTGTGCGCCATACTTCATATTTACTGTCTCTATCTTGACTCGTTTGTGCTTTCAAGGATTGAAGGCGATTCCATAAGGCAATCATCTTTACATTCAATTGTTCTGGGCTTTCATTACTTTCAGCCAGTTGTGCTAATTGCTGAATGGTGGCTTCTTCATCTGTATTCAATGGGAAACCCTTATAACGAAGCACTGAACTATATCTAAGAAGCTACATACATAATGAATACAATGACATACAATACAATATCACTTACACGTAGTAATCTTTGAGTTAAGTCTGTATGACGACGTTTATGTTCTTCAAGTTTAACAAGTGTTCCGAGCATATATTGTCGCTGCACTGATTGCAATCTTTCTGAAGTCTCTTTTAACTTTTCTTGGTGTAATTCAGCTTGATTTGATTGAACTTCCATACGCTTCAAGATATCATCAAATCCAATAGCCAGTACAGGTACAAATCTAGTGGATAAGTTACATGCTCTACACAGAGATAGTGTCTTACTTTTTAGGATCAGGATTTCTACGCATAGCTTCATTCCATAATTGTTCATCTTGGTTCTGAGGACGAACATATAAATGGACTTCATTCTCTGGTACCATATTATAAAAGTAATGCTAAGAAAAAATATCATATTAAAAAAAAAAAAGAGACAACCAAAATAGATGTAACATACTCTAAATTGACAAAGTGGTGAAGTAGGATCAAAATGAGCTCGAATTAAAGCAAGATCCTGCCATACTTTCTCTTGCACTTGTTGTTGTTGTTGTTGTTGTTGTTGTTGTTGCATACCAAAACCAGTGCTAGGTTGAGTACCAAATCCGGTTGTTTTATTAGCACCAAACAGACTTGTGTTGTTGTTGTTCATTGTGCCAAAGGCAGGTTTAGCTGCTGTTGCTGTATTTCCAAACCCACTAAAGCCACCGGCTGTTGAAACAGGTGCAGCACTTGTTGAACCAAAACCTCCAAAACTACCGGTTGTAGCAGTAGAACCAAATCCACCGAACCCTGTGTTTGCTGCAGGTTGTGAAGTTGCTCCAAAACCAAAACCCGTTGTGGCAGGTTGCGAAGTGGCACCGAAGCCTGTACCAAAGCCTGTGGTGTTGGTGGTGGTGGCTCCAAAGCCTGTAGCTGCAGGTTGTGAAGTAGCGGTTGATCCAAATCCACCCGTGACAGGTTGCGAAGTGGCTCCAAAACCTGTTCCAAATCCACCTGTTGTATTCGATGCTGGTGTTGTCGTACCGAACGCATTCGAAGTAGCAGGTTGCGTTCCAAATCCACCAAACCCTATCCCATGGTCAACATGCAAAACATTAAAAAATTGATTTTACCTGTTGAAGTCGTAGTGTTTGTTGCTGAACCCCCAAATAATGTTCCTGCTGATGAAGAGTTACTGGTATTTGCGCCAAACAAAGTACCAGCAGAGGTATTGTTGGAAAGTAGATTTGTATTTGATGGTGTCGAAGTAGCAGCAGAGCCACCAAATAATGTACCGGCTGATGTTTGCGTGTTGGTTGCACCAAAAGAAGGCGCTACATATTTCATTTTTAGTTATCTTATATGAATAAAGTCGCGTATAGCCTACTTGTAGAGCCAAATCCACCAAACGAAGCCATATTATTGGTATATGTGTGTTTAAAGAGCACAAAAGAAAAAAAAACGCGTATTTATTTTATACAGAATTTTTCGACCAATTAAATCTCATTCCTGGACGTGCCTTTTTTCTTTCTTTCTTAAACATGAATTGATCTTACTGGATTAACTCAATGCTATAGAAGAATACGGAGGCAAAGAGCTCAATTGCAGTCAAGATAAACATGAAGTGGTCATTGAGCCAATAGATGTTGCTAAAGAATAATAAAAGAAGAATTTGTTACTAGTCAATAGCTAGCTACAGATCACACAAATCAATCAGGTTCATAAAGATGATAGACTATAGAAGAAAATGAATAAAAATAGAATAGAATCCATCGGAGAAGAGCCTAAAGATTCCATATCTATATTCTCTATCTTCATTTTGCCAATAGCTTGCGACGTGACAGCGTCTTATAGTCTAAGCCTCTAACGAAGGAGCTTCCATGTCAACAGGAAATCGATCTACAAAATCTGATAACTCTAATAAATCAAATTTTAGTCAAGTCCACTTAATTTTTGTGACAGTAAACTGTTTGATCATTGTTCAGTTGGAGTTTATAGCCTAGATACTATTGGTGATCAAGTATGTCTTAATAAGATGTTTTACTCGAACAAACAGTTACTTGTTTATGTGAAAGAGACGCCAAACAAACAAATGCTTCAGCAATGAAGGAGAAAAAAAAAACAAAACAGCATAAAGATTTTCTGTCTTTTTCTAGGCATGTAAATATGGCATATAACCTGAGTATGTACAAACAAGTACTCTGAATGCCCTCAAGCCATGTTCATTGACATCCATCATACCTTTGGCATTGATCCAGACAAAAAAAAAAAAAAATGATGGCTTAAACAAATAGCTATCTTGGTCTCTGATCCAAAGGGTACTGTTAGTGGAAATTGTCAATGTGACAACTATCTGATCTTCTGTCGATACTAAAAGACAAAAAATAGAGCTATTGACAAGCTTAGATACTCAAAATGTCTGCCAGAGACTACAGTTTCTGACAAAAGCATTTTATTAATACTACAGGCTTCATCTGTCATCGTACTAAAGCCTGTCAAGAGATGGTCGCAACTTAAAAGGATACATACGGGAAAAGACATGAAGAGGTTTAAATAAAAACGATTGTGCAAGTATCTCTCATCAATTAAATAATTGAGAAAAGCAAGAGTGGATGTAAGAATATTAGTAGGATGAGAAGGAACATCATTGAAAATAGTATTACAGTGAACTTTCCATATTTAGCCCTTGCTTTGGGATACTATTTCTTGAGCATTCAGTTAACTTTTCTGTGTACAAAGAATGAACTGAAAGTTCATAGAGTAGATCGCTTGCATGATATATTCAGCGTTAATCGTTGGTCATAGAAATTTAAATATGAGTTCTTTCCAAAAGAAAAGATCGCTTTTGGAGGGCATAAGAAAACCATTTTCAGCACAAATACCACAAATCCGGTGCAAAAAAGACGAAAATTGATCAGGTAAGAAATGATTCAATCGTATTCTTGAAAGCAGCCTGTGGTTTATATATTTGTACATCACATTCTGTATAGCAGCGGTAAGGGGCGAAGCCCAAAAAGATTCCTAAAACGTGGGAGAAATAGCCAGTAGGACTGAGGGGGGGGACAAGATAAAGCTCCAAACAAGTTATCTAATAGACCTTAAAGTTGATCACATTACTCGACCGCTTAGTAGATAGAACAGAAAAGCAGTCCAGAAACGAGGAAAAGCTGAATACAATATTCATGTTTGAAGAAACGGCATTGAAGGGAGAAGCTATCGCTACCTGTCGTTGAAAAAAGAAAGTAACTCTTATACTTCTTTGTGCTAAACCATGAAATAGCCTCTGTTGAATTGATCGTAGCTTTTTTGAGATACTGTGAGTACGCTTCCAAAGAACAATTTCTACAGAGTGATCATAGACCATAATGTCACTAACTTGGATTTGATGCAATGGAGATCGCTGTATGCTTGCATAATGCATAACGAAAGAGATTGTTAATACTATACAAGCTGCTGGATTGAACTTCATGTTATAAAAGTTTTGAGGGGTTTTATCAATAGCAGTATAGAGTAAATGAATAGTATTGATTTTGTTGATAGCGCTATTAGATCGACTCATGAATTTCTTGTTGAAGGGAAGAGCAAACGAACTTGAATGTATGAGACTCTGGTGACGTTGTGCATATGTAGCCAAAGAGTTTTCAGCCAATGTGCTGAAGAGTGGGGCAAAAGCAAAGAAAAGGTCTAGCAAAAAAAAAAGTGCGTTTCTCGGCAACAGAGAGTCTAAGATACCCAATTCTTCCTTATCTCTGAGAAACATCCATTTTAACCAAGCTATTTGGGAGAAAATCTGTCTATTCAGAAATTGACTTGCCAACGATTGTATGCGAGACAGATCTTTTTTATTGAAAAGAATGACTCGACATAAATACCAGTATTTGAACAATATCAATGTATTGGTGATAATGACACGCCCTACACACGAAAGCGATTTAGTCAAATGCATCTGGAAATGAGACTGAATCTTAACAAACAGAGCTTCAAAGGAATTCTGTCGCTGAGCAATTGGTTGAATGAGAGAAAAGTCCAAGTATAACGCAGGTTGTAGATAATCTTTGAAGTATGGGGTTTCAATTTGTAGCAGTTGGAGATGACGACGTTAAAACGAGGAGGAGTTGCGCTCATACAAAGGTACCGTTTTGACTTTTGAGTAGTTGGTCTTAGCATTGGATGCTCTACAATAGTGCCCAATATGATGTATCGCTCGCGTCAAATCATCAGGACCGTGTGTAAACCCATTGCACCATCAGAAAAGCATAAAATCTTATAGTAGCTGAGATTTACCAAACAATGATTTGATTGTGAAGCGCGGGGTGTAGTCTTGGCTGATATCTTTTTATCGTTCTATCTTGAAGAATATCTCGTAGCAAAAGATTTAATACAAGTTTATGCAAAAAAGGGGAAATTAGGTTGTCTCGCTTTGGTCCACGCTGCATGGTAAGCAACTGTGTAAAGAAAAACATTGACATTCACTTTGATTTAGTTAGCAGAAAGTAGATTGCCTATGATGATAACAGTAGCTTCCAGGAATATAAAATTTACCAAGAATTGTTTGAGATACTTCAAATTTGCTTGATCATACATTTTTTCCTGATATAGCCTCAGCACCAAGTCGTAATCTCCTCTTTGACGCCTCAATCGAATGCTTTTGGGCATCCTCCATCATCGCTTGAACCGCTAATCCATTTTTGGCAATGTAGCGTCCAGGTAGAAATCCTATTTGGCAAAGACTAATTAGATATTGGAGTACTAAGTGAAGACTTTGATACGGAAGTTCATCTAAGCCTGTGTTATACTCCCTTGGCGATTGTTTGGATTCTTCTATGATTTCTACCATACTAATACTGGCTGTCATATGTGTACAATATTGCTCATTGAGACGAATATGTTTTGGAACATGAGATAGCATTCTATTCACTACTACGGAGTCAACATGAGTAGGCGTACATTTGTGAGTCAGGCCGTTTGACAATCTGCTGCTTTGATTCTAGGCCACTATGAATTTCGGTTGTTACGGGGCCTGCGAGACCTCCAATAGATTTCTGATATTCCCGTTACATCACCAATATCTTCAAGTAACCATGTTATTTCTTACCCTTTTCCCTCTGTAGTGAACTGAATATAAAATAATAGATAAAACGATGAAATAGAAGTGTTCATGTTCCATTGTTGATCCCAATCCAGAAATGCTACCGTAATTCCAAATATATGCATGAATTTTTTCGCACATTCAATGGGCAATGAGTCCTAGAGGAGACTCATTGTGCACCTTATGAAAACTATTTTGACTCTTCTTTTAGAATTATTATCTCAAGAATTATCGTCGAAAAGTAAGATAATACCAATTGTTATTTTCCTAGGAAAAAAATACAATAAAATTTTTGACTATTCACAATCCTTTAAGATGATAACAAGCAACCCCATTTTTAAATATCAAGGCAGTACGACAATAAATCAGCAGAAAGACAAAAATGTGTAAGTAGACGTACATCTGATAGTTAGAAAAGACAACTCGATTTTGAGATATTATTTTAGTATTAAAACAACTCTATAAATTGACTTGTGTGTGTGTGTATTTTTTTTTCCTCTGGAGTATCAATCTTCTCCACTTCATTCATAACAGTATCACTTACTTTGGCCTGTTCAATCATAGGCTCCTCATCCGATTCAATTGTAGTTTCTGGATCTTTCTCAGTCATGGCCTTCTTAATCTGATAGCCTAACGAAGGTGCAACCTGATTGACCTCTTGGTCTACTGTAGGACTAGGCACTTTTCTCTCCTTGTTCGCAATGCGTTTCTTGCTAGGAGCAGTGGTAGTATCAATTGTATTGTTTCGTGGACATTGACACATGCGGTGTTCTCTTTCGTTAGAGTTGTAACACTTTGAAAACTTTTTATGTTGTGGACAATCTGCTCTACAGTGATCAGAGGCTTGACAGATGCGAAAAAAAAAAATTGGGCATACCCTCCCATTCGAGCAAAGCATGTCTTTCCTCTTCATCATTTTCTGTCCAAAGGATTACCCGTTGCAAAGATTCAAATTGGGTATCCTTATCTCCGGTTGAAGATAGTTTAAGGTGGCATATTCCTGTCCAGTAAAACATCCTTCAACTGTAGTGACTCCTAAATCTAAAACTTGATCAAAGCGAGATAGTTGGCTCTCCATATCAGGCTTAGTAAGCGTAAAGGCAAACAAGGGAGTCTTTTCAATTTGATTCTGACTACACGAGCATCAGCAGGACAACTTGGAAATCCTTTAACAAGCGTCCCGTCTGCCAAGTAAATCCCTTTATTTAAAATAGTGTTTCTTCCAGGATAATCTTTGAACCAGGGAGTTTCAACATATGTGCGATTAAGATACTTTCCAATGGTAGGTACTCAACCGAGATAGTCTTCGTAACCTCCATTTGCCTCCATGTCATTGTTAAAATTCTGTAATGCATCAAACAGAGTTTGTTAATCCTTCAACTCTGTAATGTCGATTAAGATATTGTTTCACTTAATCCTCTTCAAAAAAGGGTTGCACGAACTGAATAGGTGAGGGAGCGTTGGACGCTGAAATCAAAGGCACATCTGTAATAGCTGTGTTTGTTGTAGGGACACTTGGAGTAATCATCATAGGTCGAAAGGACTGAATCTTGCGAGTACTACTCGATACTACTTCAGCCCAAGAAGAATAGCCGGTTTGCTGAGATGAGTTTCTGCCAGAGCTTATTATTGTGATTGGGAATGTACGGTTCTGCTTTCTACGTGAAAGAACCATGATGCAAAAGACCTATGCTATCTTCAAAACATTTACTTATTTTAAACTTTACTAACATTTATGCCGACATGGTGAGTATGCCATTTGTGTACTCAAAAAAAATTTTTTTTAAGAAAAAAACAATAAAAACCACTACTTTAAAATAAAACAAAAAATCTTTCTGTATTGATAAAGAATAAAAAAATTAGGAGGTTTCTGATTTTCCTGTTTGAAATTAATAAAAAAAAGCCAATCTTTCAGTTTTTTAGTTTTAAATAAATAGACGAGTCTATCGGATATTGGCTTTACTGTTTTAGTTCAAAAAGGAGATTACTGTCCGGTAGACTTATTTTTTATTTTAAAACAGAAAAAGTGAAAAACAAGCTTTTTTTTTTTTTTTTTTTTTTTTTTTTTTTTTTTTTTTTTTTTTTTTTAGTTTTTTCGCACAAATTTTACACAAATTTTACACAAATTTTACACAAATTTTACACAAATTTTACACAAATTTTATATCAATGTTTTTAACAACATTTTCATTTCTTTATTTAATCTGATTCTTCTAAAAGTACTATAGCATAAGTGACGGAAGAAATCTTCCATTGAATGCAGAAATAGAAAATTCTAGCTAACTTTTTACTCAAATGTAGAAGGTCGCTTCCACCGATGGAAGAAAGATGCAATTACTTACGCTGTGGTAAGGGTGTGTTTTTGATCTACAAGTAATTATTTTCCAGAAATGCTTTTCTGTTGACAAAAATATACTTGCGCATTGGTATTAATTTCGTCAAATCCGTACTCAAAATCTGTTGCTTTATTAGCTTTATAGAAAAGATTCTTTTGAACACATGACCCGATGTGGCCTTTGACTGCTCGGACTCGGTCAATTCATTAGAATTGCTATACTAAGCTAAAAATACCTTAAGAGGACAAGAAAGGAATAGAAAGGAGAGTGTTGATCTAATGGTGTGTCTGGGCGTAGGTTTATAACTATAGGAGAAATGGAAACATTTGATTGAATGTTAGAAGGAGTAGATTGTTTGTGACAGCACGTTACATAAAGGTGATTTGGGATAAAAGCAAATCTATAGAGGTCCATTTGGTACTCCAATAAAGTACAGAGCGGACAGTCTTGAGTGTTTTTATGAGCTTGGTCAAGAACACTTTTGCATTCTCTAAAGCTACCTTGAGCAGTGTCTAAGGACGATGTTTGGCCTTGGAGAAGTCCCTTGATGCATTTTTTGAGCATTTCTTTGAAAGTAGTAGTCAGAGTAATTAGGTAGTAATTGACTAGATCAGTCGGGCTGCCCTTCTCATGAATTAGGACTACTTGTGTGACTTGTCAACAATGAGGCGTGTATGGCCAACGCCAACATAGATCAAAGATATGAAAAGTCAGGAAGCCATTAAAATTTGTGATGTATATACAGAAAATAAAGCTAGAGCCATGAATAATTACGTTAATAGCCGTAGATGTTAAAAACCTCTCATGAATGTGATGGATTTACAAAAATATATATATATGTTTTAGAACCCGATAACATTTATGCCGACTTACAAGTATGCCAATTGTGTACATAGAAAAATATTTCTCAGAAAAAAATAAAAACCACTGCTTTAAGATAAATCAAGAATATTTTTTGTAGTGAAAAAAAAATAAAAAAAGAAAGAATTTTCTAATTTTCTGCTTGAAATCTAAAAAAAAAGCTTGTTTTTCAATTTTTCAGTTTTAAATAAATAAACGAATCTACCAGATAATGATCTTACTGCTTTATTCTAGAAGATAGATTACTGGCTGGTAGACCCGTTTTTTATTTTTAAACAGAAAAATTAAAAAGACAAGCTTTTTTTTTTAAACTTTAAGCAGAGAAATAAGAAATTCCTTTCTTTTTTATTTTTCGTCATTGCAGAAAATATTTTTGATTTATTTTAAAGTAATGGTTTTTATTATTTTTCAAAAAACATTTTTTTGAGTACGAAAATGGCATACTTGTAATTTCGGCATACCTGTTAGTATTTCTATTATTTTTGAAATGCTTTTTTTTGTAAGTCTATCATAATGATCATAAAGACCTGAGGCACACAATTCTTCCCATAGTTTTTTTCATTGCTCTAGCTACTTTTTTTAGAGATATAAGTGCCTACATTGTGGTGTATGGTTGCAATGGTTGCAATGGTTGCTATACTCTATTTGGCTTCGGGCTCACAAGTCAACTACACCCTTCTCTTGGATAAATTTTAGCAGACTCTAATCAAGCAAGCGTCAGATAAAAATTTAATTTATAAAGCAACTGTCAGCCGTCGACGACGTCTTCACTTCCCAAATGACAACTCCAGTAATTTGAACTCGTTCTTAAATCCTTTTGATTATCAATTTTTTGACCAGATTTAACCTTACAGAATGAACACAATAACCATAGACGCCATAGACGCCATAGCAACCGCCATAACAACCACCATAGGGATCATAGTAACCATAAACAACAGTATAAGCGATTACATTTCTCCATTAGTGAAATAAACCTTCCGTATTCGAATAAAGATTTGGTCAAGATTTTCCATCTCCAAATGCATAATTCTTCCACTTTTGATGGAAAAATTTTTCTATCGCTTACGCTGTAGTAGTATCTCTACAAAAAAGTAGCTAGTGTGATAAACACTACAATTGAAAAGACAAAATAAAGTCAATCAGAACCGAAAATGGCCAAAAGAAAGTTGTTCTTTATTACACTCTGTTGTTTCTCTCTATCCATATAAAATATAGCATCCCTTGAAGGAAATGAATATCTTTTCATGAATTCCATTGAATGTAATCGTTGGTGCCCTTACGGATGGGGGCGCATAGATCCCCTACTGTTTAGTTTGTAGTGATAATCAGTCTGACGGTAAATAAAGAGACTGCATAATTTAGAGTACAGATTCACGGTTCAGTGTCAACTTCACTCCTGAATACTCCTGCAGCCCATTACGGTGCAAAGTCACTCTAACTCATAGCCATGTGGATAGCCGTGTATACAATAGCTAGAGAAATGAAAAAAACTATGGGAAGAATTGTGTGCCTCAGGTCTTTATGATCATTATGATAGACTTACAAAAAAAAGCATTTCAAAAATAATAGAAATACTAACAGGTATGCCGAAATTACAAGTATGCCATTTTCGTACTCAAAAAAATGTTTTTTGAAAAATAATAAAAACCATTACTTTAAAATAAATCAAAAATATTTTCTGCAATGACGAAAAATAAAAAAGAAAGGAATTTCTTATTTCTCTGCTTAAAGTTTAAAAAAAAAAGCTTGTCTTTTTAATTTTTCTGTTTAAAAATAAAAAACGGGTCTACCAGCCAGTAATCTATCTTCTAGAATAAAGCAGTAAGATCATTATCTGGTAGATTCGTTTATTTATTTAAAACTGAAAAATTGAAAAACAAGCTTTTTTTTTAGATTTCAAGCAGAAAATTAGAAAATTCTTTCTTTTTTTATTTTTTTTTTCACTACAAAAAATATTCTTGATTTATCTTAAAGCAGTGGTTTTTATTTTTTTCTGAGAAATATTTTTCTATGTACACAATTGGCATACTTGTAAGTCGGCATAAATGTTATCGGGTTCTAAAACATATATATATATTTTTGTAAATCCATCACATTCATGAGAGGTTTTTAACATCTACGGCTATTAACGTAATTATTCATGGCTCTAGCTTTATTTTCTGTATATACATCACAAATTTTAATGGCTTCCTGACTTTTCATATCTTTGATCTATGTTGGCGTTGGCCATACACGCCTCATTGTTGACAAGTCACACAAGTAGTCCTAATTCATGAGAAGGGCAGCCCGACTGATCTAGTCAATTACTACCTAATTACTCTGACTACTACTTTCAAAGAAATGCTCAAAAAATGCATCAAGGGACTTCTCCAAGGCCAAACATCGTCCTTAGACACTGCTCAAGGTAGCTTTAGAGAATGCAAAAGTGTTCTTGACCAAGCTCATAAAAACACTCAAGACTGTCCGCTCTGTACTTTATTGGAGTACCAAATGGACCTCTATAGATTTGCTTTTATCCCAAATCACCTTTATGTAACGTGCTGTCACAAACAATCTACTCCTTCTAACATTCAATCAAATGTTTCCATTTCTCCTATAGTTATAAACCTACGCCCAGACACACCATTAGATCAACACTCTCCTTTCTATTCCTTTCTTGTCCTCTTAAGGTATTTTTAGCTTAGTATAGCAATTCTAATGAATTGACCGAGTCCGAGCAGTCAAAGGCCACATCGGGTCATGTGTTCAAAAGAATCTTTTCTATAAAGCTAATAAAGCAACAGATTTTGAGTACGGATTTGACGAAATTAATACCAATGCGCAAGTATATTTTTGTCAACAGAAAAGCATTTCTGGAAAATAATTACTTGTAGATCAAAAACACACCCTTACCACAGCGTAAGTAATTGCATCTTTCTTCCATCGGTGGAAGCGACCTTCTACATTTGAGTAAAAAGTTAGCTAGAATTTTCTATTTCTGCATTCAATGGAAGATTTCTTCCGTCACTTATGCTATAGTACTTTTAGAAGAATCAGATTAAATAAAGAAATGAAAATGTTGTTAAAAACATTGATATAAAATTTGTGTAAAATTTGTGTAAAATTTGTGTAAAATTTGTGTAAAATTTGTGTAAAATTTGTGCGAAAAAACTAAAAAAAAAAAAAAAAAAAAAAAAAAAAAAAAAAAAAAAAAAAAAAGCTTGTTTTTCACTTTTTCTGTTTTAAAATAAAAAATAAGTCTACCGGACAGTAATCTCCTTTTTGAACTAAAACAGTAAAGCCAATATCCGATAGACTCGTCTATTTATTTAAAACTAAAAAACTGAAAGATTGGCTTTTTTTTATTAATTTCAAACAGGAAAATCAGAAACCTCCTAATTTTTTTATTCTTTATCAATACAGAAAGATTTTTTGTTTTATTTTAAAGTAGTGGTTTTTATTGTTTTTTTCTTAAAAAAAAATTTTTTTTTGAGTACACAAATGGCATACTCACCATGTCGGCATAAATGTTAGTAAAGTTTAAAATAAGTAAATGTTTTGAAGATAGCATAGGTCTTTTGCATCATGGTTCTTTCACGTAGAAAGCAGAACCGTACATTCCCAATCACAATAATAAGCTCTGGCAGAAACTCATCTCAGCAAACCGGCTATTCTTCTTGGGCTGAAGTAGTATCGAGTAGTACTCGCAAGATTCAGTCCTTTCGACCTATGATGATTACTCCAAGTGTCCCTACAACAAACACAGCTATTACAGATGTGCCTTTGATTTCAGCGTCCAACGCTCCCTCACCTATTCAGTTCGTGCAACCCTTTTTTGAAGAGGATTAAGTGAAACAATATCTTAATCGACATTACAGAGTTGAAGGATTAACAAACTCTGTTTGATGCATTACAGAATTTTAACAATGACATGGAGGCAAATGGAGGTTACGAAGACTATCTCGGTTGAGTACCTACCATTGGAAAGTATCTTAATCGCACATATGTTGAAACTCCCTGGTTCAAAGATTATCCTGGAAGAAACACTATTTTAAATAAAGGGATTTACTTGGCAGACGGGACGCTTGTTAAAGGATTTCCAAGTTGTCCTGCTGATGCTCGTGTAGTCAGAATCAAATTGAAAAGACTCCCTTGTTTGCCTTTACGCTTACTAAGCCTGATATGGAGAGCCAACTATCTCGCTTTGATCAAGTTTTAGATTTAGGAGTCACTACAGTTGAAGGATGTTTTACTGGACAGGAATATGCCACCTTAAACTATCTTCAACCGGAGATAAGGATACCCAATTTGAATCTTTGCAACGGGTAATCCTTTGGACAGAAAATGATGAAGAGGAAAGACATGCTTTGCTCGAATGGGAGGGTATGCCCAATTTTTTTTTTTCGCATCTGTCAAGCCTCTGATCACTGTAGAGCAGATTGTCCACAACATAAAAAGTTTTCAAAGTGTTACAACTCTAACGAAAGAGAACACCGCATGTGTCAATGTCCACGAAACAATACAATTGATACTACCACTGCTCCTAGCAAGAAACGCATTGCGAACAAGGAGAGAAAAGTGCCTAGTCCTACAGTAGACCAAGAGGTCAATCAGGTTGCACCTTCGTTAGGCTATCAGATTAAGAAGGCCATGACTGAGAAAGATCCAGAAACTACAATTGAATCGGATGAGGAGCCTATGATTGAACAGGCCAAAGTAAGTGATACTGTTATGAATGAAGTGGAGAAGATTGATACTCCAGAGGAAAAAAAAATACACACACACACAAGTCAATTTATAGAGTTGTTTTAATACTAAAATAATATCTCAAAATCGAGTTGTCTTTTCTAACTATCAGATGTACGTCTACTTACACATTTTTGTCTTTCTGCTGATTTATTGTCGTACTGCCTTGATATTTAAAAATGGGGTTGCTTGTTATCATCGTGAAAATGAAGCCAAATGATTGATAACTTTTGGCTAGAAAACGTTTCTTTTTGCATGACGCAAAGTGGATTTGCTAAAAGCTTTAAGCCTTGTCATTGAAATTGATACCAGTCTGTCTTTGCTGGAGCTCTTGTCTGAAAATTTCAATGTACTTGCCTTGATCTGCAGGACCTTCAACAAGTACCAGAGGACCAGAGTCATCAATCAGGAGCAGTCAATTGATCTTAATTTGAGAAGAAACTGCTTTTTCGAGGTAGTAATCATTCCATTATTTTTGTTTTCTTTTTCACATAACTGGCAAGAACCATAACTAGTTGATTTGTTGAGAGTAGATGTTTTAAGATTGTCTACTGTTTGGTATACAAGGATCAATTATGGGAAAGAAAGCAAAAAATATATATATATCTATCAAATGCGTTTTATCATTCGTCCACATTAAGAAATATAAATGAGTTTTTCATTGTTTTAAATTGTAAGCAAAGAGAAAAGACAGTGATGGTAAGAAAAAACGCTTTTCTTTTCAGATCCTTTGTGATACTCTGCAATCTAAAAAAGAGTCACGTCAAAGTCAAGTTTGATGCATTTATACTCTCAAATCCTTTTTCTTTCACTTATGACTAATACCTCCTACGTTCCTTTTGCTATTATCTCAGGATTCTTTGCCGCACTTTCTTCTGTCTTTGCAAAGCTGTTTTCAGATGAAAGAACAGCTTTACTCTATTCATATCTGACAGACTATTTTAACCTTGTGCCTGAAAAAGTTTGTGAACAACGCGTGTTTTTTTTCCTGACAAAAAGTCTTTTTTTTTCTTAGGCCTCTTTATTATTAGTTAGAGGGATATGCTTCGCATTAATTTTTGGATGTAACTCCATCATGTGGACTACATTTACAAAGGCTCTTAACAATGCACCTTCTTCTGTTCAAGTGTCGATAGTCAATGGTGCTGTTAATTTCAGCGCTTCGGTAATAAACTTCCAAATCGTTACATGACCTGATATTCTACTATAGGCTATCATGGGATATTTGGTATTTGATGAGCCGTTAGCCTTAAGATGGTGGATAGGAGCAACTTTTATTTTGGCGGGTACTATTTTACTTTCTCAATCACAAAAGAGATTGGCAGAAGACCATAAAAAGACAGAATAATTATCTGTCAAAAGAGAGTCTCCTTTTTTTTCTGTCTTGTTGATCTTTATGTACGATAAATCCAACTTTTTTTTTTAAAAAAAGCTCCCTTTGAGTTAAAATCCAACTTGTATATAAATGATGATTCAAACGAGAAGCTATGTGTTTTCTTTCTTCTTTATCAGTCAAATGGCTTTCCCTACAACTGCATTCTTTTTAGCTACTGCCTATTTTATTTCAATGATATCTTTAGGGAAGAGTAAAAGACTGATCATTACGAATCCAATGTATGGAGCCAGACTCAAAAGAGGCGAATTAACTACAATTTCATGGGATATGAATTCATGCTATGGTTCTATTTCAATTTTATTAATGGTCAAGTCAGCTACAAAGTCTCAGAAAATCATGACAATAGCTGTTCAGGATGCAAGTCTAGAATACTATGATTGGATGCTCCCTAAATACATGCCACCAGGTACTCAATGTAAGTAACGAAATAAATGTAAACCAAGAACTTATGTGTGCTTCATGCCAGATTTTATTGCTATTGAAGACTCTCTAGGTGTGTCTTATTCGCGACCATTTTCCATCCTTGAATAATTTATTTCATAAATAAACAACATCATTTTGTAGTCATCACTCTAGAGCAAAACTCGACAATATACTGGCTTACGTCTTTACTCTTATCTAGAACGATCATGTGACCAGCATTAGGTACAACAATAAGATGGCTACTGATGCCATGTTTAAGGTTGATCTGATGAAGTAATTCGATTTCTTTTCTTGTATATTCATCTCCTTCAGGTAAGATCAAAAGCATAGGAACAAAGACGGTTGGTTTATATGAAATAGGTGGATTTGATGGATTTGGAAGTTGCATGGCAATGGCCACCATACATTCATACATGGCAGCATCAGATATAGACTTGATGGCTCTTTCTGTTTCTTTTTGTCCCTCAAGTGTTAAAGAGGACTGAATGATGGCTGATTTGCTCCATTCCAGAAATTCAGGTGTAGCTTTTCTTTCTCGATAGACATCCCAACCTTGTCTTTCTAGTTCCATGCAGGGAATACCCGCAGCCATAGGAATCACACCTCTGAGTATAATATTGTCCCATGTATAATTACCACAAGCTTTACTTTGAGCGTAAAGTAAAGATATCATACCTCCCATTGATAATCCACCCAGAAAGAGCTGAATAGTATGACCAGCATAGAATTCTTGCTTCACTTGTCTTAATATCCAATTCATGTCATGTATCACGTCTTCAAAACTAAAGTTTACTTGTTCTATTGCTTTAGTAGGCTGGGAGAGACCATGAAAGCGCACATCCATCAATAAGACACGATACCCAGATTCAATCAAATGTGGTGTAACTGATGCATAATGATGCAGATCACCTCCAGCTCCATGAATCAAGAAAATCAAGGGGCTTGTATTGTTGTTGTTTAAACCAAGTACTTGATAGTTAAGTTTGATACCGAGTGTATGACTTGACTTTGACATTGCATATAGATTATCTCCCTAATCTCTCATTTTTTTTCTGCTACTTTTTTTGTGTAAATATAGGATTTAAAGGTCTCTTGTTCGACTAATTAGGAAAGTAGTGCAGGAATAATGGTTTGCATGTTGCGTTATAAAAAAGATCGATTTTCAAATAATAGTACGAATACAGAATTCATTTCTTTTTACTACAAAATCTACAGTAGTTACTTTTTGTTCTATAGATACATAGAATTCTTATTAACAAAAAAGCGTAGAGATTGTATAAAGGAATCATTGTTAAGTTTAGACGGCTTTATACAGTTAACAAGACTTTAGTTATGACAATGCCTTGGTTTGTCAGTTAGACTCACTCATAAATGGAAAGTTTAAATTTCAAAACAGCGCTTATCAGATTTCAGGTTTCTTTGTTCAGTTTCACTATGCTGTTTCTCCCTTTCATTGTTTTATTCTTTCTATACACTACATATAGCATGCTATGTCTATATTATGGACTCAAAGATTATTGAACTAAAAGGAAAGAATAAATTTCAGCAGAGAACAATAAGATGAACTAGATGTGTTACATAGAAATACAATTGGTCAGGATAAGCTTAAAAAATTAGCCAGGGACGGAGTCTTTTTTTTCTTCATCTTTTTTTTTTTTCTTCTGTTCAACATGTTTAAAGCAACTTTATGGTTGCGCTATCGCACTCAAGCAACACGATTGACACAACTACCACTCGGATCAAACAAAATCAGTCTTGCTCGTTGTATTGGAACGCAGGCAGAAACATTACTACGTAAACCAGATCCACCTTCTAACGAAGCTCCCTCAGTAACTGCCGCTTTTCAAGATCTACTCGGTGTATCTTCACCCAACAACAACAATGATGATCTAAAAAACACTTTTTATCAAAGAGAGTTGCCTACTGATCTTGTTCGTTTTGCTTCCGTTGAAGGTAAGCGACTCTTCAGAGAAGCCATGGACGACGGTCATGCAGAAGGATTTTTTCCTTTGACTGGTAATTTTACACCTCAATCAGAACCTGCTTATTGTGGCCCTAGTTCTTGTAAGTAGAGTAGAAAATGGAGCAAGAAGCTAATGCATGCTATAGTGGCAATGGTTTTGAATGCATTAGAAGTAGATCCTAAAAGACGTTGGAAAGGCAACTGGCGATGGTTTTCAGGTAAGCCATACATTGATTTGTATCAATTTACTTACAGTTCGTAGACGAGTTTCTGCAGTGCTGTTCTTCTAAAGAAGATATGAAAAAGAATGGTATCACATTTGACAATTTTGCTTGCTTGGCTAAATGTCACTGTGATGTACAAGTCAACCGAGCCTTTGACTTTAGCTTTGAAAAGTTCAAAAAAGATGTTGAAATGGTCACTTCCACTTCTGATAAATTCATGGTGATTTCTTTTTCTCGTAAAGTACTCGGACAAACAGGTGATGGTCATTTTTCGCCCATTGGTGCTTACAATGCTCAAGAAGGCAAAGTGTTGATTTTGGATACTGCTCGATACAAGTATCCAAGTTATTGGTGTTCTATTGACACTTTATTTGATTCTATGAAGCCAGTTGATAAAGAAACAGGTCGTCCTCGGGGCTATTTCCTCTTGAGCTATGATTCTGAACATCCTCCTGTCAGTCTATGTAAAGTAAAGCCTACGAGACCAACTGAACAAGATACAAAGCATGTAAAGAAACAAGACGAGGCAAAATTAAATTGGTCTACACTGGCTAAATCCTTCTGTCATCGTATTCCTGAAAATATGTGGTTAGAAAAGCCAAGAACACTAGAACATGTAGTTCAATTAGTACTGCGCAATATTCCTAGAGAATACACATCCATCCTTGCTAACCAATCACTTGCTTCCTTTAATGCAACAACTCCCGATAAAGCACAGGAATACATTCATGAATTGCTATATGACACCACTAAATTACCTCTGTATCCTGTTGTGATGGATGCACTCTACCCCAATAGACAAAACCACTCTTATACCCCACTCGACTACAATGCCGCATTTGCTACTCTGTTTGTATTAGGATCACCACGCATGCTCTACACTTCTTTACCTAGAGAATTGCAAGATCGCTTAGATAGTTTTAGAAAAAATGATGAAATGACTCTGATTATGCAGCAAGAAGTGCAGCGTATATCAGAAGAAGTGATTGACCTAACTACAACATTTTGTACATGTGGTCCTGGTTGGACTCAAGCTGATTTGACTAAACAAAAGGGCCACTGTAAATCTCATCCCAATTAAATTTTATACATAAGCATTCTTTCTTTCATACAATAAACTGCCATTTTATTTAACATGTAAATGCAAGATTAACATCAATGGGGTGAGAAGCACTCATTTGAGGTCTTTGAAGGTATTTATCACGCAAAATATCACGAACACTGTTCAATAGTTCTTGGTATGTTTGATTTGGGTTCTTGCGCAAAGTGGCTATATAGAAATAAATTAGTATCGTAAAATCGTTTAAAACTTTACTTGTAAAGGCATAGCTCATGGCACCTGTAGCTCTGCCTGATTCATTAGCATCAGCAGAAGTTTGATCATCTTTACAACCAGAAAACATAATCACATCAGCTTGGGAAGTGTTCTTTCTACGGACTCGGTCAGATACATTACGTGCCTCCATCAATTGCTTGCCAAGTGACATGATGGAAGACAAAGCACCTTCTTTATCCCCTTGAGCATAAGCAATACCAGCAGACAAGAAGCCTTTACCAGCATATTTGAACAAGTTCTGTTCCTTGATTTCACCACGAGTGGAGTAAACATAAGGTAAATCTAACACTGTACCTGAATGGCAGCTGTCAAAGATAGCTGTCAATCTACATTTAGGTGGCAATGGTCGGACAAGTAAATCATACATGTCCTATTCAAAAGTCAATTCATCTTTTGCTGTCTATTTGTAGCTAGTTACATCGTCTCTTATTTGTCCAGAATCTCCTTCAAATTGTTCGAAGTCCAAGGGGTAAATAGTTTCATCAAAGGAGTCATCCTCATCATTATGTATGTCTGCAACACGACCACCATGACCACTGTAATGGAAAAAGAAACTATGGAGGGCTGAATAAACCTTTTCTTTTACATCACTATATGACTTACGAATCATCAGGTTCAGCATCATGGACAAGCCATTGCATAGCAGAGATAATGTTTGCCTTAGTTGGCTTGAATTTCTCTTCATCTTGGTCATCTGTTAAAATAACCATATCTTCCTATAATGATAAAATAAGCAAGACTGACTATCGATAGTCTATGCCTACTTCTTTAAAATCATAAAGAGAAGTCAAGAATTGCTTAATGTTTGCAACATCATTGATGCAACCTGTATATGTTAAGTAAGTATTTCTTTGTAATACAGACTTACCACCCAGTTCATTATTGGTGCCCGTGTAGTTGATACCAATCAACAAAGCTCGCTTCTTGCCACGACCTAAGCCAAGAGAGTTGACATAATGTTGATGTATTATGCATACATACAATTGGATAGTTCAAAATTAAGTTGATCATCATCTTTTTCAACCGTAGGGTCAACGTGTAAATAAAACTGATTTCCCGGGCTATTTTCAGTATGATGTGTGGCCATACCACCATAGGGAACTAAGTAGCATATATTAGTAGAGAAAAAAAGGGATTTTGTGTATCTTTACCTGGATGAGGTCCTGGATTATGCTCGGTTTCAGGGGGTTGCTCATAGTTAGGATTAGGGTGATTGTAATCATCTTGGGTAAAATAAGGATCATTACTATCACTTCCTTCTTGTTCATGACGAGGATATCCATAGGAAGATGAAGAATAGCTGCTGGTATGATGAGTAGTCTACGTGTTGGTAAGTATAAAATGGCACATCATCGTGTATTTTACCGTAGAAGAATGATGGTAAGAGCTATACTCTCCATCCTCTTCATTTCTCTCAGAAACTGGGTATCCGTATTTATCCATTTTAAATAAGTAAAGAAGAAGAAAAGCCGAGTTTTATTATTATTTACATTAAAGCCACATAGAAATGGCGGACTTGTCTCTAACTATAGTTTTGTATTACCATGGAAGCCCTTATTGCGATGGCATAAAAAAATTGTTTTGCTTGGTTTGATTATCGTCAAATAAAGACGAAAGTGTCACTATAGAAATTAGAGTTTTTGTTTATCATCGTATGACTTACTCTGCCAGTCTACTCCACTGTCAAAAAACGGTGTGGCTGCTGTAGTAAATAATGACTGCCAAACAGCTGTGGATGCGATATTGGGAGCAGTGGTATTTGATTGTGATGGGGGTGAGAGCGTGTTGTTGTCGGAAGGCGCTTGGTTCCAATCAGAAATAATTGCATGAACACTCATAGGTGATGGGTGGGGTTGTTCTATAAAGGTGGTGTTGAGATTTGTTTGATTTGTGTTTGGTGTTTCCTCTGCATCATTGTTGTTTGTGCTTGATCCTTCACTGCTGTTTTCTTTCTTTTCAACCCCAATAAGATCAAGTAGTGTCTTTATCAGGGAAAGGGCATGATTAGGAATATCAATTTGTTGATTCATAGGATGAATACATTCGTGAATTGATATTTGCACATATTGTCTTGCTGCATTGGCTATTTCAGTTATACTACTGGTGCAATTATATACATGAATTAGACATGCTTGAAATACAGAATAACCTACTGAATGTTTAGAAAACACCATAAAAAAGGGGAGTCTTACCAGCATAATTCCAACCAAAATGAACGATGTCCAAAGGAGAAAGCAGACGTGCAATATCAATTGTATTCTTGGCTGCTTCTGTACAACGATAAACTGCTTCTTCATATAAATCAGGCCAGACTTCAGATCGATCCGATACCAAAAAAGTACGGTAGAGTAGTATATTTACATTGTGATAGCAAACCATCAAAGGACCAGCCTCTCTTATTTTGTTTGACATGATTTGATTCTTGCAAAACGATATTGCTTCTTCTGGTGTAATGCGCTGATGGTCTGGGAGTTGTTGTAGCCAGTCATTCAACATACGGTGGATACTTTGGACTGTATGATATGCAGTAATTGTCTTATAGCCTTGTGCTTTTGCTCTAGGTGAAAATATACGGCGCAAGACTTCGCCCAAAATGCCAGATAGTTTAGCAAAGTTGACAAACAAGGAATAGTCCTTGTTTCCTTGGGTACCTCCTTTTGGATGTGGTAAATCAATATCGCAATCAGCGTCAGCAATGGCAAGTGGTCTGCCCATCACAGCGCAACACCATCGATCAGTAATATATACACAATACCATAAGCGCTTATTAGCTTCAAACATTTCTTCTGTTAATGGTAACTTATCCAATGTTCGGTGAAGACCAAGGTCTTGTGCCTAAATGTATAAAACTTGAACAAAAACTCACGAGTTTTTATATATGCATACCATTCTGACAGCCATGCCTACGCGAAGCCAGTTTCTATAAAGTGCATTGTCACATGAAGGATTTTCAGCAAGAAGTACTAGTGCTTGTATTATTGTGAATCGTGGGCTCAGGTATTCTTTTCGAATTAAATTAGAGGCATGCTCAAGAAGTGTGTCGACGAATTCTTGGCGATTTACATCGGCTTCTTCAAACAATGAGTCATTTTTGGGTGTTATAACACAAGCATATATGCAAATAGCATAGGTTAAAAGGGGAGGAGGAGGAGGTTGAGTTCTTCCTTCATAAGCATCCAAAAAAGGCTCTTTTTCTACTACTGGAATACTTGTATGTCCAATTTGAAAGAATCGAGCAACTAACTTATCAATCAGTGATTTAGGCCCAATATCGTCTTTGAAGTCTAGTCTTTCAGTCTTGAGCTGGTCTACATGTTCAGCCAGCGTTTTATCACGCACTACCATAATGTCATCATCGTTGACATTGATATTTCGAAGCCGTGTAGTGCCTGCGAATTCATCACGCAAAGAAGGTCGTCTAGAATCTTGCTTAATTTCTACTATTTCTTCATTTTCTGTTGTCAAAATATTCTTCATTAAATAGTAGCCCGAAGAACTACCAAGATATCGAACGACTTTACTGTGTTCAACAGAATTGGGTAATGCTACTGTTGCTTCCTTGTGTGTTTCTTCAGAAGAATGTGTATCTTGATTGCTGTTGGAATCACCATTTGAATTGATTTTCTCCAAAAGCGTTTCCATCTTACGAAGTCGATTTTCAAGACTTTCAATGTAACTATGCACTTGTAAACCTCTGTTTGTACTACTGTTTTTCTTTACCCCTTTGGTGGACCTCTTTTCTTTGTAGTCTATATATGCTGTATTGATAATGATGAATTACTAAAGCATAAACACTTACATCATTAAAGGTGCAATCCCAGTCATACTGCATACATGTTGTACATTTGTTTGAGTCCTCGAATTGGCATCTATGCAAGTCTTTAGACAAATTAATCAAATAATAACCCTACTTGCCTAATTTTCTTTCTTCTGCAAACATCACCTAAATGATCAATAGATAAGTATTGCGTGTACACATGTATAGAAACATTACAAGCTTTAGTTACTCTGGATCGTTTTGTGCCTGCAGCAAGCTGTGTGTTTTGCTCAATATCGTTGTATTTTACCTCATCCTTTATGCCTTGTCTGGTATCCATGCTGATCTACTGATTAGTAAGAAGTAATCGAGTTAAAACTGAGTTGGCACCTTTTCTTTTTCTATTTTCAGTACAATAATAAGCCGTGTATTTCTGCAAAAAAACAGAGGAGGAGGAGGGGAGTGAAGGGAAGAAAGAAAAAAAAAAAACTCCCCTTGCTTTCTTGCAACCGGCTCAATAGTTCACCCATACAACACCACGGCTTATTTGTTGCTCAAATCTTAAACCCAAGGAAGGAAAGTTTGTTTCACTACATGCGGTTCTCAATTATGCATGAAACAAACTGAACTTTTTGATCTCTTGTGCTGCCTATTTGTATCCTCCATTTGTGCTCACTATTCTGGAGACACTGACTTATTTCCACTTACGTTGTTAAATTACTAAATTAAAATCCCGTTTCTAGCCAGACCGGGCAATTGGCACAGTGTAACCAAAGTAGGGAACTATGCTGATTAAGTTGTATTAAAATAAAGCATTGGTTTAGCATATCAAGATCGCAAATATTTCTAGAATTCACCTTTCGATTAATAATCCATTCGATGCTGCTTAGGTTGCTTTCCTTTTTCGGAGTAAGTTTTTGGTCGCGTATATAAAGCAAACACTTTTCTACACTTTTTTTTTCACTCAACTTACACTTTTTTCATTAAAAATGGTTTCTAACACAAAGATTATTTTCGCCAAGGTTCCCGCCACCTACCCCGAAGCTGGTGAACACATGGTTGTCCAAAAGGATGAAATCGATCTCGAAGCTGAAATCCCTCAAGGTGCCATCCTCCTCAAGACTTTGGCTTTGTCTGTTGATCCTTACATGAGAGGTCGTATGCGTGATGCTTCCAAGGAATCTTATTCTCCTGCTTTCCCTCTTGGTCAACCCATGAACGGCCACACCATGACTCAAGTTATCAAGTCCAACAACGACAAGTTCAAGGTTGGTGATATCGTCTATGGTATGACTCCTTTTGCTGAATACGCCCTCTTGCCCGAACAATTCCTCGGTTATGTCGAAGTTCGTAACGAAGCCAAGGATTCTGGTATTCCCATCACCAACTACATTGGTATTCTCGGTATGCCTGGTATGACCGCTTATGTTGGGTAATTTTTTTTTTTTTTTGGAAATTTTAAGTTAATCTCGATTTGTATAGTTTGATCAAGTTTGGTAAGCCTAAGAAGGGCGAAACTCTCTACGTTTCTGCTGCCTCTGGTGCTGTTGGCCAATTGGTTGGTCAAATTGGTAAGATCCTCGGTTTGCATGTTGTTGGTTCTGCTGGTTCAGATGAAAAAGTTGCCTACTTGAAGGAAATTGGTTTCGATGGTGCCTTCAACTACAAGACTACTGACACTGCTAGTGCCTTCAAGGAGCTCTGTCCTAACGGCATTGATATCTACTTTGAAAACGTCGGCGGTAAGATGCTCGAAGATGTTATTAACCACGCCAACAAGTTCGCCAGACTTGTCTGTTGTGGTATGATCTCTCAATACAACACTCAAGATCCTTATGGTGTCAAGAACCTCATTCAAATCGTTGCCAAGTCTCTTGAAATCCGTGGTTTCATTGTCACCGACAGCCCTGAAATGCAAGAACCTTTCAGAAAGGAAGTTACACAATGGCTCCAAGAAGGCAAGATTAAGTACAGAGAAACTGTTGCTGAAGGTATTGAAAAGACTCCTGAAGCTTTGATTGACGTTTTGCGCGGTAACAACTTTGGTAAGCAAGTTGTTAAGGTTGCTGACTTGTAAATATAATCATGTAAAAAAAAGTCATTTTTGAATAAACATCATCTTTGCATTATATCATACAATCGCACGTACAAAACTGCTTTTTTGGGTTGGAATGGTTTTGAAAGGCAAAAAGGACAACTAATTTCTTGCCCCTTGTTTTTTTTATTACGTAAAATAAATGATACTTTGCTTTTTGTATTAGTGTAACTTTATTCAAGACATTTTAAGCAACAATTAGATTAGTATGCTGGAGTTTACCCAAGCATAGATTCAGTGTCCTTATGGGGTTCCACAGTTCTTCCTCGAAGAAACAAAACCAGTGATAGTGCCATAGTGCTGCAAGGCCAGCTCCTACAGAAAGCAGAATTTTGTTTTGATAACGGACGTTGTCTTCAGAAGTCAAGGAAATCAGAGCTTGCCACAAAGAGGTAGGCGTAGGAAACACTTCACTCAGGTTAACTTGAGCGAGGTAAGCTTCCCAGTAGCTCCATTCGAAGCTGCAGTCAACGAACATATGGTACTGCATCTCAGCTTCAGAACCATAAACAGAACAGAGTGGAGAGGGAAATCTATTTGGGTTCCAGTGGTTCAGTCGGCTAGTGTTGCCTAAGGCGCCATGTAGCAGTCGCCACCAAGGTGTAACTGCCTTGTGAAGTAGCTGAAGAGACCAAAAGAAACAACAACGAGACATTGGGAGCTGGAGAGGGACAGGCACTGCAAACCGAACAGAATTGTCTTTTGGTCTTGACTGGTTTTGTCAATATCGCTTAATATGGCCAGGTTTTGCTTCAGCCATTTCGACCGATACCTTGAGACCAGGGGCAAGAGTTCAGTGGTCAGTGGCGGCATCCAAGAAGAGACTTCAGGACAACCCTGTTCTACTGCTTCACGTTGCGGTGGCAACCAAACTACCTTGTCCGCAATAAACGGGTGTAGAATGCGGTGCAGCTGAACCAGAACTTCATATATTAGACATTGATTCATTTATTGTCCGAAATCAAACAATTTGGCATAAAGTCTGTTTGATATGGATTGATCAAATCTGGTAATACCTCATTAAATCGATTTGCCAGTAATTTGGTAAACTTTGCATCAGCATCAATTAGCATTAATCAACAATAAAGGACGCCAGTTAGACAAAAGGGTAGGTTCACTCTTTTTGAACAAAAGTACCATTCTTGTATGTTGCCATGTTTCAGGAAATATACCAGCAAAAGCATTTGACAAGACACATGCAAACAGCTTTGCGAGTCTTGGAAATTTAGAAAATAGGTACTTATAGACCTCAAAAGGAATGCCACCCTGCCTAGGGCTTTTACCAATAGGACTATACTTAAGTAGCTCCAATAGGTCATCCACAACGGGTGTTTCAGTCAACATGGAGGAGTCCACTTCAGTGAGGCGGACAATGGAGGGGATAGCAGACAAAAGAGTATTTAGAGCGCCCTGATCTATATCTTCGGGAGAATAGAAAGAGCTATAGAAGGACCTAGCTTCTCGAAGAATGTCATTTGTATCTGTGAAGAGTTCCTCTGCAGTAGAACTACGTAAAGTCTGTACTGTCTGTTGAGACTGTCGCCCTTTGATAACACCAAAAAAGTATTTGTTATGTTCTCCAAATTCATGCCACCTGGTAGCAGGGCGTAGTATATACTGTCTAATCTCCTGTTGTAGCAAAGTTTCTATCTGTTGATTCACCTCTTGCATTAGCGATGGAGACATTGGTCGTGAAGTGAGCAACCTATAACGTTGTGTTTGGGGTTAGTCAAGTTTCCGTTGCGTACGTTTTTTTATCCATGTGTTGTATACATACAGCTCCTTCATACAACTCAGTCAGTCATATTAAAGATACAACACCATCACAGAGTAAGCCTGATTTGGGTGTGGCGGATTCATACCACAGACAACACTACAAATATTTGTCGCCTTTGTATACATACCAACAATAAACAGTCTTAACTGTTGTCACTATCTATTCTAGTACACTCTGATTTAGGCCGCACTCAAAGAATGTCTATCAAGACATTCCAGTCATAATAAATATCTCACGCGATAGTATATAAAGAGAAATATCATAAGCTGAAATAAATCAGTCTTTTTAAGCCTTGTTTGGTTCGGATTACCTTTTATTATCCCAATCTTTCCTTGTATATAACACCATGACTAAATAATTTTACCACATTTCAATGAGTATCTCTCCATGTGTGTTATTTGCATAGCTACTGATGTTCTTAAAACCTTCAACTTTGCCTAATTGAGCAATAGCATCATAAGCATTCACAAAATGGGGAAACAAGCTGACAGAAAAGGAGAGAAGGACCGAACTACCAGTCAAAGCCTGTTGCACAATTGCAGAGGCTTCACGGTTGATAAGATTTGAGGCGAATACATCACTTTTGAATATTGTTGTAGACAAATATTTGATAGGCTGGACAGGAGCATTTTTCTTATTGACCTCAACAAACGTAAGTTGTTTGCCTCGATCAACAATTTGGCTCCAAAGCGGTGACTAGGAGTTCATATTTAACGAAAGAGCTAAAAGGTTTTAAGCAGATAGTTTTTATTGTTTTTGTCTAAACGACACACTCAAACTTTATAGAGGTATTGGATGTAAACGATACTTTCTCATCAACACAGTAATGGGATTATTGTTATTGGAGCACCGCCAAATTCAGACATAAATGATTGGATCGGTATATACATCTCTATTTTGCCGTTTCAATCCTGCATAATTTATGATTAAGACTATTTCGCGCTTACTGCGTCTACGATGTTTAAATTTGCTCGTCCAATACAATAATTTTGAAAAATACTTTTTCCAGATCGAAAATAATCAATGCAAAATCAAATGAGAAAACCTGCATCCTTTTTTTTTCTTTTTTGAAAAACTAAAATTCAATGAGACCTATTCAACCAAAGCCCTCAAATTCTATTCAACCTTACCCTCTAAATAATAATATACCTATTATTACTCAATATGAGTCTATAGCGCCCTATGGTGGAATACAGTCAAACAATAGGCCGGAAAAGAAACGTAGCAATAGAGCTTGGTAAGAAGATCTATATCCTTTGACTCTAATTTAATTGATCCAGCGACGAATGCCGCCGCAAGAAAATAAAATGTCAAAAGACAGAAGACGAAAGTATTTGCAAAAATTGCATTAGTTCAAAGATAGGATGTACATACAATATAAGGTTTGTTAGCAGTAATTCATGATTACTAAAGCATTTACACTGCATGTAGCTTAAAGCGAAGAGGTCCACCTCGAGGGTAATTTCTAATTTGTCTAGATATTTCATATACCAACATCTTGATCAGATATATAAATTTGTTAGAGAATCGACTTGAACACATTGAGGAATTAATCTCAGATATGTCTGGAACTTCAACAGCACAACACAGTTCATTAGAAGAAGTTAGAAAGAGTAGGAAAAAGATCAAGATAAATAGTTTTAAAGAAGACGAGAGTACAACAAAAGCGGTTATAGAAACAAAGTTACCGCCCGAGGGAAAGTTTGTGAGCGGGGAAGGCGTTCACTACATCTTATCAAAAAGACTCAGGTCTCTAAAAGACAGTGGTTTCGCTGCTCGTTATGGATTTGAAATTCAACACAGCGAAACTAGTGATTATTTTTATGTTCAGAAATCAATATCACCGAACGATCGCCGTGAACGTCAGATTCGAGAATTAGTGCATACTGGATTATTGAAACCAAACGAAACTGTCAAAAGCATTGATGATTGGATATTTAGAGTTGCAGGCATTGATAAAACTTTGAGTGATCAACTGCTTAGAATGTAAAAAAGAAAAACCGTTTCTTGTTGTACAGCGATCTCACTTTTTTAACAGTTATTTTGCTAATATCCATCCATTACTACCAGTTATCAACAAAACCGTTTTTTTTGGAAGAGTACCGAGGCATTCGCACATCATTTCCAGCCGGACCATTGTTAAATGCAGTCTATGGTGCTGCTGTACGATTCATTGAAAATAGTAAGCAGTTTGGCGATTCGGAATCACTCAACAATGGAAGACCATGGCAATATCCTCGCAATTTTGCGGAATCATTATTTGAAAACCTCGTCAGTTTCTTGAAAGGAAAGTATGCTCCTAGTTTGTCATCAATACAAGCTATTATTATAGCACAAAATCACTCTATCAATGTTCAAAGCTGGAATTCTACGTGGCTACTCAATTGTATTGTAAGATAATTTCTGTTTGGAAATTCACTTGTGTTAAATTAAAACACAGGCTATAAGAATGGTAAAGTAAAGAACACTTGGGAAATGCAACAGGTTTTTATATACGTGAGTAGAGTCAAGATATTGGGCTACATAGATCAACTGAAGGTTGGGATTTGTCTGAAGAAGAAAAACAAACTCGTAGAATAGTATGGTGGACAGGTAATCACGATGAATTTCAAATATTGCTTTCATTGCTCATTTTGTTTTCTAAAGTTTATTTACTTGACCGCTGGTACAGTGCAGGGACAGGACATCCATTGACTGTCTTTGATGAGGTAATCCTTTTTCTTTTGAATGCTCTTATGTTCATCGTATATAAATAGGATTGTGATGAAACTTATCCATCCGAAAATGTTAGCATGGATGTAGTTATGGACATTACGACAGAAGATGACCAGCATTTACCAAGATTTCCTTCGTTAGATCAAGATCTTGCTGATAGAGTAAAAGACCATTTCGTTCCTTTAAATCAGCCTTTCATTCAACTCTTAAAACTTTCCAAAATTTTGGGCCTCATCTTACAGGGTTTATACTCTCCTCGAGCTAAAAAACATAGCGAAAAATATGGAAGTGATGCTATTGTTGCTTATTTGGACGATGCATTGTCCAAATGGAGATTGTCTTTACCTCCGCTCCTACAAATAGCAAAACCAAAAGGAGAATGTTTTATTAACAAGACGTATATACCTATTGTTTCCCCTTCAAGTAAGAACAATACGATAACATACGATACTGATAACAGGTAGGTCTGCTTTCCTTATCCTATTATACTCTCTTGATTCTCTTGTATCGACCTTTTATTGAGCGGGTAAACAAGAAGAATAATGATATACTAGAAAAAGACAAGCTTTCCTCTCAAGGTTCACTTGCAATCTGTATCAGCGCAGCTATTCGAATAGTAGAAATTGCAGAAAGTATGCTTTATCGAGACTTTTTGATGTTCTCTTGGGGATTTGCTTTATATCCTGTATTTACAGCGGCATTAATTCATATCCATAACTGCTCAAGTTCCAGTGAAACAATATCTAAAGTTGCAAAGGCACATCTTGTTCGTGCACTGGCTGTTATTGATAAGCTGTGCTTATTATCTCCAATGTTTTTGGGCATGGCGCGCATTCTAAAGAAAATAGTTTCCATCAGTCCCTTCTTTAAAAATGATACTGAATTTCTAGCTTCTGTAAATTTTCAAAAGGATGCAAACCCTTATCTATCTTTCTCTGATCAAGAAGAAAAAGAAAACGAATCAATAAGCTTGCTGGAAATTGCCAAAAACATTAGTAATGCGGAGAGAATAGATCTGATCAAAAGCTACTGGTTTCCAAAAGACCAAGGTCAAGGAACAAATATAACAAAAGACAGATTGCAGCCAGAACCTGATATGGATTGGATAAAAGAACTGTATACACCATCTGAACAAACTGCATATCTACAAGGTAGTTTTGTTTCTTTTTTTTTATTGACTGTTAATGAATCAATTACATTCTGTAGACCCTTTTGAGGTCTTCGATACAAGTCCTTTAGGAAAAGAGCAGTACAAACAAAATATTTGTAATATGAATGCTTATTCCATCCGTCAATTTGGTTTATGTATGCAAGCACCAGAACTGCAACAACAACGACAACAGCAACAAAAGCAACAACAGCAACAAAAGCAACAACAGCAACAGCAAGCATTTGCTAATCTGCATCAACCCTTTAGCGGGCTTAGTGTTCCTTCTTGTTATGAACATCCAGCCACAAATACGTTGTTTGAGCTTGCAGACTTTTCCTTCCTTTTTCGTCATGAAAGATCAGCGAGTGATATGAAAACTTCCGCAGCTTTTATGAGCCAAGTTACTCCTGAATGGTCCATCAACAATCAAGCCGGATCCACTACCAATCAAGCCTCAAATAACGTGTCTTCAGAACAAATTTCTTCAATGGGAAGCCAAGATCCTCTGGCGCAGTTTAGACATAGACCGGATAATCCGTTTTGGGGAATTCCTAGTAGTATTGAACTTGAAGAATGGAAAGCTTTTGTTCTTCAATACCAACAACAAATGAAAGATATTTAATAAGATCATCGTTAGTTTATTGTTATCGCTTGTTTGTTTTTTAATGACACAAATTATTTTTTTTTATTAAATACAGTTGATAATAGAAAGAAAGGAGATTGATTAAGCCAAAGCAATTTGTGAAGGTTTGACAAAGATGCCTCTATTTGGAGAAGTGGTAAAATATCTTTTTCCATTTAGGAACCCATCGTTTGAGCCAACTAAAGTAACGTTATGAGTAAAATGCTGTATTATTTATGCAATAAAATAATTTTACCACTTCTGTCCAACTCCAGACCCAAGAAGATTTCATTATTATCACCCGATAGTTTTCCCACATACATAACAGTACCAATGGTCACTACAGGTCTATTAACCAGCTGAACTCGTTGACCAATTTTATAAGAGGCTTGACCAAACAAGATGGTGCTTAACCTTGAGCGTATCTTGCTTGTGTTCCAATGTGTATTCTTTTTCCTAGACATGGAATAAAATCTTTTATTTATAAACTTATTTTTTGAGTCATCGTCAGCTAATAATGCACTTGATGGTACAACCAAGTCTAAAATAAAATATTGTGTAAATAGCATTCATATGACATGTATGTGTTTCTGTTTCATCTACCTTGCGCAAGTTGTTCTATCACACTTTTGTCAATTGTGTTCAATTCTTTTATCTTGTCTAAGTGTTTGGCTATAAATCTTATCGTTTTGGTTCTTGCAGATTGCAGAATTTGTTTCACGGAGGGCGTTCTTTGAACTGAGTCTCGGCACATAAGACTCCGTACAATGCCTTTATAAAGCGAAACTACGTTACATTCATTCATTTCGTCCAGCACCGTGTTAAACAGATAACCCAAAAAGCCGAAAGAGTATATAATACCATCCACACAAGGCAATAGCTTTGGATATTGAGTGCAATAAAAGTCAAAATGATCTGCTAACAATCTGGAGCTAGCCTTTTGCACTTTTTTCTGTGTGGCAGCTAATAAAGACCAATGGCTTTGATGACTGTGTTTACTCAAGAAACAACCATGTAAAGCTTCAATAACATTGTTTTTGTTGACATGTTCTAAAAGTCTGGCTTCCAAATAAGCATGCAGTGAGTCGGTCTCTACTAAAAGCCAAGCCATGGATTCGCTTGACCAATATGTAGGCAGTGTCTTTTCTGGGTCTTGAATTAATAGCTTGAGAATTGAGTGAGTAAGCTGACTCAAGTTGGGATCGTTTTGGCTATTTGGACCAGCAAAAGAAAGCAGCTGAGGAACGAGACATATACAGCTTTCACAATAGCATATTAATCCATGTGTTAATCGAATGATATATTCTTTTATCGCTAAACACAAGTCATCCATGCCTAAATAGTCTGCTGCTAAATACACTGATTGTAGTTGGTCCAACTGTTCTGAGCTCCGATCACCCGATATTAATTCATTCATGTTGTCGTTTTCGTTGTCGTCTTTTATATGCTTAGTGTACATAAAGTAAAGTATGTCGTCTAAAACAGAAGCAGAAAAGATACCACGAGGTAAAAAAATAATAGAGGCTTCTGCTTCTTGAAATTGACTATCAAATATAGCATTAAAGTAATTGGAACTTGATTTCAAGATATCTTTATGACAAACTCTATGCGTCTTTTCAGGAACCGTTTTGATAGATGAGTCGGGTGTTGATGGATTTGAATTTGTTTGTTCACTTGGCCCTAAAGCAAGGATAACATTGTGTGTAGAATTTGATCCAAAAGATTGTTTCCGCATGAAAAGTTAAGTGAACGTATATAAATAGTATGTATAGAGAAAAGAAAAGAAAAGAAAAGAAAAGAAAAGAGGAGAAATATAAAAGTTTATATTGTATCTACCGTATGATCTTCAAATTGCCAATTTGGAAAACTCAGAGTGGCAAATAAAACTTTTGCAAAATAGACCTTGTCAATCTGCATAAGAGACATTAAAAAGGCCATTTGTCTAAGCAACTAGAAGAGAAACCGCTGGCTGAATGCTAAAAAGAGTTTCTAGTTGTATTAGCGAGGAAATTTCGAAGTGTGCTCCAGATAATCTAGGGTTTGAATTGTCTCTATCATCAAATTAAGTGTTACCGGAATGGAAACGAGCAAGTTGTCTTAATTTATCGTAAGTAATTGGCTTGGCAAGAATATCAGCGAGATTGAGCTCTTTTCTGTTTTTTGTAAGACGCCATACCATAGTGTTGTGTTTCGGACATCATGAAGAGGGATAAAAATCTTATCTGCTTTTTTCAAAATAATAAAAACGTATTGTTCACTCATTCGTATCGTGTTTCTTTTTTAGCTAATCTTCAAGTTTATTTTATTATCTTAGTTGGATTTCTTTCCTCGTGTATAGAAGTACCATGCAACTCCAGCCACGGCAATGATAGAGCCAAGCGCCACAATAGCGCCAATTGTATCGCTTCCCTCATTCTCATTGTTTGTTTTTGTACGCTTGACTCTTCTCTTCTTTTTCTTTTTATCTCCGCTACTATTGCCTGCATTGGCCGACTTTTTCTTTTGTTGTTTTTGCTGTTGTTGTTGTTGTTGTTGTTGTTGTTGTTGTTGTTGTTGATGCTCTTTGGTTAAATCCCAATCAATGGTAGTAACTCCGGCAGGAACGACCAAATTGCCTGTAGTGTCTAATTTGATGGCTCTTCCAAACCATTTGCCAGCAGTCCAAAGGTCTTGTTCTACACCCATACCATTAGCGTACAAGATACCAATATTAAAACAAGCCTGAGCATGGCCCAACAATGAGGCTTCCTTCCAGTATCGAATGGCCAAGTCCGGATCAACTTGTACTTCAGTTGCAGAATGCACCTTTTCGCCTTCAGGCTGTGATCCATACAAATAAATCAAACCGGTTTGGAAAGCTGAACTGCAGAAATAGCGCTCATCACGTGTGTGAGGAGCATGGTTGCGCAGCTTGTTCTTGGGAATATGCTCCATATCTAAAAGCGAGAAATCAATATCAATTCGAGGTGCAGTGATTGTCATGCAACGGTTATAGTAATAAAGTGCATTTTGATAATCTTTTTCAATATCTGCTTCAGGCAATCCAGTACCATAAGAAGTGCCGACAATATAGCATGCAAGAGGATCAGGACCATTGCTAAGCTCTGTACCAGGTTCATGTTGCTCACAATCAGCAGCACGCTTGTACCATTCAAATGCCTTTTTACTATCTTTTTCGGGAATCTTTTTAGCAACGGTAGTTTCCTTATTTGTCTCGTAAATTCCTGCAGCCTTGATCATTGACTGTGTATGCCCTCTTTCTGCTGCAGACAAGAAATACTCGAGCGCTTTCTATAAGTGTAATCTGTTAGCTTGACAGTTAAGCACTAAGATGAATTCACTTACAATAAGATCTCCCATACGAACTTCAAACCATTGGCCCAATAAATAAGATGATGTCACATCCATAGTATTTGTCTTGTTGTAAGGCCCAGAAACTGGTACTGCCCATTCAGCAACATCATCCTCTTTTTCCAAATGAATTGTCAGAATCCTGTATTTAGGTTTCTTGAGGTGAGGTGGTGTAGCAATAGCAGGAGGAGTGTGAAGAAGAGTAGGCGAGTTTGGCTGCGAAATACTATCTGTATCTGACATGGTAGGTGAATTGGTTGTCTGAGCCAAGAGCTCAGACATTTCCGAGAGCCCTGTATCAACTGCTGCAGGCAAAATCATAGAAGAGTTGGGTGAATGATTGGGTGAAGACATAAAAGCAAAAGAAGAAGCAATAGAAAGACTGGGTGAAGCTGTGAGTGAAGAAAAAGGTGACATACTGTTCTTTTCCAACTGCCAAAGCGACTCGAAATGGTTGATAGGTTGAAAGAGTTTGGCCTAAAAAGTCGTAAGAGTCAAGTCTTTATCATAGTATGTATATGAACTACCTGGAAAACAGGCTCTTGACCCTTAAGACCTGCTGTAAGGTATTGTCTTTCGATAACAATATCCAAGTCCTTTGCCTTTACAGACTCGGGAACCAAAAAAGAAATAGTAACCTGGTCGTTACTTTGGCTCCATACATAAGTGTTGGTTTGAAGCTGTTCGTCGTTCTCTGTCATATCACCCCGGTTTTCAATTGAGTAAGACAAAGATAAAAAAAATGAAATGAAAAGCAAATGTTCTCAATTCAAGTCACATTAAGTTGTGACTTAGTGTACTATTTTCTTTGCATAAATGCAGAAAAAAATGTTGTGCTCCACTCCAACCATGAACAAATTATGGGCTGATGTGACTCTTTTCTCAATATATGTTGCTTGTCTGATGAATTATTGACAAATATATTCTACATTACTATATCTATCTACTGACAAAATGGGATGACTACTTGGTTGCAGCCCCTCGCTCAATTATTATAATACCAATATGACTTGTAGACATTGTGTGTATTGAAAATGCTCTTATAGCTCTTTCAGATTCAACATAAGTGTCTTTTTCTTTTACAATTGCAGTTTGCGTTGAATTGAAAATTAAGCGTTTGTGACATAAATACTGCTGTCTTTGGTAGTACTCATGCCAGTCAAAATTTTATCTTTTAAAGCCTGAAGAGAGTGTGGATAACTAGAAACTCCCTCACATCGCCCTTTGGCACTGCGTTAACTGTATTATTTTGACCCTAAAAATAAACAAACAAAATGTAAAAGAGAACGCATTCACCCTGTACTCTTATTTTTACAGAATCATATCTTTTAATCCTGAGACATTTTCAGTTCAAGCTAAAAGAAAAATTGTAGATTTTTATTTATGCGAGAGGGTTATAAAAACCAACGGATTGCCAGTGAGACAAGTATTTGCTGAATAAGTTTGCATCAAGAACAGGAGAATCATTGATTGTAGGAGCCAAAGCGCTAGTCTTCTCAGTCTTCCAGACAGGCATCTTAAAAAAACTTGTAAAATTGGCTTCATAAAAGGACATGAGACGATAGCAAGGGTTCGATTGGTCCTTGGATAAGGTTTGGATCCATTCTACAGGTTCAACAATGTCAAACTTCATTCCAGAGGCCTTCATGGCTTGAAGAACATCGTTCCAACTAATAAGATGAGGGTTCACAATGTGATAGATATATTGGTTCTCTTGAGTGCAAGCATGAGCAGTACGGAGCATAATATCAACGATAGTAGCAGCAGCATAATCAACACTGATCCAGTCAACCACATTATCTAATTTGGGCATCTTTTTCATAATAGAGCCACCACCAACAAACATCATGGGATATTGTTCAGTAATGTTCCAAACACCATTCACAGAGTCGCCACAGACCTGTCCAACACGTTCAATGTAACAAGGAAAATTCTTTTCAGTAGTCAAATAATCAAAGAGCTTTTCAACGATAAATTTAGATTGAGCATAACCCATTGGCATACAAACATGAGCGTCCAAAGGCAATGGCTCCTCTGCCACTTCGTCACCAACAGCAGCACTTGCAGAAACACTTGAAATGAAATGTACATGCATAGGATTGACTTGATGGTACGCAAACTTCAAGAGATTGTAGAAAGGCTCAATACATTCCTTGACATAATGATCAACAGGCATATTAAAGTCCAGTAGCCAGGCACAATGCTGAACAATAGTAACTTCATTCCTAAGTTGGTCGTAAATTTCTTGTCCAAAACCAAGAAAAGGTTCACTAAACTTCATGGGCAAGACTTCTACACGATCTGTGTCCAAGAGTGATATATCAAGAGAACGAGACTTGAAAGCATCCAAAAGACGTTGGCGTAACTGCTCCTTTTTGCCACGGATACAACAGTAAACCTTCTTGACACTAGTATCTTTCAACAAGTCACGCAACATAAAAGAGCCAAGTGAGCCAGTAGCACCAGTCAAGAGAATAACCTTTTCTTTCTTTTCATCGTATTCGTTGCGAGCAACAGAAAAGTCAGCCTTGGCTCTCTTAATATAAGTCATTGTCAAATCTTGTGTTTGTTGATAACGCTTTTCAGTTTGTTCAGACATGTCTTGTTCTTTGTCGTTCAACAGAGCTTCACGCATCAAGCTGATGCTAGGATTTTGGAACAAAAAGTTTTGAGGTACATTATCAAAACGTTCAGCAATCTTGTTACGAAGCTGAATCGAGGTAAGAGAGTTAAGGCCAAGATCAAAGAGCGATTGAGAGCAATCGTTTAATTGAGACTTGTCTAGATCCAATACCTCAGCAGCAGATGTCAACAAGAATTCTTCTGTTTGTTCTAGAGTCCAAGTAGAAGTGTCAGAGTTGGATTTGTCAGCATTGCGTGAAGGTCCTTCTAAGAAGTTTCTATAAAGCTTTTCGATTTCATCCTTGAACATGTCATGAGCAACCTTTCGCTTCACTGTGCATTTATCAGTTGAGGGTAAAGACTTGCTGAAAGGCAAAATCTTAACCATTTGAGGCAGGACTCGGCTGTGGCTAGGACATTCAACATTAGCTCGCTTGATAGCTTCATGAACACCAGCAATAATCTCATCAGGACTATAGTTTAGAGCATGCTCAGTATCAAGCTCAATTAAAGCAGCGGTACATTGTCTTCCTTGACCAAAAATTGCTACTTGCTTTACCAAATTGCTTTCACGGATAACGGCTTCCATAGGAAGAGGGTTGGTCTTTTCGCCGTTCTCCAGAACCAAAGTATCGTCGCGACGACACAAATAGATATAATAACCAGGATTATTAGGATCTTCCTTGAAGAGATCATTGGTATCATAACCACCATCAGGACGATTTCCCACATTAGTAGCCAAACTAGGACTATCACCACGAAAGTAGAGATGCTTCACATCAGGTTCTGAGGGATCGTTTGTTTCAAACACGCCATAATCATTGCCCTGAGGATCTTTGAGATACGTTCTAAGAGAGTTCCAAGCAGAATTTTGAGGTGAAAGATCAGATGTCATGATGACACCAATTTCAGTTGTTCCATACAAAGTAACAACGTTGATGCCTTCCTTACGAAGCCAGTCACCAGACTCTTGCTTAAGAGCAGCACCACCATAAATAGCAAATTTAAGACGTCTCATTGAGCTGAAGTCATTTGTCGCTTTGAGAAAAGGAATCATCTGTTCAAGAATAAGAGGAGGAGCACCAAAAGCAGTGACATTATTGCTTTTAAGAGCATAATCAATGTCCTTGTTAGAAGCAGGTAGCTTTTCCATAAAGACTACACTACCACCAACAGCAACCATACTAAAGTGAGTGAGAGTACCAAAGAGATGGAAACTACACAAGTTAAAAAATGAGTATGAAACCAAGATAAAGTAACAGATCAAAATAACTTACAGAGGGCCACAGGAAAGCATAACATCTTCATGGGTAAGAGGATCTAATCCTTTTGTAGTGGCAACGTTGGCATTGATGGAAGTCATCATTTCAAACAAGTAGCGGTTGCTAAGATAAATTGGCTTAGGGAAAGCAGTAGAGCCAGAACTACGGCAAAAAGAGAGTTAATATGCGATGTCTATAAAAGAAGAGTATATAATATTACCTGTGAATAATCAGAGCATCCTTTGTGATATCTTGATCAGAGAATCGATAATCAATGATTTGCTCATGGTTGGAAGGAAGAGCTTCATCGGCAAGAGTTTCAATATCAAGAGGCTCAACAATAACTAATTTGACATCACCGACTTGATTTATAGCATCCTGGGTAACATCGCTGTACCTAACATCCGCAATGATGAACTTGGTCTTGGTTTTCTCTAGCAAATTAGCAATAGCAGCTTCGGAATTGCGAGGGGATACAGCCATCATAGTACGGCGTAGCTTTAGTAAAGCCAACATGACAATAAGATAATTGATGGTATGTTCGCTGATATAACCAATAACTTCAGTGCTCTCTGCGTACTCCTTCCATTTACAAGCCAAATTGGTGGCCATACGATCAACTTGTGCATAAGTCAGAGTCTTGTACAATTTGTCCTTAGAGAGGTAACGAGCAAATACTTTGTCTTGATGAAGCTTTGCTTGATTGTTCCAGAGGTTTACAAATGCTTTGAAATGTTCAGTCATTGATTGACCTGAGGTAAAATCGACGTCTGTAATAATAGTCATTGTATCGAAATGATGATGAATGAAAGTCGTATTGATTCACTCCCTATATATACTTTTTCAACCTGGATAATATTTCACTTCATGCTCATTAAGTTGAGATAAGATTCATTGGACTAACATCCTTTATTAGTTAATGTTTGTTGCCGGTTAAACTTTCTACTTCCAAAATACTTAAAATAAAAAAAGAGCGCACATGTAAGCATTAAGGAGTTCTAATAAAGCAGCTGCTGTACATGCATCTTAACTAGATATGTGTTCATTATAGGAGTAATTTCGATCGGATATTTGGGGTTATACTTTTATACGTATTGCGCAAGACTCTTTGACGGCTCAAAGATTAACTTAAAAAATCATAACAAACGGCGGTTGTTATTATAGTTTAATTTCGCCAAAATTGGCTCATTTAATGTTACAACGGTTCCGTCATTAGCTGAATACTTCTGCGGAAACTAGAATATTTCGGAATTCTGCTTCATTTCCATGATAGGATTTATTTAGTAAATACTATCCATAAATTATTGTTAGAGAATATGATCAGAATCAATGCCAACAATCATTATACACAAACAATCTAGGAGAGGTGAATATTAAGATAAAGCGATTAGGTGTGACCGGTTCTATATGTCTTGACATTTGGCCCCTTTTCTAATTTTTGCATTGACGCTTTGTTGTCTTTAACATTATTCTAATTGAGGCCCATTCTTTTCATATGCTAACATACGTTAATTTACATCTGCTCGTAGATAAAAATTAAGCCCACATACGCCTCTAAATACTCAACAGGTAAGGACAAAAATGTTGTAATAAAAATATTGCAAGATTTTGTAGCTACCGGATATCAGAGTATAATTGAAGAGCCTAGCAAAAAATTATGCAATAATAGTAATAAAAGTCTGTGTTAATAAACTTATTGATTTTTTTTGTAACAAAGAATAGCATCATTTTCATTCTTAATAAGATGCTTTTTGAAAGCTTCTCGCTTGAGAATCGTCTGTTGTCCGCATCTTATGCCTCGCAATTCTTTTCTCCACTGTAGACAGCACTAGGGCATTCTTTGTAGTACATAACCTTATTTTTTTTTAAAAGGCTTTGAATTGATAATTCTGAGCTGCCAACCAACATTCAAATCAGTACTAAGATATTTACCTGCCTTTTCTGATTTGTAGGCATGAGATACTTCCCCAGTAGTACCATTAGGATACTAATTTTTGAGTTAGATTCTGAGTATATCACCAGCCGCTGTATTATTAGTTTCTTCAGGCATTAAGACGGTATGAAAATGAAAAAAATTGACTGATTTGACACATGTAAACAAATGTTACACAATATTGTCGCAGGACTCTTCAATCATATCCCAGTGTTCGGTGCCCAAAAAAGCACAACATCTTTTATTTCAACATTGTTATCCGACCTCGTCCGCGCCAAGTGTTTCTCCGGCAATTCAAAACTTAGTCCTACGATGTTATAATAACTGAAGACTGGTCTTGAGTATAAAATAGTATAAATACTGTGAGGCAGAGAATACGAATTAATTTCATCTCATTTTTATTCTCTGCATCACAGGTAAATAGTATATTATGATTATTATTCTTATTCTCTAAATCACAACTGAGTTTAATGTAGGCTTCGATAAGCCACAGACGTTCGACATCTTTTTTTTTTTCAAATACAGTAGCAACTTCTCTGTATCCTCCAAGCTTCAGCCGTTTGGTTGGAGAAGTTCTTACAATCAGTTACTTAAATCAGTTTTCTTCTGTAGAAGCCGTCCTTTCTAGAAATCATCTAAAAGTTACTCTGGCAAACGCATCTAACACTAACAAAAGAAAGAGGGTATGTGAAGTTTATGGCTTTCTTGTTCTGCTTGGGCAACAAATTATTTCAACTTGAAAAACTAGCTTAGCAAGTTACTTATTTCGTGATCAAATGGCAATATCCGAGAAAGAAAGATCTATAAGTATCTCAATTTATATTGTCCAATAAACAAGTATAGGAACTACAAGGAAAGAATGTGACATGCGAAAAAGAAAATAAATGAAATATAAACCAAGCACTCGTAGAGAGGCTTCCAGCGCCTATTATTGTCTTGAAATCAATACCTGCATTGTATTGTATTGTATTGGAAACGAAGAACTTTTTATGCGTTTGTACTATTGCTATTTTTGAAACACAGAGATATTCAGTAAAACAAATGGTGCACTGTGATTTGTGACGACCTGAATATTGAACTTTTGCAATCTGCACCTTTATTTTGAGATTCGTTATTTTGTCGTTATATAAATTTACGTGTAACCAAGAGTGTAATTCTTAATTACAACTCTTTCATTCACTTTCATTTCTCCCCATTTCTCTCTAAAACTTCTAAAAAAACACACATACTATCTCAAGACTACTTTTATAATTATCACTTTTATTACCAGCATCACTTGGTTAGTTTTAATTATAATTTGCAATCATTAGTTACAAACTTATTAACAAACAAATAAAGTTGGTATTATTCTTTTAGTTAAAACAACAGTCCACAAATTAACTGTTCCTTTGCTTTGTATGTAGTTGATTAGAAGTCCGTACAAAATGAGTGATTATTTCTTCTTTAGGAATAAAGCAAATAAGACAAATATACAAATTTCTTATTAGACACGCTTTGGTGAAAGCATAATGTGAGGCATGTCATCATATGTCTTTCTCTTGGTTGTTTTCGTACTAGATTCCAAAAAAATTGCATTATTTAAGGAACGCAAGGACGCCTATAGTGTTTGCTTAGTTTACATTTCAAATGCGACAATATATTCAAGCAAACTCACCTTGATTTCGAAGATGAAGAGAAGGAAGCTCTCCAATTTTGTTTGAATTAGTCTTTGATCATATGGTATGGCCAAAGTAGCTACCTTTTTTGCCACATAAAAGTCTTCTTTTTCATACAGTTGGCAAACTGTGCCCGACCAGCCTATAATGCAAATATGTTAGTAACAACAACAAAGTAGAGTCTTCATCATGTATTACCAGACCAAGTAATAGACATAATGTCCTTTTTCAAATCGAAGGCAGACTTCAGTGATTTTTGAAGACATTGCGTTAATCTCAACGTCTTTGATTCTTGATGTTGCAGAGACTTCTGGTTTGCGTTTCTTGTCTTAAACTCCCAGAAAGAGAGCTCCTGGTCATCGTCACCAATAATCTTGAGATCAATTTTTCGTCCAGTGTAGCTTTTTTTTCTTGAAGAAGAAGTATGAGCAAGACGAAATGAAGTCGATTTAGAGATAAAAATACTGTCCTTGGAATTTGAGAAGCTGCTCTCATTGTATGTTATGAATGGTTTTGTTACTGCTGCTACAGTTTCTCCAATTGCTATCTTTAAGTTTGCGTCACGAAATACGATTCGAAACAATTGTTTTACAAAAGCAACATGATCGGCTTCTTGGACATGATTGTTGTTGTTGTCTTTCATCAAAGTGTTAATATTGTCGATAATTTCATAGGCCTTTGCCTCCAAGGAGCATTCTTGTTCTTCTTCATAATCAACTCTTTTCAAAAGTATATACTTTCTTGCTGCTTTCAAGTTACTTTGAACACGTTGGACAAAATCTTGAGCAATTTTTTTGAGCTTGGCTTGTTCTTCTTCAGTAAGTTCGTTATCTGTTTTTAGGTTTGACCACATGCCAAAATGATGTACAGGAATATGCTGCTTGAAATATTCAGCAATATCTTCATCAACCAAATCTATAATTCTTGACAGAGAAAGCTTCAAGATATCCTGTTCCATACAACCCAAGTCATCGTATTTCTTAAGAAGGCTAAGACTCAACTTGTCAAGCAATGTGGGGACTTCATTACTATCATAGGACTCAAGAGCTTCAATTATTTCTTTCTTTTCCTCAAGGAAGGCGGGCAGATCTTCACTCTTCTTTTCTTCCAAGATATTGTTGATAACTTCTTTAGTTTCGGCAGTAATGATCACGTAATTCTAGAAAAGGTTTCAACCAATGAGATTACTGGAAAGCTGTTCTAGAAGGCGGTGACGTCTGTGTCTGTGTATTGATAAAGTAAAGTACTTACAGTTATCAATAGCACAGTATTTATACTTTTCTATTTGAACTAAATATGTCATCTAAGTCTGTAAAGTAAAGTACCATCAATGACGAGTCTGATGTAAGCGATGATATTATAGCTGCCTTCCAAGGATTAGGTTCAAGCAGACTTTCTTTCTCTTTCGATTGCTTGACGTTTGCGGCTTGAACCTTCTCTTATTTGGGTTGTATCTGACTGGTAAGTTATACTGCACTTCTATTATTTGCTTTTTATCTTCTTTCTCCACTTCCACGACAATATACATCCATTGAAAGAGAACAGATCTCAAGTCGTTACTGTTATATGTCTATAGACAAGCTTAGTAAGAAAAAAATTAGGGATTGGTGAAATGCATGGCTTACCTTTAGTCTTTTCCAAATGTTAATATCACAAACAATATGAGTTCCCACGTCAATATTTGGTCGATGTCTCTTTAATATAGAGGCAAAACGATCTCGCCGTTTCGCCATCAACTGTTTTAGTGTACAGTCTTCGCTGTCAATTATATCAAAGTGTTTCTCAATAAACTCGTTAAGTGTAGGGTTATCGGCAAACTTCACGTACAATCGTAGTTCTATTTTTTTTTTTTTTTTTTGATAAAATTAGGTTTCAAACTATATCACAACTGTCTTTACTCACCTTTTCCTCCAGTATACATTGTGAATAATAAAGTCAAATCAGTTATAAGTTGAGAATCAGAAAAACAGTTGGTTTAAAGTAATGAAATGAGAACAATAGTAGAAAAAAATAATAGTAAAGGGAAAGGCTTAAAGAATTTTATTATTTCTACGCGTTATGTTACTCCGATGGCACTAAAAAGGCAGGTACAATTCATGCAAAGTTATATTGAGTATGTGCCAAACTAAGTAAATAGAATAAAACGAAAGGTATGCCACTGCTATGAGTGGAAAAAAAAGGTAAAAGAAGGATTACAGTCTTGTGTGTACTTGCTTTTCATCTGCGAGCAGCTGTAAAGAAGTACGTGTTTGTTGTAGGGTGGAGTAGGTATCAAAAGAGATGTTTCCGATGATAAATCTTCAATGCGCTTTCCATACTTGTGAGAGGGCGGTAATGACAATGTCAACAACGGTTAAGTTTTTCTTTTGTGAATAATCTATTCTGGAGAAGTTTAGTGTAACAAGTGCTTGAATAACATCTTTGGATTTTTGTGGATCTAGTCTCTGATGCACTTGCATCTTTCAAACCAACTGTCCTCTGTCAGTACCCATGGTAACCTTTATCGGTCTCTCTGAGATCTGGAAGGCCCATTGGACCCATACCATGCAGAACCAACCATTCCATTAACTCTCTGTTCTTCACAGCACTCGCTATCAAATTAAGCGTATAGCTGCTGAAAATGACCTTTCATCTTGAGAGGTCTTTTCTCGCAATAGCTGCTCTTTTTTTTCTTGATTTCTTTGTACTTTTGAGATTGTAGTACCCTTTTTGTTTCTCTTAACCCTCTTATAATAAATAATTGTCGAGCACCTCTTTTAGTGGGTCCCTCCCAGGACCACTAATACGTGCGGCAAATAAAATCATTAAAAAAAATTACATCTTTGACAGTGGTCGTAGGCCAAAGAAATTTGAAAATAAGATTGTTCCAGAAAAACTTCTATGGTGAGCAATAGAAAAAGAGATGTTGTTCACTTTCAGGATGAATTGTGCAAATTGGACAAATAGACGTGGGAATCTATCAGAAATTATAGAGTGGAAAAGTTGTCTTGTGGGTAGTTTGGAAACAAGGAATTGGTACATCCTATTACGAGCAACGGGAAGCAGAGAACAACTCCAAAAATCGACCCAAAAGGCACTAGAGATAGCTTGTAAGCGCTCTGGGGCAGATGTAACACTGAAAAGTTAATCGAAATTCCTTTGTCGATACCCTGATGATTGGTTCAATCAGAGTCGCAAATTGGAAAGAGTTGACAAGCGGAACAAAAGATAATGGTAAAGTAGGCAATACCTCTACAGTAGGAAGATGACAGTTTTTGACAAAGAAAGGGAAGGATTAGAACTTGTTACTTGCTAATCCTTTGATGATATGAAGGTAAAATCTTTTAAGATCCTGCAGAATATGATCCGGATGTTTGCAATGGATTAACTTAAGATCTTGGCTGAACAACTTGAATTCTTTAACTAAGATAAATTGGATTCGCTTGTGTAATGACAGAAGTCGTGGTCTTAAGGACTGTAAGACGACTGTTATGAACATATATGTATTCATATGTATAGATCAATAAATGATGATCATGGCAAAAGACCAGATCACATATATGGTAATTGCAATGGATCTATAGTCAATGACATTCACTCATTCTACTAGAAGTACTACATCGTCCTCATAGTCAGAGACCATTAACCTAGTGACTCTGTTATTACCAATGGTCTTCATAAAGTGACAGTTAGAGCTAACAAATACATTAGCATTGGCATTGACAAATATGTAATAGTTTATTCAAGTTCAGGCATTTCTCTTAATTGCTCCTGATCTGACAAATCAATCCGTATTCAAGAAGCTAACCCCAAAACAATATTTTGACCGAGAAGAAAAAGTATAAATACCTCGACATTTTACAGCAATTGAAAGATAACATTTCTTTGAGAAATAAACAGCCTATACAAGTTCTAACGGACTTTCTCTGTGCTCTTACCTTTTTTTCTTATTTTATATCTATTCTCTCTTCATCTCACAACACCTAGTACTTTATTCATCTGCTTGAACATATGAAACTCAATTAGTACTAATTCCTTGGAATGACCATGAACTTTTCCGCTGCGCAACGCCTGAGATTTATCCATACTTTTCATTTCTATTTTAATAATAGTACTGATGGCAGCGGGTCTCCCGAACAAACGGATGAAGCATTGGGCTTTTTGAAGGGCTGCTATATGCATTAGATGCAAAGCGTCCAACAATTAGTAAAGAACTATTCAATCTTGCCCCCTCATTTGCAGCAAGATTTTCTTCAACTTGTCTATCGTCTGAGAAACGTTGAAAACCAGCTTAGTTTTGTTGAAACAGCTCTTGAGTTGTCTATAAAATTTCCCAAATGCCATCGATGGTTGAAGTGGTGGCTGCAACCTTCCGCCAGCAGCATGATTTTTTTTTTTATACAAGAACAAGATGAAAAGCTCTTTGTTCTCTCACCAATGAGAACCTCGACTTCTGTAGAAGCATCTCACAGCATATTATATTTGACAATAAATGAAATTGCTCCTCTCTCGCTCGCAATGAGACAGCTCTTGCAAATTGCAAAGAATGACCTGAATTCACCAAATTGCTACTACGATTATGGTATTCTTGTCAGATACAAAGGATTAAAAGTCAACAGAAACAAGAAGAAGTAAGAACAAGAAGAACAAGAAGAACAAGAAGAACAAGAAGAACAAGAAGAACAAGAAGAACAAGAAGAACAAGAAGAACAAGAAGAACAAGAAGAACAAGAAGAACAAGAAGAACAAGAAGAACAAGAAGAACAAGAAGAACAAGAAGAACAAGAAGAACAAGAAAAACAAAAATATTTTGAGAATATCAAGAAAGAAAGCCAAAAGAAATCTTTTGATTTCATTGATGCTGAAGTTGAGGAAACTGACGTTTCTTACGAACATCTACGCAAGAAAGACGATGAGTTGATCTTCGGAAAAGCAGATAAAAACGAAGAGGGTTTCATGTATGATGAAGTAGTTAAGTTGTCGCCTCTTCACTTGACTACTGTCAACCCAAAAAGAAACGATGTTGCTTTGAAGGAAATCAAAGAAGAAATCGCCATAGATATGATGTTTTGCTGCGTGATCATGAAAATGATGGTTGTTGGCATATATGGAATCAACAAACGGAAGAGACATCTTCGTACTCAGACGTGGGAGAAGAGAGTAGCTCGTCTGATATCACAGACGCAGCAAACCCTTGTAGTCTTCTTTTAAACCCAAACAGGTATAATCCTTGCTCTATATGGATGCTTCTTTCGAGCTTCTTGTAAGATGTACCATTCCTTACATTAAGAACTCCTTTATCGATGCTTTCAATCAAAAAAAAACTCGTTCGACATGGTCCTCTTAAATGCTTTCAAGCAATACGAAAGCGGTAACTCTAAAGCTGGAAACCACTTGATACGTGACTTTGCTTGAGCAAGTGGAACACCTTATACTAAAAGGGATATGGATGATACCTACTTTTCTCTAGATTGGTTCATCCAGAATTCTTCTTCAAGATTGCGCTCTCTTTTCTCAGTTTTCTTATTATTCGAGATCAATCTATATAAAAAAAAATTGAACAGGATGTCTCTATTACAGAGAAGTCGCTTGAAGTGCTTCCATTTATAAAATGGTCTGTTAAAAAGGATTTCGAGAAATTATTCTTCTTTCTTTTTCATAAAATGACTGCAATTTCTTAGTCTCCTTTAGAAAATTACATACTTATACAAAAGCAATTGATTTTTGGAATAAATGCGGAGGAGATTCTTTAGCCACCCCTTCTCTATCCGGTAGTTTACGAGTTTTGGTTTAAACATGTCTGGTGCACCCAAATTATCCGTCCTCTGAATTTGGCAAAGTTATCCCTTAACAATTGCACAATCTTTCCAAAATCAAATTTTGTGAAACTCGGGCAAGAGATGCGCTGGATTCTGAATAGGCTTGTCCAGGTAGGGGTCAAAAAACCTGTTGTTGGAGGTATCCTTCCACATGCGTACTTATAAAATAGAGCTGATGAATCATGGTGTATATTGAATGGTGGAACTCAGCAAGACACTGTTTTTTAGGAATATGCAAGGATTGATTTTAGTTCCCATTATTGTGGCCAACCTCTTGCAACTAAAGATATGAAGATCCAGATTTTGCCACAGATTGCAAAGTATCGCTAACTCAAAAGCAATAGGATGTTATTCTTGCAACAGTTAAAAACGCAAACAATCGTCTCTGTAGCAAATCAAAAGGTGTTGCTCCCAAACATGATCCTCCTGTTTACTGGCTACGGGATACTGACATTGCTTTTGTCAAGCGACAAAAAATAAAGGAATGATTTTAGCTTGTCATAAATAAAGCAGTAATCATGTCACGTGAGGATAATAAAGGTATATATCCAGGATAAAAAGACAATTCATGCAAAGGAACGTCACCTAAAATTCAAACCTGGTTTGATACAGACGCATGGCAGAGAAAAAACTGGTTATTGAACAATGAATCCTGCTTAGCCGCATGACTCTTTATTTGTTTTGAGTCAAATCATGAAATCATTTGAGTCATGAAAAGTGTCTGTTATCTCGCTTTTTTTTTTCTTTACAAATAATGGCATACGTACAACCGCAAAAGGTTTATACAACTTATCCTTCTCCTGCTTTTGTTGCTGGTACACCAGGAACAGCAAATTATGTTTATTCACCTTATCCAAACAGTAAGTAACATTACAAATGCAGCGCAGTGTTAATTTTTAAGTGCAATATCCTTCTATGCAGCCTCAAATAATGCAGCCTATGTATAGTTATTATCCAGCTGGATTTGTTCAACAAAGATCGTCTATTATAAAAGATTGTTGCATGTGCCTTTTGTAAGTGGCCATCACAAAATGAAGTGAATAATGAACAATAAAAAAGATGTATAGGGACATGTACTTTCTGCTGTAATGAGTGCTGTGGTGTAGATGACTATAATGATGACTGCGGTTGCTAAATACCTGTTTAACTTCTTAATAGCTATAAACTTGTCTAATAACGTATTAAATCTTGCACATGTGTATATAGCCTATGATTATTTCATATAAGCATTTACAAAGTGCTACTGCATGTTTATTTGATGCTTCTCAATCAAGAATTTGTCATGATTTATAAGGTACACAAAGATAAGTGATCATTTAGTATATAAGTATGTGTGTGTGTACAACAAATAAAACAAAACCCATAAATAACCTCTTAGAGTAGAGTAAGAAACAAACATAAACATGAAGTTGTCTTTGCTTTCTCTTGCTGCTATCTCTGTCAGTATTGCTGCTACTGCTGCTGTTGTGTCTCCTACTCGTATTGACAAAATCATTGCTTATGCTGATAGTTTCACAGACAATGGTAATGTGTTTTCTCATACTAATTTCCCTCCCACTCCACCTTATTATCAAGGTCGATTCAGTAATGGCCCTACATGGCTTGAATATGTCAATCAAAACTTGATTGGTGTGGCTGTCATGAACTATGGTTATGCTTATGCCACCACAAACAATGTGGATGTCTATAGTCAAGTAGGTAACTACATTGTGCCTGGATTAAAGCAACAAGTGGAGACTATCTTTGTGAATGGCACATCTAAAGATCTTTATGTGATCTTCTTTGGCTATAATGACTTGAATGCCATCTTGAACCCTAATATTTATTATACTATCAACAAGAGATACAGTAAGGAAAAAGTTGTTCAAAACGTGATAGAATCTGTTCAGCAGTTAGTCAAGATGTATGGTGCCAAACACTTCTTGATCATGACTGCACCTCCTTTCGATCAGTTCCCTGCCTTTAAAGGCATTCGTCAACAAGAGACAACGCAGCTTATCAAGGATTATAATGCTTTGTTACAGTCTCGATTGCTTCAAAAAGTGAAAGGAGTCGATATCAAGTTTCTAGACGACAATGCTTGGTTGTTAGAACAATTGGCTCATCCTGAAAAAGTGAATGTAAAGACAACATCTGAGCCTTGTGTTTGGGGATTAGGTAACACGACTTCTTGTGATGATGCTGAAAATCATTTTTTTTGGGATTCTTTTCATCCTACGACCAAGGTTCACCAAGCCATGGGTGAATGGGTTGTGAGTCAATTAAAGGGACTTTATGAACTCAAACACCATTAACTTTTTTTATTGTTATCATCAAAACTTAAATAAACATGCATTTAACGGCGAGATTTGCGTTCAAGAGAAGGAAATTCTTGTTCTTTACCTTTGTTAGGACCACTGGAATAAAAGATTTTAGGCCTGTAAGCAACATCTTCAGACATAACTTGAGAATTCTTGAACTTTTTGATGAGAGCTGTCTTTCCTTGAATGTTAGCATAAGATAAAGCACAACGTTTATCTGAATTAAAATGTTCCCTACACTAATGGTTAGTCTCTCTTATTTATTGCTCTTTACTTGCCATTTCTTTCCCAGTCTTTCTTGAGCAAATGAAATTACACTCCTAAGCAATAGAGTCAGTCAACATATAGAATCCTGTGTACTCACTTGGGATCAATAAAGTTGATAAAAGCATAACCAACATTGCACTTGTTTTGAAAATCAATACGAAGATAAAGAAAATCATACGTGTTTGCATGAGTGGCATTAATGCAGTCCATCAACATTTTCTGGGTATACTTGTTTGGAATGTTCCTGATCATAAAAGTAGTGCGTGTATCCTGATCCTTTTTGACCTTTTCGAGGTGAGTATCAGTAATCATGATAGGTGCATGGTCCACTACTTTCTTTGGCTTTTTAAGCTTCTTCTTCTCTTTGTGTGGTGTGCTTGTAGAAGGAGAGATAGTAGTAGCAGTACTTGTGGTAGCGCTATTGGTAGTGATGGAAGAACTAGTGGTTATACTAGAGAATGAGGTAGAAGGGGAAAGAATCTCTTGTTTAGGGACAATCATGCTGGTAAATGGATCATGAGAAAAATAACTGTGTTGATTGTGACTAGATGCCTTGAAGTGTTGTTCTGTTTCTTTCTTCTTTGTCTTGAGTACAACTGAATGATAACAGCAGTTTAAGTCCTTATTATCGGCCATATATACATTGAATTGAATGTTCTGCATGATGAGTACCTTTTATCAATCAGAATGACTTACTTCAGTTATAGCATGATGGAATTGCTTGTATAGCTTCTCATTGGATCTTTCATCGTCATATTCCAAGTTTATCAATACACAGTTGGGTGAGATATGTACTTCAGAAATAGAATCAATAGCACCAATGCTGGATAGGTATTTCTATAGAATTCAGTATATGTCTTTATATCTATTACTTACCATATAATTAATTTTTCTTAAATCAATAATACAATTGTCGCTACTAATAGTCACAAACAATCGTTCATTTGATTTCTTGTTGATCAAGCAAGGTTTAGCATATTCAACCTGAAAGGCACCTTTGGTCTCTTTTCTTAATCTTTCTATGCACAGTTGAGCTTTTTGAAGGGAATAATAAGAAATGATGATGATACCAGAAGAAACATAAGGGTAAATACAACGAATATCATCATGATTCTAATAACATATGTAAACAAAGCAATTTAAGAGGACAGTTTACCTTATCAAGTTCACTATACATGACTGCCATTGTATCGTAATGACCCTTGTGTGTAGCATATAACAATACATGTCTGGTAGGTGAATGGCTCTGAGTAAGAGACTTCCATTGGCCTTCTTCTATTCAATTACCAAAATTAGTAAGAAGATCAAAAAACTAAAAAAAAAAAGGGCCGATAGTCTACCTGAATTCAATAATAAAACAGAACAATGATAAGGCAAGTTCCATGAAGGACAAATAGAGTGTTGAAAAGAACAAGTCAAAGAAGTGTTTACTGGAAGAGTGTTCATGTTGAACATGGGGAATGAACTACAACCAAGGCTGACTTGCTTTGTTTTTTTTTTTCTTTTTTTAAGAAAAAGAAAAGAAAGAAAGAAAGAGAGAGAGAGAAAAAAAAAGAAAAAAAGAATTGCTATTTGACAGTAACACGCATGAATAAACTCAAGAGACAAACAGAGGGAGAGAGCGAAAAGTACAGAGAGAGAGGGCGTTTTTTTAAGACGCGGAGATTGAACTGTCCATGAACAGCATAATCGCGTTAAGAAGGAAGGACCATACGCGTAGATGCTTCATCCAATCAACGCAGTGCATTTTTGTACTCCATCTTCCTATCCCGGGGGTTGTCATTTCTCTATTATTATTCTTCTTTATGTTGACACTCGTTTTTAAGAGACAGTTTTCGGTGAATGTAAATATAACTTAGCAGTTATAAAAGTCAACTTAATTATTTCACAGACACGAAATAGACTATCAAACAAGTTTATACCTGTCACTAAAGACAAGACCTCAGACCTCTCAAGTCACGGCACTCTCTTGAAAGCTGGGTTTGTTCGCCAGGTATACACTATGCCTTCTGGTTTAATGAAACTCACACTAGAGATAGAGTGGCGCTGGTATCTATTCTTTATTACCTCTGGGCCTTAGAACTATTGAGAAAATTGAACGTATTATTGATCAAGAAATGCAAGCTATTGGCAGTGAAAAAGTATCTTTGCCTATCTTGCTTAACCCTGAAGGCTGGAAAAAGACAGGTCGTTGGGAAGGTGCCAAGGGTGAGGTAAATTGTCTATTTCTTACTGCAACCATGAAGAAGGCTCATATCATATTTAGTTCTTTCGCCTAAAAGATAGAAAAGAATCAGACTTGTTATTATCACCTACACATGAAGAAGAGATCACTCAGTTAGTGGCTAATGAACTTCGATCAGTGAAACAATTGCCTATTCGACTCTATCAAATTGGGCGTAAATACCGTGATGAACTTCGACCCCGTGCAGGATTACTTAGAGGACGCGAATTTATCATGAAAGACCTTTATTCGTTTGATGCTACTCAACAAGAAGCATTCGAGACCTATGATCAAGTAGCCAATGCTTATCAACGTATCTTTCAGCGTATGGGCGTACCTTTTGTAGTAGCTGAAGCAGACAGTGGCAATATTGGTGGATCCAAGTCGCATGAATATCATTTGATTTCATCTGTGGGTGAAGATACACTCTTGACATGCCATCAATGTGGATACACCGCCAACGAAGAATTAGCCATTGGACAGTTCAACCCAAGCTCTACTGAATCAACACAAAACAGCGTTGTCAAATCTATGTTGGGATTAGATCAAGTAGATGCTACTGTTGTTTCCTTTTCAGCATTAAATGCAGCAGAAGATAATCAACATCAAGGAATGGCAGCCATTTTAACACCTCCTGGAAGAGCAGCCAATCTACTCAAGGTACAGACAAAACTCAGTAACTATTTAAAAGAACATCAATGGATGAGCCAAAGAGGCACGATGGACATGCATACCATACCTTCCTCTGCATTACATCCTTCATTGATGAATCACTTACATGTCTTTATGGACAATGCTCTGTCTTGCACCATTGAAACCAGCAAAAACCTGACTGTACATACGCCCGATCATTTTAGACTAGCAAAAGAAGGCGACCTCTGTGCTTCGTGTGACCACCATCCTCCACTTTCGAGTGTTAAAGCGATTGAATGTGGTCATACTTTTTATTTAGGTACCAAATACTCAGCTGCATTAGACTGTACATTTAGAGAAAACAACACTGTATTGCCTACTGAAATGGGATGTTATGGAATTGGTATCTCTCGATTACTTGCTGCTGTAGCAGAAGCAAAGCATGATGACAAGGGTATTGCTTGGCCTGAATCCATTGCTCCTTATCGTGTCTGTATTGTACCTACAGATGACCGCAAACAAGAATTCAAGCAGTTGGCTGATCAAGTCTATGATGCTCTACAAACACACAACAAGGACAATGTGGTGATTGATGATCGTCGTTCTGGATTTGGTGCTAAAATGAAAGACGCTGAATTAGTTGGCTATCCATATACCATCATTATTGGCCCAAAGACCTTAGAACATGGACAAGTAGAAGTGCATCAACGTATGCAAGGACAACAGAGCAAAAAGACAGTGATTTCATTAGACAGTGTATTAAAAAGTGGTTTATAGGAATAAAAATGAACATGATTAATAAGGATCCCGTGTTTCAGCTTTATGGATTGTATCATACAACACTTGAGCTTCAGCAGGTGGTTCAATCTCGCCCTTTAATAGAGCAGCAGCACGAACAGGTCTACCATAAAACTTGGTGTTTGCGCTCTGTAGTTCCAAAATGCCTGTGCCTTCAATACTCATACCAGCAAATAAACCTTGTGATTTTGTGTAAGAAAAAACAGGTGCTATTTTCTTGTCACGCACATCACCTGCAATGGAAGCCTCGCTGCCGGCACCAATAGGACCAATGCTGACGGATAAACTACCTCCTAATGTCAAATTACCACCTTGAGAGAAAGCACGTACAGCTTCATCACTATTAAGAATCAAGACAACATCCACTTTTTCTGCACCGAGAGCAGCACCAAATCCTAATCCACCTGTAGAGATAGCAGAAGGCGCTGACCATCCTATGGGTTAACATGAGTACCCTATTTTTAAACTAGTAGACTACTTTACGTCCATCTGGCTGTTTCGATACAAGAATACCACTACCCAGACGTCCACTCACAAGAAAACCTGCTTTGACAATGGTAAAAATAGCAAGCGCTTTTGCCTGTTTGAATACAGATACGGGAATAATAGTATCAAATCCATTTTCCATTTCTTCTTTAGCTATTGAAACATAATGTTAGTTTTCTCTTTCTGAAAATAATACACTTACCAATAAACTGCTCGAGAATACGAGAGGCTTTTGCACACTCTTCTGCCAAAGTGCCAGGAATGGGGCTATTAAATCCAGGCGAGTTTTTGGCTAATGCAAAGTCAATACGTTTTCTTGGCAGTTATTTCTTGGCTTACCTGCATTACTAGCCATATCACCCATTTGTTTTGTAGCATCTTGAGCACCTATAGGTTGTTATTCATGGTGAGATTTAATCATGTATAACTTACTGGAAGCAATTCGAGAAGCTTGCTCTTTAAAACGATCAAACATAGACATTATGTAATGAATAAGAAAAAGAAAAAGAAAGCGAGTAATTGTATCATCATTTATTAAATAACTAAAACCTTGTCACAAATGCTAATTTCATATGAAGACAATGGATTATGCACTCCGAAAAAGATCAGCACTCTCTTCATTGATACTGGTCTTCGTTGCCTTCGTATAATTGTTTTTTCTAAGATGATCTTACCTCAATGATTGCTAAAAATACTTCGTCAATTAACGCTCTTTCATCTTCATCAATCTGGAGTTGCTGCTTCTTTTTCTTCCAGCTTTCATAAAACTCTTTTTTGATATACTTCTTGTATATTGTCTCGTGCTCACTATTTAGCATGCTAACAACATGGCTTAGGGAAAGCCTGTCAAACTTTTAGAAATCGCATTGATTTTTTCTCTAAATTATCATACTTTTACACGATTTCTTCTTGATGACTTAAAGTATCTTAGCGGCTGAGTAAGTCGATACTTATTTTGTCCAGTTGGCAAGCTGAATTAGTTGATTGTAGTTTTTTTTACTTGTTCAATATCGTCAAATACTTTTGTCTTGACTTCCTTAACATGCTTTACCTTCTTCCTCTTAGAAATGTTTATTAGCCTTAATGCAAAAAAAGAAAACAATCGTTTAGTTACCAAAGCGAACCAAGAGCAACAATTGATTGTCTTTGGGCAGGTGTGGTTTTTTATCAGAGTTTTCAGTTGTCTATTTATTGAAGATTTCAAAAACCTTTGGATCATGTTTTACTTTGTTAAAATCAAAAGCAAAAGAAATGGCTTCAGATGCCTCCTTCATCAAACCTTTCAAATCAAACAATAGGTCTGGCTTGCTGTTAACTACAGCATCCTTTATATGGACATAAAAGAAAAGCTTCCCATGTTTATTAAGGATGAGAAATCATGAGACTCAAAGAGATCTTTGTTTGAATAAACAAAAAAAAGAAAGAAAGAAAGAGAAGGTGAGTTTGTGTTATTGAATTAAGCTTTTAGCTCAATATAAAACAGTCTTTAAAGCGATACGACAGAGACTTTATTAAATTTACTGTACAAGAAAGACCAGAATCATATTACTGCTTTCGCTTGTAACAAACAATGATGGTGTTGTTTGCTACTCTTAGCTGCTGGGGTGTAAGCATTCAGTTGAATATTGAAGATTATTGAGTTTGAGTACGACTTGGTTGTCTGTAGCAATTGGAGTTTTTCTAACTGAAAAAAAATGTGTTCCTTTTGTGTGTGTTGAAAATATTCTAGCATGAATCTTGTACTCCTGTTTGATTAACTTTGTTGTAAGTCTGTTTGAGGAGGAAATATTCAGCGAAAATCTATCGAGAAAATAAACTTAGATATCTGCTTTTTTCAGCTCACTGTTGCTATCAATGTTGTTGTAGTTCCGGTTTGTCGGATCAGCGAAAAAAAAAAAAAGAAATTCAGGAAGACTTTCCTGAATAATCAAATTACTTTTGAAAGCACACATTGTAGAGAATGTGCCCGTGCTACACCTCGTCGAACTGTTTTTTTCAACGCAACCAATACTAGATCTTGCTCATGCTGGGCCTTGGTTTTCTTTGCATTGTAAAAATACTTTATAGTGGGATAGCTTCTCTTCATAAATGGAAGCACTTCAAGCGACTTCTCTGTAATAGAGACATCCTGTTCAATTTTTTTTTATATAGATTGATCTCGAATAATAAGAAAACTGAGAAAAGAGAGCGCAATCTTGAAGAAGAATTCTGGATGAACCAATCTAGAGAAAAGTAGGTATCATCCATATCCCTTTTAGTATAAGGTGTTCCACTTGCTCAAGCAAAGTCACGTATCAAGTGGTTTCCAGCTTTAGAGTTACCGCTTTCGTATTGCTTGAAAGCATTTAAGAGGACCATGTCGAACGAGTTTTTTTTTGATTGAAAGCATCGATAAAGGAGTTCTTAATGTAAGGAATGGTACATCTTACAAGAAGCTCGAAAGAAGCATCCATATAGAGCAAGGATTATACCTGTTTGGGTTTAAAAGAAGACTACAAGGGTTTGCTGCGTCTGTGATATCAGACGAGCTACTCTCTTCTCCCACGTCTGAGTACGAAGATGTCTCTTCCGTTTGTTGATTCCATATATGCCAACAACCATCATTTTCATGATCACGCAGCAAAACATCATATCTATGGCGATTTCTTCTTTGATTTCCTTCAAAGCAACATCGTTTCTTTTTGGGTTGACAGTAGTCAAGTGAAGAGGCGACAACTTAACTACTTCATCATACATGAAACCCTCTTCGTTTTTATCTGCTTTTCCGAAGATCAACTCATCGTCTTTCTTGCGTAGATGTTCGTAAGAAACGTCAGTTTCCTTAACTTCAGCATCAATGAAATCAAAAGATCTCTTTTGGCTTTCTTTCTTGATATTCTCAAAATATTTTTGTTTTTCTTGTTCTTCTTGTTCTTCTTGTTCTTCTTGTTCTTCTTGTTCTTCTTGTTCTTCTTGTTCTTCTTGTTCTTACTTCTTCTTGTTTCTGTTGACTTTTAATCCTTTGTATCTGACAAGAATACCATAATCGTAGTAGCAATTTGGTGAATTCAGGTCATTCTTTGCAATTTGCAAGAGCTGTCTCATTGCGAGCGAGAGAGAAGCAATTTCATTTATTGTCAAATATAATATGCTGTGAGATGCTTCTACAGAAGTCGAGGTTCTCATTGGTGAGAGAACAAAGAGCTTTTCATCTTGTTCTTGTATAAAAAAAAATCATGCTGCTGGCGGAAGGTTGCAGCCACCACTTCAACCATCGATGGCATTTGGGAAACTTTATAGACAACTCAAGAGCTGTTTCAACAAAACTAAGCTGGTTTTCAACGTTTCTCAGACGATAGACAAGTTGAAGAAAATCTTGCTGCAAATGAGGGGGCAAGATTGAATAGTTCTTTACTAATTGTTGGACGCTTTGCATCTAATGCATATAGCAGCCCTTCAAAAAGCCCAATGCTTCATCCGTTTGTTCGGGAGACCCGCTGCCATCAGTACTATTATTAAAATAGAAATGAAAAGTATGGATAAATCTCAGGCGTTGCGCAGCGGAAAAGTTCATGGTCATTCCAAGGAATTAGTACTTATTGAGTTTCATATGTTCAAGCAGATGAATAAAGTGCTGGGCAAAATTGCAAATGCACTTTATATCTTGATAGCTTTTTAACTAATTATTAAGCTCCGGACATACCCCAAACCAACGCACCCAAATTATACGGCACCTTAACAAACACAAAAAACTGTAGTCATTGGCTGCATAAAATATGAGAATTTCAAATGCTTGAATTGGCGTTTCACAAAATGAAAAAAATATATCCATGCATCTTTCTTTTTCACGCTTCTTTTTTTTTTTTCTCACATGAATCATTTGTCTACTTTACAGGAAGCAGGACATGTTGAAGTTGGCCATCAACGCCAGTTCAAGCCTATTAAAATATATTATGAAATGCATGGTAATGGGCCTAAGCGTGTCATGTTGGTCATGGGTAAATACCTTGTATAATCAACATTAAATTAACATACTATAGGCTTAGGTTCACCTTGTAGTGCTTGGGATCATCAAGTAAAGAAATTCAATAAAAAATTTTACATTAAATTTTATTATACACAGACACAATTCCTTGCAGAAACAGGCGATTATACAGTCATTGTGTTTGATAACCGAGGCATGGGACTCTCAGGTATATGTCATATGCAAGATATACATCTTATAAAACTATCTTAGATTCTCCGATTGGATTATACTCGTATGTCACAAAAATTAAATGGCTTATTCTTATGACCGTTTAGTACTTCTCAAATGGCATTAGACGCATTAGAGTTATTGGATCATTTTGACTGGAAACAAGACGTACATTTAGTGGGCATTTCTATGGGTGGCATGATATCCTTAGAAATGGCTGATGCAGAGCCTACACGATTTCAATCATTGACTCTAACAAGTACGACAGCAAGAAGAAACTTACCTACTGTAAGTGACACTTTTTGCTGACATGAAACTATCTTAACAATAATAATCATAGTGGACAGCCATATCAACACTATCTAAAATTGCTTTCTTTTATAAAGACCCTAAAGATCAATTAGATGCAGCTATGGAATTAGTCTATCCCAAAGAATGGCTTGAACAGAAGCCTCTTGTACGAACAGAATATGAGACGAATAAACAGTTAGCAATTCATGGATTCATACAACACAGTAAACGCTCTCGTCGCCAACCTATGTATGGTAATATAGCCCAAATCATTGCCTGTCTTCGCCATCATGTATCAGATAAACGACTAGATCATATCAAACAGAGTGGCTTGCCTATCATGATAATCACAGGCACATTTGATAATCTAGTTCGACCTGAATACTCACATCATATGAAAAAAGTGCTTCAAGATGCACGCTTTGAATTATTTGAAGGAAGTGGACATGCTATTCCTGAGGAGCAGCCAGAAAGATACAATCGTTTATTAGTAGATCATTTTATTACATCGAATAAAAACAGAGCTAGGCTTTAAATAAAACAAGGCCTTCTAATTCGGCCATCACTTGTTTCTGATCGCTTTTTTTCTCTACATGCTGTAATACAATCTCGATAGATTTGAGTGTCTCTTGTTCAAAGGCTTGGTCAGGTACCTTCTGTTTGCGAAGTTTGTAATAAAATGCCAGTGCTTTTAATTCTTGCTCTTCATTTAAATAGGACTTGACAATGCATTCAATAGCATCTTTAACTTTGTCCCATGGCATCTTGGGTGGTGCTTTTTTGATAAGAAAAAATAGAAGTTGATCTGCTGTTTGGGTATTCGCTTTATTGTTTACCAATAGATTGATAGATTTGACCCATGTCATATACTGATGAGGAAGAAGCTGTTGTTCTGATGGTTGATGATGGTGGGCTAAAAATTCTTGTGATGTTTTGGCAATCAACCTTAGGTCTTTCTTTGAGATCAAGTATTCCACATATTGAGTGAAAAGACCAAAACCAGGCTTGACAGCATCGGCATGGGCCATCATATCTCTCCATAAATATTCAATAGCGTGTGAATCACCACAAGCCTGGTAGAATTTCAACATGATACTGCAGTCGAAATTGTTTCTTAATCGTGATAGAGACAAACGATGCATTTCTTCAACAAGTCGCTTTGCTTCTTCGAGCTGATCTTTCTTTAAATGTGCTTGTATTAAATAAGTAAATGTACGAACAGTAGGTACAAGACCTCGTTCTTCAAATTTAGACAACACATCTTGAGCCAATGTGAGTTCATCGCACCAAAGATAAGCACGAATCAATCGATTGTATATGGCAATGGCTGTCAAGTCAGCATTGTCCATTTCCAATTGTAATTGCTGAAGTGCATTCACATCTTTTTGTTTTCCAGCTTCGTCCAATTCGGTTTTTAGTTGTTCTAGACGAGCTACAGAGAGCATACCGGTCTTTGACGTTTTTGAAGGTTGGGTGAAAAGAGCATGTTCAATAATACGGCTGTATGTCTGTGTGCTTTTGTTGGACTGTTCAACTAGTTTTTCTCGAAAAGAGCTGGTAATTCCTAGATAGAGCTTCTTTTCTTCAGCAGGGCTCAAGAAGCGTTGAAACCAGCCTGTTGCCTTGCTGCTGAGGGACCGAGAGCTTCGTAAACATGTTGGGGATTTTCTAAAGCAAGTTTTTGTGGAGGTACGCAAGAAATTTTGATTCATGATTGTAATGTAAGATAAAGGAAACAGAAATAAATCGACAGATGTTTTTTTTGTTGTTAGATGAACTCTACGTCACAAGGAACAACGCTAAATGCAACTGAAAAAAACGAGTCAAAAAATTAGAGTTCAATAAAATTATTCACAATTGCTTGAGTCTTGAATTCTTCAGTTTTGTATTGACTGATTTGATGTTGGGGGAAATCAGGGGGATGAATACTCCGAGAAAGCACAAGATCAATCCAGATAGACTTATTGCAAGAGATGAGAGGGCATCCCAAGCCTTGGTAAATCGACCATGCTCTATAGAGACACATTTAGGATTGTTACACGTATCAAGCTACCCTTTGTTGACCTCTTGGTCTTCTCCTCAACAAAACAAGGGTGTTTTAGATGCTCGAAACAATAGATGCATGTCTGTAAAGTCTTGCATTTGTTATTGATACAGACATTACCTCTTTTTCCACACATTTCTCTGAGCCATTTCCCCCATATCTACGATGACCTCTAATTTTTGTTCCACTCTTGTACCTCTGTCATTCACGAATTGGACTACCTTGTGCCAATCTAGTACGTTATGAGGTTAGCTGAGCTTCTACAATCATTGCGTTAATTTATATATACTAAATCAATCAAATAAAATAACGTGCTACTTACTGAGGGCTTGAACATGCTCGGAAGTAATGAATTAGCTTGACATTTTCTTATTGAAGTATAAAACGAGGCTTAGGCAGCAACAAATGCGTAAATATAGTGAAAAACTTTTTTGGCATGATTGTTCATTAATGGAGTATTTAATGTTTTGCGTCACAGTACAGGCGGAACACAAACTTGTTGAAATAGCTTAAATCATGCATTGCACGACAAAATGGACATTCCAAAAGATAATCTGGTTGAAAAAGCACAGTGCTTATTCTGTAATTCGGACCAAAAAGGAAATAAGAAGCTTGCCAACAAGAAAACCCTGGGCATGAGTGTTATCTTTTACCAAGCATATAAACTGAGCATGTCAAGCATAAACATTGTCCAAAGCAGTTCTTTAAAGACAACTTTCGTGACTGTATTCTTTTGTCTTGATGCTTCTTGAGCATCTTCATTCTGACTCACAATTTTTTAAAGTCACATAGTGCATGTTGACCAAGATAAAATAAAAGAGAGGATCATCTTTTTTTTTCCATCTTTTTTCTTAAGAATCATATTAAAACATGTCCTCTCGCGTCCTCAACTTTGGTGCAGGTCCTGCCAAAATGTAAGTGACTTTGGCTTATGTGAATTTTGTTTTATTGATTTGAGTTTGATAGTCCTCAAGAAGTTTTATTAAAAGCTCAAAAAGAATTTCTCAGTGTGAATGGCACTGGCATGTCTGTTATGGAGCTCTCTCACCGTTCAAAGCCCTTCGGGGCCATCCTTGAAAAGACAAAGAAAGATTTGACTGAACTCATGAACATTCCCGAAAATTATTCTATCCTATTTATGCAAGGCGGTGCTACCACCGAATTTGCTTCTGTCTTTTATAACCTAGTTGGTCGGAAGCAACAAGAATTAAAAGAAGCCGGTAGAGAAGGTGAAGAAATTGTTGTCGATTATCTTGTCACTGGTGCTTGGTCTAGCAAAGCAGCACAAGAAGCTGAACGTTTGATTCCTACTGTCGTTGGTAATCCTGTGCGTGTCAACCGTGCTTTGGATGTCAAGAAGATTAATGGTGGCAAGTTTGGTACTATCCCTCCTCAAACTGAATGGAACTTGACCGATCCTACAAAACACAATGTGGCCTATGTCTATTACTGTGATAATGAAACTGTTCATGGTGTTGAATTCCAATTCACTCCCCAAGTGGATCCTAGCGTTCCTCTTGTCACGGATGTCTCTAGTAACTTCTTGTCTCGCCCTATTGATGTCTCTAAATTTGGTCTTGTTTATGGTGGTGCTCAAAAGAATTTAGGTCCTGCTGGTGTCACAATTATTGTGGTACGCAACGACTTGTTAGTTGACTTGAATGTTGGCCCTATTCGTCCTCTCATGTTGGATTTCAAGACAGCTGCAGACAACGACTCGATGTATAATACACCGCCTACCTTTGCTATTTACATGGTGGGCCTTACTTTGGAATGGTTGAAAGAAAAGGGCGGATTAATCAAAATTGAACAAGTTAACCAACGCAAAGCACACAAGTTATATACCTGCATTGATCAATCTAACCTTTACAGCTGTCCAGTCGAACCTCATTGTAGAAGTGAAATGAACGTTGTGTTTAGATTAACCTCAGAAGAATTAGAAAAAGAATTCTTAAAGGGTGCTGAAGAAAAAGGCATGCAACAACTTAAAGGCCATCGTTCAGTGGGTGGTATTCGTGCTTCTATTTACAATGCTTTACCTGAAGAAGAGGTCGATATTCTTATTGAATACATGCAAGAATTCGAAAAGCAACATGCATAAACTATTACCAAAATAAAAAAATTGTAATTAGAATGAAGTGTTTTTTTTATTCAAGTCATTGATGTAGTGATTATATAGGATGTAGAGAAATAAAGAGTACAGATATGATAGTTATCGTAGAAAAAGGTATATGTATGCATAGTCAAGTAATATATACATTAATCAAACGGAAAAGAGTTGATCATTTACAAAGAGGCAATAACCTTCTTGGCAAAGGATTCGTGATTCCAGTTGTTACAACCCTTGAGACCAGTGTTGATAGAAGCATCAATGGTAGCCTTGGCGTTGAAGCTACCTTCCAATTCAGTGTTGAAGTTGTATTCGTAGCCATAGTCAGATTCGCCCTTAACAGAACCGTGAACATTGCCCTTGGCAGAACCATGAGCATCGCCATTGGCAGAACCATGAACATCGCCCTTGGCAGAACCATGAGCATCACCCTTAACAGAACCGTGAACATTGCCCTTGGCAGAACCGTGAACATTGCCCTTGGCAGAACCATGAGCATCACCCTTAACAGAACCGTGAACATTGCCCTTGGCAGAACCGTGAACATCGCCCTTGACAGAACCATGAGCATCACCCTTAACAGAACCGTGAACATTGCCCTTGGCAGAACCGTGAACATTGCCCTTGGCAGAACCATGAGCATCGCCCTTGGCAGAACCATGAGCATCGCCCTTGGCAGAACCATGAGCATCGCCCTTGACAGAACCATGAGCATCACCCTTAACAGAACCGTGAACATTGCCCTTGGCAGAACCGTGAACATCGCCCTTGACAGAACCATGAGCATCACCCTTAACAGAACCGTGAACATTGCCCTTGGCAGAACCGTGAACATCGCCCTTGACAGAACCATGAGCATCACCCTTAACAGAACCGTGAGCATCACCCTTAACAGAACCGTGAGCATCGCCCTTGGCAGAACCATGAGCGTCACCCTTAACAGAACCGTGAGCATCGCCCTTGGCAGAACCGTGAACATTGCCCTTGGCAGAACCATGAGCACCGGCACCAACACCGGCACCGACGTGAGCACCAGCACCTACGTTAGCACCAGCATGACCGTGACCATGACCTCTGAAACCGCCACCGAGACGACCATAACCGTAGCCACGAATACGGCCATTAGCACCAATTCTGGATCTGATGTGGGCAGGAACCTTTCTTCTGATACCAAAGATAGTAGAACCAACACAGCTCTTGGCCTTAGTTTGCAAACCAGCACTAATCGTGGGGAGACGAGCTTGAATCAAGGTTCTAGCTTCAGCATGGATCTCAACCAAGATCGCAATGAGCATATCATCAGTCAATTTGCGGTTACCACACTTTCTACGAAGTTTGGCTTCAATTTCAGCGTAGATTTCAGCATTGATACGGGCTTCCAAACTGGCACTGAAGGAGGCTCTCAAGCTAGCAATAGCGGAAGCTTCAATGGACTGGAGAGTAGACATACCAATGTCAAAAGCACCACCAAGGAAGGAATAGATACCCATGGAGGCAGCAGCTCTTTCAGAGAACTAATATAAAGGGTAAGTATATCATATACATATTTTGAACCAAACTTACAGTGACAGAGATAGGAGAGAAAATACGAGCATTAAGATCAGCCTTGAAAGAACCCATAAGAACACTAATGAGGTTATCATTGGCTTGACAGGGACAAACAAAAGTACGCTTATCCAAAGAAGGAGCGAGATTGAGGGATTGTTCAATGTTGACTGTCTCAAGACTGTTGTTTGTGGAAACAGGAGAAGCAGAGACTGCAGAAGCACAGACAGCAGTCAAAACAAGGAAGGAAGCAACAGAAATCTTCATTTTAATGAATGGGTGGGATTATAAAAAAAAAGAAAGATGAATTTAATGATAAAAGAAGGAACGATTCAAATTCTCATCGTATTTATATGAGAGAGCTTCTTGTCAACAGGCCGATAAACCCGATTTACTTTGTGTCGCATTTATCCTGACAAGAAATTAATTTGCGTATTTTTTGGATCAGCATAAAAAGGTGTTGCTCTTAATGTAAAGAGTATAAAATAGGATTTTCATACATGTACAACCATGCTGTACTACATTCAATTTTTTAAAATGAAAAAAACAAATGCCATTATTGGCTGAAACTTTATTGACTGTAACACAATATGGCTGCTAATTCACATTTCACAGCTCTCTTTAATGTTAATAGAAAACGTTTTTTTTTACCCTACTTTTTTCCACTCCCGCAAACAATGAAGGCTATACAGCAAAACAAAAATAGCTTTTGCTGCAATTAATAACAATTAAATCTGAACTTTTTTTAATTTTGAAGAACTTGTATTGCACCGTACAACTAAAAATGAACAGTATAATTGAGCACAAAAGTTGATCCAAGCAAAAAAGAACTGAAAGAAAAATAAAAATTGAAAGGGCTTTATTGGAGGACCAACATATACATATTTCAAAATGCACATTAAAAACTTGGAAGCATTTTAGGATAAATTTTGCCTGATGTCATTGATAAAAGTGATAGATCGTAAAACATGTTTGAAAAGAATCTTTCCTTTCTCCTTGAGAATCAGTAATTAATGAGATGATTTGCATTACTTGACTTTTTTTTGTTGATAGAATAGATCAAGTTATGTCAAGAGAGCTCTTCAAAGTTATTTTGCAATATAAATATGTTACACCATCCATGGATGGTATTTACTGCAAGCTTGTAAACATACTTTTTCGGAACAGCAGGCACTTGCCTGTTAGCATCTCTCATATTTGAGTAGCAAGCTAGACAATTATTTAGAATAATAAGAATTGTAACAAAAAATAGCAGAAAAGCAACTATATAATGATTTTTGCATTGTGTAGCCAAGATTTTGGCAAGTAATTCGTTACAGCATTCTATTTATAACCATCGTAAGTTTTTTTTTTAAAAGCCAATGTTTGTGTGCTTAATCATTTACTATATGCTTTCGATAAGCTGAAAAAAATGAAAGACTTGAGCAGATAATCAAAATAAGCTGATTTATTTCTTCGAATAAAAAGTTTGCGAGAAACACTTGATAGATATCAGATGGATGAGAATCTATATTTTTAAGCAATGAGTTTGATAGCCGTTCTGGAGCATGCGTTTCAATCAAAGATGCAACAGCGACAAGGCAAAAAGTACACAAGCAGCTTATTGCATGCATATTCTATTGACCATTTCAAACCTTGTTTGATTTCGCTATGACTAATCACTAATAGTGTGGTTAGTAGAAGACAAAAATCTTCAAATGGACTTTCCTGCATGATTATCTAAGTGTTGTCCGTATAGATATTAGGTCATTTCAGATTCTATGAAATACGGAATGCTAACAAACGGTTCAGTAGAAAAGATCAATATAGTTGGAGAGAAATCAAACGAGATCAATTCTAATTTTATAAAATAGGCTTAGGCCGCTTGCAAAACTGCACATACATACAGTTTTCTTAACAAAAAAGGTGTCATGCATCCGCACACTGTAAAAATGTATCACAAAGTGTATGTTGAATCTCAGCTAGTTATGAAGATCGGCATCAGAAGAATAGTAAAAAAAAATGAGTAATGGCAAAAAGGAGAAAGAAATAAACAATGAAAATATAACTTATCAATTAGAAACATCTGCTACAGGTAACTTGAACTTATTCCAAAAGGAGAATCTCAAATAGTAAACATTTGTGCTTGCGAATTAATTGATCATTTTTTTGAGCAATTCCTTTTTTCCTAGTTTTCATTCCTGAGTAGACAGGGAGCGGGAGTATTCCAAATCTCTCAATTGGTGAAGAGAAGACGAGTAAGGCGATACAAGCTCTCTTGCCCAATTTTGCCACAATTGATGGACTTGTAGAAATAGGCTTGTTAGCTTTGATATCAATGCGCTCATGATATTCTGGGACATCATCACGTCTGCTTCAACATTTTCATTTATTCTATTAAATTATTATAGCTTTAAGCTGGATGCATTTTTCACTATAGAGAAAGTGAGTAATTGAACTCAGAGTTGTAAACATGTAATTATATTTGGGAATGTGTACCATATTTGATGCTTGCACTAAGGATCATCCTTCATATATCATACATCATAAAGTTGAGGTGCATTTCCTCAACGTTTTGACATCTTTCATAAGCAAACATTCCCTTTTTTTCTATCCCTCTAGATCGAGTGTCTTTTTGACAAAACATTTTGCGTGGATAAGTAACGGAGTGGTACATTACTTATTTATGTAACAGAGACAATTAGGTGGAAAATTGCTTCAACAGTGCAAAAAAGACAAATTAAATTGGGACAGAGATGTGAAAATGGGACACGGAAGTGAAAATGGGATAAAGATATGAAAACGGGACGACAATGTTAGTATTTCTCATACAAATCAAAATTAATTTATTTACCTATTGATAAGAATTAGAAAATGGAAAGATTTATTTTTGAGAAGACCTCTTGCCTGCAGAATTCTTAAGCCTTCGCTAATTAAAGCTCAGGCACCACATTCGAGGTGGCGCTTTGTCGGTTGAACATGGTAGGGCGTCCTTGGCCGTTCCAAATAGATTGAGCGATTGTGAACATATTCTTCGAAGCCATAACGTCTCGATTCCAAAAAAATATTACAGTTTTTGCAAACTAATACTTGATGAATCTTTCGTTTTTCGATACCACTTCCTTGCGTAATATGCTCCAATTTATTTTCAAGGCACGAGTTGCAAGTCTTTATAATACAGAAGTGTCAATATTCAAATTGTGATCAAGTAAACATTACAAACCTTGGAAGTCTTATACTCGTCTATGTCCAGAAGTAACAACTCTCCGCGTTTTTCATTGTCTGTACAACTTTTCAATGACGCCATAACGTAAACCTTTAAACTTGACATGCGACTTATTTTTCAAACCATCTCCAAAAACAATCAATGGCATTTTACTTTGATTACCTTCTTCAAACTTTTCCTTATGTGCTCTTCATTCAAACTATTAAGAATATTGCTTTAAGGAGAAGAATACAAGAAATATGTGCTATGCCTTGACCTCATTACCCCTGTATTTGGTGGATAATTATCATGATGAACGTATTGATAACTACTTGATGTCTTGCATCTCTTCCGCTTATTCTTTTTGGTGTTCTTTCTTTTCCTTTTGTTATATTTTTTTTTGCACCATTAATGAGAATGTTGACTGCATTTTCAATTGCTTGTTGAGAGCCTTTGTAGCTGCACCTTTGATTTTAGCAGTGTTAAAGCCGTAAAAATTTGCTAACGCTCGAAAATGTTGAAGAGCATACATAACATATTCTGTATAATATTGGAGTTTTGCAGTTTTGGGTGAGTGAAAGTGGGTTTCAATCTGCTCTATATCCAACCTTTTCTTTCTATCTTGCTCTAGCTTTTGTCGGTTGACAGTGCCATTCATGTTATAATAATCGGCAGTCGACAAACGCCTCAAATCGTTTTTGCCATGATAGGATATAAAGACATCAGACCTATTTGGATCGACAGTGCAAGGACGAAAATAACGATCAACCTCTTCACTAGTGAAATCATCTACCTTCAGGGATACTTTATCATTGGGTGATATGGAGTGAACCTTCCTGCAGAATGAGACCCTACATGTATATCCATCCGTGTAGATACTGTTTAAGAACATTTTTTCTTTTCTTTGTGGTAACTGTTGTAAATCTTCAAAGCTGTATATGTAAGATAATTGTGAGTGAACTGCCTGTATCAATTATTTTGAAAATGATTTCAACTCACCTGTTGATTTTAAGTTTTTTAAAATCAAAATTATCATAGAAGCATCTTTGAGCAAAGTTAAACACCGTCTCTTCAGGTTTTTTTGGACTACTTCTTCCAAAAATACCAGCTATATTTTGGCCATCTACTTTTATAAAACGCCATTCAAAACCAGGATTAGGAAATAAACTTAATAGCCTTGGTGGTTGAAATTTTGGTGGTTGAAATTCGTCCTTGCTGTTGTTGTTCTCTGTTGATAAATTACGCTGTTTTGGCTTCTTCTTCTTTGGTCTTCACCTTTGCTGGATCGATGGCACTACTGCTTCTACGGATTGTTGCTCTTGCTGTGCTGCTTCTATTTGTGATTGCTGATTTTTGGCAATTGTTGACTCGTAGTTCTCAAGTATATACCTCAAAGCCGGCAATATACAGTCATTTCAGAAAGTAAAGTCGCTGATTTTGAGTTTGATGTCGTGCAAAAAAAAAATTGCGTGTTCAACAATTATGTCGACTGATCCAAAAATAAAGTCGTGCTCACGTGTCATGAACTTCATTTATTTTTACTTGTCGCTTAGTAGTTGCCCAATAAAATTTCTTGGCATGAATTGTTGTTATAAAAAAAGGGGACGATTTTCTGTGTCCATTTTACTTCGTCCTATTTACAATTTATTTTACAGACATTGAAGATGAGTATGCAATTTTTTTATGAAGATGGACAAGGTCATGTTGTTGATGAAAATGGAGTTGAGCCCATGGATCTTGTTGTTGACGAGGAGTTATTCGCTATCGAAACAATAAGTTCTCGTACTCAATTCCTAGCGGATAAACCTCCTGAGAGACCTCATAATCCTGTAATGCGTGCGGTTGCGGATGAAAGGAGTAGTGAGAATGTTTATATGGAGCAATGCAATAAGCGCTGTTATACAGTTTATTCTGATAACGATAAATCTCGATTTTCTCATTTATTTTTCAGCAAATGCTTGAATGCTTCTGCAGCTGCGAGACAATTGGGTATTCATGTCCGAGCAGCGCAGAGATGGGTTAAACGTTATTACAAAGACCCTGAGAGCATCTTCGAAAAGAAGAGAAAGTCAGGTCGGCGTCGTATTCTTGGAGAAGATCATAAGCAGTTTCTTTTAAATTACATTGATGAGAATCCTTCTGCTGTTGTAATCGAAGTGGCAGAAAGTCTAACACAAAATTTTGCGGATCTTAATGCTTCTCGTAGCACTATTTATAACTTTATGACAACTGAGTGCAATCTATCTATTAAGCAGGCACAATTCCAGCCTGTAGAAAGAAACAGCGAAGAAAAGATTCAACAAAAGTACCATTGGGTACAAAAGTGGCAGCAAACTGACTTGGATTTCACAACAAATTGCGTCTGTCTTGATGAGTCAGCCTTTCATATCAATTTGAAACGAGGTATGGCCTGGTCAAAGAAGGGAACTCCCGCCGTAGTTACAGTGCCTACAACTAAAGCGAACGCAACATCGATTTTAGGTGCAATATCTGCAACTGGTTTAATCAATGTCAGTTTGAGAGTTCCAAAACGCATTAAAAAGAGAAAGATTGGACGTTCAACTGGTGGTTATAGCATAGGAACAGTGACAGGGCATTATCTGAGCTTTTTAAAGGCTACTCTTGATGAAATAGACAAGTATCCCGATATGAAGGGACATTACCTTGTCATGGATAACGCTCCTATCCACAGCTCAAGTGATATAGGTAAGTATATCAATTCTTGGGGATATAGGTACGTATATCTTTCTCCGTATTCTCCCAAACTAAATCCAATTGAGCAGTTCTGGTCAGTCGTCAAGAATAAAGTTAAGCGAAATAAGTTTTTGGAAAAAGAATCGCTCATGACAAGGATTAGTGAAGCATGTAACAGCTTATATTTTAGTGATTTCCAAGGCTTTGTTTCTCATTCTGCTAAATGCTTTGACAAGTGTCTCAACAAAGAGAGACTATAAAATATCCAATGCAAAAAAAAAAAAAAAAAAAAACGCTCAACGCAACTCAACGCAACTCAACACAACTCAACGCAACTCAACGCAACTCAACGGAACTCAACGCAGCTCAACGCAACTCAACGCAACTCAACGCAACTCAACGGAACTCAACGCAGCTCAACGCAACTCAACGCAGCTCAACGCAACTCAACGCAGCTCAACGCAACTCAACGCAACTCAACGCAACTCAACGCAACTCAACGCTGAACTCAACGCAACTCAACGCTGAACTCAACGCTGAACTCAACGCAACTCAACGCAACTCAACGCAACTCAACGCAACTCAACGCAACTCAACGCAACTCAACGCTGAACTCAACGCAACTCAACGCTGAACTCAACGCTGAACTCAACGCAACTCAACGCAACTCAACGCAACTCAACGCAACTCAACGCAACTCAACGCAACTCAACGCAACTCAACGCTGAACTCAACGCAACTCAACGCTGAACTCAACGCAACTCAACGCAACTCAACGCTGAACTCAACGCTGAACTCAACGCAACTCAACGCAACTCAACGCTGAACTCAACGCAACGGAACTCAACGCTGAACTCAACGCAACGGAACTCAACGCTGAACTCAACGCAACGGAACTCAACGCTGAACTCAACGCAACTCAACGCAACTCAACGCTGAACTCAACGCAACGGAACTCAACGCTGAACTCAACGCAACTCAACGCAACTCAACGCAACTCAACGAACTCAACGCAACTCAACGGAACTCAACGCAACTCAACGCAACTCAACGCTGAACTCAACGCAACTCAACGCTGAACTCAACGCTGAACTCAACGCTGAACTCAACGCTGAACTCAACGCTGAACTCAACGCAACTCAACGCTGAACTCAACGCAACGGAACTCAACGCTGAACTCAACTCAACGCTGAACTCAACTCAACGCAACTCAACGCAACTCAACGCAACTCAACGCAACTCAACGCAACTCAACGCAACTCAACGCTGAACTCAACGCAACTCAACGCAACTCAACGCTGAACTCAACGCAACGGAACTCAACGCTGAACTCAACGCAACGGAACTCAACGCTGAACTCAACGCAACGGAACTCAACGCTGAACTCAACGCAACTCAACGCAACTCAACGCTGAACTCAACGCAACGGAACTCAACGCTGAACTCAACGCAACTCAACGCAACTCAACGCAACTCAACGAACTCAACGCAACTCAACGGAACTCAACGCAACTCAACGCAACTCAACGCTGAACTCAACGCAACTCAACGCTGAACTCAACGCAACGCAACTCAACGCTGAACTCAACGCAACTCAACGCTGAACTCAACGCAACGGAACTCAACGCTGAACTCAACGCAACGGAACTCAACGCAACTCAACGCTGAACTCAACGCAACGGAACTCAACGCTGAACTCAACGCTGAACTCAACGCTGAACTCAACGCAACTCAACGCAACTCAACGCTGAACTCAACGCAACGGAACTCAACGCTGAACTCAACGCTGAACTCAACGCTGAACTCAACGCAACGGAACTCAACGCAACGGAACTCAACGCTGAACTCAACGCTGAACTCAACGCTGAACTCAACGCAACGGAACTCAACGCTGAACGCAACTCAACGCTGAACTCAACGCTGAACACAACGCAACTCAACGCAACTCAACGCAACTCAACGCTGAACTCAACGCAACTCAACGGAACTCAACGCTGAACTCAACGCAACTCAACGCAACTCAACACTGAACTCAACGCAACGCAACTCAACGCTGAACTCAACGCAACGCAACTCAACGCAACTCAACGCAACTCAACGCTGAACTCAACGCAACTCAACGCTGAACTCAACGCTGAACTCAACGCAACTCAACGCAACTCAACACTGAACTCAACGCAACGGAACTCAACGCTGAACTCAACGCAACGCAACTCAACGCAACTCAACGCAACTCAACGCTGAACTCAACGCAACTCAACGCTGAACTCAACGCAACGCAACTCAACGCAACTCAACGCTGAACTCAACGCAACTCAACGCAACTCAACACTGAACTCAACGCAACGGAACTCAACGCTGAACTCAACGCAACGCAACTCAACGCAACTCAACGCTGAACTCAACGCTGAACTCAACGCAACTCAACGCAACTCAACGCTGAACTCAACGCAACGGAACTCAACGCTGAACTCAACTCAACTCAACTCAACTCAACGCAGCTCAACGCAACTCAACACTGAACTCAACTCAACGCAACTCAACACTGAACTCAACGCAACGGAACTCAACGCTGAACTCAACGCAACGCAACTCAACGCAACTCAACGCAACTCAACGCTGAACTCAACGCAACTCAACGCTGAACTCAACGCAACGCAACTCAACGCAACTCAACGCTGAACTCAACGCAACTCAACGCAACTCAACACTGAACTCAACGCAACGGAACTCAACGCTGAACTCAACGCAACTCAACGCAACTCAACGCTGAACTCAACGCAACGGAACTCAACGCTGAACTCAACTCAACTCAACTCAACTCAACGCAGCTCAACGCAACTCAACGCAACTCAACGCAACTCAACGCAACTCAACGCTGAACTCAACGCTGAACTCAACGCAACTCAACGCTGAACTCAACGCAACGGAACTCAACGCTGAACTCAACGCAACGGAACTCAACGCTGAACTCAACGCAACGGAACTCAACGCTGAACTCAACTCAACTCAACTCAACTCAACGCAGCTCAACTCAACTCAACTCAACTCAACGCAGCTCAACGCAACTCAACGCTGAACTCAACGCAACTCAACGCTGAACTCAACGCAACGGAACTCAACGCTGAACTCAACGCAACGCAACTCAACGCTGAACTCAACGCAACTCAACGCTGAACTCAACGCTGAACTCAACGCTGAACTCAACGCTGAACTCAACGGAACTCAACGCAACTCAACGGAACTCAACGCAACTCAACGCAACTCAACGCAACTCAACGCAACTCAACGAACTCAACGCAACTCAACGGAACTCAACGCAACTCAACGCAACTCAACGCAACTCAACGCAACTCAACGAACTCAACGCAACTCAACGGAACTCAACGCAACTCAACGCAACTCAACGAACTCAACGCAACTCAACGGAACTCAACGCAACTCAACGCAACTCAACGCTGAACTCAACGCAACTCAACGCTGAACTCAACGCTGAACTCAACGCAACGGAACTCAACGCTGAACTCAACTCAACGCTGAACTCAACTCAACGCAACTCAACGCAACGCAACGCAACTCAACGCTGAACTCAACGCAACTCAACGCAACTCAACGCTGAACTCAACGGAACTCAACGGAACTCAACGCAACTCAACGCAACTCAACTCAAATGATTGGTCGAGATTGTCGGCAAGTTAAAATAAATTGAAGCACTTTTACTCCCCCTTTTTTTACTTCCACTGTGGTATTTGCACAAACTTCTTACTAGTAAATCGAATTAGATTACACCTAATATACAAATACCTGCTAATATCACAATAACATACATATTAGCTATCAAGAATAATTCATATTAATTCTACGTGTTTTATTGGTACTGAACTTAAATAACTGAGCACTGATTTTTACTTATAAATCAAAATTACTTTGACTTGTGAATCTTCCCTCACTTTTAATAAAGGATTAAAGGAGACTCATTTCGCTTAACCGCCTAATTTACAATTAACAATCGATTCATAAAGTCAAAACCTCACACGCTTTTTTTGACATTGTAATAAAAGAATAGAGAGCAGACGTCCGTTCTTGTATTCTAAAAACAGTGGCAAACTAAAGATACCTTGTTTTTTTTACGATATTCATCAACCTTACTTTATTTTATTGGATTTGTTACTCCTAGTTGTATTTCTTCAAATGGCAAGACCGCTTGCGATCCTGTGAAGTTGAAAAGATGCCATAGAAATTGGACTCAGAGACAGTTGGACGATGTCGCGATGGTTGAAAGGGATTAACAGAGCGGATGCAGAGTCGATGGAAGACATCAAGGACAAGCAAACAAAGTGGCATATCCATCAGCAGTTTGTGTAAATCACACAAGTTACTCGGTAGCTGGAGAGTCCCTAATTCATACATGACATAAAGGCCTTTGGATGGCAACACCAAGAGATAGAAGGTAATGGATCGTCCAATGATTTGCAAACCTAGAATACCCTCCAAGTTTTGTGCGTCGAGGGCATTCTTGCAAAATTTCGCCACTCGGATCAGATCGTTCGACAAAAAATAGTTGTTTGCTTCATGGCATGCTGGTTTTACTTCACCGTATCCATGGCTGGTCGACCATTTCACACCTTTCAAGCTTGTTACGGTAAGATCGGGACGACGTGTCCACAAGGTTTCGTTTTTTCGTGCTTCGGCTGTTGTTTTGTTTGTCCATCGAATAAATACCCCTTCGTCAGGATCATCAAACAGGCCACTTAAAAACGGATCAACAAATCGGGTACTAAGTTCGGATTCGTTCACATCCTCTTCAATTGACACACGAGGTAACTTTTTAACTAACTCGACCAGGCCATTGGCAAATTTGCGTTCATGTGGCAAAAGATCAAGTTGCAGAAGTTTCACAATCGCTTGACTGCGGCTGATTGCTTCGATGTTGAGTTCCTGTATAATGCTGATCATATTGGTTACCGTTTCAATTTGCATACGAGGCAAATTCAATTCATAAATGGATTTAATTTTGTTGATGGTCGTTCTGAGGCTGGCTTCGCAGAAATGCGGTGACAAGTTGTCTGGGTATCTATTTGGTGATAACAGTAAAATTGAATTGATCGCCATAGCATGGTGTATATGATCTTCAATTGAGAGTTTCCATTTTTGTCGTAAAATCGAACACTGGAATTCGTACATCGCGTTTGTCACATTAAACTGCTGAGCGACAAAATGATCGTCATGGTCCACAGGCGGAAAAGACAAATCTTTTGGATCCAACAGCTCCATCTCCAGAGAGCGATCTTCAGCTCTTGTGCTCGAGCGCCCCTTTGTACGAGATGTAACGCAATGGACGTCATTCAGATGCTGCTGCGACGATGATTGTTCTTGATCATGGCTGCTTTCCTGTCGTTGTCGTGATGACGACGACTCTTGATTCTGACCGTTGTTCTGATGATGTTGTGCTGTCGACCGTGATTTTGTAAGCTGGTGTTGGTCGGCTAATGATTGACGATGACAAATATAAAAATGGTCTTTCAATTCTTTTACATCTGCATAATGCGCGGAACAAGCTGGGCAACCGGCGTGTGCTTCAATCAAACCGTGACCGTTTCCACACTTCACAAAGGTATATTGCTCGTTATTTCTTCTTCGGAATCCCAGAGGTCTGCTAGGTGTAGATATACCGTGGATATTCAAGTGGTTTATAAGTTTCTGAGTTGAAGAGATTGAATCTCCGCATTCAAAGCATCTGTTTACGATGGTAATGAGCTTCGATGAAGTTGCCATAACAAACTTACAACAGTTTAAAAAAAAGGGGAGAAAAAAAAGTAGAAGTAAAAAAGGGGGAGTAAAAGTGTTTCAATTTATTTTGACTTGCCAACAATCTCGACCAATCATTTGAGTTGAGTTGTGTTGAGTTCCGTTGAGTTGCGTTGAGTTCAGCGTTGAGTTCCGTTGCGTTGAGTTCAGCGTTGAGTTGACTTCAGCGTTGAGTTGAGTTCCGTTGCGTTGAGTTCAGCGTTGAGTTCCGTTGAGTTCCGTTGAGTTCAGCGTTGAGTTGCGTTGAGTTGCGTTGAGTTGCGTTGAGTTGCGTTGAGTTCAGCGTTGAGTTGCGTTGAGTTGCGTTGAGTTGCGTTGAGTTGCGTTGAGTTGCGTTGAGTTGCGTTGAGTTGAGTTGAGTTGCGTTGAGTTGCGTTGAGTTGAGTTCAGCGTTGAGTTGAGTTCAGCGTTGAGTTCCGTTGCGTTGAGTTCAGCGTTGAGTTGCGTTGAGTTCAGCGTTGAGTTCAGCGTTGAGTTCAGCGTTGAGTTCAGCGTTGAGTTGCGTTGAGTTCAGCGTTGAGTTGCGTTGAGTTGCGTTGAGTTCCGTTGAGTTGCGTTGAGTTCGTTGAGTTGCGTTGAGTTGCGTTGAGTTGCGTTGAGTTCAGCGTTGAGTTCCGTTGCGTTGAGTTCAGCGTTGAGTTGCGTTGAGTTGCGTTGAGTTCAGCGTTGAGTTCCGTTGCGTTGAGTTCAGCGTTGAGTTCCGTTGCGTTGAGTTCAGCGTTGAGTTCCGTTGCGTTGAGTTCAGCGTTGAGTTGCGTTGAGTTGCGTTGAGTTCAGCGTTGAGTTGCGTTGAGTTGCGTTGAGTTGCGTTGAGTTGCGTTGAGTTGCGTTGAGTTGCGTTGAGTTGAGTTCAGCGTTGAGTTGAGTTCAGCGTTGAGTTCCGTTGCGTTGAGTTCAGCGTTGAGTTGCGTTGAGTTCAGCGTTGAGTTCAGCGTTGAGTTCAGCGTTGAGTTCAGCGTTGAGTTCAGCGTTGAGTTGCGTTGAGTTCAGCGTTGAGTTGCGTTGAGTTGCGTTGAGTTCCGTTGAGTTGCGTTGAGTTCGTTGAGTTGCGTTGAGTTGCGTTGAGTTGCGTTGAGTTCAGCGTTGAGTTCCGTTGCGTTGAGTTCAGCGTTGAGTTGCGTTGAGTTGCGTTGAGTTCAGCGTTGAGTTCCGTTGCGTTGAGTTCAGCGTTGAGTTCCGTTGCGTTGAGTTCAGCGTTGAGTTCCGTTGCGTTGAGTTCAGCGTTGAGTTGCGTTGAGTTGCGTTGAGTTCAGCGTTGAGTTCAGCGTTGAGTTGCGTTGAGTTGCGTTGAGTTCAGCGTTGAGTTGCGTTGAGTTCAGCGTTGAGTTGCGTTGAGTTGCGTTGAGTTGCGTTGAGTTGCGTTGAGTTGCGTTGAGTTGCGTTGAGTTGCGTTGAGTTCAGCGTTGAGTTCAGCGTTGAGTTGCGTTGAGTTCAGCGTTGAGTTGCGTTGAGTTGCGTTGAGTTGCGTTGAGTTGCGTTGAGCTGCGTTGAGTTGCGTTGAGCTGCGTTGAGTTGCGTTGAGCTGCGTTGAGTTCCGTTGAGTTGCGTTGAGTTGCGTTGAGTTGCGTTGAGCTGCGTTGAGTTCCGTTGAGTTGCGTTGAGTTGCGTTGAGTTGTGTTGAGTTGCGTTGAGTTGCGTTGAGCGTTTTTTTTTTTTTTTTTTTTGCATTGGATATTTTATAGTCTCTCTTTGTTGAGACACTTGTCAAAGCATTTAGCAGAATGAGAAACAAAGCCTTGGAAATCACTAAAATATAAGCTGTTACATGCTTCACTAATCCTTGTCATGAGCGATTCTTTTTCCAAAAACTTATTTCGCTTAACTTTATTCTTGACGACTGACCAGAACTGCTCAATTGGATTTAGTTTGGGAGAATACGGAGAAAGATATACGTACCTATATCCCCAAGAATTGATATACTTACCTATATCACTTGAGCTGTGGATAGGAGCGTTATCCATGACAAGGTAATGTCCCTTCATATCGGGATACTTGTCTATTTCATCAAGAGTAGCCTTTAAAAAGCTCAGATAATGCCCTGTCACTGTTCCTATGCTATAACCACCAGTTGAACGTCCAATCTTTCTCTTTTTAATGCGTTTTGGAACTCTCAAACTGACATTGATTAAACCAGTTGCAGATATTGCACCTAAAATCGATGTTGCGTTCGCTTTAGTTGTAGGCACTGTAACTACGGCGGGAGTTCCCTTCTTTGACCAGGCCATACCTCGTTTCAAATTGATATGAAAGGCTGACTCATCAAGACAGACGCAATTTGTTGTGAAATCCAAGTCAGTTTGCTGCCACTTTTGTACCCAATGGTACTTTTGTTGAATCTTTTCTTCGCTGTTTCTTTCTACAGGCTGGAATTGTGCCTGCTTAATAGATAGATTGCACTCAGTTGTCATAAAGTTATAAATAGTGCTACGAGAAGCATTAAGATCCGCAAAATTTTGTGTTAGACTTTCTGCCACTTCGATTACAACAGCAGAAGGATTCTCATCAATGTAATTTAAAAGAAACTGCTTATGATCTTCTCCAAGAATACGACGCCGACCTGACTTTCTCTTCTTTTCGAAGATGCTCTCAGGGTCTTTGTAATAACGTTTAACCCATCTCTGCGCTGCTCGGACATGAATACCCAATTGTCTCGCAGCTGCAGAAGCATTCAAGCATTTGCTGAAAAATAAATGAGAAAATCGAGATTTATCGTTATCAGAATAAACTGTATAACAGCGCTTATTGCATTGCTCCATATAAACATTCTCACTACTCCTTTCATCCGCAACCGCACGCATTACAGGATTATGAGGTCTCTCAGGAGGTTTATCCGCTAGGAATTGAGTACGAGAACTTATTGTTTCGATAGCGAATAACTCCTCGTCAACAACAAGATCCATGGGCTCAACTCCATTTTCATCAACAACATGACCTTGTCCATCTTCATAAAAAAATTGCATACTCATCTTCAATGTCTGTAAAATAAATTGTAAATAGGACGAAGTAAAATGGACACAGAAAATCGTCCCCTTTTTTTATAACAACAATTCATGCCAAGAAATTTTATTGGGCAACTACTAAGCGACAAGTAAAAATAAATGAAGTTCATGACACGTGAGCACGACTTTATTTTTGGATCAGTCGACATAATTGTTGAACACGCAATTTTTTTTTTGCACGACATCAAACTCAAAATCAGCGACTTTACTTTCTGAAATGACTGTATCAAAGGGAGCTTTGTTCAATACATCCCTGATTAAGGGGGTAGCAGATAATCTGTTTCTTATTTGTAACATTAAAGGGATTAGGAACAGACAAACCTTTGCTTTCATTTGCTCATTTAACGAGCTTGTTATGTTTTCAGCGGTAATAGTTGTCGTACCAGAGGAAAATAATGTTTCCATTACGTGATTGTACACAATGTGCTTCACTTCTGGCATCTTTAAGTTCTATTAATGAGTATTGTTAGTTCCGTTGGCAAAAAAAAGTTAGGCCTGGGCTGGATCCTACATGACTTACGTCAAAAGAAGTGCGCAGCTTATATATGAAATAGTTGGATATTATATTTTCAAAGTTTTCAATATAATAATTGTTGTAACATGTTGCGATTGTTTCACAGGCAGTCGATAAAACTTGGCCATAGTTTTTTATGTCTTGAATTTTTACCAGCAAGTCTATATCGTCAGAATCATTCAACTCATCCTATGTTTCGTGCAGATGAGGGATATGATAAGAGTATTTTCGAGCAAATTTGCCAATCTCCATATTTCCATTGATTAGACGACACACAGAATACCAAAAGTTTTGCTGAAAAAATTCATTGCTCAAGCCTTGTGGGTGTTTTAAAATGTAATGATTCACAAATAATTGAGCTTTGAAGATAACTTCCCTCAGGAACAAAGACAGGCCTTGTATTTTTTCTAGAATCACATTAAAAGCATTATCATCAGGCGTCCGTATGAATGACCTTAAGGGAATTGACACTGAATATCTTTCATCTGAAGAGCCCAGACTTTGCTGAATTAATTCTGATAAATTGAAATTGTAGTTCTGGCATTGTTTACTTCTTGCGGAAGCATGTACTCTCTCGCCACATGATTTACATTATCACACGTTGCGTAGATGGTAGAGAACTACGCGCAATTTTTGCGTCCTTTTTGAGTTTCTTCTCTTCAAACGTATCTTTACGCTTGACGCCTTGTAAAAAATGTAAGCTTTCTTGACAGTTCTTTTATCAGCAAAACACTTTACCTCGCTTTATTGTCGGTTGTCTTATTTGGTTTTCTGCTACTCCATGTTGTTCATTTTACTTGCTTTGTTTCTTTAGTTTAATCAAGGTTTCCACTTCTGGATATAATGGCGTACGCATACTTTTTTGAAAAAGAAAGTAAAAATGTCGACAACTTCTACCTACCGTGCATAAACCTTGTGTAGCCAAAACCTTAAAATTCATTTTAGCAGTGCAAATCTCCAGAAAAAAACACATGTGAGACTTGTTCTTCGTTGACTAGGACGAAAGCTTAATACCACTTTGGAGTTCGAGTCGCAGTAAACAACGACCAATAATTTTGATTCGTATGAAAGATACTAACATTGTCGTCCCATTTTCACTTCCGTGTCCCATTTTCACATCTCTGTCCCAATTTAATTTGGAAATGACCAGATTTTTTTATTGGCCCAACCTAGTTTCGTCGACTGTAATGAATCATTTGATAAAACTGGTTTTGCAGGCTTATTTGGCATAGCCAGCAAGATTTACATTTACGAATCGCTGATTTCTTGTCTTTCAAATCGTATGGCGACATGTTCTTTCCTCTAGTTTCTGTAGAATTTACAAGAACAAGTTAAAACATTTTAGTTGAAGATGATACTACATGCGCTCTTCAAGCATCATTTCTCTTTCTTCTTAATTTATAAGTCTGGCTTTGAAGTGACAAATCTGGAAAAAGAAAAAAATTGACTTTTGCAAGCTTGACACTTTTTTCTCTTTCAAAAAAAAAAACGTTATGGGTTTTCGACGCATAAGCAGTATTCAAAACAGTATAGCTGCAACTAAAGTTTGTGTTGAAATATTATCCAACTCCTATATTTCTTCTAGACATATAGACCTTGTTAAACGTCGTCTCTATGGCTATATTGTACGTGTCAAAAGAAAAAAAAACTTTGAATAACTTCTTTGTGTTAGTTGAAAAAGGGCGATCAGACAGAGTGGAACATATGTGGTCACAAAGTTCTTTGCAAGATCGTTTCTGTTGAAGGAGAGTCAAACAAGACAGATCGATCAACACAATATCAATTTGTACAAACTCGACCTTGTAGTGCAGTGACAGCTGAAGAGCAAAAAGACATATATATCACAAGCTTGATTGATATGATTCGAAGTTCATTTGATAATTCAGAAGCTTATCATCAACTAAATATCCCTGTTGCTAAATCTATCTTGATCCACGGCGTTTCAGGTGTAGGCAAGACTAGACTAGTCAAGTATGGAGTGTGTACTATTTATTACATATACTGACCAATTGTTTTTTCCTTGAGCATAGACGTGTCAGTGAGATTCTCTCAAGCGTTGTCTATGAACTATCTAGCCATGACTTATTGTGTTTCAATGACGAGGAATATGATTTGAGTGAATTTGAAAATTATAATCCGTTGTCTTTGCTGACAGAAAAGGCAATCTCATCAGCACCTTCCATCCTTATATTACGTGATTTAGATGCATTGACAAAGCAAAATGCTCGGGACAAACTTAAACGGATTTTAGATGTGATTTCTCAGTGTGTAAGGAAAATTGGTAGCTCAAAAATACCCATTGTCCTTATTGGATTAGCACGCGAATTAAAGCAACTACCAGATGCATTCAAAAAGACAGACATTTTCAGCCAACACATGTTGTTACCTATACCTTCGCTGTATGTACTTGATTTTTATCCTGTATTCATAGTTCATTCTTCTGTATAGTCCCCAAAGAAAACTGCTTTTGAATCATTTCTTGAAAAACGTAAAACTAGGGGCTGATGGAACAGAAGACAAAGATACATTAAACTATTATACAACTCAAATTAGTTTGGTAAATAATTTTTAAAGAACCCCCCCCCTTTTTTTTTTACTAAGCAAATAGTTTATCTATAGCGTACTTCAGGATACGTTGCAAGAGATTTGAAACTAATGGTTCGACAAGCAAAACTAAAATCAATGAGATCCAGTGATATTGCAGATCAATTGAGTAAACTCAATCTATCATCATCCAATTGCTTACAATGGCAAGATTTTGAATACGCTCTTGAAACCTATCGACCTTCTCAAAGACAATCAGAACAAGTAGAATCTACTTTGCCTAAAAGAGATTGGAATGATCTTGGTGGGTATCGAGCTATCAAGGACAGAATGAGACAAGCAATTTTATTGCCCTTATTACAGCCTGAAGTATTTAGAAAGCTAGGTATCAAACCACCTTCAGGGTTATTACTCTATGGACCATCTGGATGTGGCAAGACAGCACTTGTTCAAGCTCTCGTGTCTGAATCTATGATGAACGTTATTTCTATCAAAGGGTAAACATAATTTATCAAACATCCCCCTTTTTTTATTGATGATTGATTTTAGGCCCGAAATATTTTCAAAATATCTTGGCGAAACCGAAAACAAGATTCGTAAATTGTTTGCAACTGCAAAACGTATTTCCCCTTGTATTGTTTTTATTGACGAGATGGATGCCATTGGTACAAAAAGAGGATTTGACATGAATGATGGAGAAAGTGGTGGTGTTAATGAACGTGTATTGAGTACATTACTAAATGAAATGGATGGCGTTGAAGGAAGACAAGGTGTTGTTGTAATTGGATGTACAAACCGACCTGATCAGATCGATGATGCTATTCTTCGACCAGGACGTTTGGATCAATTAATATATGTTGAATTACCAACTTTGCAAGATCGGATTGATATTATCAAAACTATTATCAAGAAAGTCTCGGCCTCAAACGATATTGATCCAGAAGAATTAGCCAAGCAAACGGAATTTTGTACTGGCGCAGATTTAGACAATTTGTTTAGGTAAGCAACACAAAAAAGGCTTGTATATATATTGAAATGATTATAGAGAGGCTGGCACTATAGCTCTAAGAAAAGATCTCAACGCAGAGTATATAACTGATGATCATATTCAGACAGTGCTGATATCTATTTGTGAAAGAGCAGAGAATCAAGTTCTCGAAGGCAATTTGGATATTTATGAACGCTTAAAACACAGACAGTTTAAATAGTATTTATAGATTTTGACAATAAATTTTTTTTGTTGCATAAATCAAGACACATGCGGGCATCTTTATATAAGCATGTTACTGTCAACTTATTCCCCGGAATACACACACTTGGCAGGACATTCCTATAAAAAAAGGACAAAAAGCTGCTGAACGCACTTTGTATTTGCATGATCATGAGCTATAAAAAATTAATAAATCAATAGTGTAACCTAAGAGACATGTGCGTTGTTGTACCTATTAAAAGGATAATAAGTAAAATAGATTAAGCTTTTTTCTTTCTTTCTTTCTTCTCTTATTTTGATATTAAATGCTAACAACTGAAGAACAACCTACTCAACCACCCATTGAAAATGGTAACCATGCTAACGAGACCGAGATCTCGAACACAAACCCAGTTGTCATCACAACCACAGCTGAATCCAACAACCAAGTTATTTCAAAATTAACAGATCTCGAGGTAAAATTTTGGCCAATAATTTCTTTATAATTTTTAATTCAGGTTTGATGCATTAGGGAGGCTTTCAATGCTTATTGGATAAAGTAAAGCAAGATATGCAAGCAGCTAAAGTAAGATTATCCGGAAATATCTATTTACTCAAGTAAGATGTGTAGGATGTCACTTTGTTTTTGGAGAAAAGAGCTGCTATAGAAAAAGAATATGGAAAGCAACTTATCAAGCTTGCACAGTCAATGTCTGATGCTTATGATAAAACGCATGCAAAGAAAAGGTGAATTGATCTTACTTGAATCATACGCTAATTGACAACATAGTTCATATGGATCTGTTTGGACTCAGCTTCTTAAAGTGCACGAAACAATAGGAGAACAAAGAGTTAAATTCTCAAGCGATATTTCAGAAGTTGCAGACGATTTACAAATTGTATACAAAGATACAGAAAAAAATAGAAAGGCGGCCAAAGAACAAGGAAACCGTCATGAAAAGAATAGATTGGATGCTGAAGTTTCATTGGAAAAGGTATTTGATATCTGATTGACATATAACTTATTCATTTAAAAAGAGTAAAATCAAATATGATCTTCATACTGAGGAATGGGAAAAAGCCATCTTGGCGAAAAGCAACAATGAATCCGAGTACATGCCAAAGAAAGCAGGTTTATTCAAAAGCAACAAGACACCAGCGCAGGTAATGACAATACAACTGAACTTGATGAACATTAATAGAAAGGGTAAATTAGTTTCAAAAACAAGTCGATGATTCATGCGCCAAGGCAAACCAGGCACAAACATCTTATAAAAATCAGTTAGCCACAACAAACGCTACTCGCCAAGATTATTTTCAAAGCCAACTTCCTTCTGACATTATTCATTTAAAAAGCATTGGTGATGAATGCTGTGGCGCTACTCGATATCAATTAGCTCGTTACTCATACTTGTTTGAAGTTGCTATCACTGCTGATGGAGAAGCATTGGATAATGACAGGGGCACAGGATTAAGGTCATTGTGTGAAAAGATTAACAATGATCAAGACACTTTTACTGTAGTAAGAGAATTCGGCGAACGTGCCATCAATTTCAGAAAAGCAGACATACCTTACAAGGAATATCCCATGGTAAGTAGTTTATACAAAAAGTAGCGAGATAAAACTCATTTTATTTAGTCTAAAGTTGCCATGAGCATTTTGAAGCCCAATCCTGTGTTCGGTGTGGAATTGACAAAGTTAATGCAACGTGATGGTCAAGAAGTGCCTTTGTTTTTGGTGAAATGTATAGAAGCAATTGAAGCATCTGGACTAAAGAATGAAGGCTTGTATCGAATCTCTGGTACAGGAACCCATATTCAACGCTTGAAAAGTTCTTTTGACAGAAGTAAGTTGCGATTCATCATAAAATATACTTATGCTGTAAACAAAAAGATTGTGCTGGCGTAGATTTGACTACAGATGAAAATACAGCTGATGTGAATAACATTACAGGTTTAGTAAAACTTTGGTTTAGAGAATTGCCAGATCCATTATTCCCTCAATCTTCTTATCAACACTTTATGAATGCAGCAAGTAAGTATAGCTTTATCATACCAGCAAGCCTTGTTGACAGATTGTCATAGAAATTGAGAATGATCGTATGCGGGTACTTGGTCTTCATACGATTATCAATGATTTACCAGATGCTCATTATGCAACACTCAAATACATTATGTGTCATCTTGACAAGTAAGTTATGACCTCAATCGCAACTAGATTAAATTGCTTTATAGAGTCCAAAAGAATCAAGAATTTAACAAGATGACAACCAGTAATCTATCTACTATATTTGGTATCACTTTGATGGGAGGTGAAAGTAATAGTAACCAATCGTCTATTAACTCACAAGAGCAATATCAACAACAAGAAGAACAAAGATTAGCTGACACACATTGGCATGTGCGAGTAGTAAAAACAATTTTAGAGAATTACCGCTTAATCTTCGAACCTGATGAAGAACAGTAATATAAAAATCCCAAATAAATTCATGTAAAACATTATAGTAGAACATACTCTAATCAGTAGAAATAAAGAACAATAGCAATATTAATATGGCTTTTTCTTTTTTCTACTGTAAAGTGGCGATATCTAGTAACAAACAAAAAATGGCAGCTCGACATCCTTTTCATTTGAAAGTTGCCTTCTGGCCCAGTTATTAGTGACTGCTAATAACCTTTAAAGTGTGTGAGAGGGGTGGGTGTCATGCAATTTCCTTTTATTTGTTTTTTTATTAAATGATACAAAGCTCACTCAAGTCACTTTTTACACGCTCTTGTTACAGCAGCGTTTCTCGGGCCTGTTATTCTACCAAACCTAGTTTCTCGACTATTGATAAAACTGAAGTCAAAAAATTCAGCGACAAAGCAGCCGAGTGGTGGGATCCTTCAGGCGAGTTTGGTATGCTTCAACTCTTGAACCCACCCCGTGTTTCCTATGTACGCGACCAACTTGTCGACAAAGAAGTTGCGGAAACATCTACTCCTTTTAAAAACCTTCGTATGTTAGATATTGGCTGTGGTGGTGGACTTTTATCCGAGGTAAGCACTTTTTTTTCTTTGATTCATGCAATTAAATGAAGGCATAGGCACTTGCTCGTTTAGGTGGTCAAGTTGTTGGTGCTGATGCTTCTTTTGATAATATTCAAATGGCTCAATTACATTCCCGTAAAGATCCTCGCTTATGGCAAGGTCCTGGTAAAATTGAATATAGAAACACAACAGCAGAAGACCTTTTAAGTCAAGGTGAACAATTTGATGTTGTGCTAGCCATGGAGATCATTGAACACGTAAATCAGCCACTTGAATTTTTGCGTACCTGTGCCAATTTGACAAAACCAGGAGGCAATTTATTTATTTCTACCATGTCACGTACACCAATAGCTTATGCATTGACTGTGTTGCTGGCTGAAAAAGTGTTAGGCATGGTTCATGATGGTACGCACGATTGGAGTAAATATATCAAGAGTAGAGAAATGCGAGAAGCCATTGAATCATTTGGAAACGAATGGCAAGTGAAAGATATTCGTGGCATTTCATGGGATCCTTTTAGTAGACAATGGAAATTAGCTGAGCGTAATGGCTTGATTGGTGTAGGTGGATTTGAATCATTAGAAGTGAATTATATTATGAGAGCATCCAAAAAAAAAGATTAGTTTATTAATAATAAAGAAATACATATTATACTGCAGCTACAGCAGGAGTAGATGTCTCTGTAACAACAGGATCTTCTACTTGCTGCGGTTTCTTTTGTGCAACAATCATAGAAGCTGTCTTTAGTCTGTTCATAGCTCTGATAGCACCAACTGCGCTTTTTAATGTGCGGCGAGGATTGAAATTTTCACGAACAGTATCCAAGATATCAATATCATTAGCATTGTTACTTGTCATCCATTTGTGAGTCATGGCTTCTTTTGCAGTCAATCTTTTTTTGTCATCCAAGGTTAAGAGTGCACGAATGAATTCCTTGGCTAATGTAGTGTTTAGCAAACAAATTAGAATATAATTGTACTGATGTTACCATCCATAGAGATATTTCTCCAGTATCTTTCGTGGAAATCAAAGCGAGCATGTGTAATTTCATCCATTAATTCAACTTGATCTTCTGCTTGAAATGGCTGATAACCACACAGTCTAAACAAAATAAATACTCATATCTAATAGTTTTCTGCTTACAATGTATAGGTGATTACACTATTAGGCAAGATAGTTAGTTTAAAAATATACTTATGCATGTACATTTACCCAACAGCCCACATATCGATTGCAGGGCCATAGCCCTTTTGCAACAATACTTCTGGTGCTACACAAATGTAATTAATATAGGCGTATATTAATATAGACTTGTCTTACCAACATAACCTGGTGAACCACACACAGTTTCCAGGGCAGAAGCCTGAGAACTTGATTTTGCAATACTATATTATTTATAAGTATGTCACCAGCCACAATTCTATAGTTACCCAAAATCGCAAATCACCAAGTCGGAATCAGACTCAGGTGTCTTGAATAACAAATTTTCGGGCTTCATGTCTATTTGTGTTTTAGTCTTATGCTATGATAACTCTAGATAGTTTACCTCTATGAACAATATTGTTTTCGTGCAGATAGGCAAGACCCTTTAATACAGACTGAATGATTGCCACTGCATCTTTCTCAGTAAATTTGCCTCTTTCAAACAAACGTTCAAACAATTCACCACCTGTAGCACTATAGGCGATTAATTAGCCTAGAATGTATTACAAGCGCGTGCTTACAGTTCAAAAACAAGATAAAACTTGTCCCTAATCAAATTGTATGAGGCGATGATTATTAATAAATTACTATTATACCTGGATTCGAATGTATCGTAAAATCCAATGACATTGGGATGGTTTAAGCCTTTTAATACATTCACTTCATCCTTGACCATATCTAAATGATTCTTTACGTTGCGCTTAGGAATTACTTTGATAGCTACTTCTTTGCCGTCACTGTTTCGAATAGCTTTTTTTACAGATCCAAATGAGCCACTGCCTATCGAACTTAAATTAGTCTATTGACGATCAAGAGCACCCGTTACCTAAAACTTCACCAAAGGTATAATCTTTCTTTTTTTCATAAGAATCAGGTTGACCAACACCTCCATGAACAATTGCATCAAGCGCTTTAAAAAGGCCCATTTTTTTAATGATAGAGTGAGAGAATAATAAAAATAAAAAGAAAAAAAAAAGAAAGAAAATACAGGAGAAGAAAGTTAAATTTTTTTTAATGTCGGGCTTGTGGAACAAGCAATCTGAGGCTCGTTTGCCTTAAAGTGAAACAACCATTGTATTTGCCCAATCATAGTTATTCTATCCTGCGCACTTTTAGACAACGATTGTTTTCTTTCTTTTTTTCTTTTTTCACTTAAGCATAAATAAATAATGGCCCAAGACCCGTAAGTATCTCTATATTTACTATGGTTTCAAACTTTTTTTTTTTTTTGGCTTATAGAAAAAGTCTCCAAATAAGTTCTTTGCTGTCTCAGAACCCTTCTACAGTTGTTGTAGTAGATGGCCAGATTTACGAAATACCTTTAAACGCAGAAGAAAGCACTTTCTTACTCGTCAACTTACCTGCTGAGTTCCCAGAAGAGCCTCCCGTGATAACAGTGTCGCCTACAGGTATGCGACACCCTTGGATAGAAGGCGACGTAGTTATGCACGACGCTTTGCCTAGTTGGAGCCAACAATCCAATTTAGGTCTTCTGGTAAAAGAAATACGTGACGAATTCTCACAAAGACCACCAGCAAAAAAGAATTTAAATGATACCTCTCCTCAACAATTACCACCAAAGCCTGAAGAAGGGTAAGTATTCTATAGTCTACATTGTATATTTATTGCCTAGCTAGATATCGCTCCCGTCCTCCTCCCCCTATACCTACAGCCTCTATTTCAACACCAACAGCAATAGCAACAGTAGTAAATCCAGAATATAATGCTATCTCTAAATTAAGGTATGCATAAATCAAAAAGATAAGAATAGCTAACAATAAATTTAGCCAAGAAGACATGGAAGAATTGCTTCAAAACGAAACTGCTTTTGAGATCTTTTTCCATTCATTGGAAAGGATTAAAAACCTCAAAAATTTTCAAGAGGATTTGAGAAACGGCAATGAACAACTTGCACGTAAGACCATAGTATGTGCACAGCTGCAATGTCTCATTTATAGCCTATAGATAAAAACCTAAGTCGAGAAGATCAATTATTAAAACTAAAATCAGAAGTTGAAGTATTGGACAATCAATACAAATTATCCAAACTCGAATTCGAACAAAAAGAAAAACTGCAGCAGGAAGCCTTTAATGTAAGTTGGGTATTGGCTGAACTTGTACTTATGGATATTTCAACAGAGATTTTCTTCTGCTACTGTATTGACAAGATTAAAAGCAAGTGTGTATGAATCAGACGAGCTATCAGAATCAGTAGCACAAAGCTTTTTGGATGGAAATTTGGACAATGACAGTTTTGTAAAGCAGTTTAGAGAGTTTCGTAAAGTATACCATTTACGAGCAAGCAAGCTGGAAAGAGCTCAAAAGGACAGTTTGTTTGTTTCATAAAATAAATCACTTGATTGGCTTGATTTGCATTATGCAAATTGTGATTTCACAGCTGACTTTTTTCTCGTGATTATTCTTTATCTCTTTTCTTTTCTTTTCTTTTCTTTATCTTTTATTCATGAAGGTTATTGTTGCAGAAACAGGTCAAGTCTTTGACTCAAATAGTCTTTTTGCCAAGACGCTGGATCCTAAAGAGTACGAAATAAAGACAATGTATCCCTTGCTAACTTTTTAAAGCTTGAATGAACTTGCAGGAGAAATTGCACATCGAATTCAAACTCGAGAAATGGATCAAATACTATTGACAAAAAATGGCATTCAATTGAAATTGGATACAAGCAGTAATAAATCATACATTCAGCAATACTTTGAGCAAGAAGATAGTGTCGTTGTGTTTAATCGCCGTTTATTGCAAAATCCTTTTACATTTCAGCCGCTTACTATACCTCAACCTACCGAAAGCCTTGTTGAATTTAATCAAATTCTTAGTCTAAAAGACATTAAGAGCATGATTGATCAACAGCAACCTCATCTCACTCGTCGTCTGGATCAAATTCATAAAGTAAGCCAATCTTATCTGTAGTTTAATATTTATGCTATCTATAGACTATTTTAAAGACGAGCTTATATCGACAAGAGCTCATTGAAAAATACATAGAAGAAATACATGCTCAATCCATTGCTCTTCATGCAGCTCTAGACAACTTGGAATCCCATGTCAGGTAATAATCAAGCACGGCCTCATTGTCTATTTACCCGAGATTTAGATTGTAATTAGAACGGCCCATCAGACTATAGATAAATTTGACCGAATTGCTCAAAGAGAATTCTCAAAGCATGGTATTACCCTTGCTAGTATTGACTTGGACATTCAGTTCTTGAGACAAGTTGAACTGCATCCAAGTTTAATGCAGCAACAACCTTATTTAACACTTGATTGTTATGTACCCATGGATACCTTGCAGGAGGAAAAAAATTTGTTACTCAAGACATATGACGACTTGGTAAATGCTACGCTTGGTCAGAAGAATAAAATGACTCATCTTATCCAACAAACCTCTCATATGAACATGAATCGGACTACTTCTGAGATTGTGATGGATCGAGTTACTAAGTTGCAACAAGAGATATGTAGCCAATGGATACCCACTCTATGCTCCCTTAAACCATTAGAGCAAGTCGATTTGCTGTATGACCATGAGGACCTGATTTATCGCGCTGAAATGTCCATTGTGGATGAGAAGAAGATGGCCTTGGTAGGTTTTTTCAAGTGTATGCAGGCCATTAGTCAAGTAGAAGAGTCTGTGAGTCGCATCTACCCTACATTAGCTGAACTAGAAAAGAGGATCAAAGTATTTCGATCAGACCTTGAAAGTGGAAAAGGTTCCATGGCTAAAAAAGTTATCACAGGTTATGTAGGTCAATCTATTCAGAAACGTATCTGATTTTATTTAGGGTCTATTACTGTCGGAATTATGGAGAAGGGATAAATACACAGAGGTAAGGCTAAAACAGGACTGAATGATTAATTAACCAGTGATCAAAAAGATTGTTACAAAAAATGCAAGTCTATTGTATGAGCTCTTTCAAGAATTTGGGAAAAGAGAAGAAGGCTATAGAAAGCGATTTTTCTATTCAGAAGTGGTATCGAAGGATGATGACAATCATGACAATTTGGCTATTTTGCCTTTTGAGATTCAAGGTACATGACAATATATATGTATTCATAAAACAACCGCTTACGTGTATTCCAAAAGAAAATAAGCTCCCAATTATTCTAAAGACTTCTTTAAGTGAAAACTCTGGAAATCTTGAAGACTCTATGGCAGTATCAAGAGGCGATGTTGAAAGTAAGAGACTCTTTTTTTAAAAAAAAAAAAAAAGGAAGACAAGTAACTTATTACTTCAAGGTTTTATTCGCATGGTACATGCATATTACGCTAACACTGCTGATAAGCAACACCAAGATAGTATTGGATGTGATATCACCCATATTTTATCTCGAAAGCTTGACAGAGAAGCCAGGCGCTTAAAGAAAGGACTTGAGTATTTAGGTAAGGAACAAGATAAAATACTCTCATCTCTCGTGTTTATGCTTGTATCTAGGATTACCGGGAACTCGAAAGTATACTGCACAGTTGCCAGTTCAAACTTTAACTAATCACTATCATAAGGTATACATCATATTGATTCAAATTTGGGAAGTTGTTTATTTTATGTCGTTTTTCTTTTTTTTTTTTGGTTTTAGGCTTCTCCTTTTTCATCGGGTCCAACTTCTCCTACCATGATGGCATCAAGCACTATGAGTCTATATTCACTTAATGGACAAAAAAATGACTGGAAAGTCGGCAATGCTTCGGTAAGGATCAGCCTATCAATAATGATATTTACAAGTTCATGCTAGACTATCTATCAGTATGAACAGACTATTGAAGAAATCAAGTCCAAGCATATCAAAGAAATGGATCAATTAAAGAAAGAAAATCTGATTGTATGCGCACTCTATTCTTTTTGAATACTGATTATCTGTAGCTACTAAAAGAAATCAAGTCAAAAGACAGTCAAATACAAGACATGAGAGAAGCGCATCAATACCAGGTAATATGACTATCAAAAGAAAAACTGACTAAATTTTCACAGCTTTCAGATTTGCATAAACAACTTGGACTGGCTCGAATGGATTTTGAAAAAAGAGAAATTTCTCTAAAACAAGAATACCAATCTTTGCTTGATTTAGAAAAAGCAAAATACACTCGTCGATTGTCCCATTCACACGAACGGCTTGATGCTAAAGACAAGGATCTAGCAGAACTGTCGTTCAATCTAATGCAAAAACAAGCTCAAAGTGAACCCAATTCACCCACAGGTTCGTTGTTTAAAGACAATAGAGCCATGATGGAACTTTCTGAAAAGATGTCTGTTATGACACTAACTCATGCTTCTGAAATCAAGTCCTTAAAGCTGAAACATCAACAAGAAGTAGAGTCGCTTAAAAAGGCAATTACAGATCAAGACGCATATCAACTTGTGATCAAAGAATTACAGCAGAAACTTAAAAATACACATGCATATTATTCGCTCAGTCTGAATGAGTTGAAAGAAAAGCAAATTGAAACTCAAGTACGCATGAAGGACTTGTTTATGGCTGAGAACGCTCAATTGACAATACAATGCCAGGCTCGTATTGATAACTTGATAGCTGAGCAGCAACAGCATGTATCAGAAATAACTGATTGTTTAGAGAATGAAAAGCATGTGTTGCAAATTGAGCATCAAGCAGTTCTTCATGGACAAACGCAAAAGATAAATGAGATTTCTCAAGAAATTCATGCACTCGAAAACAAAGTGCAACATTTGGAAAAAATACGTGCAGAAGTCAATAAGGTAAAGAAGGAAATGGCTATTAAGTCAAATGAACTTGCAAAGGTATGCTTTATTGATATTACGAAAGAAATATATGTTTATATATTGATAGCTTCATAAAGAACAAAAAGTTGCTAAACATATTGCAAAAGAGCTACTCTCTTTTTCCAATGAACAAGGTGTTGTCTATACAGACGATCTAATTGATTTGTTAAAGAATACACTTGATAGTATAGCAAGAAACAAAAATATACAGCAAGTAAGTGAACATCTTCCTTTTTGATACTTAGTTTTATTTAGTCAACAACTTTGGGTTACGATCAAGATTTTTGTTATTAATTATTGGCTTTTACATGTATTATTCAATAAATTATATATGATTAAATAGGTGCACCTGGGTAATCAGGGACCTTTTCTTTGATAAGTTTCTCAGTAAATTCCCATAATTCTGAAGGTGCAGTCTCTGAGGCAGCAACACCGTGAGGCTTATCAGGATTAGCAAAAGGAACCTAGCGAAATAAAATAAGTAAGCGTGTATTGTCTTCCATGTGCTAACTTACAAAGTATTGGCCCTTGATTCTCTTTTGTTCGACGTCAGGGCTTGTGGCCAGATAAAGTTGAGTTAGAGCACCTTGCTCAGGCGTGATCAAGAACAAGTTAAGAGCAAGTGTAACAAGGCTTTGAATACCAGTAAAATGACGATAAAGGTCGGTCTTAACAGCACCAGGATGATTACAGTTGGCAAATACATTATCATACCCTTTAGCTTCCAATCGCTTTGTCAATTCCCTTGTAAACAGAATGTTACATGTCTTTGACTTTGCGTATTGAATTGTCTTGTTGTATTTCTTGGGATCACTGATAGATTCCAGGTCCAGGCTCTTGAAAGGAATGCGATGACCCATTGAACTTACATTGATGATACGGCTAGGCTGTGATTTCTCCAAGACAGGAAGTAACAGCATAGTAAGAAAATGGTGTGCGACATGGTTCGTAGCAAATTGGACTTCAATACCATCATCAGACAACCCAAATGGACACATCATCACACCTGCATTATTAAGCAAAATGTCAAGTCGATGATACTTAGCCAAAAAAGCATCCGCAAATTCTTTGACTGATGCTAGGCGCAACAAATTAAGTTGAATAAACTCAATGTTTTCATTGCCTGTTTCTGTTTTGATTTGATCAACTACAGCTTTTGTCTTTTCTTCGCTTCGACAAGCCAACACACTCGAGCAAAGCATCAATATCACTTTATGAAAATCAAACTTTACTTACATAGTACAATTCTTTTTTGCCATCTCGAAAGCACATACTTTGCCGATCTGGGAAATTGAGATGAGCTGTTGTTTGTTGCTATTGTATACTTACACCAGTGTTACTACCAGTAATAATGGCTACCTTTCCAGTCAAATCTGGTATTTTTTCGAACGAAAAGCTCTTTTTAGCAAAGAAATCCATAATGATAGTAAAGGACAAAATACCCGCTCATTTCAAATGTCCAAATACTGTTTTTACGCTTTTTTCTGGACGAATCAAAATTAATTTCCAGATTAGCTTTTTGGATGAATGAGAGTTTACATTTAGACATTTATCTGTAAAGGGAAATCAACTGTTAGAGAAGTAATATCAAAATGACTAATTACTGTGATGTTTTGGGAGTTTTTAAATAAAAAGATTGAATATAGAAATTATAAAAAAATAAAGAGACGCGTAGGAAGTACTTTGAGACCGTTTATAAATATTTATATTCTAGGTTTATATATGATTTGGATTATGTCCTTAGATGTAACCTGAGATAAGACTTGATGAGCTGAAGGTTATATTAGATGGAATAAGAGTATTGGCTTTTCCAATAAAATATACTTTGTGAACCATCTTTACAGTTATTTATCATTCAAGATGAGATCTGTTTACTGGTTTCTGGATTATATGACTCTATTCCGTAGGAGTGTAAATGTTGATTCAGCTATATCATTGTTTAGAATGAACTCAGTTCTATTGCTATCAAACTATGACTAGCTGGCATAATAATAATATATGACAAATGTTCTTGTTATGAGAAAAGACTTATTTGTGATAATATACCTTTTTTATTTATTTAAAGCTATTTATATCAGATCATCACAATTGGATTGATTTGTTTGTTATAATGTTTTTTTAACGAGGTTCATCTTATTTAAAGAAAAATTAAGTTTTCCATCTGCTCCAAGAAACTGACCACGAAGGTATAGTCATTAGGTGTTCAATTGATATTGCCATATTGGTCACTAAACCTATCTAATAGTTGATACCAGAAAAAGAAAGAGAAAGCAGCCTGAAATACTGAAAAAATAAAAAGAGCAGCAAAACGTCAAAGGAATTAAGCTGAAGTTAATCCGGGGGTAATATGCAAGAAGTGTGAACTTTCCGGCCACTCTTCTGCACGTTCACCTCTCTGCTCATTTTACATTACGAGTAAGTCAAATACTATGATTCAGAATCTTGGGCCAAATTACACTGTTTACGCTCGTAAATTAACTTTTCAAAATTGTGTCAAGAAAGAGTAACAAAACATATTGAAGCAGAAAATAACTTCGTGTTGTAGCGCTGTAAGAGAGATAGTGTTTAGAGCCAAACTTTTTGTGAACTGGTATCTTTCGAAAACCCCAAATGAATCCGTACCTGATGGTATCTTTCGGCAACAGTTTTGGTATCCTGTTTGTCAACTGGTGAACAATAGAGAACTTAAAAACACCAAGCTTCTGCCACAAATTTTTTTACAAGAATGGGATAACTTCAAAGCTGGAAATCCTAATGCCACTTTTAATGAAGACTTGATTGGAGGAGCTAGCCAGTGCATCGCCGAGGCCTGCAAGGAGCTGGCAACCACCTACGAGAATGCAGTTGTAGAAAGACTTGAAAATATATTGAGAAGATTTTTGCAATATCAAATTCGAATTATGCTTGTTGTAAGAGCTAATAGTCACATCCATTTACCCTAATTACTTAAATATTATGTATATAGTCCATGGCTCCGAAAGATGTCGATGATATTGTTATAAAATATGGATATCAGTATGTATGCCAAAGTGAAGCGGTGTGGCCTGAACAGAAATCACTTGAAGACCCTATGATGAAACGAAGAATCGATGAACTATGCCTGCCACTTAAAAACAAACTCAATGCTAGAGTTAGTATAAAATCATTAGCTGATAACCCTGGCTCTTTTGTTCCTCTGTTGTTTCATATACTGGCTGTCTTTGAAAGGGAACATCAATCCCATAAAGCGTTTGACGTTAGAAGACTTCCTTTACCAAGGCTGTTCAATGTATTCCCTTCAGCATCATGCCATTGGCGATCAGTGACAATTTCGGTCAATGCATTAGCAGCATTTCTTCCTGGTGAACCACTCCCCAAAGGGTATAATGATCAGCTGCATTTATTTCACAAGGTATTTGATTTTAAACCGCTTAGAACCAAATCGTAAGTACATAGTTGTAAAAAAATGTTTTTATATAATAGTCATTTAAAATATGTTTATTATTAGGATTGAATCTTTATTACCCACTGGAACAAATAAGAGGCTCTTTGGTAACCTGATCATATCAGACGGTTTTTCTGTTGATTTTGTTTTTAACAAACGAACAATTACAGAAAAACGTTTAACCAAGCAAATCAATCAAGTTGATCTAATCCTGGATGATTTTGAGTAGCATGAAATTGACAGCCACTATTTACCAATAGCCGTAGATCCAGAAAGAAAAAGGGTTCTCACTGCATTTGCTGGTTCAAGTGGTAATATTAACGATTTCAGACAACTTTCCATCAAGGAATATTACCACTTGACAGGCTCTACAGAATTCTCAGCAGAGCAAGAGAAGAAAAAGAAAGCATGCGGTATTAAGACGATTGAAACAAATATACCCACCAATAAGACTGCCAATGAATCACTGTATATGGAGTATGCCATTTATATGCTCGAAAACATTGGTCGTATTTTCAGTTTTTACAATCAAGAAACTGCAAAAGAGACCTTTTTCTTATACCAGAATCGCCAACGAGCACCGGAGCAAATGGTGAAAATGTTGCTAGATGGTACCAAGAAATACAACAAGAAGTCAAGAGGAAACAAACGAAAAAGAGCAAAGAACAAAGGGAAGCGGAAAAAGAAAGGGAATAAGTCCGGAAAGAAGGATAAAGGAAAGAGAAAAATGACACCGAAAACAACAGAAACAAGGTAAAAAGTTACTTGGGCATGGCTACGATAATTTTTATACTCATAAGTTTATGGTACTTGGAGAAAGCAATTTCTTTCAGTACAAACAGAAGGTACCACTGATAGTATTTGGTAGTGGCATGTTTGGGAAGGACCATGCGAAGATGAAAACGGTCCGGACTGGTGTCACTGGTCTTCTATACAGAACGTTGAAAAGAAGAGAGAGGGCTGGTGACTTACTCGTTGTGGACATTGATGGATATTTGACGTCCCAAATATGTTCCGAATGTGAAAGTAGAACTTTGGGTGGTACTAGTGGTGCCCACAGCAATAGTGTTCTCGTTTGCAAGACGTGCAGAACATTATGGCAGCGTGACATCAACGCTAGTTTGAATATGATGAACATTGCCAAGTCAATTTGGAAGCGTGAAAGCTGTCCAGAACGATTCAAGAAAAACTAAAAAGAAAAGCAATAATCGCCGTAATGAACACGTTATTTCCTTTGGGAATTAAGATTGTTATAGATAAAATCATCTAACATACTATTGTACCTTCTCTAATAATTCTTCTCTTTCTGTTTAATTTCCATTTTTATTTTGTCCAAAATAGGCAAGAAAAACATCTGGAAATTAATTTTGATTCGTCCAGAAAAAAACTAATATCGTCTGAATTCAAAGTAGAAATACTGTAAAGCATAACTCGTCATTGTCCATTATGAAATTCAGCATGTTTCACAATCCGTTTTAGTCAAAATGATCTTCTACCTTCTTTGAATGCGTTTTATCGTCTTTGTGGTCATAAACATCGATATATAAGTAAAAGTGATGTTGATAAAGACAAAGCGATTGCTTTTCATGACATAATGGCGCTAGTTTTAGTAGCCTTGTACTTGCTCTGATGAAATAAACTGTTCGTTGTTTTTTTCTAAAAAAAAATGCTCGATCTCATCAAAGATGATTCCTCTTTAGTGTAGAATGCTTAACGACAAAGTTATTTCCTGTTTGCCTGATAACTCAAAAATGAAGAAAAAAAACTGATGAGAGCTAATGCATATCATTCTAGTGCAATGCACCAAGTAAGACACAGAGAAATAGCTTTCTTCTTGGTCTAGAATTATATGCGCTATAAAGAAGCATAATAATATTAAGCTAGGTGTAGCACGGACTTATCTTCTCTTCTAACAGCCGTTTTTCGTACTAGCTCAAAGTGCTATTCTTTGTAACTTTTTAAAGTTTCTTACAGTACTCTACTGCACAGACTTTATGATAGACCGTTCTCATGAATATCTCCTTTTAGACCAATTTATGTCATTCTATATGGATGGTCGAGATGTAGGATACCGATACATTAATTGAAAACAAAGGAGTACGTCCAAATTGGTTTTAAAGTTTTCATCTCTGACTTTCTTTTTAGATTTAGATGAATTGAGCTTCGTAAAAGTTTCTCTCAGGGTTATATGCTTTTCTTATGTCTTTTAATTATGTAAAAGACTAGCCCATTTTTTTTAACTTATAGACATATTCATACCCAATTTATTGTTAGCCATAATAAAGCATTAAAGCGTATCAACTGCTTGATTCGTGAAAAAAAGGAGAACTTTCATTTGTTGTAGGTGTGCATGTTACTTTTATATTCTAACCCTTCTTGTATTCTTTGTCAACAAAAAACTAAATATCACGCATTAGTCCTTGCAAAAGACAGTAGTACATAAATAACAAAGAAGTCTTTTTTTTTAAGTTTCTTGCCAGCAAGATTGACAATAGCCTGGTTTAGTAGTATAAATGAAAGAAAAAAGCAGCTAGAACTATTGCAGCATTATTTGTGCCGCTTGTATGCATGCATATGTAGCATATAAAGAAAATCAATATACGTAGATCAGTCAATAAATGGAGCTCAGTGTAACTATATGCATGGTGTCAGACCCATCATACTTGGACGTTACTGTGACTAGGCCGGTATAACGGATCGATGCATAAACTCCATATTTTTTATACCTCGTTCTTTTTTCTTTTTCTATCCTGGCCAGGCTTACAGCTTAGTAAGAGAATGTACTTCAAATGGTTTGTTAGAGATAGATGAAATGCTCTGAATTTATTGATGCATTCAACATATGCTTCTATTAAAAAAACTCATGTCAAAATAAACAAAAAATAAGGAATGTTTTCATTATGTATGCAAAGGACTTTGGATAAGACTTGTTCATAGAATATAAAGAGATCTTATCAAGAAGAGAGCACTTGGTAAATAACCGAATAAGAGCCAGCTCAAAGCAGTAGTATTAAATTGACATGTAGATATTTTCTTCATACTTGTTCTAAGAATACTAAGGATACATCATTGATGAAGAATACAAGCATGCACTTTGTTTATATACACGCTTGTCTTTGAGCCAATGAAAGAAAGAACTGTGTCTTTTATTAAATGATGCGACATGAATAAAGAGTCAAAAATAGGGGCCCAAATCAACGTCTCGTACATCAGAAAAGAAGGCTATTTTAGATTTGCGAATTTCAGAAAAGTACTGTATCCATCTATTGACATCATAAACAGGAGGGTTTTCTTGTTAAAATACATTCTCAATTTTATTTTTCTACCATTTGATCTCTAAACAGTAGTACATGGATATGCACAATTGGACATCACCACATTAGCATCACCCAAATGTGGCAAAATAAGGAGTGATAGTCACAGTAAAGGAACGAGGAGTTTGCTTTGGATACCAGGATGCCTTTAGTTAAGCGATACGCTCCTTATGTTTGTTTATTCAGGAATAAGACCCCCCTTTGATATTCGTCTTCCCCTTCTCTTCTCCAAACTAAAAAGTCTATATAAACCACACGAATTTGGCAGCAAAAAAAAAAAAAAAAAAAAAAAAAAAAAAGGTCTTTCATCAAATTAACAATCTTCTCTTTCTTTCAGCAATAATAACACTCAAAAAAAAAATGGTTCGTGCTACTATCTTTGTCTCTGCTATCTTCGCCATGGTTGCCTTTGTTTCTGCTGCTCCTGCTGACGTTCAAAACAACGGTGTTGGTGCTGGTCTCAAGAATATCCTCAACGGTATTGATATAAAACATGTTGCTGAAGACATCGATGTTGCCAAGGATGTTGATGCCAGAAAGGCTGTCAGCAACAACAGTAAGTGACCATTTCTGTAGAGGCAGTGATACTAATACCCCCCCCCCTTTTTTTTTTAGGAGTTGGTGTTCTTGGTTCCGCTTAAATTATCATCATCATAAAGAATTTGCTGTTATAACAAAACGTTTATTTCTTTCAGCAAAATTGTCATAGTACTCATTTATACAGATATATATACTTTAGATATATATTAATTTTATTCTTGTTTGTATTTTCTTTTTTAGTGCAAATAAAATAGCAGTTTCTCTACCATAATTTTGGGCATTTTAGAATAATAACTTGTGTTCATTTTCCCAGAGTTTCTTTCCTTTTTTTTTTTTTTCTTTTCTTTTCTAGCATCGACTTTTGCCTTTCTTGTCCTTGATTATTGCTTTTCATTTCTTTTAAATAATAGATAAACAAAAACTTAACACTTATCACGCAATATCCATTTCTACTTAGGTAGCTTCGTGCCACTATAATGTCAGACGGAATCTATTTATTGAAATTTCTAGTTTGTTTATTGTTTTATACTTTCATTCTTGTACTTCTTTACTCCCCATTTCTCTAAAAAAAAAAAAAAAAAAAAAAAAAAACACCTTCAGAGACAAAAAGAAAAAGTTATGCGCGGTCGGGGAATCGAACCCCGGCCCTTCGCGTGGCAGGCGAAGATTATACCACTTAACCAACCGCGCGAGGTTAAGAACCGAGTAAGGTCGCGCGTCAAAAACATCCCCTTTTTATAAGAAAATTGGAGTTTAAAACCAACACCCTACATCCCGTACTCTCCCATATCAACACCTACTTTTGGAAAACATCCTTATCTTCAGTAAAAATAGATATAGTTTCTACACCAATCAATTAATTAGCTCAAACAAAAACACCTACTAAAACAAGAAAAAAGCACGTACAAAAAAAAAAAAAATTAATTCACCAAAAATGTCAGATACTCGCCCTGCGTCTATCCCTGACCTCTCAGCTCATGCTCAACAGATCATGCAGCAATTCTTCAAATACCATCACTTGGTAAACTGTGCCTCTTGTGCTGAACTTGGCACACTTGGCTACATTGCTAACAATGTATCGACACCTGCACTCCCTGTGTTTCAATGCGCAAAGTGCAAAAATCATACCTCTTTTTCAGCTGTTGAAAAGGAGATTCAACAAGCCATTGATGCCTCTACACGTGGTGCCACAGCATCAATCAGCAAAATCAACACCGCCTCTCACCAGGCCAAAAAGCGAAGCAGAGTCGCAAGTGATGCCAGCAATGGCTCACAAAAAGGCACACCAATTGCCACTCCAGTAAAGAGTGGTCAAATCATCAACAGAAACAGCAACAACAACAACAGCAACAACACCATTCACAGTGCAATTAACGACAAGGAAATTGCACTTTTAAAAGATATGCTCTTGTCTCTTCAGGACAAATTGTCTGAATTTGAAAGAGAAAACAAGACAATCAAGAACCAGTTGCAGCTTTATGCAACAAAGAATGCTGAACTTGAACGCCAATTGTTGAGACAACAGAAACAACAGACAATCATCGAATTGCAACAACAACAACAACAACAACAAATTGACCAAGACGATCATGTCATGGTTGATGATGATGTCGAATTTCCTGCTCTCTCTGGTGCTACTCAGTCCAAGTACGCTCATCCATTCGATGTCAAGAAGCGACTTGCTGAGCGCTCGGTAACACCCTTAAACTACAGAAAAATACTCATAAAAAAACAAAAAAACACACAAAAACCTACTAACAAAAAAAATATCTCTACAGCTATCAGAGCTTTCACACCACCCACGACTGAACAACAAGGCTTTAGCTATGTCTACTATCCTTCAAAAGCCAGAATTAGTCGAAAAACTCAGCGCAACAACCTCAAAGCTTTGGGTGTAACCAACGGACGTGTATTGGATATCCACTATCCTGCACGTAACGTAGTTGCACTCTTAGTGCACAACGATTACCGTCAACAACTGATTGACACTCTCAAAAAATCAAAAGTCGAAGCACTGGAATCATATTCGCCATTGGATCCCAACAATTTAGTTGATCCAATCTATAACAACAAATCCATTGCCGAAAAAACAAAAATTGCTGCTGAAAAGCACAACCAACGTCTTGTCCGTGCTCTGCCCTTCATTCGAGAGCATATCTCTAAAGCTGTGGCTTCGTTCTTTTTGAAAGAGCAATTAATTTCTGATGCTCAGCATCAATCCTTCTTGGATTCTTTTAAAACCACAAAACCACAAAAAAATACTAACCCTTCTTCTTCCTCCTCCAAACAGGTCAGCAACAGTAGTGACTCACAGCCTCTCAACAACAGCTCCATCACTACTACTACCACTCCTTCACCAACAACCACAACAACCAACATGGATGAAACGTTATAATGAGGAAACTCAGTATAGCGTGCATTAATGCCAATGGTAAACTCCGCGAGGAAGCCATTGATTCAGTCCTTTATTATTGTAAACACATCGATCTTTTATTTATCACAGAGACCTGGCTCCCTCCAGGAAAAACTATACCCACAACATGGCATCAATACCATTTATACGGCAAAGCAGTTTCTAACTCTTACCGTCAACAAATGGGTATATCCTTGTTTATCAACCCTACTTCCAAGTTTAACAAAATTTATGTGGATTTACTACAATCCGAATACTATATGCTCTGTCACATTGACAACCTGAAAATATACTGTTTCTACTTACCTCCTTTCCCTTCTTTAGATAACAATACAACTATGCAAATAATCAATTCCATTCCTTTAAGCAACAATACAATTCTATGCGGCGACTTCAATGCTAGAATGGGTAAGTACACTGGTGACCTTCGTTGGAATCCACGTGGATCAAAATTATCCAAGCACATACAAGATAACCACTGGTACAACTGGAATGTTAAATGCCAATATGGTATTCCAACCCGTATCAACTATCGCCAACAAAGCAATGCTACTGACAACAGTATTGTTGATTATTTTATATCCACATCAGACTTTCAACAAGCTGATTTACAAATTAAAACCGACCTTGCGATCCTAGGATCTGATCACAAAATGCTGGTCTTTTCATTCTTATGGGACGACCTTTCATTTGCTGACGATCAACAACCACAACAACGCAAAAAGTGGAAAGTGGTGCGCCTACAAGAACTCGATGTTCTTCAAGCGTATCGCCGTACACTCAAACAACAATTGCACCAAACACAACTGGAATCCAAGTTATCTGATTTCATCAACTATCTAATAGCTTCTTCAACAGAACTATTACAAGACCAATGTACAGATAACAGATCCACTCTTGAATATCTCACACAGCAATTTTATAATTGTCTGTATTATACCCTTGACAACATCTTGACCGAATCCGACTATCGTCCGAAAACTTGGCGATGGTTCTGGAACAAGTCTCTACAGACTGCATCAAACTATAGACAAGCCTGTTACTTTCGTTGGTGTCGTGCCTATGGCATCCAAAAAGGTCTCTGGTGGCGTAAGTATAAAGATGCAGATAAAAAATTAAAAGCAGCAGTAAAGCAAGCACGAGCCTCTGCATATCGCAAGTTCTGTGACGAGCTGGATGAAGATCCTACTGCGGCTATGCCCATTGTAAAAAAAATCATAAACTCTAGACAAAAAAATAGCAACCGCTTCGGATCTATTGACGGTCCTCAGCATGCAGCAAACACTATGGCAAAGTACCTCGAAGGTATCTTTGATGGTAAATACATACCTCAGCCCAAAAACATTCCTTTGCACCTACAATCTCCTTCCTTTCCTTCACCCAACATCACTAATTCCGACTACAATTTCGACGACTGCCCTTTTATGCAAGATCAAATTGTAGATTCCATCAAAAAACTCGCCACTAAAAAAAGCCCAGGCAGCGATCATATTCTTTCAGAAATGGTCAAACCTATGGCCGATATCATAGCTCAACCCCTTACACTCCTTTTCCGTGCCTGCTGGCTTCTTGGATTTACTCCCTTGCTTTGGCGCACTTCTCAAGTCGTCCCGATCTACAAAGGTAAAGGTGACCAACTTGATCCAGCCAATTTCAGACCAATCAGCTTGACCTCCATTTTTCGAAAGATAATGGAGTATAGCATACAACAACAACTTTATGATGAAACAGACTTCATTGACATAGCCCAAGGAGGCTTCAAACCCTTCTTGAGTGCGATCGATCAAGCCGTTTGTTTAGATGAATTGATGCATCAATATACCCGACAACATCATAAATCACCTGTGATTTGTTTTCTTGACATTGCAAAGGCCTACGACACTGTAGATAGAGACATTGTTTGGGATGCCATGTACCCTCACTGCAATATTCGACTGTTAAATATTTGAAAGATTTATTTAATCATGTCAATATCCAAGTCATCAATGGTAACCATCAATCATACTTCTTCACTCCTTTTACGGGCGTACTGCAGGGCAGTGTCCTCAGTCCCCATCTTTACTCTATCTATATCAATTCCCTTCCACAATTACTTCGTAATTCTATCCCTTCCTCCTCTATTCCGTTACAAAACATAAACTGCTTGTTGTTTGCTGATGATATCGCTCTGATTTCTGATGCCGACAACATGACTAACCTTCTTGCAATAGCTGAACAACACTCTTTACAACTTGGCTACAGATGGTCACCGACTAAATGTGCCATTCTCACTCCTCCTACACCCCCACCTTCCTTTCCGACTTACCAGCTATACAACATCAACATACCTACCACTACACCTTCAAATACCTCGGTATGCAATTCAACTATCTTGGGATGGATACACAACTATTCATCACCTACAACAAAGAAAAAACAAAAAAAGTATGCACAGAATGCATGACATTGGTACTCGTGCCAATGGCTTCTCCTTACCTCTCAGCATACAAATATACAAACAATTCATTCGACCACAGATTGAATACGGTTTGTGTGTCACCAACATCAACGCCACCAACATCGCTGCTCTTGAACGCATGCAGGATGATTGCCTTCGATTAATCGTCGGTGGTCACGCCACAGCATCAGTAAAAGCACTCCGGGTCATGGCCAACCTACCTTCCATGATGGAACGTTGGTATACCCTCAACACCAAATACAACCTTCGCTTGCAATGGCTCCCACCAGAGTCATTGATCAAACAAGTTCACTCCTCCACCACGCGCTATAGTCGCCTCAATATCATCCGCAACAAAAACCCTCTCCACAAAGAATTCATCAGTACTCCCACTGTAAATATAACTGAAAAAAAGAAACTAAAAAAATCCTCTCCAAATATCGATCGAACGCCATCAGAAATTCCTCGGAAACAATGATAAAGGCTTGTAGATCTGATTTACAAATAGACCCCATCCTCACTCTCCCCATGACACGCAAGGAACGTAGGCGACTACTAAGGTGGCGAATGAACTGGTTGCCTGGTGGCCGGCCTCAATGCTATTGTGGCGGTGTGATGAGTCGAAACCATATATTGAACTGTCCTGCAATCCCAACACCCTATTGGGATCAAATACAACGTGGAACTGTCAACGACGTCAACCCAATCGACGCAATACTTAAACTATTGCCGTCTGAAAAACCAAAAACACCAACAAAAAAACAACAACAAATACAAAAGTGGCAGCCTTATGGTCTGACCTACTCAATATCCTCTTTATTGTTGACCAAATATGTCACAAGTCGCAAGAACCCTTCCAAGACGAACCTAATCCAGGAGAGTCATTCTACAAGTGGCTTGCAGACTAACATAAAAACAAAAAGTACAAAAAAAAACAAAAACAAAAAAAAAAAAAAAAGAAAAATCATATAACAGGGAAAAAATATATAAAAAGAAAAAACCAAAAAGAATTTAAACCCCTCTTAAACATCTTCACACTCCTTTACAACAGTCACTTAATTCATGCAGACAATCAACAACTTTAATCAACATTTTCAAGACGAGTTCCCCAAAGCATAGCATTGTGTGTCCCCTCCTTGTAGCCATGTTCATTCAAAGCCGAACGTATAGCTGAAAGCCCTGCTGTCTTTCCCCTATACTTCCACCCTTTTTCCGCCCTTTTTTTACTGTCTATTTCTCCTCACATAATTTTTCATCTTTCAT